TTCGTCATCCTCAATTTAGAATGTTGTTGACATGCTTCTAGTGCAAAGGGTGGTTCTTGAGGATCATCCTGACAAGCATCGCAATCAAACTATGTGCTTCCAGAGTCTCAATTCATTGAAAGTGTCTGTCACCCCAATCTGTCTCGGTTTTAAAAATACAGGCGCTACCAATTGGTGCCGGTTTATGGTACATTCTAGACTTTATTTTACAACCCGATTTGGTGACGAGATAGGAAAGGAATGCTGACTATTCAACCAAGTAGATTGGATAGTAAGTTGAATTCGAAAATCCTTCAGAAAACTAAAACGTCGTGGCACCAGGAAATCCGACGCCATGATGCCGTTTCCAGTGGTGGGAAATTTCACCCATTTGTTCTGGGACAAGCCCTTTAAAAAAATGTGAAGGACTCCAATTTACATTGTCCTGTGTTAAATGCGGTCCTTATTGGAGTGTTTAGACTTCGACAAATATGAGCACTAGTGTTTTAAAAAAGAATAAACGGCCCGAGAATTATAAACATTGCCGTGTTCATCACGGCTCGGCGGTGTGGCGTATCGTGCTAAGCGTTATAAAGACGATCGCTAACTCGCCACTGATTAACCTGCGGGAGTTCGAATCCAGTAAATGGAGGATAATTATGTGCGAGAGGATTGCTTGACTCCTCGCCGCCGTTGGGCGGTTCATGTAATCGCTGGTCCGTCACGGCTTCCTCCACCATCAAGTCCATGCATCATCCGGTAACCGGACGAGAAACCGTGGTTCGCCATATGATTTAGCAGTCTTATCGGCTCTTCTCCCCCATGAGATAAATCCTGTCCATAGTTTGTTCGTCGTCTGGCGTGTGCTTATTTTCGATTGTTTATATACTGGTAAGAACTTGGGTGAGCACTACTCTGACAAAAATAGTGATATGTCGAATGTAATGGGGTCCAGGGATTGGCTTCCAGCGATACATATCTCCATGTACTACAAATTCAAAAAGGATTGGTTCTTCCGCTTCAAACAAACCGTTTTTTTTAACACAACGACAATTTTGTTACACGATTTGTAGTATACTTCCGTAAATATATACTACTACGATACTTCGCATGCTAATAACCAAATTGCATGAGTCATTTTGAGCAGTCCGACACACTTTGAGTTTCAATCATGTCATCTATAAGAATATAATAATACGAAGTTCGTGGTAGTATTTAGTAATGTCGAAGTGTTAGTGTGCCCTGAATTATATAGAAAAGTGTCTGAGAGAATGCGAAAAGGGAGCATTGTTACGTCACTTTTGCATCTTGCTGATTGGCCAATGTCACGAAGTAAACAAGAAAGTTGATGCTTGGGGAAAGGTCCGTGCCCATGGTCAAGTATAGGAAGAATTTTTCATACGCATTGGTTAACATTGAAAAAGTTGCAAAATTGCGTATGTCACATTTCTTCTCTCAGAAAAACGTTTTATTATCCGTTTAATAATAACAGGCTGGTGCGCAACATCACACAGATGGGTTTTAACGAGAAAACATAAATTCGTCGAAAATTACTGACGCAAATAGGTTATTAGCGGGACGATATATATATATCTAATTCAATATATTAAACCAATGTACAATTTTTAACGTTTGTGTTACCCTTTTTGTCAACAACGGTCACAGTAGCACACAGAAGCTTTTCAGCGATAAGTCACCAATAGTAGATTTTGTCGGCAAAGGGTGGAACTACTCTCAATGCAATAATCTGATAGAAGTTTCGACATATTGGCGAAAAGCATTACTTTTATACTATTATAGTTTTAGAAATGTTCCTTGATATTGGCTGTAGCTATTCTAAGGAGTAAAAAAAGTCGAATAGAAATGGGAGAAAATAAAGCCAGAAATACCAATAAATAGCTTCAACTGATGTTGTTCACCACACATGCTTCAAAATTGAAAGATTCGTCTGTTATTCAAGTGGATGGAGAAGTAACTTGATCACTGGATGCGCTAGTGGAAAACGTTAGAGAAAATAAATCTTTCACCATAGCGAACTGTAAACATTTAACCAAACATCACACTAGTGGTGTTCGCGATAAAGTATCTTTTTAGTCATATCATGCCTGTCGCCATCAGCAAACATGAGGAAATACGAATTTTTACCCGGTGGCCGACCATAAAAAGCATATATGCCGCAAAATCACAGTGATGGGGTTTCAGAGTTTTCACAGATTTTGTTTACAAGTTATTGATTTATTACTGATGACACGTTACATAGGCCTACGCGAAATGCCTATGCGTTGTTTTTCAAATGTCAACAATTTGTATTCATTACAGAACCCTTGCTTTCTTTGCCAAATTAATATTTTCCGTGTATATATACCAAATTTAAACGGCCAAATGAATTTGAGATTTTCATTAAAATGTGCTATGTGTAATCTCCATTTTAATTTATCAAATGGTAAGCGACGAATATATATTTCAAGAAAATGAAACCAGCAGAAACGGTCTCAGAGCCAGGTTTAGGTTCTTTGGAAAATGTTCAATGTGGACGCTTGGTGTCACGTTTGAGTACAAAACCTCACAATTCGAAAGTTTATAAACCTCGGTGATCTCATATAGCCAGTGATATCGTTCCTACACATATATACGGGGCATGTACTTGATACAGGGAAAAAATTAGGTCCATACCTTCAGGTTGTTTCTTTTTACCTGAGATCATGCATCAGCTGGTCTTCAATGGTATTTCATTCGTAAAGAATTTTTTCATTATTTAAATGGAATCTTGTGGACCTGCTGCGGAATAATAACAAAAACGTATTTGCAGCTATCAATAACCGACCATACCCAGAAAACGCTATAATGGGCGTGTAAGAACAAAGCTAGTATAAAATGAGGAGAATAGCAAAAACTTTTTTGCGCCTATATTTGAGCGGTTTTCGGTATTTCTTTAATTTTGCACACCAAAATGTAATAGATGATGTTCAAATTTTATTAGCGTCTTGTTGGTGTTTGTTTAATCTCTTAGATATTTGAAAAGATGTCACAGAACACTTGAGCATATTCTAATTAAAACTATATAATAACAAGATGAATTTTTCACGGTAGGATACTAAAATGTGCTTATACGGAGAAAAGCTATTTTTCTATTCGCATCAGCCTTTTTAAACTGTTATTTATCGTAAATGCACGTTAATAGGTAATTAAAACTACAAGATCATATTTGTAAATTTTGGAAATGGTGAGTTTTAATAGTCAATCTATATCGTTGAGGTTGATTTTGGTTAAGAAATTTTGGACTGACGGTAATGGCATCTGGCGATGTTGTGATTATGATGAGCGGTAAATGACAAATTTCATACTATAGAGTCATCGTCGCCAAGGTAATGCGGAGTTTAATCATTTAAGGCGCCCTGTGGTGTTGATGCGAATACTATATAATGCGTTAAAAATATACAAAAGGAACAATTAATTTAATATTTTTGGTATAATTTATGGAATACTTTGACACTGAAAAATGGTTACAAATGCCAGATCTTCTAATAAACTCAAATATTACATCAGTATTTGAAAGTATCCACCAAATCGATATTTTCAGACTTCTTTGTTAATTACAACGACTTATGGGCACTCCCGTAGTGTCTGTACCAGGTTATGGTTAGGCCATAATTTTATTCCGATTTTCCTTATTTTATTTCTTTTACGATTTCGGGGTCTGTCTCTGTTAGCCAAGTGAATATCAGTCAGTCCCTTTACACAACCTGATGTAAAATAGGCGAACAAAATTATTTACATCCAGAATGGTACACATACTTCTGGAGCACCGACTTATGAACTTAATTATTCCTCAGTATAACAATAAAAAAAATGTTGCTAATATTATTGCTGCTGCAATCTGTTTGATGTGTATAGCTTCATCTGGAGGTAGAATTTCCGAAAAACAATTTCACTAATAAGCAATATTCCACTATTATTAATAAACTGGAACAAGTCAGGCCGCGCATAAACTCTAAGTTCAAAGTATTCGTGATTAAGGTTCATTAAATAATGCCGAAGTTGATGAACAATAGCGGAATTTTCGACCAGAGAACGTAAACAAAGTCAATATTTCATTCCGTTCTTATTTTGCCAACATGAAGTCTTATTAACTTTAATTCTTTAATGACTGATGAATTGTTATTAGAGAGTGTTTTGCAAATTTTACATGGTGTTTTTTACTTACTTATTGAGCAACGAATAACCTAATTTTATGTGACACTTCCAATTTGAAAATACAGATATTTAATTTCAGTTTTGACTATTTCACTCAGTTAAAGTAAAACTGTATGTAAGAATAAATCTGAACCCAAACACATTAATTAATTATTCAAATTGTCAAAGGTTTACATGAAATACTAATATATTGATGTTTTCATTAACAGTCGACATTCAATAATAAGGCATGAAATCGAAAATGGAGTACAAACTCGTATGACTATTTTATATACTTTCGTTTTATCTGCTCTCCATGTAGTTGTATAAATGTGGTATAAATGAAAATAATAATTGACACTATTATTGAAACCACACATTGGAATTTCGTCCGTGAATAATGCTATAAAGGGTACAGATTGCTGCTATTCTCAAAGAACAAATTGCGCACAAGACGGTTTCCGTGGGTATAGATGAATCATCACAATTGTTGAAAGTTGTTTTCGTATTCGCGAAAGATTTGGTTGGTTGTTGATTTAATGACGTCAACAGGCGGGGCATTTTTCCTCACACTGTCCCAAAGCCACAGTTCACAAATTTCCTGTATTTCAGCTCCGGCGGAAGTTTTTAATATCCGTATAACTTGAAGATGAACCATTGTATCTTCTACTCTTATGAAGTAATATCCAATTAACCAAGCAAGTGTACAACGTGTTAAGAACGAGTCGCGGTATCCTTGATCACTATTCCTGTTTGATGATTCATAAATATGATATCACATAGTCGTCTTCGCTACACAATTCCGTAAAGGGTATATGTACGGTATTTTGCTATACACGTTCGATATGTGATACTGTAGATTTTTAAAGCATAGGTTTCTTTCAGATTTGCGATCCACGCGTACGAATTGACAACTTTTTTCAGGCAGTCATCACCGGAATGTCTGTGGAATGCCATTCCAGACAAAACTGATTCACGTGGCTCTACCCTTTTTTGACAAAAATCGCGTCTGAACCTGCGATGAACAAAACTAGGTATACCTTCGAAATAGATGATACCAGCACAGGAAAGATTCATTTTAAACGTAGTGGAATAAACTTCATTGTTGCGTTATTTAATTTTAATGAAGAATAGGTCCTATGTTAGATTGGAATATTTGAAGTCATGTGTCATCAGCGCAGACTTGCTTTTCGATTTCGAGTGATTCGCTAGGAGTTTTATGAAATCAGTCACTATCAGAAAGGATCAATCACTATCAATGTTTATCGAATGCATCGGCAACTCTCTGTAGCAAATGAAAATCAGAGAAGATTCTCCGCCTGGTGCTTATGTGGTGACATCGAACGTGATGGCAAGAAAGTATACCAAGCCTTCTGAAGTGATTGATGCTTGTATGGATGTGCTTAGAGAAGAAGGCGGAGGTGAGTTAACTTTATTAAAATAATAATGATTTGGAGAATATGAAAAACGGTTGACAAAATCCGCTCTGCTGTTGCCTTGCACGTTTTTCTTATATTCCAGCAACACGGATACAAACCAAAATGGCGAATCTTTCGCAAAAGTTTAGCACTGGGTTCAAAATGTAAGGTTCATATATATGTAATAATAAAAAGTGCTAACTTACTAGAATTAGTAGAATTATTCTATAATTATATGTTGAAACATAGCATGACGACTTTGTAACATATCAACTATAATTGTTTCAAAATAGTTTGATGGATAAACTTCGTCTTTCAACGACTTCAATATAAATCATCTGTCAATCTTAGTTTAGTTATTGTTTAAATCTAGTCTAGCGTATTTTTAATGAACATACGACCATTGAAATTCGAAAAGTACATTCAGTAGTAAATCTGAATAGATATAACAGCGAAATTTCACGGATAGACTAATACAGACATGTAAAAGCGCTTGTCAATTGTTCCTAACCGCCATTTTGTTTGCCCGAGGCCAATGTTAATCGGAAATCAATGAAGAAACTGTCAATGTCAGTGTACTTTTAGGTAACGCCGAACAAAGCCTTTTTATAAACTGTATGAATTAAGGTAATAACCACGTGCAGATAGGCTTTTCCAATACCGCGATGATGAAATCACCGTTTCGTAAGCACACGCGAACTGAAAATGCCCAACAGACATGACCTGAATGAAATCATCAGTGTACCGAGCTCGTCGATTAGCTTTTTATTCATACTTCTTATGAACATGGGCTTACGAAATGAAAGGTTGCATTCATTTGTTGATCCTGTCCGCGATAACATATCCTGAAAAGACATGTTGTATTTATAATCATGCCTGAATCATTCGAATTATACTTGACACGTTATCCTGACCGTAAAAACAAAAATGTCCCGAGATACCAATCTCTTCTCTAGTCAATTAAATTTAGTCTATTCTTAACTTGGGGCATGGTAATAATAAACTAAGGACACAAGGGTTATGCTAGCTGATGGCCCTTCGAAGATAATTACAAAAGCTGTTATAGTATGATATTGTTGCCCGTGGTGTGTCTTTGAGTTCCAAATACAATCCGTAATAGTAAATATTGCTCTAGGCACGATTCAATTGAGAGTCATTTTTTTGCTATCAAACATGATCGAATCTTAAATCATATTTTATTAATGTTTTAGTCTTACTTTACGACTATGTTCCGACTGAATCGTTTTGTACGATAATTTAAAAATAACCAGAAAGCAATACTCAAATATATTGACACAAAAGTTAGAAAAAATTATCCAAATGTTAAGAGAATTCTATCGAAGGTCATATGAAGGTGTGTACCGAATATCATAGAAAGGTGTTTCCGTGAGTTAGAAAAAAAAACAATATTTGGGGTGAAATATTGGGGTCCATCGAGAAAATTGAAGTATAAAAATAACAGATATCTAGGGACTTCGACCATTTCCTGTTCCAAAAACAGTCCACAAAATATTTAAGTGCTGAAAGATATCTTCGACATCCAATAAATATAACCACATTAGAAAGATGCCTAAAGTCGCTCAACTCTCGCAGAATAAGTAATGAAATTACATATTTATTACATTGTTCAATTCAGGATAAGCTTTTTGCATATTCTGTGCAATGTTTTTCAAATCAGGTTTTAAATTTTATTTCATATCACACTTACATACAATACTAATCATATCATATTTTAATGCCTTTGACCCGACGATGATTTATCCTTCGATAGATTATTTTTGAATTCCAAGTAAAACACTTTTTTGCAGAAACCAATACAGCGCTTAATCACGGATCACGAATTAATGCAAGTAATAATGCGGCATAACAGAAAAGGTCATTGACAACATAGCATGGATATTCAACATAATCTTTATCATTATTGAATAGTTTGTCTTTTACTGTGCATAACATATGACGATAAAATATTAAAACTATAAAGATGAACGCTTATATTGTACCTTAAGCTTCTAGTCTGTCAACTCTATAATTTTTTCATTGTCCGAAGGAATACTGGTCGAATCATATAAATTTTGTTTTCTATAGTTGGTCTGAATATGTCTAAGTATTTAGAAATGAAAGTATGTGGCTCGAAACTTGGACCTCTTTGCGTTGTCATTACATATATGTCCCGTGAGTGCGCGCTTATCTTATACAAATCATTGATATGTCGTCGGAGTACCGTTGCCATATTTGTGTTGGTGCTCTTGTTACCGTACTGTACCGAGGTTGAAAAAATCAAATATGATTGGCTCACAATCGTCGTCCGTACTGTAAACTCGTTCCCATCGACAAAATACTGCGTAACTTGGCTCAGAGATCGCCTCCTTTTCTTAAGGATGAAGTGTACGCAGACGCGATTGGAATATTATAACACCCTCATGTATACACAATTTGATTAAAATTTGGTCAGTTTCAATATAAAATAATGCCGAACTTATGATGCGAGAGGTGGAAACGCCAGCAGTTTACGTCCGTGAGGCTTTTTGATCAAAGTACTATAATCTTCCAGAAAATTCGTTCATATTTCCGATTTATTTTTTTTAAGATAATGCTCATTTCTTGTAAAATCCACCAAATTGACACCAAAACCAAACAATAGCAGCAAGATTGCTGTTTTTCAAGTGAATGAATTTTAATCTGCAAATCTAAGAAACAGAAAATATATCAGATTTCCACCTGCGTGAGTGTAAACTCTAATGATATCATCGCAAGCAAAACTGGTTTGATGGGTATTTTATAATTTACGTTACTTTACACTGCTGAGATGTTTCGCAAGTAGATTGCTTTTCCTCTACAAATATAGAATTCAAACGTAATTTGAGCATTAATTGCCATAATCAGGTCATTCAGATTCGACATCCACGAAAAATACGTGTTGGCCCACAGAGCTCTTCAATCTAATAATTGGCCATCCTAATTAAACGAAAACACATGCGAAGATTTGTATGTTGGTTCGTGCTTTGGAAACAAATACCAAAAATACAAACAATTTTACGAACTTGTTCCTAAACAATTTGTATACTCGGAAGACGCGGAAAATGCTGATATAAACCAACCAATCAAGTAGGTTTGCCATCCTTACCACACCTACTCAATTCTTTTTTGTTAGTAAGGGTAATGGATTAACGTCGACTTATACGATGAATATTTTAAAACTGTACACGACCCCTACCTAATCATATTTTAATTTATAAGAAGCGGAGTTCCGATGCACATTTTAAACATTCGATCCATAAAAAGTGTTAGACATGACTGATGTGATTAGGCTTTGATGCTAACATCAAAATATATTGACGACAAAATTCTTGTTATAAGTCTTTTCTTTTGTTTTTTTTTTGTGCTAGGAAATGTATATTTTGAGTGATGTAACGACAGCAATTAAAGTAAATATATAGAAATATATAGAAACAGTCCCAATTTCAAATTCCATGCTGTATCAGAGGGTTGTTTGGAATTGACTGAATTTCAATAATGCCTCGTTTTGGGGCAGGTTTTCTCGAAAATCTCCAATAAAGCCAGCATATCAACATATTGGGAGAAAATAAGAAACCTTATAGATTCGAATTCATCATGACAGAATAGTAGCAGCACGTTTTGAACTGGCCATATATAATATTCAACAAAGCGTATTTTTCGGTAATTTTAGGAAAAATATATATAAATCATAGTTAAAATTGGTTTTGTTTTGTTATAAGTCATGGGCAAAAATAGTCAAAATGAAGCAATATGCCCATGCACTTGTGGTATTAAATCTAACGTTAATATATTTTAGATATATCGATATACTGGTTATCTTTAACTCCTAACTTCGAACGTTTGAATACTCCATTAATCATTTATATTTATTCCGTATTTACTGTACTTAAAAACGGAATGTTCATCAACAGTGCTGTACTAAGTATTAAGTAGAACGGTTGTCTGAGGGTTCCCGAAAGAGTTCATATTTAAACAAATCACTTGGCGCATATTATGTATATAGTAAACATATTTAAGTAATAAATAAACATATATTAATCTTAATCGGGCTTAATTGACATGCAATAAGTATCATTAGAAAGTAATCTTTGGTATTACAGCGATTTCATACTATTTTGAATTCGAAAGTATAATGTCTTAACAATTTTTGCGTTTCGTAATGTACTAATTATATCTTTGATATCATTGAGCTCCGAAACTATATACATGTTTCTTATTATTAATGCTACGACCAATCTCTTTATGCTCCAGACAACAGTGCCATACGTTCCATTGACGAAATGGCTCCTTGTTTTTTGTATACTATATAAAACATAGGACCAAAATTTCGTGTTTTCTCTATATTTTTCATTTTATTTCACTTTTCTGTTCCTATTATGTATATCAAAAGCACACGTACTCCCGTAAATGTTAATTTAGACCCCTGGCAGTCTACCAACCTACAGTTGGAAACCACTGATTTGGTCCATAGTTGGTTCTAAAGTATGTGTAAATTACAAAACGTATTGTTCAGTGTCCAGGATTCTATTTTAGAGAAATTTTATACAAATACATCGATATCACACTCTTTTTTTACATTGACGTATTGACAATAAAGTTGATTGTTGTGATTCTGAATGTTATCAACAAAATTTGTTTCCTCTTCCTTGACTAATCTGATATATTTTTGCATCGTGTCGTGAGATTATTTTATAATTTTATATTTAACCTGTCCAAATGAGAGTAAGGCATCGTTGCCAATCTTCCGCGTACCTCTGTTCAGTGTAACGAAAAAGGTAATTCTGATTCACTCGGGGTCGATTTATGTCGCGATAATCATCATTAAATAATTAAAGGGGCAAATGCTATATATAAGCTACATACAACGATGATTTATGAATGCTTCGGTAGAGTTTAAAACAAAAAAGATTATCAACAGTTTCTATGGTTTTGTATATTCCAAGACATATACTACTTTAAAAGTTATAAAAAGTTTTTGAATCAACACGGTCTCACTCAAAATAACCCCAAATTGATGAAGACGGGATTCGCGTGACAGAAAGTTGACTGTATTCCCTTCAAAACGTGGCAAATACGAATATTAACACTATTCATTTAACCCAATATTGTAAGTAATTTTGGCCATCGATTGCCGAATCTCATTTTTATTTTATTTGCGGATATATTTCTAATACTCTGATAAATCTTTTCAACGTGGTTTTAAACTTAAAGCATATCTGGCAATATTGTATTTAATTCGCTATATATAATATTTTTCGTTGTTAGTAAATTAAGATATTTGTTCATGAATTTAAGATCGCTAATTTAATGAACGTGGCGACAATTCGTCTCTACTCATCCATTTCATTAACCTCTTTCTGTACTCCACCCTATTAAAAGCGTTAATAGAATCCCGGTACTAGTTTTTTGGATTTGCAATTTAAATGTCATGACCTATGAAATAGTGCTACCTCTGACTAATTAAATTGAGCATACGGACGTAGGCAGGAAGTCCTCGCTTAGTTTCAAGAAAATTGGAACTTTATTTGAAATAACGTGATCGTCCATTTGGCATAGATAAGCTTCAAATACCTCTTCAATGACTTAGTTGATCCATTTTATTTTCATAATTAGTTCTATTGTATTTTTACCATAATGGAGATTAACATCGATTATATTTTTGCCATTTTACTGAGTAATAATGTTTCATAGTCATCGACAATAATGACCAAGGTTCTGTAAACCTGGAGCTTTCATATATATATCAGTTATTACACAATTAAAAATTACACCGAGTCGTATAAATATATCTGTAGCGGGGCGCTTTCCTCCGCCATTTTATCGTCTCCGATAAAACGAGAGATGTTTGTGGTAAAGAGGGACCCCCCAAAGCTGCACCGAAATGGCCAGGTTTGTGACATAACTTAATCACCGTAATTACAATTCTCTCCTAATTATTTCATGGCTAAGTAATTCCCCATCGAACTTATCTCGTGTTTACTCAAGACAAATGAATATATTTTTGCTAAAAGAATTCGTGTTTAATATGTTGTGCGTAATGAAACAAAATGGCGAGATTTTAGCTAGTTCTTCTCAAGTACAAATCGGAGATAATAAACGATATTATACTGAAGTATCGATTTTGTGTAGCAGGCGGTACATAAATAGTTGTCGACTGTACGTAACGTAAACTGTATATTTGGGTGGTTATCATCCAATTTGACGATTTTTGTTTGATATCATAAATGCAAACAAATATATATCAGTAAGGTTCGAATCCCATGGGAGATGATAAAAAAATTCCGACAAGAGCCAGTGGTGGGTTCTGTATCTGATGTTCGCTGAATAAACCAGAGAGTATGCAAATTTTTCGTTAATAGACATTCTGAACGCCAAACCAACGCGTGAACCCAAGAGTTAGTTTTCAAGATATAGGGTATAAACTGGGAATTCCTTTTTGAGATAGTGGTATTTCATAAAATACTGATAATTTCATAGCTTACTTAACCTTATATTTTTTGCAGATAATTGTATATTGCAGACGGAGAGCCCAAGGGCAACCACACAAAGGGGTGAGTCCGTTGATTTGCCTCTTTCGCCCACAATGGGAGAATTTGATCCTGACTTGTTGCACCCATTTTATCCTGATTGCGAAAAAATTGCGGACAGGACAATGGGGCAAGGAATTTCCAGCGTAAACTTGAGTGGAGATCCATTTTCACCAGAAATGCTGTCTCCTTCCAGTAACCCCAGCTTCAGTGGGAGGAACGATTCATCAATGTCCATGCGGTACCCTCGGCAATGCGAGGAAAGAGTCGCAGAAAATATTGGATTAAATTGTGATATAGTAACAGGATCGAATGAACAATCTGGTTTCACTGTTCGGAGGCATTCACAACACGCCCACGTTGGCAGAACAGGAAGGCGTTTCCTGTCTTCCGAAACAATAGGTTCCAGCTCGAGTTGCAGTCATAACTATATAGCAAATGTACACAAGCAGGGAGCTGTACTTGTGGACCATAACCTCGATGACGCGAGACGAGAGAATAGCGCCGTATTTTCGGCTTCCGCTAAAACGGGCGAAGAAGATCGACGAACTCTCAGAGACAATAGTTCGTCGACATTCGAGAGTGTGTTGAAAAGTGTCGTATCGTCTGGCGTTTCTTGTGAGTTAGATACGGCCATATCTGCAACTCGTTCGCGTCGAGGAAGCGCTAATATTCAGTCAAGTGATATATTTACTAACAAAATATCACCAAAAAGCCGTATATCAAACTATTCTTCTTGTCGATTGAACGTGCCACATGACGAATTTTTATCCTGTGATATAAGCGTAGACGAGAAAGTGTCTAATCAGCGCGTCGATGCGAGCCTACCGATGACAAAGAATTACGCATCGCATAAATCTAGCGCGTGTTTGTTAGAAGAAGAGTGGAAGCGGAAGTCAGAATATGGCAGTGCTGATCCAGCAATGCACGAAGCCAGTTTCGGACAAGCGAGTGACGTACAGTCGTTGATTTATTCAGCTAATATCGGTAAAACTTACTCAGCCTCGGGCAGTATATCAGATAGAATTGTTGGCACAACTGAAAAGGTTCGTTTTGACTCAGCATCTAATCGGGCAAGCAGACTACCTGTTGGGACGAAAATAAACTTAAGTCATGACGATAGAAGTACTGCTGCCTCCTACGATGTTGGCACATCATATTTGCCTGTTCAGACACTGACGCGTAAGGCCAATTGTGCACAAGGTGCTGGGCGGGAAAGGCAAGGTTTAGACAGGCCCAGTGAAAAAATTGCCGTAAGCAGTTCTTATTCCAATGCCCATGATTCCTCTGGGGAAGACAATAATAAACCTGTTAATTTATGTTTACTTCAGGAAAAACGTGAATATCAGTTAGGCCAAAAACAGTTTCCTTCTAAAGATACGAGAAATAGAGAATTCCGCAAATACACTAAATCTTTTTCAATTAGACCAAGACCTTACCAACATTCCAAACGATTAAACGAAAGTCAGTGTACTGTAGGCGCTGTTTCTCAAGATAAAAATCAAATATTCGATTTGGGATGCATCGACGATAAGTCAGACTGGAATAGAAAGGCAGGAATTTGTGACATGGGAGTAGAAAACAGAACTAATCTGGGAACCTATAACAAAGAACCATTCTTAGCTGGATTTGGACAAAGAAGTACGGCGGATTCAAATTTATCTTCACTATTTTCAACGAGCGGGTCGTCCCATATGATGGTACAGGACGAAGCTAAAACATACGCTGTTTTAAGTGGTCGTCACAACGAAGATCTCATGAATCCACACTCATTGCCAACAAAGGGGTCGTCGCAACAACAGCAATCTCTTTACCAGCAGTCACGCATTTCGCACTCCATCATAAATTATGCTGGCCCACAAGGTCACAGTCCCGATCTGAGGGCGACCGCAATGAGTCCTTCTCCTCCAGTACGCGACCATAGAGCGACTCCATCATCATCTCTTCCGGGCATCTTACCTTCGTCAACAGTGTTTTCAAATATTTTAGTTGGCCGTCAACAGCATATTTCTGTTAGTCCTTCCCGGCGAGAGGAGTATCATGCACACGATTCATTCCAAAGACATTACGAACATTTGTCCAACCCCTTTGAACCCGGAATTTCAGAATCTCGTCATTCTTTCCAGCCTCGCCATCCCTTATCACTTGATCACCATGCTGGAACTTCAACCTTCTCCCCTGTTCAAATATCCCCACAGGATCATCAACAAGTATTCTCATCTCATTCTGCATCGATAATGCCATATGGCGGTTCTCTTCAAATCGCCCAACACCAAGGATATCTGAAGCCTCCACCCGTGCATTTGGACGATGTGAGTTTTTTTTAATGTTTTCTAAGGTAAACACCACAAACATTGATTCACATAGCACAAAAACTAATTGCTGTCATATGAATTGCAATTTCATAGGTATTACCTAATTTATGGGGATCTCACCAAGTTGCTATACTAACTAATATTGTGGTGTTTAGTTTTATTTCATGTTTAGTTCGAGCGAGTTATATTCAGTTAGCCTAGTATGGCACAAAAACGCGAGCAAAATTGTGTTCAGCGCCAATACAATTACGCATTAATTACAGTCAAATTCACGATTGTCTGTTCCAGTCAATAGGCGACGGCAATTTCTCCCCAGTAGATAGTTTTTCGTAGGATTTGTAGTGTCTGAAAATAATCTATTAATTCACTTTTATTAATAAATACAAGTAAAAGTTATGGAATGAGACTTTATAATTAGACTCGTGTCGTTATTAAAAATGCATAAAATGAAATTCATAATGACGATAGGCAATACAAACACTTTCCATCGAGGACCTTACTCAAGCGTGACATAAACAACCTATTTTACTCGATCTTCGACAAATCACTTGTTTACCAAACGCTTTGGTGATATCGGAATCAAACTTCGGTGACATCGAGTGGATCCAGTTATTTGAGAAGTATAACGAATGTGATTCATCGGTGTATAATAAAAGGAACAAACAACGCTGTTTTGATTCTAACCACACGTCAATGATTAAATAACCCCCTTACCTCGACGAAACTTGGTCACAGTAATTCACGAAAAGTGGTGCATATGATATAATAATAATAAGCGATCGGATTATTTCTCACGTAGAGATACCATGATATATCCAAAGATTTAATCAGGGTAGACTTGCTGATGACACAGAATTTGGCAAAAACAAGAATTAGCCATATATTTCAAACGTTGTTGTTTTTGTCAAGTTCACAATCATGACGATTATAGTTAAGCTTATATTTCTCCCCCGGCTACAATAACACTTCTCGCCGTCGGCAACCTGCGGATAGTAATTGACGTTTTGAAGCGCCTACCAAGCCTTGAAGATTTCCATTTCCACGATTTCTTATTGGAATTAAAATGAGTTCGAATAAAATGGGTTAACACACTTACAATTGAGCCTTGACGACGACAATTTTATATCGATCGAAAACAATTTTCCTACCATTGTATGAGAGTATTAAACCCGTGAAAACAAAAAATAAATTTTGATTTGTTTTCGTAAAAGAACAATTTTTGTTCGGCATACAAAAGTAATGCTGTCATCTGATATCAACATATGTGTGCCAACGGGTATACTCACCTTTGTTATTGTCAGCGCATCAAGAGCTCATTCATAGCTCGTGTTGTTTCAATTATGGTTTCGAGTTCGACGGGGTTCTTTATTTCTAATTTATATTTCAAATTTGCATGACTATGGAATGAAGTCAGAGATTTAATAAGATTGAATATAAATTCGAATAATATGACATCATAATGTGTCATTTTGCGCTTGTATGGAAGCGCTTTTTGGACGTACAAAATTGATAGGCTGAATTTATCTCGGAAGCTGCTATTAATGTAAATCGAAACAATATGTTGTGGTGAAATGACATAATACGAAAAGTTTTTGCCTGAGAGATATTTCGCAATCAATAGTAACCTTTTCTCATTGTGTTAATATGTTATAGTTTCCTATATAATATTCAAATTTCTAATCCAATATCAGCTGGAAATATTCAATCAGTTAACCCGATTATATGCAAGCATTTCATTTTCACTCTCTGTTGACCTATCCCCAATCTAAATGAAGGAAGAGGATGGCCATACTATTTCCGGGAAGTATATCAAAAGCAAGCGCCTGTGATAGATATATCGCATCGATACCATATGGGGAGATACCCGATTAGTATTACACTTCAGTATTTTCGTTATAGAGGCGATGCATTTCATAAATATATATACTGTATGTAAAAATATAGCATAGCAACAAAAAAATGAAATACGAGCTTCGTGGTGAATGCGTTGTTTTGTGGATAGCATAGTTTTCGCAAATATTTTCATTTGTTTCAGTAGGTTACTCAAATTGAATAGACACCGTGCATATCCTTATTTTGGAAATCACCGGCACTGACATGCTTGTTTGGTGACTAATCTATGGCTTGCAGGCTTCTCATCCTTCCGATCCATTCCTATCGCTGACTATTAAACAATAGAATCGCCATACACCAATGTATATAACTACGTCTCATGCGCTCGGATATTTGCATACTTCGCACATATATTATTGTATTTATATAAGCCATGAATACTTTATAGTATTCAGAACAATTTATGGAAAAATGATTCAAACGTGGCTTGCTGATAGATTTTTTATAAAAATATACACTACCAACGTTTTTCTCATTCTTTTTTATGATGTGTATTTCATACCTACACTCCAAGAAGGGCTCATGACAAGCACTGTTTCATAATGGGCTAATATCTCTGCAAATACGTAACCATTCCGCATCGGCATTGCCTGCAGTTGCAAAATGTGCAAGTTTCAGTGCTTTTTTGCCACTCCACTTTTAGGCTTACTGATAGTTTAATAAAACTTATGTGGGATTTTCTACCAAGAAATGTACTTATAAAGTGGAACCAAGAATGCTTGAGTTAATGCTCACAATCACAAAGATTCACAAGCTTTTCAACACACTAACATATGTAATTACTTTCATTATATTCAACAATTATGGTTTTAGATGTCTGACGAAGAACGTGAGCGGATGCGAGTAAAAAGAGAGCGAAATAGAGTTGCCGCAGCCAAATGCAGGAACAGGAGAAGAGAGTTGCTTGAACGTTTGGAAAAGGTAAACAAACGCATTGCTTTTTCTTTCAGCTTAATATTACTGTAAATAAAGCATTGATTTGATTTCATTAATAGGTCAGTATTTAAATCGTAAGATTACTTCAATTTTCTATCGTGTCCGATTTTAAGATATCGCTGAAACATTCAAAAAGTCCATTTTCCGTTGTTTTGCTTTATTCGATCCAAATCCATTAAACGGCTCCTGAAACTGTTATTTAATCTTAACTAATCGTACAAAAATTAGAAACAGTGATATTTAATATATGGTCGCAAGAATGATAAACAACATTTCATGATGATTCATAGGCCAGTTTTAATCTCAAGAAATAATGATGCTTGAAGCTATTCATGCCAGATATTTATAACATGATATACGCATTCATGTATCACGAATATACCACACGAACGATATAATGTAAAAATAAACAGGTGGTCAAAATAATGAGAAAATTAAATAGTATAATTTAAAAATAAATAAATTTGTTGATTAAAATTTACGGTGGGTGATGCAAGATCTGGAATTTTCTGTGTTGTGATTGACTCAGCGATGTCCAAAACGAATCGAATATTCGATTTCATTCGAAATTCATTATAATCGATTTCGGGAATGATTCAGAATATTTTTATTCAGAATTTGAGAATTTTAAGCGTCAAAAAAGCAGATCAAAACATACAATATCTCAAGTGAAAACAACACAGGGGAAACCTATGGCCTTTATGTTTGTGTCGTTTTTAATGTGTTTAGCATGAAGATTTAGTGATTTATGTAATTTTCCACGTGAACTTGCTTCCAATTTAGATTGTATTCGAAAATATTTTTTCAGAATGTTTTCGGAATTGTGAAATATTTGGGCTTGGCCATCCAAGAATCGTATTAGTATCAATAGCGTACCCATAACTAAAGTAGGCCTTTATATACGGAAGAGTTGCATTCTTGTCCTACATCAAATGCATACAAAAGTATCCGTCAATTATTTCTTTGAATGTAGTTGTCTAATCCAATGCAGTTCATTAGGTCCTTTAATCTTCGATTGGCAGTAACTACTAGCATTTCGTTCTCTATTATGTCCCATAAACTTTGCCATAAATTTATGCGTCTTACGCGGGAATGGTACAAATTTGCTAATATATAAATAAATTGCAACAGAAACTAAATTTATTATAGAACCGAATATAAAAATTGAGTTACGGCAGATACTATTATTCTATGTCGTCAAAAAATTTCAAGATGATTTGATGCAAAGATTGTTATCCCACTTGAATAGATATGCTTCTGCTGTTATAGACTGAAAATATAGGTTTTCGAAACACTATGTTAAGCAAATTAGTCAAATTATCAACACTGATTCGAAACCCATTTGAATTATGTATTTTCGATACTCAACCTTTCAGCATAACATTCATTCAGATTTTGAAATCTGGAATGAGTTCCTAATGCAAAGGTGAACTTAATAATATGCAGGATGTGCGTCATGAATGAGGGACATGGCTGTTGAGACAAATGGGAGTTTGCTCAATTCGGGTTCCGAAATCTGCTTGTCTTACTGTTTGCTCGTACCTTGCGCTACCATTACAGAATGACAAATATTGTGCTTAGCATATCTTGCAAGTCTCGAATTCGAATTTTGATTGACGACTTATTTACTATGTAAGTCAAAATATCGTATTAGAGATATATTTTTGATACATTTGGAGAAAAGTGGTTTTGTAATTTCAGTCTTATTGAGCATAGTGAAACTATGCTTCTGAAGTCTTTGTTTCCATTTTTGCAAATCAAATGACTCGTTTCTTCTGTGCGAGAATACCTTTGAACTAAGCAAACGTGTAACAATACGGAAACAATTCTTCTTGTCGGCCATTGCCGCCCGCCATTTATTATGACGTCATAAAAGTTAAATATAACCTATCTGAAGTGTATTCGGGTTGGATATGTCACCACCTTTAGACGATTTTTGATTTTAACAACACCCGTGTTGTGAGGTTGTTCGCTTTCGAACCGCTTTGGAAAAGCGTTGTGCCACCCAAGTGTGATGCGCCGTTGTTTCATCCTCGCCAGAACTCGGTTTCCTACCGACGAACACAACGAGCTTTGAAGCTGGGCGGGGAATACCAATGTTATGAGAAAATTCCTTTTGTCCACGAAAACACAGTCCGTTTCTTAACCCTTAGTCATCACGACACAATTAACGACACATAAGAACACTTCACATCTCGTCAAAACGACAGGGAAAATGTGGGATGCTCAGACGACCTGTACTGTTGTTTTTAGACTGTGAAACGTTTTCTAACTCTGTAACAGCATATGTTTGAAAGGACCACACAAGACCTCGTTTTAAAAAGTAGAAGACACTTACATCGACGCGATTGTGATGATTTCATTCGAAAAATATAAGATAAACAACCTGTAATTTTGTGGCCCTATCAATTTCATGTAGTCGTTTCAAAGGAATTCATTCTTTGCATCTCGAAACTTTGTGACGGTAAAGAACTTCAACATTACTATTAATGCTTATATTCATGGTTTCTATGTAACTACGCAAATTAGGCGTTCCAATTTCACACCGTCTCCAAACAATCCATGGTATTTCGAATAATACTGTATTATTTACAAGTCCATAATATATGGTATGTTGTAAAAGTGTTTCAAGCTTTTCGATTTCCCATTATTCACTGAATGCCTCACGCAGAGGCACGTGAACTTTAATTCTACCTCGTTTCTGGAGCTGAATTTCTTTCTGATTTCATGTTGATGATGAAATTTTTAATTTTTATTATTTTTTTAACAAACGTACTGAGGTTTTGTCGAGGTTAAATAATGTCTTTATACGCACTCGAATTATAGTGATTCTGTGACATTGTAAGACACATTTCGAACGAAATTGTTATTTTTATGCATAATGTAATTGACTGAATTTGCAATAGATTCCCAACGATAAGGCTTGTAGTTAGCCTATAGATATTTGCAATAAATGGTGATGTTTCGCGGAAACAGAGGTATTCTCAAAAATACCGATTTTACAGCCTCTTAGATTTTTTGTTCTTAATTCGGTATAGTTGCCGACTTATGATACGATACAACCCTTCCTTTACTTATTTTAGAAATTTTCATTCCTACTTTACTACCCACAGATTATTTGAGAATGATACGGGCGACTCGCACTTAGGCTTTTGTACGGATAAAACAGTTTATAATGTGCCCATAAGTACGTATTAAAATAATACAAAATAAGTCAAAAATATTAATAATATAACAAGCACATTCAATGCAGAATATCATCCCCTATCTCCTATAATAATAAAAACCCTCCCAGGGGAGTACTCCCTTCAAAGTTGGGAAACGGTGGTCCACACCATAACAAAGATAATGATATGTATGACTGTAAACGCTCTTATTTATAGATAACTTAACTTATTCGAGGTACCTATTTTAGGATATGTACAGAAAGAGTTAGGATCCACGTTACTCCTAAATAATCACGCAAATATAAGTCAACCAAATAACGATAATTTACCTCATCGCGAAAAATATGTAAAGAATGTTGGGAATGGTCTTGACGGTGCGTTTAATAACCGTGTACCGTGAATGCCAATAATCGAAGTTAGGAAAAATGGCTTCCTTCGAATATACTATTTAATTTGCGGTTAAAACTACATGATAACGAGACGCCAATGTCATCGTTACGCTTTCGGGTCAATAGAAGTTTCTTCAATGCGATATGGGAGAAATTCCGAAATGTCGCATCACCTCCTTGCCGATCGATATCGCTTAGCTGAACTGCGTCTTGGCCGGTGTGCATGTTCGGAGTGCAAGCTATTACGAAATTGACATTTTCGTAGCAGGTCAGCTTCATTGGGCTTATGTAAATTCCATCTTCTGTGATATATCGTAAGTGAAATTCGAAATTGATTGCGTGGGTGAGGTTTGATATTTCAAATGTCGAAAATGATAACCATCTAATTGCGAAGTCAGGTCATGTGCAATATTACTCTTCGAAAAGCCGTGAAATTTGGCAGGCATTGCAGAGCACGACCGCCCTCATTAGTGGTTGCCATTATGTATAAATTATACTCAAAACGTATATCCCTGCGCACAGTGAATTTACGATAAAAATTACACTTTACATAACCGCAACCCAGCTGGGACAAAACGCGGAACCTCACTTGTTTATAAAAAATTATAGTGATCTTGCAACAAAAATTTGAAATATATAATTCATAGCCGATATAACAGATCAAAATATACATTTGAAATCTGCGCATTATGAATTCTACTAACAACAAAGTTTCCAGAGCGTGGTGGAGTTGGAGTCGACTCCATACTGTAAAAAACTTTGACTTCAACTCCAGCAACGACTCTAGATTAATGGGAATTGGGACTTACGAGGAAAGAAATTAAATTTTGATAATAAAAACTTTGGCGTTTGCAAGCCTTCTTTTAAAGATTGTTGAGAACGCTCAGACAAACTTATTTATTTTCTGCAGGAAATTTTCGATTTCAATTAGTACTATTAAAAATAAGACTCCGAATCCGCACACATTCCAAACTCTGAACCCTTACTCCGAGGATTTCAGTCTACAAGGAGACAATTTTCGCGATATACAACATCAATTGAATCGACCATTCAGGACATTTGACCTTCTAATGCCGCCACTTTTCTATGGCTATATTTCTTAACATCCTTCTTTTTTCGGTGTGGCTTTCTGTCACGCCTATTACTTTTCCCGCGTGTCAGACATCATTTCTATTTTAAACATACAATGTCGCAAACCTTCCTCTAAAGTTCAAATGACCGTATCTGTAAATTCTGTCACTGACCGCCGTGTTTTAAAATTCACCGTACTTTTTCATCCTAATAATTTAAATATTGGATATAACAACATGTGTGTATTAATATGTAGCTTTTATTACACTTGTGTTTGCTTATAACTACTGCACATGTCAATTTGCTCTGGTATGTGAATCCGTATGTACCGACAGCAATGATATTCCAGCTAGAATCAAAGCATTTATATTCTATATCTTGGGTATTCATTGAGAAGTTTTTTTGTAGTTTGCAATTTCCATGTGTAAAATTAATTTGTCGAATTTGCTCATTAACTCAAATCAGAATTCTGTAACTCTAAATATTCAAACGAATCCTATTTTTCAATGCAAATAACTGGATTAGAATCAATTGGGCATGAATGAAATTGGATTTCTGCAGAATTAGAAACTGCAGAGATTCATTATCTAAGACTAAGTTATGCGATCCATTTTTCAACAATTTGTCATTCAATTTTCTTAACTGAGTTACGGTATGTCGATGTAATAGCTATAAACTAATATAAACCTCATTGTTTGTTTATGTAAATTTGTCCGCACGAGTTAAAAAACGTGGATTCATACAGTACTGGTCGTGATGATGCTCATGACCGAATATTTTGGTAGTTTATATTTTTTTGTAACGGGTGCATCGAAATGATATCAGACTCATAATTGCAGTAATAATTACTTAAATTGAGACAGTTTTGACAAAATTCCCAGAAAACTTAGTTTCAGTTATAAACAATGGACCTTTCCGCGACCTTTAACCCTCGAAAAATTCTTCCTATAATTTACCATTGCAAAATTTTCGGGGCTATTTTAAGAGTGCTTTTGCGAGTTGGCGCCTGTAAAATGGGGTATGTGTTTCAAACCATCATTATAATTTATCGCATACAACAATCTGTTTTTTGAAAGTACCGGTAAATAATTTTAGCCTAGTCTATCATAGCTATTTCTACACCAATTTTTTATTACTGTAATTAAATTAAAACTCCTAGGAAGAGTGATCATTGAATTACCTGATTTAAATTTCCGAAACACAACTGAAAACTAACGAATAGAGTTCAAAAACGCGAAAACGAGGTAATGCTTACGTCACAGTGGTTTGCAAACTTGATGTACTCGCGGCTCGCGGGCCGCATATACACATTTCCGGTAGCGTGCGGGCGCATTAATTTCTGCCTGCGAACAATCGCCGGATTAAACCTATAATTATGGCGCACCCGCACCTTCTATTTCTGTGTTACAATGAGACGTTCATGTTGCCTTTTTAAAATATATATATTATAAAACAATACATTGTTTTTATTTATTTAAACTTGATGTTTTTCTGTGCCATGGCCAAAGCCTTGGTATCAAATGACAACCTTGTTTCCCCACACTACGTCTTCCAAAATCCAAATGACAATTTGACAGGCGAGTACGAAATTTATTGTGAGTGCAATACATTTCATAAAAAGCTGCTCACAGCAATATATATGTGACGTACACATTATACGTTTTGCACTGGCGCAACCTGGGGTCCCGGGGTCAAATTTCTTATTTGTAGTGACATGTTCTGTAATGACGTTTAAAATTTAATGCCTAAATAACTGCGATTATGACTTGGCATATCAAGCAAACCGTTTTCAAAATACGCAAGAAAGCAAAATATTTTCGTTCAAGCACTTCGGAATGTTCGACGCTCAACGCGAACTTCTTCGTTCCCGGAAAGAAAAAAATTCCCATTTTTATATTTTAAATATCAAAATAAACTTATTTCAAAATTATAACCAACATCAAGTAAACGACATACAACCCAGAACTGACGCTACAGAAAAGCGCCGTACAACTGGATTCGTTACCGAGCAAATCCATAAGGAGACAACGATAAATTTGTAATCAATTTTTGTATTATGCATTTAAATTAAAAAAAATTAGTTCGCGGGCCGCATTTGGCCAGCGGGCCGCAGTTTGCCGACCCCTGGTTTACGACTACGCTTGAAAATCTGTCTGAGTGGGAAAAGTGTCTGACCGAGTGCGAAAAGGAAGCATTGTTACGTCACTTTTTGCATCTTGCTGATTGGCCAATGTCACGATGTAAACAAGGAAGTCGATGCTAGGGGAAAGGTCCATTGGTTCATGTTTAAACTAATTTTTTTGCCATGTAACTGTTAAAAGTTTTTGTTTTTCGTAACATTGTTACTCTTAGTCATCGATAGTCATTCGCAGAAATGTATACTAATTTACTTAATACGAACGCCAATCTTACAATTGTTACACTGCCTGAATTAGTTTTACTTTTGGGTCTGAACTATTTATTTCGGTTTTGAGAATGTACTTTCGGGTGTGTTTTGGGCTGGTTTAGGTAGTAAATCCTGTTTAAATTACAAAGTTAGGTTATAATCGTTTTGAAATAAGTTGAATCGTGTATGTATGTTCTACATATAACATCTCTTTTCCTTGGGCGACCAATGAATCAAATCACAACAAAATATAATTTATGTAATATGCATAGTATTATACAATACATCATATTGAATATAACATCTCATGACATATAAGTCACATGCTGTTTATTTAAATCCACGTCATACGACTTTAGGTAAAGTTGCGTGATAACTTATACAAGAATACTGTTTTTGTAATGAAGTTAAACATTTGAATTTTTCATTTTTTGCTTATGTGAAGCTTAGCATAATTAAACAGAAGCCTTACATAAAAAAAATTGATAAATTTAACTTTTTAATTTCATAAGGCTACTCAGATCACTTTTATCAAAACGACGACGAAACAAGTTATAGATAGTGTATGATATAAATGAGGTATCTCCCATTCATTGAAAAGTATTTTGTCAGCCATTTTTGATGAAATTAAAAAATTTTAACCCCTGAAACTGATAATGATGATCAGAGCTGTCAAGATTTAATTCAGTTCAAAATTAATAATTTATATTTATTTTGTGTTACAAAGGCCCCTATACAGTATTTGAATGCACTTCCATGTTTGAATACTTGCTCCAGTTTACTGTAAACGATGTTTCTACCTCAAATTCGAGCATTATTTCACTTTCTTTGGTTTAGGCATAAGTGGCCCACTGCTACATTAAGTTAAAATGCAACTTGTGAAGTTTAGAAAATTCAAACTTTAAACCCCCAACTGCTTTAAATGAACCATGTTACCAATTAATGGGGGATGGCCACAACACTGCTCGAATTCAGTGTTTTCGAGTCAATTGTCAAGCAATTTTGGTGATAGACTTATTCATTTCATATGTCAAATTTTAAATATCTACATATTAAAGGGTAACATCGTAATTTATTTTACTTGTAATACTATAAAAATGTCAAGCCATTGCCTTCAGCAATGTATATTAAAATGATATTTTGGCAATAATGTTGTGTATCTACATTATTTGGAATTATCACACATTGTATAAAATATATTGCTTTTGTGGCTTATGTCTGATTATGTTAGCCTCGGATTAAGGTTTCGGTCGCAATTTTAGTAGATCTTTTTGTGATAATACACTTAGTTAGTAAAAGACTATTTTTTCACTTCATTTATGTGGAATTCACCACATGTCACATGCTGCTTTCTTGCTCGTATTGACTTGTACTACTTTACTTCTCATGTAAATCTCTGCGTTTGCTAATGAGTTGTGCACCGACACAAATTCCTATATTGTCAGTAGCTTTTTGCAATGTAGCGGTAGCTACAACTTTAGCTCTAACAGGAGTCTATTTTCATTCTGATTGAGTCAGCGTGACCTTACATTTAACGAAATTCTCCTAAAATATGTTTGGTGGCATATATGCCATACAGCTTTTATGTTGTGATATAAGCTCATTATGAAAAAACATCTTACCGTAATCTTACACAAGATAAATCCCGTGTATTGCGTTATTTTTAAAAATTTTGAACGCTTTAGATATTTGAAGATATCGATGGGTTTCGATTTCATATAGGTATAAAACTTTAGTCAGATTCGAATTTGAATATAATATGACGCCATTTTATTGTCTCACACCGCATCACAGCGACCATCTATCGTTGCCTCGCTGGTATCGGTGGACATGGGTAATACTGTGAGGATTTCCATACAAACATGATAGAAATGTGTGTGTTGGAAATTCCAATGACCAATTTATGCAATAATGCAAATATCATGAGTCACTATTTTTTCTATTACGTTCAGGAAGCAGAGCAGTTGGAACGTGAACAGGAACTTTTGAGAGAAAACGTGCGTCGATTGCGGGTTCAGAAACTCCAGTTGGGTAACATGCTGGAGGAACACGAACCATCATGTCAAAAAACAATCAGCGAAGAAGAAATAAAAACCCTCGAGGAAAAAGAAAGAAATTCAAACGATGATCAGCTTAAGAGCGCATCGTCTGGTGGAATGGGTGAGATTTTTTTCACTGTATCGATTTTTCTGACGAAGTAATTCTTCCTGCCTGTCTCGGTCACCATTTCTTTAACAAGAACGATACTTTAATATTCATACTCCCGTACCACATTGTTTTATAGCAAAACACTCAAACGAAAAGTATACACAAGAGCTTTGCACATTGTTATCATAAAGCTTGAGTGGAAATGTACGATTTCGCACAAACGAATGCAGACATGGCTGCTATCCAAAGAGCCCCTCTTACTGTTTTTCATAATAATACACGCTTTTGCATATCAATTCCGTTCCATGAAGTCACATATGATGTTTTGGTCACAATAGATGAATCTAAAAATTTTCATTCGAAAGTCTCGAATGCCAGGTTATGAAAATCCTACAATTGAGTTATGTTTTGTTATTATGTAAAACTAGTCAGCTACCTAATTTGAATAGAGGCACAAACAGCATTGCATCACTGTTTGAAATCACGTTATAGTGTAACGATGAATCAAGGTGGTTTACCAACAGTATTACTCAGTGGCTGCCTACTCTTATTTTTGCATGTAATCGGATTTTCGGTTTTGTGCGATGATTATTGTCACACAAAGTTACAAACTCTATTATTTGATTATCATAAACTATTGTTCTTTTATTAAACAATGATGGAAATGCGCCAAAATGGAAACCATGGACTTTGTACAAATTCCCACATCGGCGGTTTATTCATACGCTATACGATTACCTATACAATGACTCAATTCTTCTGTAGGCTGTGTTTTCCGATAAGTAGATGGCAATTTACAGTCTGATATTAATTTTAATTGTTATTTATCAATTTTAATGTTAAACCAACATAAACCCAGTTTTGTTGGGAACTGCATGCAGAAGAAAGTTTTAGTGTAAAGATAATACATTTCTTAGACAATTTTCGAATTTTCTGATCAATTTGCAGTACCTCGGAGGCCTAACACCGAATATGTAGATAAACATTTCTATACTTGATTCCTTCATGCTGACAAAAAAAAATTTCACTACCAAAGTCAAGAACTTAGAAACTCAAAACTGTGTACTCCGATAACCAGAGAAATTAAGTTTAGCGCAAACTGACTTTCGTTTGTCATCCGGTTACTCGTACAGTCTTAGGGCTGAACATTATTTTTAATTTCATTGATTGCTTCGATTATTCGGTGCTCCTGAAGTATGCGCACCAAAATGTCGCATAACCTGAACCTTAACCTGGTACACATACTATGTTCAGGTTGTGCGCCATCTTGGTGCGCATACTTCAGGAGGTCCGATTATTCATTCTTCTATCTATCTGTAAGTGGCGAAAAATAGCAACACAGAACTCTAACGAAGCTCTGCGATTGAAACAATTTATCAGATTCTATTCATCTCGAAGCATTCTGCCTCAAATTCATTAGTTCCGAAATTGGGTATCCGTTATAGCCGAAGTGTTACCAGACATGGGTTAAACTTTTAAATTTAAAAAACGGTAATAATTCATCTTTTGACTGGAAATATGCAAAAAATGCTTCACGGGTTACGGTTCAGTTTTCAGTTCAAGCAGGCAAGGAATTTTTCTCTTCATGCATACTTATTTTGGTCAGTTTTACATTCAATTGGCTTTCTTTATTGCTACTTGTTATTACTTGTAAACAGAATCTAAAATTTCGGAATTTCGCTTGGCCAATGTTCAAATGAAACGTTTTGTGATATTTATTCATGCTTCTAAAATGAGTAAATAGTCTTTGTCTTTGTGGGCCAAGAGGGAATAGTGCTGCAACGGAAATGACGAAGCGTCGAGTCATATTATGCGTACCATTATAACAATGAGTATTAACAGCGTTGGTGTTATTTGATGTCATCCGTATTTTTGTACGAGAATTTGACTGTTTCATTTCGATTGTTTCATTCGATTAAAACAGGTTTGGAGGATAATTTTTTATGCGCCTTTTGAAATACAGATAATCAACTATAATGTGATCTAAGTTTGGAAAAAATCTTTTTAATCTATAATAAAAATAAATTAAATTGAAACAGAAAATTTAATATGAACATGTGCATTGATATCAGTACTAAACTACTGTAGGAAATCCATTTAGGAGCTGAAGGTTCGATAAAATAAGCAGGCCTAGATTGTCATGCAGGTAATTTGAACTTCAAGCACCAAGATTTGGTTAAAATTGATTACAACGAAAACTATAAACCTTGGTTCATATGCAGCAAGTCTGAAATAATTTTGATTATTAAATTAAAGTAGAAAATAGGGACTAGTAATATATAACAAATCATAATGCATGCAATATACAGTTATAAAATGTGAATCAAACTTGGTAAATTGTCGTGAAATTACTCAAGAATGGCTTTAGAATGAAGTAAAATAATGATTCTCTTAAAAACTTTTCCCCTTGTCCAAACAGCTTCTTCTATTTACCAAGTACTAGTACATTGCTTCTCCCCAAGGATGTCAAATGAAAAAAAGTAAGAGTTGGGATGAAATCATGGTGTTACATTATTAACTCATAGTGGTTTAATTTACAGATACCAATGAATCATCTGCGTCAAAAATTTCATCATCACCTCCCCAAGTAACAACTCAAGCATGAAGTTCACTCATACACGACAAGTTGAGTTTCATTGTTGGAATACATCTTTCGAAGTTAATATTGGTATCTAACCGTCCAATGTGAACAGGAAAACTCATGCACAATTTTTATCCATTGTTGTGATCGTGCACTTACCAATTTGATTTTCACCAAGATGTATGAGCACGCATCTCGGTTTTTGGAAGTGAGGACATAATATTACTTTTCTAAAGCAATGGGTCTCGATTTCTTCAGTGTGAGGAGGTGGCAAGGACCAAAGTTCACTGCATATTTGTATAATATTTTATTTCCTTTTCCCCAATTTTTATGGGTATCATGTCTGCTGGAATTTATTATAAAATTTCATTCAAGTGTCAGAATCATGAACGCAGTGCATCATATTTTGTGCGATTCTATGCAATCGAGAGTGAATATAGTCGTTCACTCTATTATCACAATGTTTTTTTTAAGTGAATTTCCTTTTCAAACCAGGAAATGGACTTAGCTGCTTGTTTTTCCTTGTGTCGCCACAGATCAGAGAATAGGAATGCTGTGGGTAAATTCTAACATTGTGATCATAAAATGTGGTCAAAAAGGAAACATATGTTAGTTTGAAATTTAGAAGGATTTGTCTTCGCAGTAAAATCATATAAATTCAACTCTGATCGAAAAATCGTTAAACAATGCAATTGCTGTTTTTCAATGCAAGTCTTACTTTCTATCAAGCGCAACTAATGTTTCGCGATTTAAGTAATAATTGAACTGACACAACTAATATTCAATATTTTTATTCGTCTAATATGTTTATTGCACTACAATTTTGCCTGTCGATAAAATTAAACATTATTCGTTTGAAAAACACTCATAATCGGTTTACTGGTTGACCATATTTACTCACACCAAGCTATAAGATTCGCCTGTTGTCATTGTTCGCAACGCAACACTGTGTAAGATTTGCCGCTTCAACAGCAGCTAAACACTGTTCTGCCTGGATTTTCTACCACTGATTTCGACACGATGGCGAATAGTAATATTTTCTCAACAACCTGTTGTTTACTAATTAATAAACACTACAGAGTTGTTGTTTTTTTCATTTGTGAGTGAGCTTTTGTGTATACATCCGGGTTACATACTCGAAAACAGGCGTTATTCCAAATTGAAAATTTCATATTTCATGGAGCTATTGATTTCTTGAGAATATTGTTCATGATTAGTTTGTTGTTACTTTTCAAACAATTGGGGTTAATTTGAAAACGAATTGATCTAACCGCGTAAAGGTAATTGTATTAACTTCAACAATAAAAATTGCCTCGTTCCAAGTTTAATATGTTCTTCGTTCAAATACTATCATCAAACCTATCGATTTTAAACCACTTGAAAATTCCTGAAATAGGGGGTTTTGCTACAAAATAGTTTCAGCTGTGTGAAGTATATTACCTTGTTATGTATAATAACAATAATAATATGATATTAGAAGGTAATGAATGATATAGATGAAAATTGACTCGATATTTTCTCCTGACATGATGCATGTGGAAATCAGTAATGATTTTATATCCACTCAATTTTTGACTCTGGTACTTGAGTTACTTTTGAAAGTATATAATGTAAAGAGCGTGTTCCATTCTCAGATCTTTCATTTTAATATATTTGAGCTTTGTAACCATTTTTCAGTATCTGATTATAATTTTTTTTATTAACTTGATTGCCACATTAATCGTGAAACTGTTCTAAGTATCGTTTTTGAATGAATGCCTGAGGGTAATTTGTTGGTTTGCACGTAGCTTTTCAACTAAATCTCATATTCCAACATATCTCAATTGACGCCATTTTATTTGGACGCAATGTTGTTATGGGAGACCATTTTGTTGTTTTTATTTTGGGAGACCATTTCAATTTATTGGGGATTAAATAATTCTAGATTTGATGCAACGATATCATTTTTACTTAGGATTTAAATAGAATAATTCATTTAACATTTCAAAAATGTTCTTGCGGGTTTGCGCAAATGGTCTTCCCTCAAATGACATTGTCGTATTTTTTCTCTATTTATTTTCATTTATTTATACCGTTTCACACTGAACTTTATGACAGCTCTACTGCAACTTAAGATAAGTTTTAACTTTGTATTTGTTTATTATTTGCTGTGGAATTTGATCGTACATACCTTGTAGCATTCGTTTTGTTGCTTTTGTGCAATACGGAGATTTTTTGCTTAATGATGTCAGTACACGGAGTAAAAATATTGTACTTTTTGTGTCTGTTGACCGCGAAAATCAGGGTAAAATGTTTTGTCAGGATTCAGTTAGTTCTCCGTGCCAAGTTTATAACAGAAGAAGCAAGTTCATATACCGTGCATGGATAAAAGCACAAATTTTCTAAATGAGTTGCGAACAATATGCAGACGTTCGCTGGCATATTAAGGAGGGGAACTTTTTAGCTTTCCTCAAACTTTTTTGCCCCGGAACACCTATACGCTTTTCATCTCGGCTCGCGGTGCAATAAGAAATTAGAAGGTAAAATCGATAATAGAAAAATTGTGTAATGGAATTACTTCATGCATCAACTTGCACAACCCGCTTATCACGAGATCTTTTGTGGCTTCCATTTTTAAGGCAATAATCCATTGAGATTGGTGGTTTCCAAAAAAATTAGCTTATGGTAAAATTGAAAAGTTTACTGTAAACCGGACGATTTAAATAATTAGGCCGAAATTTAACGATATTGAACGGTTAACGAACATGTCACGATTTTCAGACTGGCACGAAGCCTTTTCACCTGTTTGATAACAAGGCCTGTCCGGATGTGTTTCGTCAGTTGGAGACAAATTCACGACCTAGAGGCGTCGAAGTACGGTCGAGATTGCCATGACGACTAATTTAGTTGCAATTTTGATACCTGCCCCGCGGATCACTCTGAAGAGGTTCGCGGAACAAGAGGTTGGAAAACGCTGCTTTAATCCGCCATTCATTGCGCTCAGTCCCACCGTTTGTTATACTTGAATGGCGCGTTTAAGTCATTAATAAATAATGCTTCCTAAATTTTGTAACCATTTCAGCAATATTATTTGTTCCACGTTTCTACGCGGCTTAGAAATTCTTACTCCTCAAACTTATAAATTTGCAGATTTTCTCCCACTTGAAGTAACTTAGCAGATGGTTACCGATAAAAGTGATTCTGAAAGATACTTCGAAATTAATCCCAGCTTTGTTGTCAAGCCGTTTACAGTGAACAACGAATGGAAACAAGACGCAGAGCAATCAAATCTAAAAAGCTCTCTCGAAAACCACGGGCGTATGGCAAATTTAGTTCCGTGTAGCATCTATCACAGGCATGGCGAACCTGTTGCAATGAGCGAGTTAACAATTATATTTGTATTATTGAAAAGAAGACAGTGAGTCATAGATATTTAATCAATGTCTGTATCAATTAGAAACTTTCTGTTGCATTTTTCCACAAGTCGTGTTATCTTCGGTTGGTATACATAGTTTTGAGCTTAGCATATACTTATATCAGGACTAAAATTATTTCTGGTACTCGATTTTGCAAAAAGCACGGATTCGCGTGTACGAGATTATCGACAACAGTTTTTATTGCTATGCCAAATCTTTTCATGGTTTCGAGAGTTTGGAAAGTAATTCCATTCTAAGATAATCATATTTTTCGATTCGCTTTTTTGCTCGAATTTTTGTTCCAGATTGCTATAGTTGTTAATTTAAGTTCAGATACTTTTGTTTTCCGAGCGACATTGTATGTACTGCAAAGTACCACCTTGTTCTCGTGTACCCAAAAAACATTAGATATCCTCCATTTAATTCCAGTAACTCCGGAAGAGAAGAACTGTAACAAGATGAGTTGCGAGAGATGAACGGATCAATTGTATTGTTATGTCATAAACGTTGTAACAGCATCGATGCAGACCAGACACCAGAGATGAGCGGAGTCAAAATTTGCAGGGTCCAAATCCGTTCTCATCTGAAATCAAAATCGAATCGGAGTCCGACTTCGAGTGAACTGTTGACAAATCTATTTTTGACATATTTTAGCGTTTACAGCAGCATGTTCTGTACTGATGGATTTTATGTTTACGACTCCCGAATCTAAACCCTACGAAAGCCATGCATTTTCGTGTTTACTAAAGTCACATTGAAACATTTCTGAAACTTAAACTACAGGGCGCTTATGAATTATAAAATTCACACTACGAATGCATCTAAATATTGCAAAGTCAGCGTACTACGCACACATTATTATACTCTACAATAAAACTGCATAAATACATTTCTAGATCAAGCATCACTTACGTAATCAGGTTTACTACCAGCAAATTAAAACACTGCGAAAATTATGTAATACTCAAACGGCATTGAAACATAGCTATACTGAAATTATGTGGCATTTCTGCATTATAGGCAAGGATGTCAACGAGATTCAAAATTAGTAATAGTCCTTATTTTGGACTCTTCATTTTAGGAATAGTTCAGAAAAATTCATATTTAGAGTAATTGATGTCTCGCAGCCATGCATTCATTCAATGAGAATAGTATATATATCCTAAAAACTAGAACGAAAAAATAAATAACAAACAAACCAAATCACCGCATCAATTAACTTTATGCATTTTCAAAATCAAACTAACAAAATGAAACACAGTTACGTTTAATGATTATCGTACCGGTACTTTAAGTCTGTTCAAATTATGTCTGTACCACTGTAGCGTACTACAAACACGTAAGTACCTAAACAGTAATTTTGAAGTGATATTGAATTGGCTTGGAGGAAACATTACCTACTTAGTTGGTATTCCTGGCAACGGAAAATATTCACTTCCAGTTTGTCGAAAACCCAGAGTCCTGTTTTTTGGAGTCTTGAATCCCGTTGTTACTCAGCACAACTGCATAACAGTATATTGCAGCAGTTCGCCTATTGTTATATTGTATTAAGGCCGGTTTTAAAATGTTAAAATATATTTTGCCTTAATTCGTGACTTGACGGGTCACCGAAAAAAAACGCGATGGGTCACAAGGACCCTCGGATCGGTTGTTCTTCACCCATGTCCACGTTTGCACGAACAGCGAATATAATGTATATCTATATCAGGGGTGTGCAACAAGCGCCCGTCAGGCCATTTAGTGTGGCCAGTGTCAACATTCCCCATCGAGCATAAAATCCTGAACAGACAGTTTATGTTTGAAAAGGCGCTCACATGGTTGAAAATACATGTTTTTTTGCTCCTGTCGCTGTGTCAAATGTTTCGCCGTTTTGTACATTGCCTTTGTTACTGTAATTTCAATTTTTTAACTCGTTTTATTATTCAATTCATTTCGAATATTTTATTCGTTGTGTACATGAAAAAACTAAAATTTTTGTATGGTCCAGCTAGATGTATGTTTTAAGTTGGTTATATGACCCACCGACAAAAAATGTTGTACACCCCTGCTGTATATCATGATGGCATATCACATATCTCTTTAGCGCCACACTTCGAGAACATTTCTCCTTACCATGAACTGAAAATATATCAGGTGGCAGGCATACAATTACAACTTATGCTACCAGATTTTGATCCTCAATCCCGTCGTATTTATATTTTTTATTACGGATGCTATGTGCAAGCGACTCAACCGTTTTTATATACTTGTATTTTCACAATGTAGATCAAGTCTAACCGGTAAATAACTAATTTAAAAGAACTAATACAAGGACAAGAAATGGAGCTTCACAAAATGAAATTTTGAATCTTCAGTTACTGGTTTAGTCTATTTTAACAGGAATGACCAGCCCTTACTAAAGCATAACATTAGAATTAGACCTTTTCATGAAACGCCCACCTAGTGGTTCTTGTGTGTATGCTTTGTGCTTAAAAACCTTCGAATCATTTCATATGAATGGCGACGACTCACAGTAGTGTTCGTGTTATTAATAGTACCCACGATGAGCTACGATGCGAAAGTCATGTGTTGTATCAACTGACGTCGCCTCTTGTCAATGGTCTTTTGTTGGGCTTCATTCTAACAGAGGAAATCTAAACAAGATTTTAAAGAATTTATATTTCCGCATTGTTGCTTCCGTACAATAAGAACAATGACGTGTTATCGACCAACGATTTACAGCGATATACAATGACTGACATCAGGAAAGCAACAATATTAAATTTCTATTTACAAGTTTCATTAGAAGTCGCTTACTCGCAAAATATTTTGTACCGTTGCGTGTTTGGTAGAGTAGTTTAGTTAGACCCGTATATATCCACTTTAGAGATGTGTTTTTTAGGTATAGATGTCTACCATGGTTCATACCATATACATATGTAGCTATAATATTGCCGTACGGAACAGTTTATTATTTTCGATAAGATGGCTAAGATTAGTGCTAAGACTGACTAATCTGACAAAATTATTGTGACAAGATAACGGATATGCAAGCTTGATATTTCGGTCCAGTGGTATGAGCAGAAGTTTGTTTGAGGGAGGCATTTAATTGAAAATTGAAATTTGTGACGTCATAAGGGATGTCATTTAGTATTTTACGAAGAGGATTATGTATTGTGACAACACATTTTTAAACACATAATGACATCATGGTGAATTCCTACCCGCGGACCGAAATGGATAATGACGTCATAATACAATGGATGAAGGAATGAAAAGTGAGGTAATATTATAATTAGAGTAGGGAATTTTTATTGTAATGAGTTTTTTTAACACATAAATTACTGAAAACATAGAATCCATCACTCAGACAGTTTGCTGAGCGTTAACATGCAATAAAAAACGTTTTATCGATAACTCATTAGAAAGAAAAGAGTCATATGTCAGAATTGCATTGAAAAAACATGGCTTCAATAAAAAAAAGGGCGAATTGACGTTGACAAATCAATATTGTGGCAATTCGAAATTTTCGTTTAAACCGATTCGAATGATTTACTATTTGATCCGATTCGGAATGCCCAGTCCTAACTATACCACCCATGTGACAAACTATGGATTGTTTCATTATATCGTATTTTGGCCTCTGGATTCTACGTTGTCAGCGAAAGTTTGTAAACGGTACTTCTCATCTAACTTACATTTGTTTACACTTTAATTACTCATAACGCTTCGTTTGAAGTTTTGTATGTTTGTCAGTCTAGATACAATACTAATGATTGCCTGCTTTCAACATTTTATAGAACTATTCCATAAAAATGTCGTTACTTTGTGACTGGAAAGGGTTGCAATATCATTTTTGCATCAGATTTAAACTTACGGATAATTTGTTTCATTTAGTAATATTCCACACAAATTTCGGAGATCAATGGCATGTCTAAACCGCATCGTATTGTGTGTATTTTTCAATGCTTACCGCAGTTTTGTCAACACCTCAATTAATCGGATTTTCGAGCGTGTATACAGTGAATGTTCAATTGACTTTTTCCCTCTGTCGTCAGTAAGCCCACTGTGAAATGTTAAATTCTACAAGTTAATTCAAGTAATGTTATAAATCATTGTATGCACGTGTAACTGGATATAACATCGGAAGTTTTTCTTTTATGAAATATATGATTTATTATATGAATAAATTTGTCTAGTTTCCGAACATGGAGTATGCTTGGTCGATATTCGTAAGGATATTTGTACATTCTGTTGGCTATTTTATAAAAAAAACAGGATAGGATTTACACATTTTCCCAAAAAGTAAAGTTTTCTAGTCATTTTTGTCTCACTAATAGCTTGCCCAAAATGTTCGAGAAGCGCACACCTGCATTTTCTATGTTCCTGGCACTCGAAACTGAAAATAGTGTTAGTGAAATTCAAGTGAATGCGATAATACTCAAGTGCTTGTCTTGTTTGCATAAGCGTGAAATAATAACTTAGAATTCCAGGACACCGCGTCATGTGTGCATTGTACACTGTACATAGTGACGTACAAATTCAAATAGAACAATCTGATTTAACATATCTCAGTATTTTTCCTCGCAAAATATTGCTAATATTTGTTCATTCGCTTCACCGGTTCAAGGTTTCGTTTTAAAGAAGAAGTATGATCAATGGGACTCGTTTGTACAGTTTTGAAAGAAAGATTGAACCAACGCGTATCAGTATCGAATCGATTTTACCACTTGTTTACTCAGTAATGTACACAGAATTTTGCCAATATCATAGTGAAGCAAAGCAAATACTAACACTCAGCGTTCTGTTATGTGCGCAGACGGAGATGAGTACCGGAGGTGTATCCAAAGTCAAATAATCTATCGTATTGCCATTTTACCGTAAGGAAATTCGGAACATCAGAGTAAGAGTATAGTCAAGTAACCAAGATGATAATTTTAACTTTGCTCAGTTGAATTTGTAGGTTCCACGGAAAAGGGCGTGCAAAATATAGGGTGCTCTGCCACTTCGTAGTATAAAACATGTATTGTATAACAGTTTAACAGCTCATTGTCGTCTTTACCTTGTGTAAATACTGAAACGAAAGTAGATTATTTATCAAATTGTACTCCGCAGTATTTGAATGAAATGAATGAACTTTATATGCTCCAGGAAGCACTTCAACTAAAAGTATGACGTGAAATATCTCAGAATTATGTGTGCCTCCATCTTCCAAACTTCGCATAAAATGATTCATTAAAATATAACTAAGTATGTTATTTATAAAGTCTATACAGCAATGTGAAAGGTTCAAAATGAGTTTCTGCAAAAAGTTCCAAACTTCTCTTCACATTTTTATTATTCAATGAATATACAAGAAGTGGACATAAGGATCGATTTGGTTGATCTTTCTTGTTATTGTTAATATGATTGTTGTTGTTGGGAAGATATCGCTTTTTCGCTTCGATTCCGAATTATTAGAACTTCAAGATGGAAGAATTCGCTAGAAGGCTATTTTATTAATTTTGAAAACCTACGATTCTTATGATACCTGATATATTATTTCACCGAAATCGTGCTATTTCTGTTAAAGGGGAACACTTTCCATACTGCTCGACCGCTTCCGCATTGCTTGCCCCCGATTTTTGGAGTAACAAATTGCTCTCAGATCTCTTACCGTATTGATACTAATGCGCGACCTTCGCATCCATATGTTTGACATTGCTTTTTCATTACGTAAAACGATAATCATCATACATTTATTTGAATCATTTTCATATCTATCACGAACTCCCCTTTGTTTGCTGACACTTTCGGTTTGCTTTGCACCTGTTGAAGTTGGGCAAGAATTCTAAAGCTCATAATATAACGTGCCCTTTCGTGAAACAGGGATACAATATTCGTTACTAGCAACCGACAATGCCAAACAGGAGACTAATTATGGAGAATTCTAAGTCATGAAACTTTTGAATGAATCATTATCATCACGTGGTAATGAAAAACAGGTTAAAAAGAATATTTACCTAAATCGGTAAATATTAGTAATTTTGTACGGAATAGGTATGAGTCACTACTGAAACGCGTTTAGGCCACGAGCCTAATGTTGCTTATTCTTGATAAAGTAACTTGTGTTGGAATAATATTCTTGAATAGGCAGAGGTAATATTGCGATTATTTAGAACCCGACAGCTGATAGCGAGTGACAGAATAACGAAGCAACAGAGAAAGTAATAACGCTGCTATACCCCAGGTTAATGTAAATTCGGTGATTTCACAAATAAAAGTACTGGAAAATTTTGTCTTAAAAAATTTTTTCTGCTTGCGATTCCACTTTCCACATGATTAGTCATAGTGAGTAGAAGGATATTTTTTGTAGAATATAAAAATATTACAGTTACGTCTTTTTACTTCCGTAAGCATATCGTTTCACGTATTACGTACGTCTTCGGATGGGTCTTTATAACAATGATGTTGGATCGCTCTGTAAGTTTTTAGTTAAAATGGGATAATTCTTTCCATTCGATCGTTTTTAGAACTATTAATTCAAATCTGTAAATTATTGAAAGCAACGGGATTATTTACTTTCTTTTGGGTACTTGTGAAGCTTCGTAATTTTCATCTCGTAAATTAGCTCATCGACAAGCCAAGAGCGCCTTGCAAATATTGGATATTGTTATTTATAACTCCGTGTGTTGCTAGAAGTGAATTTGTATGGTTACGTTTCGTATTGTTGATTCCAACCAATACGCAAAATATGCATTTTCAATCTTTTTCAATGTCTTTCGGAATTGATGTCAATTTTAAATCAGTTAAAATAATGTGCTTTTACGGGAACTAATCCGCTTTTTGAAAAATTTGAAAGACGGTGTTGTAGTTTCCTAATTGTTACTGTACAGGCAGGAAAGTACTAGGAAAAACGTATTTATTAGTTCTAGATGGATAGGTATATCATGGGTTTCAGACGCACACGCACACTCAAGAGTTCCAAGTTCTGCCATCAAAGACTATACATACCAGAGCATGTAATCTTCAGAGACGAATAACTGACAATTAGGGTCATGATTTTCCCAAAATAATAGGTTTCTCAATGCTAAAATAATATCTTCTTTTGTATTTTTCAAGAATAATAGTACTCGAATGTGTGGCAAATAATTATGTTTCAAAGAGTGCAGAAGTGGGTCCGTGGGAAAGACAAAAAACTGTCTGAAGGTTCTGGTGTAAAGCATAGTAACAAAAAAGGACGACGTCCAAAATACAGTGGACAAAGCCAGGAGCGTACAGTTTCCTGCGACGGCGAACCGAGGAATGTAAATGGCTTCGAAGATGAATTTAAACCTCATGATATTGACGGATTTGATATTGTACCAACTACTATAGCCAGTAAGGATGAACAATCTAATTTACTCGGTGATAAAAATTTGCAACAAGAACCCTCAGTAAATTCTTCAAATCAGCAGTCCTCGGAAGATATATTTACCTCATTCACAAAAACTGAAATTCCTGAGGATAATTCAGACTCAAAATTACCAAACGGGGAAATCGAACCAAAAACTTTATTTGAGCAAAGCGAACAAATGGAGAACAATACAAATTCTAATTTGTCGATTGATGAGAAGGAAATTCTAGATATGTTTGATTCCATAGTTAATGACTTTGAAAACGAATCTGATACAGAAGAAAAATACGGAGGCGTGGATGAGGAAAATGAGGCTATAAATGGCATAGGTCACATTAACAATGTAGAAAACAACGAATCGGAAAGCAACGAATCACCAAATGTACAAAACTGGAAAATGACTGGACTAATTCGACAAAAATCATTACGATTTGTATCAAAGGAAGATATGTATTTGCCTTCACCAGAAAATGAAAGGCGAAATAATTCAACAACAGAAGTTCCTGAACTTCCACCGGCAGATTACCCTGTATCGGAAGACGATATTGACGGTAAGTTAGGGAATTCATAAAGTCATGCCAAGTGAAAGTAGCCTTAATGTGAGATAGTAAATTCTACATACATATTATATATAATATACACACGCGAAGTTATGTCGATGGCCTTTAATAGTGTGTATGTTTCAGTCATAAATCTCGTAATGCCCTTTATCATCACGCAAGAATTCGAATTCCTTGTAATACTGCGACGTATGTAGGTCAACCAAAGGTAAATAATCGTAAGTAAGCAATCGTATATTTATCTTGCATCAACAGGGTGAGGATGGGCCTTATGTTTCATTCCAATATCATATATATTACATATGACAACATGATTACTGGCGACCATGAGTTGTAGTTTCTTCAATTTTTTCAAAATATAGATCAAATCATGAGGCACTAGTCTAAAATTTTAAATGTAATTCCATATTGCTGGCTCCAAAGGTCTAACAATAGTGCGGAAAATATATATAATATTCTCAAGTATATGAACAGAAATGTCGCGCACTTGCGCATAAAGAAAATAAAAAAATTCGCAATCGGTGAAATACTATGCCCCATATGGGACTAAGAGAAAATGTAAAAAAATAAATAAAAGTATTAGCCCTCTGGCGAATCCGTCTTAAGCATTTTGTGTCCTATTAATTTAAAGGAATGCTACTATTGCGCATACTATTTTCAAGCAAAGAGCTGATTTGTGACAAAATGCGGATTACGCATTATAAGTTTTTTGTTCGACGTAACAATTTTAATGCCAGCTGTCAGCCTGTCATGCTGTTGATCACTTATTTCTGTGCATTTTTGTCTAATCTACAACTATTCAGTCTGTGGCCTTTCTGAATAAAGATTAGCGGCCTGGGTCATTTTTGGCAAAATTATCGTTTTAGATAAAACGATGAATCATTTTTCGTTTTTGCATAATCCTTATATTACAAATTGTTCAAGGTCGACGTTATATCCGGGAAGGTACCAAACTTTTCCAAGCATGGGCTTCAATATATTTGTGTAGCTAAACATAACATTTCATTATGGTCGTTTTCTCACTAGATACTTGAACCAAGTCATCAATCATTTCCTAAAACTATTGTTCAACAAGACGCAAACTTAGATCGATAGATTCTTTAAGAATAGGCTTACCGTATGCTATATATGAAACAAAAACACGGGACAATGCAGATTGGACAAAGCTTGGGTTAGATTTCAACGCTTAGTAATATTCAACTCATATGAATAATAGTAATATTCAAATCATTGAAAAACTTCCCTTCAGCATTTTGAATAATTTAACAGCAGTAAGGCTAACGTTAGATGTTAAATTGTTAATTAGACATATAATACCTATGGACCTTTCTCCGAGCATCGACTTCCTTGTTTACTTTGTGACATTGGCCAATCAGCAAGATGCAAAAGGTGACGTAACAATGTCCCCTTTTCGCATTCGCTCAGACACTTTTCTCACTCAGACAGATTTTCAAGCGCGGTTGTAAACATTACCTCGTTTTCGCGTTTTTGAACTCTATTCGTTAGTTTTCAGTTGTGTTTCGGAAACTTAAATATAAATCAGATAATTCAATGATCACTCTGTCTTCCTAGGAGTTTTAATTAAATTGCAGTAATAAAAATTAGTTTAGAAATAGCTGTGATAGACTAGCCTAAAATTCTTTACCGGTACTTTTAAAAAATAAATCGTAAATCGTAAATACAAGCGCCAACTCGCAAAAGCACTTCTAAAATAGTCTCGGAAATTTTGCAATGTATAGGAAGAATTTTCCGGGGGTTAAAGGTCGGGGAAAGGTCCATAACATATAGGACCCGGCTAAACCGGGACGTCTGGTAAGCCTATTGACAAAAACAACACCCTGAGCATAGCTGGAGAGCCTGGAACGTGGCTGCCAAATGAGCTGCGTTCAAATCAAAGCATGAGTGTCTAATGGGGGTCATATGAATAAAAAAAAAAAACAGTAAATTATTGAGCCGAGAAATTCACTAATTCCGCGTTTTATTTGTTGCAACAATACAACCAACCATTTGTAGGACTAAAAGCATGAAAAATATAGTTATATAACAATATAATTTGCTCAATAACATGGACGCAAAGGTCAGTCACCTGTAGACCCCAGCTGAGCATCGCATTTGCTGAAAAGATTATCACACAAGCATGACGAAACCACGAAAAGATTTTGAGATACGACCTATGCATTTAGTGTTAGGATTGTTACAATTATTTAGAATTTACCTCTTCAGTTTACTAACGATATTCGCAATCTTATGAGAGTTAAAATTGTTTTTCAGATGACGAAGAATCCGAACAATCTGACTCAGAAACTCTTGAAAAATCGAATGAAAAGTGTTTCAAAGAAACCATAACCAGTTTCTCATCACAGCCGTTAAAAAAAGAAATCCAAGAGTCCAATTTCAAAAAAACTGCTACGACCAATGTCACGAATCAGGGCACGGAACTGTCGGACTGTTCGCCGCGCACCAATGGTTATAAAGAAAATGCAGAAAAGTATAAGAATAGTTGGTCATCAGAATCTGAATCCTCTGAAAAGTACTTTTCGACATCACCAGATGTTCCAAGATCAGCACCTGCGCAACCGAGGCGCCCGCGTCCTCGCGTGACTTCGTTCAAATCAGCAGCACTTCCTAAACTAAGTTCCAAACCTGTTAATGACTTAGTAAAAAAGTTTGAAGACTATAAGACTGGAGACACATTTTAAGTACCAGAAACACGCCTCGGCAATGCAATATTCTGCAGTGGGCGTCACATCACATATCGGTATCACATACCGGTAGCGCACATCCATTTCAACAAGCGTGGGACATATAAACGGCCCTCGTGCGCGCACAGTGTTCTATCTGTTATATATTTTATCACCAAATGGAAAATAGACTCAATACACAATATTAAAAAAAACGTGCCGTAGGACATCGCAACTGATATGTCCACAAACGATCGGTTCCCACACGGTACAAAGCAATCAGGTGTGGAAATCGTTTATTGTACTTCTCACCTCGCTCTTTTTTGTTCGTAGTTGACGCACACTTTATCTATTGAATTTAAGTATGCCTGCCAGAAACATCCGATAAATATGCCCACTTAAAGTTTTTGGCATATGCAATCCCGAAAAACATGTTACACACAGCTAAAATGGTGTTTTTTGCAACTAGTTAACATGGTTTGCTGGTAGCTATATCATACCCATCAGTTGATAGATATGGACCGCGCAAGGTGACGTTTCACATTCCTTCAAGAAGAAAACGGTACATATTGGTTGTACACAATTTGCCCATAAAATGTATAATTGATAATATTTGCACGCAATAGATATGTACTTTTTTATTTTTCTATTTGACACATTAGATATATCATTTTATAAAGTAAATACAAAAGTTCAGTCCAAATAATCCATCCACTGGTCTTCCGCCCACTACTTTTTCTTCTTCCCTTTTTTACCCCCTTTCTTGCCGCCCTTTTTCCCACCTTTCTTTTTCTTTTTACTGAAAGGTCCAAGTTGTTTTCTGACCATCATAGCTCTCCACCATGACTGTACCTGAATAAACAAGTTTTTGAGACGCTAAATTCTTTGACAACATGTTTTATAAATATTACTTTAAGTTCTTGCCATGTGAGAGCCTCACCGCAAAGTATTCATCAGTTATAAGTAACAATAAAACATAAAAATAATCGGGAGATCTTACTGAGTATTTTTTGCTGCAGGCAAACTAGATTTCCCACAGTCGCCAACATGACTTATTAGACAGTTACTTTTACTTTTTTTCATTACGAGAAAATTTTGGTGACCGTACATTTGAACCCATGTACATTTGAACCCATGCGTATATCCACGGGTTCAATCTATATGCGGGTGCTAAAACCCATGGGTTAGGGTTAGTATGGGTTTAACTATCCGTGAAACAAAAAAAATTCCATAGGTGCAATAGCATACAGGTGCAATTGTCATGGGTTCAAATGTACGTGGGTTCAAATGTAATGGAACCGAAAATTTTACATGTAGGGGTAAAAGTTGTCCTCATTTAAGGATATATATAAAAATTCTATCCTATTGATTTATATGTGGATCTGCCCAGAAATCATTGCAACAAAAAGATGCAAGAGAATTGGTGGAAAAATTAATGGTACAGTTAGAAAACCAGACATCGATTTTTAACTTCTGATGATAAGTTATAAATGCCCATTGGAATTGATGAAATTATATTTGACAAAGGGGTGTTTTCAAATTTTACACACTGCACTATATGTTGTAATTATCACAATATATGTCTGATTTTCACATTATTTTTATATGCTTACATTTTGTGTCAATTGAAATTTTTTGTAAAATTAATTCCTTCTTTACTCAACGTCAAAGGTGCTACTTCAAGAAATACGATAGATAATATATATTACATATTTACAAAGTATTTTTAAGTTTAATCTATCTACTAGGTAGCAAGTACGGTAGGTCAGTCAGATCTAAAGTTAAGCAATTGGTGAGCATGTGAGTCTGTGACACCAGCCTCACCACAACTTATTGGAAACAAAGTTTACATATGGATCGTTTTGGTATTATGTTGTTGTTGTTAGAATTCTTTTTGTTGTTACCGGTAATATGAAAAAATTCCTTTTTCATTATTTTAAATGTGGGGTTGAATGTGTGGAACTGATTGTATGAGAGGTTTTTCTGAGCCAGTTGCCTATTCTGTAAATTCACTTCTGAGTACCCAGTTCGGTGTCGGGATGGTAATATGGTATGATAATTTTCAAAAGATGGAAAATTGATGTTGCGGATCGACCCTTTTGACCTCGCTTTAAATCTTCTGCATGCTTTTCTATGCACTTGGGTTATATTATAAGAGACCATATTATATGTATTCGATTTACTTCTTTTCCAAAAATTTTCAAAGGGGATGCATGCTGCATGTTCGTGTTTTAGGCCAGTATGGTCTTGTGCATACACCCCATCTTCAGTAATGATAATCTATCTACGCTTTTGTTGCTTTTACGAAAAAAATAAACATACATACTTATACCCATCCTAATTTTTGCCGAACTTCCATCCTATAATAATTTGGAAATTTGGTACCTTTACTGCCGCTTTTAGCTCCATTTCCTCTTGTTCTCTTTTTCTTCTTTCTTTTTCCTTTTCAATTCTGTCCTCGACGACAACTTTTTCATATTCTGCATAAGTTCGAGTCAGATCCTACAAACAATATTTGATTGTGATATTTGGGAAAAAGACATATGTAAAAAACAATAGGCCTGATTACATGTCCATCAAAACCAGTCCAGCGAACCGGTTCGGTGCGGAAATGTCAAAGTAGTCTCGGAAACCACTTAAAGCCCCCGATTACATGTCCAAACCAACAAGATGAGAACAATTTTAGAGTTTTAGGACTAAAGCAAATAAGTCATGATTTGCAAACACTGCGTATTTTTTATTTTCAATAAATTCAATACAAATGGTAATTAAAGTATCAACATTAAATGCACATTCTTGATTGAAGATCTGTGAAGTTATTTGCAGATGATGAGATTATTATATGATGAGGGGTTGCTTTCCCATTGAAATTTGCCCATAATGTAGGAACGAAACGAAAAATTAATTGGGGGCATAAAAGATAGAAGAGTTAGATCATTTTGGCCTACCATTCAGCGTTCAACGTTGCAGAGTACTGGCATCTTACGCCACACGATCCATTCAAAAAATTACGGTAGGCCTACAGTTATCAGTAGTCTACTGGCAACCAAATTAAAACAATTTCATTTTATCAAACAAACACTTTGTGTGAAGTGAGCTCCTCATATGTAAACAGAGGCACTTTCATTATTTAATATCACCCTACTACTGTGACGTTACCGACACTGAAGCTTTGAATTTGGGTCGGATGTTTAGTAAGGGTACTGGTGCCAGCTAGGATGAGGTATGGCTGTATGGTGAAATTTCAAAAAAATTCTCAATGCAAACTGAAGTTTATCAACAGAAGTCGTACTGCGCTCAGTTTATACTAATAAATTTAATTCTCTGTTTCAAAACAACGACCTATCATGCCAAAACGCCGCACCGGGATCCCACCAGTACCGGTATTTCAAAATTGTGTTCAACAGCGACACAGTAGATGCGGACAGCGTTTAAATTAAACTTGCACTATCCAGCTAAATTTTTATTTGTTGAGAAAAGCAACTCACTTACAAAAGACGAGAAAGAGAACAAATTCCCTTCCCCTTTTGATCGCGGTGATTCACGATTTCTCGAGTAGCACGGCGGAGCAACTGAGCAAGACCAGTGCAGCTCACTTCCAGACCTCCTATCTAGAAGGTCTGGTATTCTGGACCGATAGCACGGATTTGAATCGCAGGCAAACCACTAAAGCGTGAATATGTGGTCTGCTAGACCGGTTCCAGCGGACATGTAATCAGGCCTAATGTAATTTCTTGAATATCAGTAACTGCTTACACATGAAATTATTTTTGTTTAAATAGATTTAAAAAGGCTCAAAGATTCAATAGGAGATATGGATAAATGATACATCTTGATTAATTGCTCCAAACTGAAAGAAAAATTGGCAAAATACATACACCTATGCAGTTTAACACCAACCTGTAATCTTGCCAAATCATTTGCTTTATTTTGTTTCAGTAAATTGAGTTCATTCTGCTTTGCTTCAACATCTTTGTCATATTTTTCCATCCAAAATTCAACTTTATCTTCTAATATCTAAAGGAAAATACATCAGGTCAGTATGTGCGAGTATGTGCTGGACTCTTTGTCAACGTAGTGTGGTTCACATAACCGCTGGGCGGTTAGGGCTACTTCCACCATCAGGTCAATGCATCTGAAACAAATAACTGGCAAACTAACTAATTCATTATCTGACGTGGACTGAGTGGTTCGCCATATGATTAAGCCATCTTATCGTCTTTCATCTCCCCTGGGATAAATATGTAAATCCTATCCTAATAACGTTTACACAAGCACTATGTGAATAGATTTTGTCGAAAAAATATCATGTTGGTGCAAGTTTGTATGAAGTCACAGATGTACATTGTTTAACGATATATTGATTTCATTTTTTGATTAAGAATGACATCATGCATATTAATAAAGGATTCACCTACAGCTAAATTATTCCCAAGAGATACTTGTTATGGTCCTAGAGGTCAGGTATGTGAGGAATAGAAATTCATTGTTATTATTAGAAATTAGCTGTAGAAATTTGAAACTGGTTCATGGTTAGCAAAGCAATCTTCCTTTTTCAAAAAATGGTCAATTGTCATTCAATTTAAAGTTGAATGCTCCTTCACAAATAGATAGATCAAATATAAAAACAGCACAATAAAAGCAAATATACCTTCTGATGTGTTTTCAAAAAAGTTTCAATTTCAACATGAGTTCTGATTTCTTCATCTGTCTGTGCCTTGAGTAACTGTGATAAAAATTAAATTTATAAATTTCTGTAAAAGTTCTAGTTTCAAATTTCGGATGAGTTAGTTTACCTCAAGCTTTTCTTTTAGTTGCTGTTCAGTAAGAATGCATTTTTGCTGATTTTGGTGAACATGGTTCTCAGCATTCTTCTTTACATACTTTCCTTCCATATTACTTTTTGCTTTCATTTCCTACAAGAAAATAAAACAAGTGTAATGAACACCTAAGCTTCGCATGAAGGATAAATGAAGAAAATCGATTAGGAATTATTTAAATTTTGAATCATATATTCATTGGCAGTATAATAACATAAACAATGTTATGATTTATCATTTCATAAAGCTATCAAGTCAAAGCTCTGGTTGCTGCCATCAAAGTTCATCACCTCGCCCAGAGTATAACAACTTTCTTGATCAGTGCTTTGTTCAGAGCAATGATTTGGACAATCATTAATAAATTGCAATGCTTTAAATACACTGTCGAACTTATGCACATATTTAGTATGGTCCTCATATAATCTTAATATACAATACTTGTAGTTGATCTTTTAAATGAGCAATCATTTCATTTCGTTGCTGAATTTCTAATTCCTTTTCTTTCTTGATATCCCCAAGCTGACGCTGTAATTGTTTGATTTTTCTTCTGCCTTGTTCCTCTCTTATAAAAATAAATCACAAAAAAAGTTTGAATTGAAAGTTAAGAATATTCCAATCATGCATTTTTGAGCATGTTAGTATTAAAGAAGTAATAAAATCAAGAAAATTCGTATTTTTTGGAAAAATGTGAATATTTTTTGGTCAAACATTTTACATTAGCAATACATATATTTATACTGACATTTACTTCAAGGTGATAGATTTGAACAGCAGTATGATTACAATAGCTGAAAAGCACATATTAAAGTATCCTTTTGATGGTGAAGAATGAAATTATTTGATGAGCTGCATAAACTTTGAAATGAGTGAATGTATTCCATATATACATATCATATTAGAAATTGGCCATAAATTGAAATTGTTACATTAATATTGATGGCGATTATTAGTCTCGCCCTTAATCAATAACATACTTTATAATTTTTTGTTGAAGAGCAGCTTTTCTCTCTTTTTCAGCAATTACAGCATCCAGAAGTGGTTGGTAATCAAAAGATTGCAGTAAACTTTGATGTGTCAATGTCAAAACATCTTCACAAAATTGCCTGAGAGAAAAACAAACTAAAATCAAAATGTTCAATCAAAATAAAAATACACAGATAGTCATTTAAATTTTGGAAACGAAACCAAATAACTTCACATAGCTCTACGTGCTAAGTGTTAGGAATATGCATGTCATTGCACCTCTGATTACCTTTCATTAGCTCGCAGGTTCGAATCCCACGAGGGACTATTATGTCTAGGAAAATTGCTGGACTCCTGGCCACCATAGAATGGTTGATTCACGTGACTGCTGGTCGGTTACGGCTTTCTCCACTACTAAAGCCATGCTTTTAAAAACAATTACCTGGCTAACTTATCCTGAAACAGTTCGCCATCTTATCGACTTTTCTATATAAATACTATTATTTGCTATATTTGTATTAAGCAAATCTCCAAAGACAAGTAGATACAATTTTGCACATCCAATTTTATACATCCATGGGTTATATAGTGAGTAATTAGGCTAGGCTTAGGCTACAAGTTAAGCATAAATATTATTAGTTTCACCTGTCCTTTTGTATTTTCACAAGATTGTCACTCGTCAGTGGGCTCTGTTTTAGTGACTGACTCACAAATCGATTGCTGGATGTCAGTGAACCTGTTAAGTTTTTTATCTGCAAAAATATTCAAAGGGGGATTAAATAAAAAAATAATGAATCGAACGCTTCATAAAATACCAAATTCAAAATGATCCCTTTCACGCTAAACCAGTGGTTCTCAAACAGTGGGGCGCACCTCACAAGGGAGACAGAGACAATTTTTTGAGTGGCGTGAAACTGATTAAAAATAAAAACATTTGTTATATTTGATCTTGCCCGCCTTCTTTTGGATATTTACATTTCTTCATTGTTTAGATATTGTGGAGAGCTAGAGTTCTTGTATCTTTATTATCCTCAGTGTTTCCATTATTTACATTCCATCCACATATTTTCATACTTTTGCCTTACTATCTGTTATTTGTAGCTTATTGTTAGCTAGTTATTTTTGAGGTGGGCGCGAGACTTGACAAATTCTAAAAAGGGGGTGTGGCTTAAAAAGTTTTAGAACCTCTGCTTTAAACAAAGTCATAAAATTGTCACGTACATGCATGAGGCAATTTATGTATAGTGAAATTTTTATTATACCCATTGAACCGTACATGAGATAGGCGTGATCAAATATCAGTTTCATTTTTCTATTTGTACCATTTCAGGTTAAAAGATAGTTGCTCATATATATTCTAACATACTTGATACGTGTGATGAGATCTAAGTTCTATTTTTCTATTTGTACCATTTCAGGTTAAAAGATAGTTGCTCATATATATTCTAACATACTTGATTTGATCCAACAAATGAGTTTCCACCGCCATCATTTCGTGACGATAAAATTGTGTCAAACTTTGATTCAATTTCACGTTGACTGTTGAGAACATTTTTCACATCTTTACTAACAATCTGCAAAAAATACATTCAGTAAATGACTTCTTATGAGCAGTTAACAGTATGGATATTCACAATTATTTTGAAATGAGCAAAACCTGAACTATATATGCCACATTTCCTAAAAAAGTAAGGACAATTTGTTTCACAAGCAAGATATATAGGCTACAATTTTGAATTGTTCGTACAATATCTATCTCCCAGAAGGAACAAAAAAGAAAGCATGTTTTTGATGAAAATGTGCCTGCAAAAAGTCAAAAAAACAATGGAGTAACGGTACCAGCAATGGTATATTTGTACAGCACTACAAAACACAATAAACTCAGTAACTCACTTCCTTTGCGTCACTTTGGCCCTGATAAGAAACAGGTAGAATTCTTCCAAGAATAGAAAGTTGATCAATACAGTCTTCCATGACTGATGCATGATTAGCAGCGGTTGCGTGAGTGAACGCCATTAGTTCTGTAGTTCCTTGTAACAACTTCCAGATTGTCAATTTGTTGTTCTGTGTTACTTCACCGTATATTAATGGTTTTGAAATGTAAATTATTACATTATCGAATTTTGTCAGATTTCATTTTTTTTTAACTGTGCAATAAAAGTAAATACATACTTTAAAATATAGACTACTCAAGAGTTGGTATGACCAAATCATATAATCATAACACACAGGGCAATCCTGTCAATACAGCAATAGCCATATTTTCACAATATACATACCAGATAACATGCATGAGAGATTTGACCACAAAACCTGATTTTAGTACTGGAATATGAATAAAATGGCACCATGGTGAATATCGAACACCTATGGCATGTATAATCGCCTGGCTAAATCTATTTAAGTACGTAACTTATATCTAAATAATGATTAAAAGGAAACAACATCAATCTCCTCGACCAAGCGTGTAATTTCGTCATGGTTACAGATAAAGGCAAATGGAAGTGCGCGGAGTCGAGATAATTTAAACCAATCCAAACCGATCGAAAACAGCTTGTCCCTTCAAATTCACGTAGTCAGTATTTTTTGCGAATCAAACTTAAATACTTACTAATTAATTTAGTAAAAATGTAAAATGAAAAAAACAGCATGGGAATGTGTGCAATATATAAGGTGAAGCAAAAATTTCGGGTCGAAATAAACTTATACAAAAAAAACAGCCTCTTAGACTCCAAACTGAATTGCGCAAAATTATGTTATGATCGTCGTGATAGTTTTGTGACAACCGTAACCGCCGCAAAGTACTTATAATTCGACGCGTAACACACATATATTAGGATAAGAACATGATCCACATGCTTACGGTATATTAGTTGATACTCTGAAATCGAAATCTGTTCCGTCATCAGAGTATTTTATATACAGCCTGATTGAACTCTTTATCGAAATTTGAAACAAATTGGCCATGTCTTCGAGAACTATATCGTATTTTTATGTGTGCCAAACTACGCGTAAAATATTGTTTCCCGTCACTTTCATTTTTGTCCATTTATCTTTTTATAGAAAAGGTTATGTGAATTAAATATAACACAACCGGACATAACATAAAGAAAAATAGCGAGTAAGATTGTTGCCTGTTGGCTGGAAATATTGTAAATAAATGATGGCTCAATATAGATGAAAATTTTGAGACTTTGTAGTGCAGTGCAATGCAGACTTGTCAATAATTTGTTATCTAAATACATAATACAAACTAGGACTAGAGGACTTTGGACTAGAGGCAGCAAAGTATGAAAAGCAATGTGCAGCAGTTGTTTGTATGCAGGATTAAAGTTTAATGCTGGTAAAGTTATTGACATGTGAAGGACATCTTAAAGTTCGTCTGATGGATTTCATAACCAATGAAACCTTTACTTACCGACATGAACAAGATTTTTTAAGATCTTGATAATTATTAGTTCTTCAGCTCACACGCACATGAAATTAAAAATTATCCATAATTTTTGTCGCAATTTTCTCGTATACAGTGGCATTGTTAAACGACCACACCAATTTCTCATATATATTCTACAATATATTGTCGAAAAGGTATTGGAGAAAAAGTCGCTCATAGCCCCATTTGCCTTTTATCCACGCGTTCTCTGTGGAATATTTACGGTTAATTGTGCAGGTTAACACAAATTTGTGATAGCATTGGCGCAGTGAGATTTTAAATTTGTGCTCTCAAATAATTTGCTGCTTCTGGAAAACAATGTTTTATGCTGCTATATTCTACGTAGCATTGCTGTCATTTATTTGTGAAGTAGACAGTGAATGGGGTGAGCACTTTTTATTCATTATATATTCATTTTTTATTCATAGCCAGCTCATTTTGCACGCTTTGCTCGTGACCACAATTCCCAATTTAAAAATTGTTATTTGTTCAGAAAGTGTTATTTTTAAATGTATCACCATCCACTAAAACCATATTAATGATGATTACAGTCAAGAACAATCATGATTAGCCGTAAAGACCGTTTTACAAAAATAATATCGTGTCTCTATTCTTTTACCGAAAAAGTACTTCTCTTGTTGAAAGCAATGTTATTCAAACGCAAAAGATTCGGTCAAGTTACATGGGTGCTTTGAAATTAGTTTTGCCTGTGAAACTTGTTTAAAGATATATATATGGTAGCACTGAAATAGCCTTTTACAATGTTTTTAGCTCTGTCTTTTGAAGATTTTTTCGACAGAGGAGGTAACCGACCAGGTTGGTGTATACTGTATAGGATATAATTACGTACCTGGTTTACAAACAACTTATAACATTCGTCAGACCAAAATTACTTCAAAATATTTGAACAAAAGTCCACGAACTCAAAATAATTTGTCCGTACTACGAATATATACCGCAGTACCTATTGCGCATTTGGCGCTCCAGAAGTATGTGCACCAAGATGGCGCACAACTTGAACCCTAACCTGGTACACATACTATGTTCAGGATGTGCGCCATCTTGGTGCACATACTTCTGGAGGTCCGCGCATTTTATAATTCTTCCTTCCCTGCCCAGAGTTGATAGATTCAAATCTATGACTGAGTGAAAAATTGAGTGAGATTTCAGTGGTCGTATAATTCCAAAATGTATTCGTATTTAAGGCGAATTTTTTTCGCAGCTACAAGAAGTTTCCTTTAATTTCCCTGACTGTATCAACAGCAAGAGTGGTGTTGTTACGCAAACAGCCTATTTGAAGAATCCTGCTCAAAGAAATCACATTTGATTAAATATTAGGTAGATTAGGAATGGTAGGCGTATTTTATCGTAACAACCCATCTTAAACGCCAACTTATTATGTCCAAGTGGACTTTGAAAGAACATTGAAAATTTCGATTTGTATTTTTAGACTCGAATTTCCTGGATTGGTTTCAAGGCCCCCTCGACCGAATATTGGATGGCAGAGACATTGAAGGTTAGTTTAGACCAAGGGTGGCTGGCCAACCTGCTTTCGCCCGCGATCGACTAAAATCTCCAAAAAAGCTCGCGATCGACTGACTGATCGGTAATGAGGTCATAAACAAAAATGTATGAATACTGAATACGCAGATAACCTCACACACGCATACAAAAATTCCACCGATGCCAATAAGCTCGGCTCTGCGGGTGCATTCTCAATGAAATTGCCACAAAAATTTGCATTTTTTATACTATTATTCAATTTGTTAATTTGATTATATAATTGTAAAAAAATTTTCATCCCTAGTTTTGATTAAAACGAAGCAAAGAAATGGCTGTACGCCAATGCAGAGCTACGTTTGTAGAAACTCACTTGATGCCTTGTTTGCATCTTATATTGGAAACGAAACAGCAGCAAAATTCTCACCAAAGTTAATTGTGTTTGTACATAATTTGGCATGTAGCTAGATGTTTTTTTATGTGAGATGTTTTCTGTGTGCCGTTTTTACGCATAACAGATGCCCAGCACTGCATTTTATTATGCAAATATATTATGGCATTATTTTACGTTCCACCCATTTCAATTTTTGGCCAGCACTGCATTTGATAGTTTTTCTTCATTTAAATTGTTTTCTGTGCGCCTTTTTACCTAGAAGCGTAGTGATTGCCCGCCATTGGATTTAATGATTTTTAATGGAGGTATGAGCCTCCGGTCCAGTAACTAAATCCAATTTTGGTAACTGTCTATTACTCAATAATGAAGCATTGCCTGATTCATTATTGAGTAATTACCATAAACACTATTTAAACTTTATTCCAACTTTTAGAATCCATTTTATCAACAAAAAAAAAGTTTACCACACAACTCACTGTTGTGCTGTCTTAGTCACGGGTATTTCCGGGTGATTGACATCAACTCACTGTTTTAGGCGTCGCGATGACAAAGCTGTTAAAGCGTCCGACCTAATATATATTATACTGAGCTTGTTCGGGTCTTTCACTCTAAAAAAGGCCCTTCACATGCGTCCACTGATATTTGAGGAATTACTATTATTTGATAAATCTTTCCGGCTCGGCATTGTCGACCCAATTTATTACACCCTGAGTAAGGTGGGGCAGAGGCGTGTCAAACTTTTCTGCTGCCCGGGTCAAGTTTCTGATGAGGATGCCCATTATATCAAACTTCAATTTGTGAGATAAACAAATTATAGATGTTGTTGCACATGAGAATAAATAAATTGAACATGTCAAAGGTAATCTGCAATGTCAACACATTTTAGTCTATTCAAGGCTATAGCGCCTCGTATCATCGGTTGCTTGTAAATTGCCTTTTTCGGAGCGAAGGATGTGAATGACCGCCGTATAAAAATGGATAATCTGACTGAAAGTCAATCGGTTCAATGAATTGATTAAAAACTGCTGTTAGTTTTATCCCGATTCCCACTTGTTACGACTCGAAATGATTATAGGCAGGCCATAACGTCCTTATTTCCAAGATTTGTTTTTATTTTGAAGAGATTTGTCTTACAAAATATTTTTGTCCTTATTTCTATGAAACGTCTACTACTGAGCTACCATAGGCTGGTGCCACTGCTACCGTTGTAAATCTATCACACTACTCTTGGAGTGAGACAATAACTTTCACACAGTGCAGAAAATGTTGTAGGATCGTTTGCCTGTCAAAACACGCGATATTCTGCATGTTCATTTCTAAAACATGGCAGTAGGGAAACTTGCATTTGTTACGTAATAATATACTCTATTGCTCTTGTCCATACTCAATTACTGCATGTGTACTTCGTATTTTGCGCTTGTACAGTACTATATTCTTCCTGTTTTGAAACACACAACAGTCGCAGTATAAAACCGGTTCAACGCAATTTTCTGGGCTATGTTATTGAATTTACTCAACATCAGACGCGATCGACTACTCGCGACCGGTCAATCGCAATCGATGTGTTGGCCACCTGGTGTAGATCAAAGTTCGTAGTTTGTGCGTAAAGATTTCAGACGTTTACCGGGCTCTAGCAACGTGAGTTAACACATTGGTGATCACTCAATGCGAGTGATATATATCACCTTTTACCTGAAGCCATCTGAACTTCCTACTTCTTCATAAATGTATATTAAGCAAAACTTATTAATGGATGTGGGGTGATATTCCCAAAAGAATAATATGTTCTCTATTGATAGTATAATTTCTAAAAATACATGCTTTTTGGTGCGCGTTGTCATTGTAATTCCCGCTAAGTTACTTTAAAGCAGGGGTCGGCAAACTTTTGTCGTTCGCGGGCCAAATTTGAAGGTTGCAAGTCATTGGCGGGCCGCACATATTTTTAGAAAATTGAAAACCGAGGGAATGGCCAATGAATCACATTTTTTCACACAGATTTCAGGTAAATTTCAAGCAGCGCGCGAAGAAGACTGATCATTTGAATATTTTCTGCGCCATCGAACCATTTGCACTCAGCATCAACTTGTTTACGTTCTGTTGCCATTTGTCTAATTATAATCAATTTATAGGCCTGTTAAAAGAGTGATTGTGAATTATATACTTGTTAGGTTATAATATAATGTAGTGTAGCAAAACAAATTCTGTTACGTAAAAAATATAATCTTCAATACAGTTGTTTTGTTAATATAATTCAGTGAAGCGTCGCGGGCCGGATTATATTGTTCCGCGGGTCGGATCTGGCCCGCGGGCCGTAGTTTGCCGATCCCTGCTTTAAAGTATAACTCATGGGTTAGGATTGCTTGCTTGTTGCGATTCTTTTTGATTGCCATCAAATTGCTCAGATGAGTTTTAATAGTGTTGTTAAGTTTAATCGGGATTGTTTCGAATATTTGATTGGTTTGCATAGAACCAATTATTAACGGTTTTGTGAATTTTAACCCATGCCATAATTAACAAAATACACTGGAAAATGCAAATTTTTCAATAAAATCATATCTAGTTCTGCCCAAAAAAAAATGATACTTGTTGCACAGGGTAAAAGTGAGCGAGTCTTGATTCAGAATAATATGTTGCGAGAACGTCTACATTCAGGTTAAGGTCCATTTTGGTGATGTATATTATTATAACGAATAAATATACGAGTATGAAATATACAAGTATACTTCATATTGATAGGAAACGAAAACGAATCTTGGGGTCGGCTTCTTATCAGTTTAACAATCTCTTGAGTGGTCGTTGTAAAAAGGAACGTTTCGGTGTTTCCACGTTTCTACTCCTGCAATAGGCTCAATCGACATTGCCTATTGACGGTCAATTTCGAACCGGCGCTACGTCTCCGCTATTTCATTATTTTTCATATTTACTCGGCTGATGCTTCCTGGTTTTGTAGTTGTCGAAGAGAGGAGTTTGTCGTCAATGATAAAGTACTCCTACTCCCACCTTTTCGACAATTTCCTATGCGTTTGGTAATTTCAAAAGAGCATCTCGAAAATTCGAACTTGCAAAATTGTGTTTTTTCATTTCAGGTTATTGTTTCCAAGATGATTCAACGACAAGTATGTATGAATGCAGTGTTTAGTTAGTATTTCATTTTTATTGATGTATCAAACAATATTAATTGTTTTTTGACTAAAGAAAAATTGAATTTTTACGTTTGAATTTTTTTTTTGCATGTGACAATTTCTAATTTTGCCACACCTTTCTTCTGATACTATTTACACTTTTTCTATTAGTTTTCTCCAACGAAAAATGTTTTCGGTGTCTGGATGATCCTGATGACATAATTTTGATTGGACATCTATGTGATGGCATCATAGATTGTCCGGATTTATCTGACGAATGCTTGTGTACGAGAAGATCAGATAAACTGCAAATATGCAAGAAAGTGTTTTGGGGTGAGTAATCATATTTAGACATTATTGCTGTTTCGATTACGTAATTGTTTGCGATAAATCATACTATATCCTTGTTTAAAATCGATTCTTTGGCCCTTGCTCCTACTCATCTATTTAGCAGTCAGTGTCCTGTTCTGTCGTTTTGTTATGCTATAGCTTGTATTGTGCCACATTGTGGGTTGCGTACTAACCACATATTAGACCTTTTGGCGGTATCATCGAGCAATTTCGGGGATAATGATCTATTTACAAACTTTAAACGATGCTTAAAATGAAATAGTTAACTCCTGTGACACTGATCTTTAGAATCTCAAACGAACTCAAATTATAAGTCAAAATTTTAATGCGATCATTTTGTACTATTTCAGATAGAAAATATGAAACTCAAAAACTATCTTGTGACACGGTTTATGACCCATCCGGATTCTTAGATATTGAGCAAGTATGTGACGGAAGGTAACATATAAAATATATACTTATAACATGTGTTTTCATCTGAATATATATTATAATTAATTCTCCGTTATCACCATCTTGTATAAAATTCTCAAAAGTAAAACTCAAGTAGTATTTTGTGCTGTCAAAGTCACTTATATTGTTACCAAAAGCCAATAGGATACGTACGCACCGAGCAAAATCTGTCAATTATACTTTGTTATTTGTGCAATCACGAAATACTAATTCTGACACTACATTTTACCTGCATAGAGTTGATTGTAAAAGCAGCATTGATGAAAAGAATTGCGAAGACTCGTGTTCTACAGCAATCAAAGGTAAATTTCCTTTCATTCAGGTTGATAAAGGCTTTTGAGTGATTACTCTAAAATAATTAGACAACTAAATTGGCGTTTGGCATGTTTCGCTATTTTGTAACCTTAAATGTTCACATTCGTGTTTGCAGGGAAAATAAAGAAGTATTACGGAAAGTGCCAACACTCATGCGCCCAAGAAAAGGGTATGAATTTGTAATAGAAATTGATCGTTAATCAGAGTCGCATTTTGATTCTACAGGTACGATGACATTTTGCTGTCAATTTGAATTGATGGAAATTCGTGCCTTTTACATAAGACCGTTAATATGAAAAGAATTTAGACATAATTGACTGCTATTATATGACGAAATCGAAAAATATGTGCTCTACGCACATTGTGTCAATTAGATGTCATTTACAAATATAGCACAACATCTCTAAATATTAGGAATGAATCGGGTGGCGTTACAACTAACATGTAAACATGGAATTATGTACAACTACGTTTGAGGTGTGCTTCAGCTGGAGGACACAATAGGCTATTGGGTAGAATTACAATCCTTCGGTCTCGCTTTTGGATCGAAATTGAGACAGATTTATTTTCCAACGAGTAATTTGTTTTTCTCAAGATAAAATTGCGACAGCTTGTGATGGGATACTGACTTGTTCATACGACAGAATGGAAGAATGCTCACCGCAATGTCAAATTGAATTTGATTATTGTAAGAAACTCGGGTAGATAACAAGCTTAATATGTTTTTGTTGCTTTATTTGTTATGGTGGGTTAATTTTTGTGTGTATACATACAAAAGTACGGTTATATATTATCTATTTAAATACCTAATTTACGGTGGAAGATAAGCACAAAGTGGAAAAACGACTAAAATTGGAATCAAAACCCAGAATAAATCTAATCGATCAGTGGGCCTACTTCTATTTGGTGAAAATTATAAATCAGTTGAAGTGCTTATTCCATGAGAATAGCATTATATTATATCATCATTTCAATATTGCTTCGCCAATTTTTGTTAGTTCGATACAATTTGTTTCAATGCATCCAGATGGACTGGAGAGTATGAGTGCCCATCTGGAGAATCAGTCCAAGGAAATCTCGTTTGTGATGGCTGGAAGGATTGCCCGGGAGGGGAGGAAGAAGAGGAATGTCCAAACAAGTTTGTAATTTCATGAAGATTTTGATCTTACTGCATCGAATGGAATGAATGTCAAAACTTGAAATTCATATTTTTACTGAATATTACAAATCTGCTATTCTAAATAATCTAGCTACATTAATTTATGTATATTGTCATCGTCATAGAAAACAGTGAGCAATGCTAAAATATAGCGACACGAATGTTGTTGAAAATTTGAAAACGACATTACGTGATTCGAAGGACTTTTAGGTGAATCGGAGGTTAAGACTATATTTTAGAAAATCTTGAATTTCTGTGTTTCGTGAGATTCTAATCATGTTTCAATTAGAAAATCGTGAACATTTACTTCACTATGGTATCAACAGGTTTTATTGTGAGAGCGGCATCCCCGTCAACATACCGAACGATAGAGTTTGCAACGAACTGAAGGTACATTTTTGTCCATATGCGAATTGAATTAGTAAACTAAACGACTTCCTGTAATTTTACTCTCGATGCTTATTCGAAATTGGTTTCAGGATTGCAATGATTCAAGTGATGAAATAAACTGCTCAGATAGAACGCACTATTATTGTAATGACACGGGTGACGTCAAATTTGTTGGTATTGCACAGGTATGAAAATGACAGCTCTATCTACTAACACATGTTTAACTGAAGCAGTCATGTATCAATGATATTCTAAAACAAAGCTTTTATGATAGTTCATGAACCCTCAGTTTGTGAATTGTTTTGTTTTAATGATTTGATTTTGCTTTCGTCTCATTAAATATCACCACGTCGTCCTCTTTTACGATCGTTGTTATATATAGAGAGTTTTGAGAGTATGATTTCTAATGTAAGTGCTGTCCGGGTTTTTATTTGTTATCTTTTTACCCGCGTACATTTACGCCAACAGGTTTCAGCGCACGCATACAAATTGAATCCATGTCTATTTGCAATCTTGTTCATGGAACATAATTATACTGTTCCATCCCATCCCATAGTATTTTATGTATGACTATTTAATGGGATTGTCATTCGAATAAAATTCAACAGAAGTTATTAAATTTGTGAAAAGAATAAAGGAAAAAAAAACATTTAACATGTAAAAAAGTATAATGACTAAGGTTGGGTCTGACGTAATCAAGGTGCTAAGGCTATTATCCTATGGGAGATGCAAATGTATGCTGTCTCATTCTATGGAATATCCACTGTTATCCCATTTCGAGGGAAAAGTCTGGATATTCAAACCCGTGGGTATTTGAAATTATACATATTTGCACCTATGGAGATTTGCACCCGCGGGTAAAATTGCACAACATTTTTCATGATGTCATTTTTCATGATACTCGAAACTTGCAGATTAGATCTTCGAAAGTCGTCTATCTCATTGAGTTTTAATAAATTCGACAATATTTGTATTGACGATAAAACAATCCATAATTTTATAGAATTTTAAAAAGGAATACACATAAATATGTTTAATTCGATGTTACCAAACACGATTTCTTTCTCTTGTATGCGTTAACGAAAATTGTTTTTGGTATTTCAGGTTTGCGATGGAAGCCTAGACTGCAGAGATGGAGGGGATGAATGTCTTCCCGAATGTATAGAGAGTGCAATATCTAGTGTACATTCGATGATAAAAAGTTCCGTTTTCATGGCAATGGCTTGGTTGATAAGTAAGAAAAAGCATTTACCGGTACATTTCAACCCACAAAAATGTATTCTGCAAATCATTTTGCTTAATATGTATAAACTCAAAATGATTATCATATTTGTCGATTTATTGAATTTAGTCTGTGTACCAGGTTAAGGCTAGGTCATAATTATATTCCGATTTTCCTTATTTCAGTGCTATTACGAGTTTGGGGACTGTCTGTGTTAGTGAATATCACAGAAAAAGTTCAATTGCTGCCTGCTGCCATTAAAAGTTAACTAACTGCCGAGGTATAGCTAACGCTGCTAGGTGGAGTTTCAGTTTATGAATATAGGCCAGTTCGCTTCTAAATGCCGTTTACCAATGAAACAAGTGCAGAACCCATCTCAATAAACTTGGTCATATACTTTTGTTCGTTTTAATGTTTTTCACTATACGGCGCATTGTTTTTTGTTATAATCCTTTAATGTTTAGTGCCCAAGGCCGGGAATCCTTAAAAAAATTACAAGGGTCCGTCATGAATTTTTTTTTCAAAGTTTGGGAACCACTGCTCTACACAACTTGATGTGATGTAGGCCAACAAAATTAGTTACCTCCATATTGGTATATACATTTCGTACACACTTCTGGATCGTCAAAAATTTTGCATAAAAGTACCAATAACGTTTACCGCTAACCCCAGGGTAGCAACTACTGATGTGGTGGTACGTATGTACTCAAGCTATTTTAAGTCAAATTCTAACTTACACAGTTACAACGTACAAAACTTGAAGAGCAATGTACTCCATTTAAAATTTATTTATTTCATTTCATAGGTATTTTAGCTCTTGTTGGCAATTCGTTCGTGGGAGTAAGGACAGCTAGAAGAATTTACAAAAGAAGAAGATCGTTGACATCGAATGACATGATCAATAAAATATTAATTTTGAATCTATCTGTCTCAGACTTTCTTGTTGGGGTGTGAATATAAATCTTTGTCGGTAGAACTTTATATATATATATATATACAGCATCTATAATTCATAAACAAAACTACATTCACAGATTTACACAACCGCGATATGCATTGCAAATGCATACTTGGACGGAAATTATTGCAGAAAAGATCGAGAATGGCGAGGAGGAGAAATATGTGCTGCACTGGGAGTGATTCTGATGGTTGGGTCAGAAAATTCTGTTTTTACACTGACTACTATAACAGCTTTCAGAGTGAAATCTTTGGGAAAGTAAGATGGGTTTATGACAAATACTTATGATATATACCCTTTTTTTAATATATAATGAGGTATGCTCAAACATGAATGAAGTTGATACTACGTCTAATACAAGCGTACACATGGATACCTTGTAGATTATGAAGTATCAGGGCGTCCATTGAAAACTGGTCTCAACACGTTTCAAGTTCGCGTTGAGTTTTGTAATGAATTTAAGATATAATTTAAATATCTCAATATATACCCATAGTTTTTGCATATCGGTTATAAACTTCCGAAAACATATGGAGATATATGGATGGATATTCGAACCACAGCAGACACCAAGGAGACAGGAATTTCAACTAAAATTTAACAGAAGCGAGTTATCATAGTATATTTTAATGTGGCTAAGATGTGCATATCAAATGTTTCATAGGAATTTACATTACATTTCTCAGACGATATAACACCACTGAGATTGTATAAATATATTTTTAGACCGTTTGGTAAAATTTCAATGCGGGCCATTTTCGTAATTATCGGCATCGAATGGATTATTTCGATTTCACTAGCTCTCATTCCACTGATACCACAACTTGCTGACTACTTCGTGGATAGCATTTGGTAAGGAAATTTTTAAAATAACATTAGTATCTATAAAACTCGTATTATTAGGTATATATTTATCTATAAAACTTTAACACAACACAAGCTTGTTTATAGCAAATTCCGAGACTTCAACAAAAAGCAGAGAGAAAAGTTGAAACACTGGAACTCGCAATTGCGAGGAGGTGGGCGTTGAAGCCGTGGGGATGCGAAAATGGATAATTCTGTAGGTCATGAAAGATCAAATCGGCAGCTGAAAGTGAAGATATTGCTAGTGCAGTGTGCAGGAATAGAGCACGTTTGTTAAACTGATTGTTCTTTGGAATTTTTTTTATGCCGATTGCAGTCGACTAATCTTGCACAATCTGCTGGCACATTGTCAACTACAAGCTTTGGTATCCGCCGATTTGAACTTGTCAGACCAGCCTACAGGATTATCCACCCGGTGCGTTGGCCTGCAAAGTGGGATATCCATCCGAGTTGTGCGGGATGGAATCAAGATAAATACCCTAGTCCTGGCGTGACAATTATTTCTGGTTACAATTACTTTTCGGAGCACATTGGACTAAGCTGCGGGTTGATCCGCTTGAGACCGTCGGCTTAGTCTTAGTGAGCTATGCTAAGACAGCTAGTTCTGGTATTTACTGCTCCGCATCCGGCGAGATAGAAACATGCACCACTACTCCATATAAATGCATAGGATCAATTTCCTGATCCGTATTTATGAGTTCCAATCTTTGCTGATACCACAAAATTTTCAGTAGCAAGCACCCTTTTCAATCTTGCAACTTCCTCACTAGAAGCCTAGATTTGGCGGGAAAGAAATAGGTGCTGCTTTACTGTTATAGAGGTGACGGGACCAGTCGTCTGACATGGCCTTTAATTGTGGGTCTCAATTCGTTAATACCCGAATCATGGTTTTATACAGAAATTTCGTACCGCAGGAACCGTTGGCCTATAGCAGACCGCTCGTATCGCATATCCCGCTCTAAATCTAGTGCGAGGTACTGCTTGACTATTTCAAAAATAACAGGACGAATAGCTTGGCATCGCAATTAATTGTGGCCTCCAATCTTCGCGAATACTACAGAAAAGTTCACGTCAGAAATCTCCCTGCAAAGGCTATCATCTCACAGTCTCACTAATTCAGAGCAGTTTAGTACAACAGAGTGCAACGTTTGGAATTTGATGTTGCCGGCCTATACGGTAGCAGACTACAAACTCGGCGGGATATAAACAAGCAGTACCACTTGCAATCATTGCAGTTCCAAGACAGAAATCCTGATTTATGTCCTGATCGCGAGTATGAACCTTTCTTAATACCAAACGAAGATTTTTGGCGAAACGAAATCTGCCCAGCATGCATCATCCGACCGAAGCTGTTGATTTTGCAGACAGCAGAATTTAATATGAACCACTTTTGTGTTCGGGAGGTTATACTGAATATTATATCAGAGCAATACCGTGGCCTTTAGTTGTTGGTATCAAAAATTGCTGATACAAAGACCTTTTTCACAGAATTTTTTTGCCGCGATACCAATTTCCATGCAAGCTGTAGGCTGTCACGCCTGAAGACATTGGCCCAGTACGCTGCGAGTCCGGAAACCAGTGTCCGGTCATCAGGACATAATTATATATATGGTAACCGTACATTTGAACCCATGTGTACATCTGCGGGTTCAATCTATATGCGGGTGCTAAAACCCATGGGGTTAGGGTAAGTATGGGTTCAAATATCCGTAAAACAAAAAAAAAATTCACAGGTGCAATAGTATGCAGGTGCAATTGTCGTGGGTTCAAATGTAATGGAACCAATTATATTTCAGCAAGGGTTAATTAGCTTTTTCTGCCTGCTGTTTTTTATTAATTTCCTCCGGGTTATTTAGCTACCGGTAACGTATTTCAATGCGTAGAGTTTATTCTAATATCATCATAATCTGTTCGATTTATCGAATGGAAGGAAGTCAATTTATTATAATTGATAAGTGCAAGCCCCAAAAAGGTAGTTTTGTTGAAAAATAACCATTTAAGAACATGTAATATTTTATAAAGGTTTGCTCAAAACCCGTTATTTTCAACTCTACAATATAACGAAATTGAAGATTTATACAAATGGTTGGCTTCAATTCAAGATATCTCGGAATACACTTCATCTGAGTAAGACCATTTGTTCTCAATTGAAAAAAAAATACTGTCCCCAGAGTTTGTAAAACGCAATGCTATTTGCTTAGTAGCATACTTACAACAGAAATTTAGAAAATCTAGAACATTCTAAATCATGAAATATCACCTGATACAAGTTTCATTCATAATTTTTTTTTATGGGGATGTTAAAAATATGAACTGGTATAAATATAAAAATGTTATCATTTACTTTTTCCAGTTCTTCTGCTACTTGGTCGAAAGTGGAGAATTTGATATTGAAACTAAATCCGGAATACAAAGTTAAACGTCGATTTGGTTACTATTCAACTCATGGTGTCTGCCTTCCTACTCTATTTCCAAATCGAAACACTGATACTGCATGGGCATATTCTCTATTTTTCGTCATCATCAATTTTTCATCATTCGTAGCAATTTTTATTGGATATCTTAAAATATACAGGTGAATGTCTTTCTTCTCTGAATATATATATTAGCTTTTTAGTAGTACGTTTCATAGAAGCTCGGGTGCCCAAGATATTTTTTTACACAGTTTCGCGTTACTTCATTGTTAGATTGGTATAGCAGTTTTCATAGTATATAACTATATATATATATACTATATTTATAGGGACACTACGACAAATGATGCAACGCGCGAGGAAATTGCGCCGGCATTGCAGAGGAAAATAACCAGGATTGTGGTTACTGATTTTCTATGTTGGATGCCGGTGTGCATCATGGGATTTCTACAAGTTGCGGGTGAACTTAGTGCTTGATTAGTATGAATCGTTTTCTGAATCGTAGCTGTTGTTGGTCTTGTTGTTGTTTGGGGACCTTTTTAACTACTTCTCCTAACGTTAGATATTGAAATTTAGTGTCCATACTTTCAAGAATCTCTCTATTGACTGTTTTTCTTCCTCAGCGGTGTGGTGCATCGTGCCAAGCGTTAGGAATACGCTCGCCACCGCAATCCTGATTAATTATGTGCGAAAGGATTGCTGGACTCCTAACCGCCTTTCACGTAACCGCTGGTCGATTACTGCTTCCCCACCATCAAGTCCATGTTTCCGAAAACAAATAACTTATTAACTAATCCCGAACCGGACATGGACTATAATCGGACGAGAGGCCGCCTTATCGACTTTCCTCTCCCCGGGATAAATATGTATATCCTATCCATTTTTTGATAGCAGAGGGGATGAGAAATTTTGCAAAATCGTCTTATTGTATTGTTCTATTTATTTATTTGAAGGAGTGGACATACCGAACGACGCATATGTTCCAGTGGCATTGATTTTGCTACCCATCAACAGTGCACTTAATCCGTTTCTGTATTCTGATACACCAGAATACATATGGGAAAAATGCAAGCCTTTGCGTGATTTATTTTGTCAAAGATCATCAGGTACAGATAATGCTACAGATAATGGAGAGGTTGTTTTTGTGAATTTACTCTAAAATTATTGCCATTTCATTAATAAATAGCTCAACAAATTGAGGGTACAAAGATCACCGATGAAGGAAGTTACAATTCAAGACGTCCCAGTTATGACATTCTCGCAATTTCTTCAATTACACAAGATCGACGACCATCGGTTGATATTACATTGGAATCTAGTAAGATTGTGATTTCTTTGTTTGCCAGAAATTGTATCTTTCAATGACGAAATGGAGAAAACATATTGGATGTGTCTCTATGCGAAATGCTCTTCGAAATGGCTGATAAAATCGTCTGAATTAAAATTCGTTTCATTAGCTTTGTCGCGGTTTCTTGAGAATCAGTTTTCGTCAATTTCGGTAAAGAACTGATAACTTTCTAAATAAATATATAACAAAGTATACTCCCAAAATAAACTAATATATATATCAAATATGTTATGATAATATTGTGTATCTCCGATAATGCATTTTTGGCAGATTTAGGTCCATTTTCTTAGAGCTTAATTGTAAGTTTGATAAGGGGTCGCATTTCACAACGTCACATCTGATAACTTTTGATATATATTTGTTTCACAGATTGTGCAAGTACATTCGACCAAGATGACGCAGCCCGACGACCAAGTCTGAATTTTCTGGAAGTACCTTCAGTCTCAGCACGCCCTTACAGCTCAACCTTGAATCCAGGTAAAAAATCACTTCTATGTGGCCTTAATTAAAATGTGCCCTTTGACTTTAGTATCTACATAAATTCATTATTTTTGCAGAAAAGGCTTGGCCCGTCCGAAACGTAATTTCGATATCTACACACGACAATAAAGCATTTGATTTTGTGGGTTATGATGTAGATTAGAACATCATTACTAAAAAACGAAAAATTGAATCAAACTTCGATTAATGTTTTCTTCAAAACCTCATTTCTTCAATTGGGGATTCTTTCAAGTTTTAGAAATAAACTTTTTTATACCACTAATCTTGCAGTATTTTGTCTGCCATGAACTTTTCAAATTTTATGCTCGATAAATAATTCAACCTTTACTCGCTCATAGACTGTATAACTTACTTTCGTTTTTAAACCTTAATAATGCTTCATTTTTAAAATTGAAACGTGCAGTTTTTCAGCAATGCTTTGTGAACAAATTTAAACGCTTTTTCGGTGTCTGTTTTACTGCCTAATTTAACACGAAACCTTTGAGCGTTTTTTTTTTTTTTAAGATTGCATTATTGCACAAAATCATTTATATTTTCTATTTGATGCTATTATAATTTTGCAGCCCAATGGATTTAGGTAATATGTGGTTCTATCAAATGACGGGTGGTTCTCAACAACCCTTACGCGGAGTGTTGTGAACCGCCTTGTGATAAATTCTCTTGTCTCAGTTTCATTTTTTGTGAGGCAACTATAAGTTAATTATGATTATTCAACAAAGCATCAACGTTCATATATTTGCTTCGTATATATATACATGTTTAAATTATTAAAACTCAAAAATAAAATTAAAAAAACTATGATCATCTTATGAAAACAGCGTTTAAAAATCTCTTTTTTTTTCAAATGTATGTAGAATATTATTTTGCAGATAGATTGCTAGTTACGCTATCAATAATTAATCGAAGCGGCCTCGTGGTGAAATTGTGCCAGAGAGGAATGTTGCAATCAAAAATGTATTGCTGGCTGTCTATGACTTCTAACAGCAACGGTGTTGATTGCAGTGTCTCGTTACTTCTCGTTTATGCTGCACGAACCTCATTCTCGCTATTCCCGATCCAGAAGCTGCAGGACTATATTTGAGTCTCAATGCCCATTATTCTTGTACTTCTTTCTATGTTCTTTTCGCGCATTTTTTCATTTAAAATCTCTTTGGCGTGTGAAGAAGGAAACCAACCTCGTCTTCCGTCAATCAATCTTTCTCCATAATACCAACCATCCGTAGTATATTGCAATACACATAATACATCTGCCGGTTGCAACGATATGCAGTCTGTATCTTCAGCGTGAAACAGTCGAGTTATTTTGACCTGAATGTAAAGAATCGTTATGGTAGTACACAACATCACAAAGGATTTCGAACAAAATATGTAAAGTGAATAAATGAAAGTACGTTCAGTTCACCAGGAAGTTAATTTTAATTGCTCTTGATCTTACCTGAATATGACTTTGTCCTAATTTTGGTTCCTTCTTTGTCACGATCCTGAGACAAGTAATCCACCTTGCACATGTACTGGGACAGTCAGCTTGTAATCTTAACCCAACTCGTTTACCATCCTAATATGTATAAATATATATATATATATATATTATTGTTTTGGGGAAATGTTTCGCAGATGAGAATCGAGAAGATTCCATAGAAAAAGCGTATTGCGTTCAAAAACTATTCTAGCCTTTTTGCTAACTAGTTGGAAGCGGGCCTAATGCTATTTTGAATAATCCGTTTCTGTATTTCATAGTTTAAAAAGATATTGGTCATTGTAATTCTATTCGTCATCTCCCTCTCTGATTAATCATTAATTGTTTCAATTCTGTCGCAAATTATGATATGAAAGCGAAATCATACATACGAAAGCGAACACAACACCATCACAGTATATTAGACAAATAGTTATCAATACCACAATTAATAAAATTCTCTTAATTATATTTAATAACTAGTAAACGGGCAGCAAAACGAAAGGCAATATTGCTTTTAACTTTAAAAGTCTACAATTAAAAACTTGTTTTGCGGGCCGCATACCTTATAAAATTGGCACTTTTTCTCCTTGTGGGCCGAATTTGGACCGCGGGCGGCAGGTTGTACACCCCTGACTTATATAGTTCAAATTCGTTTCGGATATCACATTCACGGTCTTTCACAAACACGAATATTTGATTTGCTAAATAAATGCGAAAAACTTTGAAGTACAACGGTACTGACTTGATTTCTTTCTAGAACAAGTTGAAATGCATTTTCTTCGTCGTCTGTTTCGATCAATTTCAATCGATGTCGATAACAGAAGTCGTTCACAGTGTATTTTTCATCACTTTAAAATAAATATGTTATAAATAATAACAAGAGAGCAATGCTCAAATATATCGACACGGAGGCCAAAACGAAGTCGGCATAGTACCAAATCCGGCGCTTCAGAAGTGTGTGTACGAATATAGAGGTAACTAATTTTGTTCGCCTACTTTACATCAAGTTGTGTAAAGACTGAAATCTGTGGGCAGGAGTTATATTCACTTGGCTAACACAGACAGTCCCCGAACTCCTAATAGAACTAAAATAAGGAATATCGGAATAATATTATTGCCAAACTCTAACCTGGTACACACACTACGGGAGTACCCCAAATTCTTTGCAGTATCGTACCGTTAGTCTGACCACCAGATTACTGAGATATAATCACGGAACCACGGCACAAAATTTTTAATTTTGAAGACGTCATCACACGAAAGCGAAAATCGAATCGAATCCCCTACAGCTCACAGATTAAATAAAAGTAATAGCTTAGCGACAACAACACTCTTTAACCACTGAAAATTGTAAAGCAATTGGTCCCGTAGTTAAAAAAAGGGACCTCCTGAAGTATGCGCACGGAGATGGCGCACAGGTTGTGTACCAGGTTAGGGTTCAGATTATGCGACACCTTGGTGCGCATACTTCAGGAGTACCCCAAAAAGCGTCAACAATATAATAATAATAATACCAAAACTATCCATATGTCCCACTTCTTGTCCAATCGGACTATCAAAATTCGAAGGTGATTTCAAATTCACTCTTACCCTTTCTTATTTGCAATAATGATGACGTCAGAAAACAGAAAAACGTGACATTTTTGTTTAGTCAACTTTCGAAATCCAAGAACAGTTTCATCAGTTAGTTTTATCAACAATCCTCTTTTCAAAAGAAAACGAGATGGAGATATGAGTGCAAATGACTGAAATAATGAACCACGTTCAAAAATCGTGTAAAGTTCAAATAAAAAGACAAATTATTCGCAGATACAAACTTTAAAAAAAAGACGAAATGAGATTATATATTACACAAACGATCAAGTCAAGAGTATGGCACATTTAGTAACCGCACACACTCTTTATCAGTATCAATTTAACAGTATGGCAGTAATGGCATGTTTATATCGGGGTCTCAGGGCATGCGATAGTCATAAAGCGTTACTTTGAACGATCAAACGTATAGTAGGTCCTGTGCTTCACATGAAAGCGTTACATTTGGAAGTTACCGCACGGCATAATCGCTCCAAAATCTGGTCTGGTATTTTGTACATACATTTTACAAAAGTATTACATGATACATATATATATATTTTGATAACTACGTCAACAAAATTTCCGTAAGATATTGAAATATTGTTCAAATAATTACCCTGGTCTTGAATTCTAGTTGTCTTTGTAATGCTATCATATCTTCTGTTCTTTGCAATTGATTGGCCGTTTCATTGCAAACCTGAACGAAGTAAAAAGTAAGTTTGTACAATCGTAAAAATGTTATATCTAAATTGGTAAGATTGATAATATTACATGTAGCATATTGTATCTTACTTTAACAAGTCGACTTGTTTCTCGTAATGCATTTGATGCAGTTTCGTAATGCGCACATGTGATATCACATCGTTGCCTTATCATCTGAAAAATGTGAAAATTGATCAATATTATGCACTGGTTACGATGTCATAACAATGTGGTGTACCACACTTGTCCCCTTTCAGCACACTTGTCCCACTTTGCCATACTAGTCCAGCTTCTCCAACTGTTGAAGGGTGGATATTTCTTCTGGTTTCGCAGGCAACATATTTTATTTTGTTATTTTATTAAAATGGGCAAGTTTGGACACAAAAATAAATCGATAGATCAATTAGCGTTTGTTAATAGGTATATTTAGGACCAAATTAATGGACCCTCACTATTCTCTGTAGGCAGTAGAGTATTGATAATATTTTTTATTACTTACGTCGACAAGCAATGGAAGTCGAGTTATTCTTTGCATAGGTAATAACAAAAATGAGTGTAGTGGTAAATTCATACAACTTGGATTTGCTTCAGCAGTTTTCATAGCTTGCACGAAATCGGGGTTTTGCAAAAGAAGTTTCTGGAATTGGAAAGTACAGTAGATCAAATCACCCTGACTATTTTTTTCGGTCGTCGGAACGTGCCGCAAAATATAAATTTCAGGTGTTTGAGTTATGTCTACAGCGCCAACAACAACGTTATCACGCGCGATTATCACAATGATAAATTAGATTCTGCTTTTATTATTCACATTTTTTCAAACTTTGAGCAAAAAAATATTCTGAAAATATGACATCTTACTTGAAATACCCTCTGTTGGTAAACTTCATTTGAACAGTAGGTAATATACGGATTAAATTTCTTCTCAGCCACATGTAACGTAATAATATCACATAAATCTTCTATCGTATCTGGACTTCTCCGAATTCGACGCTAAAAAGAAGCCGAATATTCATATATATATATGACCCAATCCAATTGAAGTCCATTTGCCCTGTTCCTTCCTCATATGTTATCACGAACAACGCAAGACAACATGGTAATCGAGCTTGCAATGTTTTTTTTGTACATCTCTTGCCATTGTGACCCTGTGATAAATGCCTTTTGAATCGGTCAGACTTGCTCTCTTTCCTCCTGCCGTATACTGTTAAATACTGAAAAATCTCAACGCTTTTTCAACAAAGCGATATGATTTAGGTGTGACAAAGTCAGATACAATATTTTCTTGAGTTAAAAATGCGCATTGATGTCCCCTATTATTCAACCATAATGAATAAAGAAAACAGTCTTACATCTAAATCTGAAAGAAAATTTTTGCTGCAATTCAAGACTTCTTGCATGTTGCTGAAAAGATGATGATAATCAGTGCCTATTGTTGTGGCTCGAAGTTGGTCGGATTTCATAAAAACGTTGTGCAATATGTTCAAACTGCGAAGGTACGATTGTTCAGATGTGTAGAGCTCATACATGGCCTGTGGTAAAAACGTAGATCAATAAGTGTTTGAAAACTTTAGAAATTCAATAATAGTAATAATGCTGCATATAATGCTTGATGCTATATATTTTTATGATGAAAGAATTGTAAAAGTGGGTAACAATCGAACAGCTGGTGGTCTAATAATTTTACGCAGTAAATGGCCAACAAAACTACAAACCCCGATCGGGCCAAATACGACTTGTTTTTTTTTTTCTATGTAAGTACGGCCCACACTGATTTACATACAACTTATATGTTAAGATTATATGCATTTGACCATGGTTGTAAGGTTATTGTTTGGAGGTCTGTCAACTTGGACTATTATAAGGTACAGCCCTAAAAGTTTGTAACTTTAAATCAAGTATATACACAGGACAAGATTGATAGAAATTACGATAATGACAACTAAAACAGAACTTTTTATGGGGATCATCAAGTTTTTGGAACTAATTTTAATGACATTTTTAAATGAGGTATTCCCCACGCTAGTGGTTGTTGTTTGTAAATCGAAATAAACATCAAATCAAAAGAGCCACCCTGACATTCCACCCATCACCTCTTGCCTTTTTCTTTCTTTCGGCGATATTGTGAGCAATATTCCACTGTTTCGAACTGAGGGAAGGTTGCACCACAAAGGTCTTGTATGGTTTTTATTGTTTGGTTGAAGAGATGCTGGTGACGAAGACACTGGAATTTACGAGTATGGTTATCAGTAAGAAATTTAAATCCAAACTAGAGCTGGCCACTAAGTAGACCCAAATAAGAGGCATTGGCCAATTTCGTGTAATGAAGAACTTGATTGCAAATGTTTGAATTCAGGTTCAACAGCAAAAGGTTCAAAAAGTCAAAAATATCATTGATTTTAAAGTCCTATACATTATTTTAGCTCTGCATTGAAATATTCAATCGTACGCTAATATCTGAAATATTCAGCTGAGCTAAAGTTTTGTCACGCGCTTCATATATAATTATAGTATAGCAAACAGGAAATACAATGACGAGATAAATGGTTCAAAATTGACAGGAAACTAAATTTTAATGATTCAAAATATGCATGATGTATATTTAATATAACGAAACAAAAATTGATGTGGGTATAATTAACGGTGCCAGTTTATAACATGCATTTCTAATCTAGTAAACGTATAACGATTTGACAGGCTACTCAAGAAAATATCCATATTCCTAACACTGACTTGAAGTGTCTTGTTCGTCATCCTCCATGTCGTCATCAAGTCCTCTTTCAGTATACTGTTGATATAACAAAGCACGAGCTCGAACTCCTTCGTCGTCTGCTCGCTAGTACAATAAATAATAATATATACTAGTTGAATACGACAAACAGAATACAGCCTATTCATCTTTATTTTATGAAAGTGATATTTGGACATAATGCTGTTATTACAGTTTTGTATAAAAACCATCAACTTCTCTGCGTGCGTACGGAATATAGATGATACAGTAGAGATTGCCATTGCATATAGTATAGATTTTTGACCATAAATTGAAATCCCGAAGGCGCCAAGTAACGGATGAATTTCGTGTTTAAAAATTAATTAGCGAAATTCAAATGAGAAAATTCCATGTTTTTGTACCATAAACCAACTGTGAAATTCAAATTAGTTACCTTTCGAACAGCAAAGTTTCTTCTTACGCCGGTTTCAGAAGATCCAACGGCTTTATAGTAAGAATTGTTCCGAAATCTTGTAAATACTTTATTTTCATCATTATTGTTTCTAAAAAAAGGAAAATTTCGTCCTGTTTATGGCATTTGATATCCTAACAAACGAGACATTCTTGCTTTCCCTCCCCTTACGTTACAAAATAGTTGGTATGGGTATACACAAAAATTATTTTTTAAAATCAGGCACAGTTAATTAACCCTATAATAATTTCCTAGGAGATGAATAAATCATAATATTGAACCCACAAATTTTGGATAATAGTTTCTACACTTCCATCTTGCAAAGCCACTAAGTAAATACTGTATCTTGCGTATCACTAACTCACTACTTAGTGATCTTAAAAAATACCAACAGCTTACAGTTGAACGACAAGTTCAATGACGCAGGGCAGATTATCCTGCATTTCTTGGACTATGGGACGGTCTTCTCATTTTGAATTCGTGCTTTATAACACTTATTACGTTGATTAGGAAATCATTTATCTGGTAGTAACAGCCAGCAGTAGTTTATCAATTCAAAATATAATTTATTGAAACGATCAGAGCTACTGGAAGCGTTCTATTGGCCTTATATTAAACAGGTCCTATCATTTTTGCCGATTATTTTTATACTCTGATTGAGCATTTAGTAGAGTTGTCTACGGTTATTTAGCCACAACACTTCTTCAGTCATTCAAATAATATTTTTGTTTAAAATCAGCAACGCTTTAATATTAATTTTTTCAATTTATAGTGAGAAGCGTAAGTGAAAAATTTATGGAAGTGTAAATAATTCGTGTACGAAAAATACCAAAGAAGGCATTTATTTAGGCAGTAATTAAAATCGGTGCCATATGCTTTGGGACTCCTTATATTTTATGGATTGTTCGACACCTTCGCTATGTTGCTACACATTCATCAGATTGGTATTACAAAGCGCCAGGGTATGAATCGGTTACTAAATAGACTTATCGGCTTTTACTGAAATGATTTTACAACACTTTCAATAGAACACATATTTACTCCGCAAACAAAAGATATTTCAACCACTTTCATTTCTAAACTGACACGATTAAGAAGGTGTTATACTCCCACCAGATTAATATAAATACCACCTAATATTTTCGTTTCTCACTATATTTTTGCCATGTATAATATTTGAATAAGAGTTGCTCTTCTTGGTAGCATAATAAAATGATACTGTACATTTATCAATTGGTAATGTTTGAGTTATGACAAATACATAGGCTTTAAAGTTGTCGACAACACGATGTTACAACTGAATTAAGAGCATCCCACCCCCACTGACACCTCCACAGAAAATCGATTGTCTAGTACAGTGGTTCTCAAACTTTTCAAGCCGAGTCCCCTTTTTCGAATTTGTCAAGTCTCGCGCCTCACTATGAAAATAACTATAGCTAACAATAAACAATTTAATTCCCCCCTCGTGGGGCGCGTCCCACCTTTTGAGAACTACTGGTTTAGTAAGTATCGATAAGAAATGTATGCTTCAAAACGCTCTGTACACTAAACCTTTTACGAAAGCTTCAGAGCAAAATTTCATCCTGACATTTAATGGACAGATTGAGTATATAAATATCACATTTACTCCTTCCTGATGTTTATTTCTAAGATCGATGAATGTGATTCAGCATGAAAATGTTTACTTAAATTCGCGATTGATAATAAAAGGAGATAAAGTGTATTTATTTGTTTTTAACCAATTGTCCACCAAAAAGAGAAATCTTGGGTAATTTAGAAGCGACCTCGGTTTGCTAATGATTAGTGGAATGCCAATTGTAATTGCATTTTATATAAAAATTAGCTCAAATTGAAAGAGTCAATCGGAGGCGAAAGAAATTAGTCAAAACTCATGACAACTCGAGCAGCAGGTGTGGTATATATACCTATAGATAAAAACAAAATATGAATAGAGAGTTCAATTAGCTAACGAGAGTGTAACTTGTGATTGATTTTTCAGCAACAATAATAGTTTCACCGATAAAAGACAGCTTTAGCATGGTATTATTTTCGGCAAGGAACTTCAGAGAAATCTCGCCTTGCAGCAATGCAAATAATTAAAGCAGCTAAATATTGAACTTCGTTTACGTTAACGAACGAATTTCTACCATCCTTGGTGATGTCAACCTTGTCGCATGTTCTATACCTTAACTTCGTGCGTCACTCACGAGAATAACGACTTCTACTGTTCCAGCGACTATCCTATCTATATAATCCCAACATGTGATTAATTTTCTAATGAAGCTAATTCCCAAAATATAAAACCTATTGAACACAACATGTTTATTTTGACTGTACTCAAAATTTTTGCTAAGCTTGGTCAATGTTGCTTGGTTTAACACATTCTATAAGAAATGAGTCAGACGGTGCTCGAGGCAGCACTAATGCGAATAAAAAGACGTAGATGAAACTCAATCTTGTTGAAATCGTTACCCTTCTAAATCCTTGCGTCGTTTTGGATAGTTTCGAAATATTGAATTTTGAAGGATTGGAAGGCATTTGTATAAATTTATGTGTATATAATATAGAAAGTGTATACGATGCTTCTGCCTTATGAATCACAGTAGTTGATAGTCGCTTGTGATATTTACTTACGGTATTGGATTGCTATTTTCAAGAATTATTTTATCGACAAATGATAAGAATTATCTCTATCACCGTGTCACCAAAATATGTTTGATCATACCTGTTTACTTGTATTGCGAAGTCATCAAAAGCATCACTATTTTCACCATCTTCAACTTCCATTTTGCCCTTGTTAGATTTTAAATCCGACGATGATCAGTAGATTAATAGATAATAATAGTTCAATAATTATAATAAGATAACTTTAAAGGTATATATGTCGAAATAATTATTACATTATAGTTTATGTCTCCTAAGTAGAACATAGGATTTGCATTTGTCCATAAACTCGGCTCTCTCTCACTTTTTGTAGTCAACAACAAACCATAAAATTGCATGGTGAAATCTAGCTATGTAGTACTACACTACAGTAGTGTTTAATCCACTACAAAGGCATTTAATGTAACTGTCTGACAACGCGAATACGGCTTATCACCTCAAACATGAAACTTTTATTTTACCAATGCCCGAGGATAAAATAAGTAGAGAATTGTTTATCTTTTTTTGGGATTATTTCATGTTATTGTCACCGAACAGAAGAATGATGTATATTCATACCTGATCGTAAACACACACTCTATCGTTTGAAACCGTACCTCCCAAAAATCAAATTCCAATTTAAATATTAAATGTTCAACGTATTTGATAACTTACAATCTTATACTAAACTATATCTCATTAGTCTGCCGATTTTAAATCAGACCTGGAATGCGACTTTAAACGAAGATCCGATTTAACTTTCTGTTTTGATTCGTGCCCTCCACCGTTAATTCCGACGGCGAATATAATTTACAGCATGAATGAACCTGCTTTACTTGTAATGCTTGGCATATAGTTGTGAATTTACTTTGATCCCGTACCTCCGCAACCGCATAACAACAAAAGAATTTTACCCTTTATTGGTTATTTTTAATTTACTCTATGTAAGTTTGATTCTATTTCTGCCTTCACAGTAGCATTCTGTAGCAGGTAGGCTACATTCTACAGGATTTATACAAATATGTAACTGACTGATTGAGGCTATTACTGAAGATTTTTTCTGTCGGGCATGGCTGGCCAATCTTTTCTCCTCTGAATGTAGAGCGAAGCTTTTGACCCAAAGTTTACTTTTTATGTTTGATGTAGTTAAATATTAACCACATGTTTTTAATGTCGCTTTATATCACGTATAAGAGAGAAAGAGAAATTGTGGCATTCGTTCCGTTCCGCAAAATATTACACAAACTTACGAATTTGTTTATGTGACTGAACGTGGTTGATCGCTTGCTTGACGAAATCATGCCATTGTGCGACTATGAATCATATGATAAAATAAAAATACCATAAATTATAGTATTTCTGATCCTAAAATATTATTGAATTTAGGTTTTATGCGATGCCTTCACGTGAAAATGATCACGATAACAGTTGCTTCATCTCTCAAAATAAGAAAATTACAAATCTCGTGACCAAAGAGTAAGGCGAAATCGTATACCAAGTTAAGCTGCCGGTACTTTCGTAACAGAAGTACGAGTCTGATTCTATGTTCCTTATGGAATGCTAAACGAACACATCCCCGCTCTCAATTTATCAGGTCGCCACTGATGAAATGTTTGTTAAACATAAAAAGTCATATACAGTGATCGTAAAATGACATTCAAGAACACTGCAGTAAATTGACTTGTCATACACTGACTGAAAGCGCCCTGAATAAAATTCACTTCCGTATTACAAGTATTGCAGTTTGCCAGCCAAACTAATCACTGTTTCTGATAAAGATAACCAAAGTCATTCATGGCCTGATGAATATGCCTTGCGTAAATAGTGCATTGCCATAATAAAGAAACGTGTAGTAGGCCCTACTCATATGTGATTTCAAACAGCTTCCTCGTTCTGTATTTATAGGGTAAGTGTTGCGTAGTTCCTGCAACAGTTAAAATCGTTTGCTGCATCATGTTTATAATGTATCTATCTCATGGTACATAGTTCGTAAGAAGTAGAGCTGTGAATTCTGTTCGTTCAAGTTTGTTTATAGTTAAGCAAACTGTTCAAAAGTTTCTTGATGCAGTTGAGGATCAAAACACGAGTGCTATTGAACGAGGGTGATTTGCCGAATCATTGTTTATCACGATACCATGCCTCTACTTATTGTAATATTTTTTGCCGACGGAGCACGACTCAAATGCACATAGTGGCAGTAAAATATATGGTAGTAGACTACAGTATGATTTTTTTCACCATTCAGTATTTCACGTGTGCCCCCTGTTATAGTTAGGTACTGTACATTGTTTTCATTGTGGCGGTGTAACAATTCAGAAGAGATCTACTTGACTTGTCTTCTGGAAAGAGCTGCGGCTGTATTCTTATTTTTGTAAACTGTACCGCAAATCAAAACCAGCTGGTTCAATTATCGACAAAGCTTTAGTCGTGGCTAGGTCGTGGCTATTTCATGTTCACGAACGCAATCAGTCATGCGCATTCTCTCGGAATATTACGTCGAATCTCATTTCTGAGCGAAAGTCTCTTTGTTACGAATAGAGAACAATCGGTTCACTCATCCGTGTCATTTACAAATCGCAATGTCATGTGCATCTGAAATGGACTGCTTCTTAGAGATGTACCGGTACAAGATTTTGATTTGCGAAAGCACACCTACATATGCCGAATACACCTTTTTGTTTTTTAACGGAAGGGGTTTATAGTCTTACATTCGGAACCAAAGCGAAGAAAAATGCCAAATCTCAATATACAAAAGAGAAAAAACAGTCGCACGTGAGTATACATCATATTTTATTACCTACGCATTGCTATGGATAGTTTGTTCTGACAATAAGCTACCATAGGTGGAGTGTTTGCAGAATATGACTTTAGACCGCGTTACGCGGAAATGCTTAAACCAAAAAAGCTACATAGTTTAGAGTTTTAGACTAAAGGCAAGTTTATGTAAATTATGTTTGGTGTTATTTTTACCATTAGTACCGGTAGTGAAGAAGTCTACTCTGATAAAAATCAGTAGTTTTGTTATGACCTAATTTTTGGCCTAGATGTCTGGATTACATTGAATGGAAAATAATCTGTGGGGCTCGATTAGAAAAAGTTTACGGGCCTGTGATTTAGAAGAACATTCTAATCATATAAACAAGTGGCACAATATACATGAGGATTTTCTCCGTTTATTAAATGAAAAAAGTTTTATGTGAAATCATATAATTTAAACATAAACTGCGGACCTTTCGATTTTTTTGTTAGTGAAGAGCTACTGGTAAACAAGTTTTTTAGGTCAGTAATTATCTGCTGATCTTCAAGAAACTCGGAAAATATACTCCAGATAATATCTTTCCACAACACAGTCATAAATTAGGGTAGTCTACTTGAATTCTTTGTTTAGCCATTGTCGATCAGAAAGGCCCTGCGTTGCATATATATCACATGTAAAAACTGTACAAATATAGTTTCACGTCGCAGTTATGCAAGCCAACAGAAAAAAATCAATAAGCCTGCCAAAATTCTGAGATATTTTGCAATTAATCATAATGTAAGACATAACATCATAATATATGACAGAATCAAGATGTAAAATGAGACAGAAACATTTTAAGTTCATAGTGTATCCGTTTTAGTTATGACTTCGGCATCTCTATTGAGTTAATTCCGAAACTGTGCTGCCCTAAGGTTCTATTATTTTCTTGTACCGCATTTACTCAACTGCAATTTTAACACAGTCTATGCTAGAATTGTCTGGTTGTGTGAGGACCAAAGTCGAGAGTGTCTCTTCCGTTGGGTCAAAATTATTTATTGCATCACATATGTATATATTCAGAATATATAGGCAGGAGTTGCGAGAAGGGTGCAAGTGAGACAAACCGGTTACCTTAAAACTTATGTAGTTTTTGAGCGTCACAGACATTTTCACTTATGTTATTTTTAAGTATTCATTCGTTCAACTTCCCAAAAAGATGGAGGCGGAGTCTTACCTCGTCCATTAAAATAAGGACGGGGATATTCTTCTTCATCCCCTTCAATTGTCCACGCCGACAGTGTTCGAGCTGTTACCGTTGATTCTTTGTCAGGAAGAACTTTGTGTCTTGGCTTGAGAGCTATGTTATAATATAATACTAAAATCACAAGCAGGCAGAGGAGCACTATAACAACTATGCCACCTACGGACGATGCGACGATGATGACAATAAACGATTCCGATGGCGTGTTCCTGATTTCCGGCTTAGATGGTCCCGCCGGTTTTGGAGTTGTCTTAACTCCGTCCTGTAAGTGTCTTGTAGGAGTTGCAACTGAAAAATGTTTATCATATTTAAATGTATGGCCTTTTCAGAAGTAACCTTTGCCTAATCGAATGTATTAAATGTATGGCCTTTTCAGAAGTAACCTTTGCCTACCATTGTTTGACTTTGATTTGTTTTCTTATCATTTTAATTAATCGTTATGAAATATATTTCAAGCTGTTACCTGTGACTGGTGGCTTTCCCTCTGTTTGTACAACCTCAATGCGGAACGGGCCACTCACTTGAATATCAAATGTGTCTGACTCGGATATATTTGTTGGAACTGTTGGTGGTCTCTCGTCCTCAGCATCGCGTTTGACCCTATCAATTGAAATGTAAACTTGAATTTTCATTCGTTGATTGTATCATAGTAATAAAAGATCAGTATAGTTTTATCACTTAAAGTCTAACATGCTCTCACTCTCAAAATCCTTCACCAGGATTAAAGAAGAAACAAAATAAATTTGCAAAAATGTATTATTACCTTGATATCTGACCTGTTGTGAATGCTAAAATTGGTTAACCTAAACACCAGATATGAGGCATCTAAAATTCTAGGTATTTCATAAATTTTGACGTAAAAACGCAGGCGATAAGATGTTATGACGGCCGCAAACTAGGTACAAAACGTCGGAACCTCTAACTTTCCAGAAGCCCTTGACAGGCCATCGCCTGCGAGCCTCTCGTACTATAAACATGGGGGGAAAGTTTGCCCGACTCCCCCTGTTGCAGCTTTATTCACCACCCAAGTCAAGTAACGATCTTATCGATTTCCTTATTCAGAAATATGAAATACTATCTGAAAATTTTTTTTTGATCAATTTGAAACTAAGTCATATATATATGGAAAGGGAGAAAATCATCTTATTCGTGACCTTGTGCTTCGAATTAAGCTTGCAGTTTCATGCCCACTAATGTCCATCTTTGGATATGATAGTTTAAACATTGTAGCACTTTATTGCTACAAGTTAGATAATATATCAATACTTCTTATTTATTCGATGCTCATTTAATTTACTATTTTTGGAGGCATGACATAAGGTTTCGGAAGTAAAAAAATTTTACAATACCTTGAATCAATGCTATGTTCCACAAAAATTTCGTCATTCTCTCCACGTCTTTTTCGAGAACGAACGCATCCTTTCGAACATCTTGTGGTCTCTTCTCCAACTATACAAAGTACTGCTGAACACTAACATATAAATAAGAATACTATGGGTCATGTGAAACATTCATTTCAACATACTGAAATGCTAGCGTTCTATTGCCAAATTACCTGAATATAAATATTGACGGAACTATCAGTATTCAGATTATCTTGAAACCTAAAAGCTTTGATGCTATATCGATCCTCCATCGCATTTACTGTTTCGTATTTTACCATAGTCCCATCTTCCAAACACCTTTGAAAAATTCACATTGGAAAACTTTAAATACAGTCATATTTAACAGAAAAATATTCTTAAAACAAGGCAGTTGTGTTACTAATTGCTAGCCGTATATAGACTATTATATAGATATATCCTAACGAATGCATGTCATAAAAATACGCTTTGTGTACTCCTTGACCATGGCTGCAGCCTGCAGTATCTGTATCATAGCTGCCTTTAAAGCTATATTACTTTAATTAAAGTGCCTCAATAATAAGGAACAGGAAACAGTAGATGACCACATATCATATTCTATTTTACTATAAGAGACCTTGAAGCTAAAAACAAACAAACAATGTCACTTTCCGGTAAATGTTCTTTTGTAATTTTGCATGAATATCTTTATCGTATTGGTTGTGACAACCTCCCCCCAATCTGCAAATTTATAGATTAATTATGCATTTCCTTCTTTTCGACGACAAAATATAATTTACCTCAATGGTAGAATATGAATTTCATTTCTTATGTTCGTACTGATTCGAATATTTGAACTTACTTATCACCGTCTACTAGTAAAAAAATTAATTTACCCATTTTCCATCATTGTATAGGACACTGTAGTTGCTGTAGGTACAGCGGTCGTCATAGCAACACATTTTTCCGTGAAAACCTCCAGTCCAGTACCACCAATTGTTCGTATTCCAAAATATATATCTGAGTTGACAGTAACGGTTATGGGATATGAATACGGTGAGTATGTAGCCTAAAAATGAAATTGAGGATTAATAGCAAATAGTATCCATTAGCTAAGAAAAACCGTTTATGTTTTGGCCTAATTAGTCCGAACGTGTTATAATTTACAGCGACGTGTTATATAAGTTCTTTTTTGGAATTAGAAGAAGTTTTTGACCAGTTGGGATTTTTCAGGGTCATCATATTTTTTTGCTGTTAAATGTTTTGGGTCTGGTATAGTTTAGTACCACATGCACTTCAAGTTGGCCTGGCTCAACCATTTTTGCATACCGTATGTCAATCCTAACCCCCACCTGACTACGTCACCGAAAAATTACATCACAGTGGCGTAATAAGGCCCACCAAAGTATGTTAGTTAGAATTAATGATACTTTTTACACTTCAACAAGAATGACGTACTTTGAAATGTTCATCCAAGTAAAAGTCGAAGAAAAATTGAAAAGATCCCAATCCTGGTACCAACACTTTTCCTTCTTCTTGATCTATTGGACGAAACGAAGCATTCACATTTGAATATTTACTGAATGAACAAACAAGCTTTATGTTGTACCAGAAGCCTCTGGTAATGATAATCTTTTCCTCGCCGCTTCCAGGAAACGTGTCTTCGTCGTCAATCCACATTCGCAACTGATTTTCGAAATGAAGTTCGGTGAAATCCTCCTGAATATTGTAAAAATAAAAATGATAGTCTGATATATGGATAAGTCGGGAACCAAAATTAAAGACGAATTTTTATGCAGTCTTGAAATTAGGTAGAGTTCTTAATTTCAAAATTTCTATTCAATTCAATATAAAAAGAAGAAAAACACCGTGTTTCCAACTTAAACAAAGTAAATCAAGATGGAATTGGTTCAAAGTGACACATCTTACAAAAACAAACTATGTTTTCCGCCTCATATAGGCTATCTGAACAAGATGCCTTTTTGAAAAAGAAGCTTTGTCTCATATAAAAATCCAATGAACGATCAGAAATAGCTGCTATTCAAATTTTAGTAAGGCGTTTCCTGTATTTGGAAGGGGTATGCATGATCTGTCTAAAATGGTTCAATCCTTTTTAGAAAAAGTTCTTCAAGTTGTCTTTTAGAATCGCAGGATTTTCAAAGGAGAAAATAAAGGTAATAATGTTTTTAGAGTGGTCATACCATATTTTGGCATATATATAAGTCTACTGCCAGCGATATATATATATGTTTAATAAAGGCGAGATCGATTTGGCCCTGAGTTTGGAAAAATCAGTGTGCGCCGTATGATTGCGCCATGTGACGATATTGGATAGTATAGTAGAGGTATCTGCTCTACCGTTATGCTACAATACGTTTATGTGTCCATTACTTGCGCTACAAACACCCTGTGATTGTCGAGACAGATTCTTTTGTATATGTATGATACCATTTACAACAAAATCATTAGCCCACCTCTTTCTGTGTCAGACATTCATCATATTGGATAGTTTTCATATATTCATCACCAACAACATCTGCTTCACATTGAGCAGCATCCGCGTTTACCCCATTCAGTTGATTATAAAATCCAGCTCTCACAGTTGTAGGGCCGACAGCACATACCGGAAGCGCGACCTCAAACTTGTCAGAATGACATTTAATTGTAATCTTTGCTGCAAAAAAAAATTATGAAATAAAGTAAGACTAAGGGTACATGATATGCTCATTGAACATTAAAAAAACGAGTTTTTACTTACGAATACACGTTCTTCTATCGTCCGCTAGTTGCCAACAGTCCCTAGTGCATACGCATATATACGAAACGCCTGTAACTTCACAATCGTCACTACATCCTCCATTGTCAATGTCACAAAGAGAACCCTCTGATAAAATAAAAATTATATTTCACAGTCGTTACGAAGGTGAATTATAAAAGCATATAATTTTAGATTTATGCAGGGGATCGCCTATGTCTCGATATTCGGGAGAGTAACAATTTTATCGGCATCAGTAAAATTTATTTTTTACCAATCAAGACAAACAATATATAACAATGAATTTACGGAACATAATGAATTACCTCCGACTATAAGATTCATGCATCGGTGTTCTGACATCTTTCTGATAAAGATAGAAATTGGTTAAGAATTAGAACTAAAATCCATCCATTTCTTTTCACTGCTCGATAACTGAACATGAAATTTTAAAATTATTTTGTAAACGTTACTAGTTCCAGTTTAAATTCAGGATATTACTTTTCCATGTTAGATTTCCAATACGATATGATTTCAAGAAATCAATGCTCAAAATTTATAGACACGAGATACAAATGACTACAGCGATATCAACAGTCAAATATAATTTTACCAGATGTCATATATATAGGCGGCTTTCATATTAATCATGAATTATAAAAACATCAAAATTTGGGGTAAAATATCGGGCTCCATGAGAAAAGCAATAGCCTTCTAGCGATTTCTTTTATCTTCGAATGTGAAATCGATTGGTCCATTATTTGAGGAGATTTTTACAGGCGCGTTCATAAGAACAAACCCAATCATCCCAACGAGAAGAGCAAGTATTTTGCGAAACGATTCATAAGGCCATTTCGTGTTTCTTAAACTCATAAACGCGTTAAGTTTAAAATCGATTGGCTTTCTCCAAGTCTGAAAAAATAACTTTATGCTTCCATTTGGCTTACCCATTGGTATCTTTTGCTGTTGTACAGATTACATTACTTCCAATGTGTTCACTTGTTGGTGTGAAAGTCAACGTGGAAGAATGATAGGTTCCTGTACTTAGAATCGTTGATTTTTTGACACCTATGGGTGCAATTACATGCAGAGTTTCTAGACTTGAAAAAAAAATTATATTCAAGGTAATTTTTTACGTGGACGTTAAGTTCAATTGTAATTAGTATTGAGTATATTTGAAATAACTATAATAATTATATGAATTCCTGAGTTTCGATATTTGTTAAGTGAAACGAGTGATAGAAACGACATGGTGACAAAAATGGTATAGGTTTCTAAACAAGTCGTTTTTGAAAACTTATTTGACTTATCCGAATCTATCGACTAAAGCATGTCCACTCACGGTGTTTCAGAGCTGATATTGAGAGCAATATTTGTAGATTCGTTGACTATTGCCGTTTTTATAAACCCATTTGGAAATGTTGGATTAACCCAAGTAGGTATCAGTTTACAGGCGTGATCGTCGTTGAAAACTAAAACAATAAAACAGAATATTGGATGATCTATGTAATTAAGAACTCTCAATAAATATTTCTTGGCTCGTACGAGAAAAAATGCAGGAAACGTTGCTCACACTGACAACTAAATGTGTTGGTCTGACAGACAAAGGCGTTGGCAACGGGGCATGTAACATGTTGAAAAGTAGTTGGGCAGGATCAAGTGAAATTTCCGCCCAATCAGTTGTTTAAAAATCATCTTCAAATAATCTATAGTGTAGTCCAAATTGTATCATTCTCATAGTAGGCAGCCAGGAATTTTTTCGAAGAATTTTACCTCAACAACCATCTAGAAACTCTGGCAAAGAAAGAACTATATATAAACAGCTGCTGTTCGTGCGTTCATGTTCACTACCAACTCGTCCATCTATCATTTGTTGAGCAAACTTGTATAAAAATAATAGGCAAACCTCGTTGTCTATATGCCATACCTTAATAGGTAAGAACTTAATCTATACCAACGAAAAAATTATTGCACTATGAACACTTACGTCGTACTATGAATTGTAGTGAAGACGAACTGATAGCTGTTGTTGAAGATACCAAAGTGTTGTTTATTAACAAGTTATTTTTTGATGGGAAATCTTCAATGATTATTGAAATAGCCACATCAATATTTCCGGGTCCGCCAGCATTGTAAGAAAGACGACATTTTTGACCTTGCTGGAATAAAAGAATAAAAATCATACTTTTTGGTATATTTTAGTGATGACAATATGATACAAAGGGGCTAACAATAATTACATCAGCGACGTTGTATCGGACTCTAACTCAATAAAAATCTATGAACTATAATGCACACTTTGGAACTACTCCGCATTTACAGCCTTGTTCTGCATTGCATGCGAAACTGTGACGATATTTCTTTCCAGCTTTATACATAGACTAATTGATTAATTTTTTGTTGATCACAAGCGATAGCCTGCAATACATTATACTTTATGCATACAGAAATTTGTTCGGAGTTAACAGCAAATATGATAAGAACGTAGGAACAACAAGAGAAATATAGTATATGCCTAGCCTACGATATTCCATTTGCGAAAAGCCCTCACTTGAACAGAGAATATGCAGGGATATCCTATCACAAAATGAACGCTTCATAAAAAAATAGAATGCAGAAAATGAATCTTGTTTCACTTGAAAAAAAGGAACTGCATTTATATAATAAGTTTAAATAAAATATCATCTCAATTCATAGTAACAGATATGAAAATGTTGGGGCTGTATTCTTCAGCCTTCAGTCTTTGTAGCGTTACAAAATTATCGTTTTTCGATATTAATATATGAATATTTTGTATTTTTGAAACTTCGAAATTCTTGCTACTAATTTCTACTTGGAAGTTGATAAAATATAGATCTCACCTATATGTTAAGCACAATTAAACTTCGTAAAATACATGCACACATATATATAAGAGGAACAATCGAGGTGCAATTGTACACCTCTGCGGTACACGACAATTTTTTTTATTTGGTTTGCAATTATTTAGATTTGTCGGATTGCAATCGATAGTAACAATACCGGCGTCGGCTGCTGGGTTTCAACTAAGATATATCACTTCCGACGGTTAAATATTTTAAAACCAGTCAGTTGGTCGTCAGTTTGGTACGTATGTTTATAGGATTATCGATTTAAAATGTAATTATTTAGCATCCTGACCTGTGTTAATTTCAGATACGGATGATCATTACAGCTAACTTTTTCACATACATCAAGTTTACACTTTACTGTATCATGATCCTCGTCATATAACGGCAAGTCAACACTGCCTGGGCAGCCTGCTTGGAACCTGAAAAATAAAGTTTGTTTTGAAAATAAATATATAGAAATGGTCTGACAGGAAGAATGTATTTAACGTTATTATCTAACGACTCAACCCGTTTTGACTACTTTAATTCGAATTAGACAAATTACGGATATATTCCAGACTTAGTGACTTGACACCTGATGATGCTTTCAGCGGTCTTATAAATAGTTTTTTGGATAAATTATCATTTTCTACGTTTCCAATCATGGCGTGTACGAATAGTAAATTCATTTATATATATATATATTGTGCAGCTTAATTATGTTAGTTAATTTATATAATATCATTCAAAAATATGTGTTGCAATATTGACTGTAACTATTGGGGAACCGCAACTATCTCAGCTATCTTTAGCACGGATTAAATGTGTTACGGAATTTGTCGATGATACGGCTAAATAAGACAAGGCACAAAGCCTGCTTAGATGCTGTTAGACACGCATCATTTAGAATTGACGAGGTGATGAGAGCCAGCTGAAGGGTCAAATTGTTTACTTTGTGCCGCTTCCCTCCGGTATTTTGCTTTTCTCGTAACTTAAGACAAACTGTAGTCATATATCGTACTAAAATCCCGATTTCAGTGTACATACAAAACACTCGATTTGAAAGATTACCTGATAACTGGTGTTGCCGTAGCAATAGGTGGGCGATTCGGATTTCCGGTATCGGATCGAATTCCAACTGACCCACCAAACGTCATATTCCATTCGACTTGTTCGGCAGTAACGTAAACCAAACTTGAAATCCAGCAACATCCTGTGAATCTATAATAAGAAAAAAAAAATGCAAAACAAACAGACCCACGTTTTGCAGTTCGATAAGCCAACTGCCTTTAAAGGCCTATAATATTTACAAGAGGAGAAGACAGTTATCGTGTCGAGGAAGTAGTCTACTTCAATCCCGGGAGGAGAACATGGCAATGTTACGACTTTCACCAGTCACGTCCACGCATGTTAAAATGTCATTCAATTACAGTTTTCTAAAACTTGCTCGTAATTGCAATCGAATGAAGGGTTATGGTTATAGAAGCTTTTCCTTTATGGAAACTTTTTTTCTGAGATGAATACGGAAGCTCTTATTGAAATGACCAACGTCATATACCAGTACAATGGGGGTTGAATTATCTCCCATAAATGTCACAATATTGAAATAAGGATACAATAAAATCAAATAGATATTGCTCTTACGTCATAGCAAAGTAATCCACTCCAGTAATATTGAACGCCACGGTCCTAGATCCCACAGTCCAGTCGTCTTTTTCGTCAAATTCTGAGCAAATGACTCCATCAAACGATACTGAACCGCTGCATCCATCAATACATTCCCATACATATGAATCATTATGTCGCAGGATTTTCCCGGAGTCTACGTCAGTTTGGTCACAAAACGTTGAGCCGGAATTTGATCTTCTCCAAGCAATACGAAAATCGATTAGAATCTGAACAAGTTGAGATGGTAATATTTTAAATTGTATATGGCATAATATAACAAGCGTCTATATCCCGATATCAGCCTCAAAACTCATGCATCAAGATATCGGTATCTGAATCTTTTAAATGAATAAACCTAATTGTCTCAAATTTTATTGTAGCAGTAATCTTATTTTCGGTTCCATTACATTTGAACCACGTACATCTGAACCCACGACAATTGCACCTGCATACTATTGCACCTATAGAATTTTTTTTTGTTTTACGGATATTTGAACCCATACTAACCCTAACCCATGGGTTTTAGCACCCGCATATAGATTAAACCCGCGGATATACACATGGGTTCAAATGTACATGATTCAAATGTACGTTGGTTCGAATGTACGGTCACCGATTTTAGATATTTAGTAGGTGGAAATTTGACAAATAGCGTCATCAATGTATGTATGTCACGCATATATATATGTAAATTTTTTTCTAAAATATAGGTCTATAAAGTAACGATTTCAGCTCATTGGATCATCGAATGTGTATCGCACAGAAGCATTATAAATACATATATTCATAGTATATACAAATTGTTCGGAGAAGCTATTGCATCAAATCCATTGTCTCTGATGTGATTTACGTTTTGCCATCCGGCCCTGAACCATTATTTGACTGTTGGATACTAAAATTGACTTCACATCTCTCGGAGTTTTGAGGTACACGCGTTGCTATCGGTCGTGTTGTTTTGTAAACATGCATAGGCTTACCGTATCCATTAGTTTAGTGTTTGCTTTCTTCCCAAAAAGAGCTTATGCAGAAAATCCAATTATCGGATATAATTAGACATTAAATGCTGTTATCACGATCATGTTTTTTTTACGTTGTTGGCGTAGCTAACAACTTATTTACAACATGAGATTTATAAAGCAATAGCACTTTATTAAACATAAAGACATTTGCTTGTTCACAAATAAACATTTTATTTGCTAAACTAAACATTGTTGTACATATAAGATTGAATATTTCGTGATGTCTTGGTGTCTTTCATTACGAGACTAATTCTAAGTTAAGTTTCAAAACCCATCAGTATTAATAGGAATTCGAGTATTAAACCTTCCAAAATGTTGGAACAGCTGTACTGTATTTTTTTTCTTTTCTTCAAATATCTTTTTGTGTGGCGCATGCAGGGATTACATAATCGTGCGAAAATAAGGAAAGAGTGCATTGTAGTTTATGGTAGATTTCGGCACCAAATGCATATACGTTAAAGAAACAGATGAGCTGATTATATTCAAATTCTTTAAATGTGAATTAAAAAGCAATACGAATTTATATACCGGTAATTAAAACTGATCTATGTAAATAGGATTTTTAATCCCATATTATGATGCTTTTGAAATAATTGTTTGGACGTCAATAAAATTATCGTTCTGATCCAAGCGTTGTGACATTATCTTGCAATAGTGGTGTGTTGTACCTATTGTTACATTCTGATTTTAAAATAGAGGCAGATGAATATGATAGGAAGCATTGTTCTAGCAAGTTAACAAGTTTTACTCGGCCAAATACAAAGCTTTTTTGGGGTTTGCGAAGTGAGGAAATAATAATTGCTCCGATTAACGCACGAGCGAACTCTGTCACAGCTTTTGCGCAAAAGAGAGAAAATCGGAAAGTCATGGGTCAAAAATCGCTGCAGTACTTTCCCTCCCAACCCCCTACGAGCGACGTACGTATCACGTATTTTCAGGGCATCTTATTTTCAACTCATGTCAGATAGAACTAAAAAATAGTCTTTAGGAATAGGTGATCAAGGGGTTAGTAAGTTACAGTATCGCGTGCAAACAGCCATACCACAATATCTCTCTTGCTAGATCACGCCCTCACAAAACACGCTAATGACATTACAAGTTTGTTTTTTGAGAAAAAAAATATTTATTCCCGTCATGGAGGATTTACGGATAAAGGTCAATTAAATCAAAATTTGTAAACTGAAGTACATATAAATTATGACAAGATTGAAAAGCTTTCTATCATAAATTACTTTACTGAATATTATATATAAATATATATATATATCGTGAATGTTTTCAATTACTGATATCGTAAAACGCAAATCTAACGCATATAATTGTCCATCCTAAAACTAGATTCAAATTATACATATCACTTTTCCAAATATTCATATTCTGATATAAAATGTATTCTGTGATATGAAATGACATTTTCATAAAAAAAGATATTGTTTTATCATGTATCACAATCCGTAGTTATTATCTGATGCGATTTTTTTTTTTGACGAACGAAATGAACTGGAAATATTGATATAATAATGTGAGAAGAATTTATTTTTGCTGTAAACTTCAGGAAAATTTAAGATTGAGATACTAATGCGAATTTAAGACTGCTAAATAAACGATCTTATTAGTAAAAATAAATATAATAAATGAATTATTGTCGTAACGACGCTGCAGCACAGTGTCTGATGATGCGGAAAACCTACTCTCGACAATTATCTCAAATTTCACCTTCGTTATTGTGGGCAATTCTTGAAGAGCTAAAAATAAAAAAGTAAACTGGGACTATTTTCACACCACAAATATCTCAGAGTGTTTACAGTTCCATCTGTTTTTAAAATGCTATCTTCTAAATTATATTCGGTAGCATACAAACTATCATCGGTTCATTGTTAGAGGTTTACTTTTATTAATTGCGTGCCTAGTTTATGGTCATTTGATTTGAATTAATTTCTTTATTTACCAGATTTTACGCGCGTGTAATAATCCAATCACTCAGTTTTGCAATTTTGTGTAATTTGTTGGCGCCATGAATAACAAAATTAAGATTGAACCTTGTTTTGCTTTCGAAAAGTCCTGGTCTGACATCGAGAAGACAATAACCAGAAACAAATACGACTTTGGTTACAGTAGATGAATTTTATAAACGAAATTGCACAATAGTGCAATAGTGTTCACAATAGTGTTGCAATCAAACATGATTTCAATACACATGAACCAAAGAGTCAAGTAATTACCCTTATACTTCATTGGACCACAAATGCATCGTAACCTGACCCATTATGTAGTATCAAGAAATGTTTTTACGAAAATATATTTCAGGAGTTCAAGTTTTACATGTTTTTAAATATGTAATGGTATTTGCATCGAAATGAAATCTCCCTCACTAATCCTATTACGCAAACCAAACTACTGGTTGAAAACCACATATCCTTGGCTCAAATACATATATTTTTTATGGTCTTTAGTCATTATTTTATAATTTTAACGAGCACATAAAATCGTTGAAAGCGATAATAAATGTGTAACTAATTTTCCCAGAACTCCGGACACAAACGCGGATTATTCCGGTGTACCGCAAAACTATTACTCGTTTGGTCTTAGGAAGAGATCGCCTTTCAAAAATATCTTACTTAGCTCTTTACATTTTATAGAATAATGCACGTGAAGCGATCCGCCTACGGGACATCGACTTGTAAGTATACAACCAACCTGTACTTTTACTGCGCCGTATGTGCATAAAACTCTATTGTTATTATCTATTACATAAAGAATATGCCAAGGTCGTGAACTAAATAGGCCACTTTGACTTTTAATAGAAAATTTTGTTGTTTGGCTACCAAATCGGTCGGGAATAAGGTTAACTTCAGAATAAGTTTGCCTGCCTGAAAAATCCCCCAAAATTTACGCCCGTAAATGGGTCACCCCGAAAATGTCTAAATTTACGTTTCTGTTAAATATTTTGCAACTTATAGGATGTTGGAATAATAGCCATATCACACCATCTCGAGTAAAACGATTTATTATATCAGTTATATTCTAAGCGCACTAAAGTACAAAGATAAATTATCGCTTCGCACGCACCAATATTTGTTTCGAACTTTACAAATTCCACATACCGTGTAATACCTACCGCAGTTAGCATTTGACGTCTCTCGATTTGGAAATGCATGAAATTACGGACTTAAAACATTATAAGAATACGATTTGGATGATTAGTGATGAGCACCAGAGAAATTAATGAAACAAAAGATTGTAAACGATTAGGTGTTAATGATCCCTATCCCACAATAGACAGGGAATACAAGCAAGACAAATGAATAAATGTGGTTGTCAGTAAACCTAATAAAAAAAAACGATGGAATATTCATTTTCACGAGAAAAGCCCACTGACCATTGTTTTTTACATTTCAGTGTTTAGGGATGTCCTGTGAGTATGAAAGACGATTGCCTGATTGGTATCACTATTTCAAAACATTTATACAGAATTAAATTAACATTGCATCTATCGCTATGAAAGTTTGGCGCTCCGTAAGTATTTGTAATAAGATGACATACAACCTGAACAACCCTGAACTGTTACACATACTATATTCAGGCTGTGTGCCATCTTGTTACGAATACTTCGGGAGCACCGAAAGTTTAAATAAGAGTTGATCTCTTTGTATGGATCAGATAGATACCTTCCCCTGTATAAATTTTGCTTGGAACTTGGGATTTATCGACGTTCAAAAATGTATCACATATGATTGGCCCGGATATGACAAACATATTGCAAACTATCTAACATATTTTTGATTTTGTCTCAAGATAATAAAAAATTCAATAATTGATTGTTATATTTTAAGCTAAATATTCTTTTTTGATAACTTTAGCCATGCCGATGTTATCAATGAGCTTTTTCTTTGATTGCTTCGACTTTTTTCATGTCTAAAGTCAATTTATATAATCATTATAAACTTTTAATTCTTGTCAATCGCTTCTTTTCGAGAAATATAGCCTAAACAAACACTTGCAACACCTGAATGTGTATTACATATTCAGTATATGCGAATGTGAATCAAATTTCATTGTTATTTTACCATTTTTGTAATTCTTACCTCTGTAATATCTTCGTCTGTATAAATTGTTCCAGGACGCCACGACACTGAACCTCCTTCATAGTGGGATGAAGACGCACATTTCAAACTTAATGTATAAACCGTTAAAATCCATAAAAAGATATGTAATACCTTCCCAGCATCCATAAGCATATTTACAACTGTGTATAACTATAAAAATGAACGAATGATAGCATAGAAAAAAGAAATTGAAAATTTTTACATTAATAATTTTCAAATGAAAAGAAAATAGCTTGAAACATAAAAAAAAAAATTTTTATACAAAAAATTCAACGATTTTGAATAGCATACAACGAGAATCTTTGTCGACTCGGAAAGAAAGAAAATTGCGCCAGACAATTGCTGTTTATCCTCAACCCAAAAGGAAGTTTTAGTAACAACAGAGGAGGGTGCGCCCACTTCATGACGTAGGCGCTCGACTGGTATTTAATATATTCCTCAGTTTACCTGTTTCTTACTTTAAATTATACATATAGTCAAAAAATTTTGGTTATGTACGGTCGATATTGTTGGTATTCTATATGCAGTACATGCATGGTCAAAAATCAAAACGAAATGAGTAGAAAAGCCTACAGACGATGTGGATGATTCTCGTTTCCCTGACCTTTGACCATACTTGATTCTTTGCAAAACGCAGTTTACTACGTATTGTTCAGTCAAACGTGTATTACTTTCGAAAAAATGAAAAAAGGAAGGCCACCGCAACTCTCTTCTGCCCAATATTAACAGTTTGCACCAAAAGCAGGCTGCATGACACAGGTCAATAACGCTTTGTTGGCGCCGTCAATGTCTGACATTATGGAAGAGTGTCAATTGACGCCAGAACGAAATATATACTACAGCATTTTGAAGACTTGAAATAAGATAGTCTTTGCAATTCACAATGTTATTCATATTACAATTTTTTCCAAACAAAACATATTAAATATTTTCTGCTTTTTTTCAAACAAACTGGTAAAAAAATGTCACAAATCTAATTAAAAGCGTTACGGCAATGTCATCGCATTCGATATTTACTTTAACCGTGAATATAATGGAAATTTTCATTACTGTGCAGATTGATTGTTTTTCTGTCGCACACAACAAAAAGTAAATAGTGAATTTTGAGTTCACACTTTCTTGTGATAATAATTTTTCTTTGTGTTTTTGGTCTCGTTTTGCAGCAGTTTAACGAAGTCAATTTACATCCTTCTTTTCGTGGTTTGTGATCCGAAAATAATCTTCAATTACATTTTCGAATTATCTTCATAAAATGGGTTGAAATTGCCCAGCACTTGTATTATTTTACCAACCGCGTGTGCATGGCCTGTTGAGAATTTGTCGTCATAAGCGCCCATTTGTATCAAATCGTCAAAGTTACTCATTCACGAAATATTATAATCTGGTTTTATGCGAAATCCCTTCGTGACCTCGTGATTTTTTCTCCCAAAACTAAGCCCATTTTGAAAATGGTGTGCCGTTTATGACTAAAAATGCTATTTTATACTTCTTATATTTTGTGCATTTATAGTATTTTTATTATTTAGCGCAGACTTCAATTTTTAGAGTTTTCAAAATGCGAATTTACTAAAATAATAAACTGACAGGTATTGTCGCCTCTTATATTCTGTATGCCGGTGTCGTACATTTTATAATTTCTCAAAAATAAATCACTTTTCATAAATCAACGTTTTTTTGAACTTTTCAACTCAATCCACTTGTTTTGATGTAGTTTTTGTGAATTTCTTCTCTCTTTTTTAATTTCGTTTGAAATTATCCAGATATCTGATTGTAACCAATATGAATTTGGATAAATATAAAAGTGCACAAAATAGTCTTCAATGTTGCTAAATTTATCTTATTCTCTCGTAATAAATTTGATCAAAACATTGGTGTTTTGGGGTAAATTCATTTCAACTTTTTGTGTTGTTGTTTATGAGTGTACATGATATTTGTTATTCAAAACATCTACGTATAGTTTGGTGCAGTAAAATCAGTAATGATTATCCAATCAAATACACCTTTTTTAATTTGTTAGTGTAATGAGAAAAAACTGAAATTTAAAATCTCTATTTCGGCTTTCGATTCAGTTTCATGCATATACTTAATCATCGATCCTGAACTATATTGTGACTGCATCATGGTATAGTAAAAACATATCGGTGAACTTGATCAGCGCGATAATCGAAAGTTACGTTTGGGGTCAGCGGGTAAAGAAATACATCTCAACATGGGTGGGAAAATAGCGACATGGCGGAACCCCATATTTTACAATTCGAGACGAAACTAACTGCTAGGTATTCACAGATATATCCCAGTAAATTATACGTCTAAGAAAGTCGTTACGATGTTTAGCGATTTCGATTAAAGGTTGTAAGAGCATTATTGTGTTTCACCTAAGCCCCCATTTACTAGTTATTGAGCTTCGCTCATGATATTTAGTAAATATGACAAAAGTGGTTCTTGTTTTCCCGTGTAACACAATTGCTATTATACCTATTCCTTTGTGTATGCATTGCAGATGATATAAATCGGTACGTACAATAATATCATGCCTACTTATACAGGCGCGTCGGATTTTTGCTTGCGACTTGATCAACTATGTTGGAATTACACGATGCACATATAGAGGCTTTTGTTCAGTTTATTAATTAACTAGGCGTTAACTACACTAAGGAACGCGAATCCCCGCGGTTAGCGCATGGAATCGGCGAATATGTGATTCATTACCACAGAAGTAATTGGTGTTCCCGTAGTATTCGTACCAAGATGGCGCACAACTTGAACATAGTATGTGTACCAGGTTAGCAGGTTGTGCGCCATCTTGGTACGAATACTACAGGAGCGCCAAGTAATTAGCTCATTCAACATTTACAAAATCTTCTGGAAAAGCATCAACTCCAAAATCTGACTGTTTATTAATTATTACTATTACTGGGCATTTTCGATTACCTAAGATTTTTTTTCGAAACAAATGCTTGGAAGATAATTATGTTATTTTCTTACTGAAATGGGTCATCCAGAGACGCATAAAATACTGAAGACATAGAATCTACCATTCAGACAGTTTGCCGAGCGTTCATACGCAATAAAAAACTTATTTCATCGATAACTCACTGGGAAGATAAGAGTTTAGTTGCATTTTCACAATAGGACTTCAAAAAATTCAGATTCAGCTCGACCTTTTGTGAACAAAAAAGGCAAGATGGTGACGATTGGAAATTCTAGTCTGGACCGATCCTAATAATTACAAAGAAATAACACCGATGTGTCTTTACTCCAATAATACTGGTTGTATATATAGTAAAGTTCATAAGCAAATCGTGCTATGGCTGAATAGCCAAGAACAAATCAGAATCTATAGAAGAGGAGACATTGGAACCTGCAACGAGATGATATTTAATTGTCAAAGCCGACATAGTTTGGCCTATCACATAAATGTTGCGTTCTTCTCATCAGATCCATACCTACGAAATTTCTCAAAATACATTCAGTTGGATATCTACCTAGAAATTCTAAAATCGTACAAAACATCGATTTTGACAGGCATATATTTATTGAAAAACAAAGAATTTGACAACATGTGGTCCATTTGTGAAACTGTAATTGGATAAACCGATTCACATTACCAAAAATTCTGTGAGACAGTTTTCCACAATGTGAAGAAATATTAATTGTAAAATCTATCACATGGAAAAACATTTTAATTTACCAAGTTCTTTGCTTTGGAAAGTAACCACAATCAGACATCCAACATGCATGACATATCGATTATCATGTCGTTATATCAAGTTACTACATAAATTTCCTATTCCGCAGGGTACAAGGATTACCATCTATTCATTTAGAATTACAGCAAAAAATCAATCATATATGATAAAGCCAACCGAACATCTATCTTAAGAAAAGTGTTTGTCCACACTGATATAGATTAAAAAATAGGTCTCATATCTTCAATGTCGCACAACCTGCCACTTTTTTTCAGAAATATTCATGTCATCAGCCAATCTAGCCATATAAAATATACATCAGTTATATATATATATAACAATGCCAAAAAGAAGTTCTTGGAACTGGAGCAAAAGCTGAGAAATTACGAGAAAAGAGACAATAATAGGAACTATACAAATTCGATACACACAATATCAGAGTCTTAATAGTGTACAAATACGCCAGCACGCAAGACCCGTATTCAATTCAATGCGATTCAATATCAAAGTATGTACAGAAAAGTTCGAATCTTCGAGTTTGGAAAATCCGAACAATCGTTTGAATCAGTCATAGGTGCGTAGTATAGCAAAGAGAAAATAAATGAATACTTTAGAATACACAGTATATGATAATATCATATTGTTTTTTAATGATGTAAAATAGAACTGCTTTCAATTTTCATCTTTGTCATTTTGTATTTTCACTTCCATCAGGTTGGTCTCCAGTAGTAACTTCTTCCTGCTGTAATGCAAAACCATGGATTTTTTTTATCTCACACATTTAGAAAGAATCTACATTGAAAATTTCAACATTTTTGTTATTTGAAATACCAACCATTGCCAGCCATTTAAAACAGGAGTGTGCAATCTGCGGCCCACAAAGAAAAATTGTGCGGCCCACGGATAAGTGCGAATTTTAAATGGTGTGCGGCTCGCGAAACGAGTTTTCAATAAAGTTGGATTTGGTGTGTGCAAGTAATTCCAATTCCTTTGCGTTGCAAAGCCTATACCCGAGTCAAAATTATTATCTATGCATATGACGTTACAATGCCCTAACAGCTAGCTTGTGAGATGTGAACAACGCATGTCATAGTATCAATAACTAAAATTTTTGTGCCTATTCAGGAATTTATTCAGGAATGGTTGACTTTCTACCTTAGGTTCCCCAGATACAACTGGTTTAGTTGGTAAGTTGATATTTGCTGAAGAAGTTGATGGAGTTCCACCAGAATGAAGTTCAATCTGTTCAGTTGTTGAAGTTCCCGATGTTCCTGCTTCTGATTCCTGAAAATGATTAAAGCTTTTTGTCAGTTATGTATCAATCAGATGGATACGAGGCAAGGATTGAATAAAGTGGAATATAAGTAAAGTTTTTTCAAATGACATAATCAAATTGCTTTGAAATTGGCTACATAAGTTAGACTTTTCAACTACAACAAGGGTGTGCAATCTTCAATACGGGCGGGCCAGATACAAATAACTGGCCGAAACCGTGGGCCGCACCTCCATTCAATATAGGCTTACTAGTAGTTGCACGCATAATTCTAATGTCATAGGCATCAGCCATTAGGTATAGGCTTTGCTTGTTCTGAGAATAAAATCTAAATCATGTACCTGATTCTCAGCCTGAGTATAAGTTGTACCAACAGTAGGATCAGACATTGGACAGGGATCAGTTTCAGAATCTTCTACATTATCAACTTCTTCTGGTTCCTAAAATAAAAAGAAATAACATTATCTTAAATTATTACCTATATGTTCTCTAAGTTTTGAGAAAACATTCATTCATAAAAACAGAGGGTACTAGGATATTGTATATTGAACTGAAGATTATTTCTTCGTCCTACTCCCTATTCCGGAATCTAATACCGTATTTGCTAGTTTGTAGCCCGAGCTCATATTTTTTTAACCAAACTCACTATACCGGGCCCTTATTCAAACCGGCCCCTATTCAAGCACAGGCGCTTGTTATTTTTAAAGTAAAATTACACACAAAAATTACGGTATCTTTGATGACAATAATTAATATATTGTCATTTCCAGTTCTCACGTATGATTTAACCGAGAATAACGAAAATTTTGACTTTTTCTACGCACCGCAGGTACAAATCAGCAAAAGAAGAAAAGTTTTGCGACGCCCTATCATATTGAAAAGACGCACTTGGGCGTCGCGACGCCAAGTTTGAGAACCACGGTGTTACGTAATCAATGCTATCTGTTATGTAATTGGACGCCTAGACGTGAGTGTTCTGGTCTTTTATGTTCTGGTCGCGACGCCCAGTTTGAGAACCACGGTGTTATGTAATCAATGCTATCTGTTATGTAATTGGACGCCTAGACGCGAGTGTTATCTACCAGCGCTATTCAAGCACCAGCCCTTTTTTATTTTTATGTTCTGTTCACACGGGCGGCTATTCAAACGGGCCCTTAATCAAGATCGGGTGGTAAAAGGAGCATATACGGTATGTCCGTTTCCACAATGATGTTTAAAGTAGATAGTATTAGAGTTATAAATCAAGCGAACAGCTGTTTGATTAAGTTATATCTTGTTTTGACGAAAAAGTAAGACTACGATCTAACAAAAGCTCACAAATATACTTGCTATTTTGCAGAAAAAGATTATGTTACTCTCATTGACAATATTCGTCATTGACAATTAGTATAGCCATATAGTCATGAACTGCCAATTTTAAGGATAATGAATCATGTAAACTAGCATCATGCCAATGAAGCATACGGATGAATAAAAACCAAATTATTCCAATACAAAGTCAGTTATGCTACCATATGACAACTCATAATTCACGAACAGCGAATATTAAGGATAGGTAAATCATGTAAACTAGCATCATGCCAATAACATCATATGCTTAAATAAAAACCAATTTTCTCAATATTATTTTTAAAGTAAAATTATACACAAAAACCGTGTCATAGCCCAAGTCCCAACTGCTTATAATTAGAGATGGGCACTGTATAAAAACTAGGTATGCCCATACATCAGATTAGTGTGTTATAATAATTCCAATTTAAAATATTCAAATTGATAAATTCAGGAAATATTATAATAGATAGACAGTAGAATGTTACTAAAATACATCTGTGTTAGAGCAACACTCTAAAATCGCTCCTAAATAATTTGTACACAAAAGCTGAAATATTTATTTCAATTCAGGTATAACTGTTACTCTTAACGTTCCAATTCAAGTTAGGTATTTTTGCTTACATCTTCTGGTAGAAGTTGACAAGCTCTTTGAAGTGTTAATCTAGCACTCGGAGATCTTTCTAAGAAATATCCATTTGAAGTTTCATTGGACTGAGCAGGGGGAGACCAGTTATTATACGAGTATTGCATTCCGCTACCAGATCCATATGTTCGTCTTTCAAGTTCATCACCGAGCCTGAAATGATAAAATGAAAATATTTTTGGCAGGAAGTTCTATAATAATATTTTATCAATATTTAACATGAATGCATAAACACTGAGGATTTTTGAGTTAAAAACAACAAAATTTAAACAGCAAAATATTATCTTTACTCAGAGTCAGGATAAATCACTAATCAAATCAATACTAATATATATATATATATAAAGTGCTACGTTTCGAACAAGACTTTTTTGTTTTTGTTTTAGTCTATAATATACTCAATTCTTAACCTTTGGGTTGGATGAGGTCTAACAAAATTCGGGCTGTGGTAGCTTCGCCATGAACAATAAAGAAATGACATAAATGCCTTTTTCTCTCTAAATTACCAAAGGTAAAATTATTATAGGATAGAAAAGTTTCTGGTTCAGTCTATACCATTCAGTTTCTTAAATCTTGCGTTGGGTCAAGTCAGTGGTTCTAAAACTTTCATGTTCTGGGGCTTTCTTCAACACTTCATGGTCCCCGCAACCTAGTTTTGTTTTTAATGGATTCCCACCAATTATTTTATGCACCACATTTAATAATGATAACTTGATAAGTCAAGAAACGGAAATTAAGAATAAATTTATTTTGGTCTAAGAATTAAACAAATTTACACTAATTTACTTCAAAATGATGTAATCAATGTAAATAGTACAGAGTGAAGGTATTTGGTCTTGACCCCAGAGAATGACGTAGTGGCACCCATTGGGAAGAAGGCCCAGTTTGGGAAATCCTGGGTTAGGCGGCGGGCATATCAGAATATGACACAATATGACTCTAACACAACTACCAAATAAAAGCTGAACTCTGACTCTGTATAAACACTTACCATTCGACTGCCCATGACCATTTCTTTTTCATATCTCCGTTATTCATTAAAAGCTGGTAAGCGACTTCACAATTTGAGAACAAAACCGTCAAACTTTTGATACATTGATAAGCTCTTTTGGCATAGTGAGATTTTGAACGTTGTATCGTAGCAAACAATCCATCTCTGTCATCTGGTATTCCTTTCAGAGCGTTGATGATTCTGTGACAAAAAGTCATTTAGGAAAAAAGAAACAGTTCATAATAAATAAAGCAAATTTTCACTCAATGAACATATAATGTTCAGAGTACGACAATATCCAAAAAATTGAATTAAGAGTTTTGATACCCCGAATTCATAATATGCTGAATAGTTTTTGATAATATGTTTATTTAACTCTATCTCTACTGTGAAAGATGACTGTCGACTGCATAGGTGAATTAGGAAATCTCTGTCTAAAATCAATTTTAGGGCAAAGGAGATGGCGTTTAAAACTTTTGGCCACATTTACACTTTCCATAAAAATAAATAGCAGCCATTACCTTTGAGTTTGCCAGCTATCTTGAATCATTAGAACTTGAAATAGTAAATCCAAGAAAGGTCGAAGTTCATGTGTGTAAGAGAACGATACGTGCCATAACAACTGACTCAACACAGCTCCAGAGAATGCTGGATTCTCCCAACAACAATATCTAGGATAAACAAATCGGTTTTATAATTCTTGAAGGTAAAAAAATAAGTAAACTACAAACTCAGAAATTTGACAAACCAAAGTAAATTGAACGAGACAAAGCCAAATGAAATGGTCCAGGACAAGTGAATAAGCCAAAGCCAGATGAATAAGCCAAAGCCAAATGAATAAGCCAAAGTCAAATGAATAAGCCAAAGTCAAATAAATAAGCCAAAGTCAAATAAATAGGTGGATAATACAAAATCAATTGAATAAGCCAAAGCCCAATAAGTAAGCCAAAGTCAAATAAATAAGCCAAAGTCAAATAAATAGGTGGATAATACAAAATCAATTGAATAAGCCAAAGTCCAATAAGTAAGCCAAAGTCAAATAAATAAGTCAAAGTCCAATAAAAACCCCATGTTGACCACCTCATCCGGGGTTAAAAAATTGAAAAAAAACAGCTAGAAGTAAAAAATTTGGCTTTTGAAAATATTACTCTTATTCAAGAGTATATATTGAAAACCCGAAACGAACAATAAATAGTACCTCAGCAATTTTACAGTATCATCGGCAGTGTTGTTGTCCTCAATAATTTTCTTCATATAATTTTTACTTGTGAATAGTTTTTCTGCAACGTTAGCTTGCAACTGCATAAGTGGTTGTTTGATTCCACGATCAGCCATTGGCATAGGTAATGGTCTGGTTCCTGTAATGAATAATTATACTTGTCCACAATGTTCGTCGATAAATACCCGTATAGATATTTGAGCTTTTTTCATGTTAGACACAACAAGACTTGTTAGGGTATGAAGTTTGACTTATAAATCTTGAAAATATTTTTTTCTTAATGCAAGTTTTAAAATGTGTTATTGACTTTATATGGGACCAGTTTAAATTTTTAAAGGAAGTTCTAAAGCTCGTTCAAAATGCCGGACTGGCGGCAAATTCAATAGCCATGTCAACCTGTGAACTTGACACTTAAGTGGGAGTGCATAAAAGTTGCCAATATTGGAGTGCTGAATAATCTCAACCCACAAATTTCAACATTAGTGTAAGACTGAAATAAAGTTGTCCTTTAAATCAGGGTCGTACTAGCTATTTTAGTCTAACTTGGCAATTTAACAATGTATCTCGAAGCAAGCTAAATAAAAATACAATCTGAGGACCTCTCATTTCAGGGCATCAAATTAATCCAACTTTTGCAGTGCGATCAAATTCAAAAGCAGACAACCATCATTACCTGCTTTAGAGCTGTGATAATACATTGACACATCACAACAACGAATCAACAGAGAAACAACAGCATATAGCTTTCCCAGTTCAGCATATTGATATTTGATTGGAGGACCAGGACCTTCGTCCAATGCTACTTTCATCAGGAGATAAGGAACATCCATTTTCAATAACTGAAAGTTTTAATGATGATTTTATAACTAAATAACATCACTTAGGAATATGTGACAAACTTAGTATAGAATGATATTCGGTTCATGGATAAAATAGAAAAATGATCATAAGACAATTTTTCGCTATTAGCGGAAATAAATAAAAAAAACAGCCTAATTTCAATACCAGAAAATAAGTGCGCGCTAGTCATTGGTAACTAACCATATAAAAAGAATACAAGAATGGCGGCCATGGCAGCATTTTTCAAAATTGAGTTGAAAAATCAGTAATTTTGACCTAAAATTTATGATCAATCACAGACGAAAAACATTCAAAATGAATTTATATATGTATAATTTCATTTTGTTGTGTTGATATTTGAACATTGTGAATAGAACATACCTGGTGCTTATTTTTAGGACCAAGATTAGCAAACATCAGGAAAAGTGAAAAATATTGAGTCAAATGTCGACCATTTTCCGCAACTTCTTTATGAAGAAGCAATAATATAGAATGGAGTATGTAGTCACTCAACGTAAGCTGCATTTGTGGCTCAGAAACTGAAAATCAGAGAAATGCATTCATTATTCTGAAAGAATCTTTCACTGTACATAATTAATATCATAAATCACCTATCGTAGTTATTACCAAAAGTAAGGATAATAACGAAAGAGCGATGCTAAAATATATTAAAACGAAGAAATTACGGGTATTCAATCTGTCACAGTAAACAACCAGTACCACAGTTCTCACGACTTCGCCTGACCACCAGATCACGAACAGCCACCAGGTGCACAATTTTCAATTTCGATGACACCAATTTTTAATTTTAATGTTGTGATGCAAACAAAAAACGAATTCCTTACAGCCCACAGAAATTTTCGAAATAAATAAAAGTAATAGCCTTCTGGTGAAAAATACAATCTTTCACCACTGGAAATTTCAAAGCAAATGGTCCAGTAGTTAATGGGAAAAGCCACACGCACACTTTGTGTCCAATAACTGTTGATAATTCAGAAATTCAATAATAAAATATGGAGTGATTATAGAGCATAAATAGCAAAAACTTTTTGACTTCGACGAAGAAAATTAAAAGCAGAAATAAAATGGGAAATAATCTTGCTAGGTTGATAATCTTGAGGAAAGGAAAAAAATGTAATTGAGTTACAAACGTGCATTTTCAAAATTTCAAAATTATTATTATTAGAGGTTATTTTTCAAATTATTTCTCTGGTAATGATTCTGATGACTCGTAGAGGAATTTTATGATGATTTTTGTTCCTAACAGTAGTATATATAAATCTGGATTCTTTGTTTTATACAAGGTTGCGTAATTTAAAAATACTCACAGCTTTGACGAAATATCTCAGGTGGTGAAACAAACCCATCACTCATTGTATAATGAGCTAAAAACACCAATAATTTCGCAAACATGGCTCGAATTTCAGTTGAAAGACTTTCCAATAAATATTCTGATATTCTGTAAAAAAATTTACGTAAATTGCAGACAACATTTCACAACGAAAAAAAAAAACAGTTTCCTACGTACCTGCTTGGGTTACTGAACAACACATTGTGAATGAACCAACTTCTTGTATGTTTTGAACATTGCAATAATATATACAATGTTTCATACCAATCAATTGCTGCTCCGCGGACAGTCTTCTTTGTATGAAGACCTATAAATAACAAAAGTGAGATCACGTTTGGGGTTCATGGGGGGTTTTGAACCGCTTGAAAAAAAGTTGACTATTCAAAGTGATTCATTTTCCTAGAGGATCGGCCCGCTCATAAATGGCTAATCTGTGTTATAATTTGGGATTATGGCTAAATTAAATGTATTTTGGGGGGTCAATAGTATTTCATAGTGGTCTGCATGTGAACAAAACCAATTTCAAAACTCAAAATGTTTGAGTTTAAACTATCCATGCTTGATCCGAGTGTTCTTAATTACGGTGACGTCATCATATTTTTTTTATGTATAATTTTTATTTTGCAACAAGGTCAATTTTATTTGTATGAGTATTTCAAAGCTTAAAAATGAACAAAGAATCTGTTGTTAGTTGAAAACGAAGTATTTTGAACGCGCGAGCAACGTTCTCCGGCTTATTATAAACAAACAAAGATACCAGACAGCACGCGATCAAATGCTCTTCGATAAAACGAATATCACTTCACTTACAAATCCCAGTCTTGTTTTATTTTGAAGGTGACGTAAAGCTCTTCTAAAAGAGAACTCTTTCTCTCGCATATCAATCACGTGTCGACCACAGCGTTAAAAGTGAGAAACTTTTTCTCGAAATTTTTTGAAATTTCTCTCTTCTTACCGGCGTACGGCCGTACACATTTGCGCTACGTGATTTGGGCGCGTTTTAGTGGAAAGCGACGAAAATAAGCTTCTTAATAAGGACACATTATTGATGTTTTTGGCATTTTTAGTTGGTGAAATATTAAAAAAATTATAGAGGGGTGTCAAAATGACCCAGGGACACCCGAGATCATTAGGTTAACACATTTTGTCAGAGCAAAGCCAGACTTCCTCATACAAACATAATTTAAATATTGATTTTGGTGAGATGAAACATTACAGAAAGTTACAGTTAGTGTGCATCATGATTTTTTAATCACTTAAAATAGTTATACTCACTCTTGCTTACATAGTACGTATACACACCCATATGTATCCATCAGAGCCAAAGTTTAGAAAAGCGGAAAGTTTAGTTATGAAATCAAACAGATCGTACATATTTTATTAATGGTCTTGATCTAATTTCTTTATTTTCTAAACCAGTGGAACTCTAAATTTATCAAGTCTCGCACCCACCTCAAAAATAACTAGCTAACAATAAGCTATAAATACCAGATAGTAAGGCAAAAGTATGTCTTATTCAAAAAACAGGTTAAAAATATGTGGATGGAACGTAAATATCTAAAATAAAGAAATATAAATATCCAAAATAGGGCGGGCAAAATCGAATATTACAAATTTTTTATTTCTAATTATCTTCACGTCCCCACAAAATATTGTCTACGCCCACCTTGTGAGACACACCCAACCGTTTAAGGACCACCGATCTGAAGAGTATATTCAATGATATAGAGTAGATTGTGTCAATATTAATTAATCTGCTCATTATCCAAATTTCCCTAGTGTGGCATATATCTTGCTTTGCTTATGGATACAGCTACAAAATTAATATAAACAAAATAGGATGATGTTTGCGTGTTACAATGCAGACAGAGCTAAACTTTCCATTTACCTGTTGTGAAAAGAAACTTTGCTGCAAGCTGGGTACTGATCATTGCAAGTTTTTCTGCGTCTTCTTGTAAGCCATGAATTTTATCCGGAATGTAAAACTCATTGTTTATTCTAAGCAATCTCTGCATGAACCTAATATGAAATAAATAAATTAAAATATGGTGACAAGATGTGATGAACCATATAATAAGAAAGTGATGACTGCCATTTATCCTTGCCGGAAATATTGGCTCAAAATGATTGTATTAAGTATTAAATTACATAATTGAATTAAATACTGTCATAAATGTTTTTTCCTGTTGAAATTTCGCGTTCTGGAATTTTCTATAAAATTATCTTCATATTGATTGAAGATAATAGAAAATGATTTTTGGATGGTTACATTTCAATTTTTATTTTTATTTTTTTAACAAATCTTGTCATAACCTAGTAATCAGTGTTGGATAGAACCCCAAAAACCCCAACTCGCAAGTTGAGTCCGCATGAGTGCCCCGAGTCGAGTTGGTCACTGAGTTAAGTCTCACTAGCGAAAGTTGGTCATTCAGTTAAGCTCCGTTAACTCAATCACACTGGAAAACTCAATGAAGATTCGAGCAAATTGCTTCCAGTACTTACGTAAAATACTCTGGACTGAATTGCATTTTATTATGCATGAATTCAATGTTCTGATCTTGAACAAGTTGTTCCACATGTTTTGGGAGTTTGGGTCCATTGAATGAAGATCCGAGTGATAGGTCATGCAGACTTTTACTCAATTCATACGATCTTGTAACGTCAACTCTTTCATAGAATAGAAGATAAGCATTCCACCAACGTTTCTGTCTTCTGTATGACATCCTGAAATCATAAGAATTTGAGGCGCTCAAATTTTTGTTTGCCTACTTTACATCAAGTTGTGTAAAGAAACCTAAGGGAAGGAAACCTATGGGCCGGATGTATATTCAACTTGGCTAACAAGGACAGACCCCAAACTCGTAATAGAACTGAAATAGGGAAAACCGGAATAAAATTATGGCCTAACCCTGACCTGGTACAGATACTATGGAAGTAACGAATTTGATACTAAATTTATTTAAACCTCAAATGATAAAAATTACAGTAAATGGAGTTTAGAATACCTTTTCATCATGTGATCAAACACTTCACCGACGTATTCGCCACCAAAACATTGATTTTTCAATTCGTCGTCATCAAAATTACATTCTTGTACATCACCATCATCAAATTTATACCATTTATCGCCTCGCTAAAAATAGAATTTTGAGAAACAATTTTTCATAATCAAGGAAGCTATAGATAACTATATATATAGTATTTGTTACCTTAGATCTTTGTAAAATATACGAGTAATAATGTCCCCCACTTGCTTGTCCACTATGAACAACAACACCCACTAATCTGTATTTTGTTGGCACATCTTCATCTGCATCATCCATGTTTTCATCAATAACCTGATTGAAAAATAATAAAACATAGATATGGTGGATTGAAGTATTATTTTTGTTGAGCGTTGCAAACAAATATCCATTGCTTTCAAACGACTCACATACATGCGTGACGCGGCATTTTCAGCTATACAGGGCGAGACTTGGATTGTTGTAGAGTCGAACCAATGAGTTTGCGAGTCACAATGTACAGCAAGAATTGATAAATTGTTCAGTGAAAAGCTACCTCATTCATCACATTAATGATGTTTGTGTTGTAAATAAAACATACTTCCTTGTTCGTCAGACACACAAATTAAATAGGGAGAGGAGGGGGGAGCCGTCAAAACTAAAATTTAAAAAAAATGGGTCCGCGGCCAAAAACGTTTGAGAAACCCTGCCTCAGATCAGTGTTCTGTCATAAAAATTCAATATTAATTCAGTTTTACTACAAACATCACTAATCTCACCTCTCCTTCAATTTTTGACAATCCCGAAACAGTGTACGGTTCCATGTCAATCTCTCGAGTAAATTCAAAGTAATCATTGTATTTGATCGGACATTTTCTGTCATAATCATATTTAAATCTCATCAGTTGGATGGATAAAACAGGAGGAAGTTTCTTGAAACACATTCTTTTCACTGTGTCCACCTGAAAAATGGAAATATATTAAGTATGTCATTAGTCAAAATTAAGATCCACTGGTGTAGATAATAAATTGGGTAGGCAATTCGGAACAAAAAATACTCCAGTTACAGTAAATATAGTATCTCCTCCTCATTCCTAACATATCAGTGTGGGTTTGTACAGTGCCTTGATTTATGGAGTAATTGAATAGTATGTCATTATTTTACTGAAACAATCGTTTAAAATGTTCACAAAGTGAAACTGCATACAAAGCGTGATTCTTCAATGGCAGATAATACTTTCAAATGACTTGTGGTAATTTTGAATCTATTATTATTTCATTTACAATAGTTCGTAATGGCCATATTCACCATTTTCACAAAATAACGGAAAAAAAATTAGAGCAAAAAACATACCTTTTTGTTGCAGCGTTCACAAGTATAAGCATTATCACCTTCTAACAAATCACCTTTCACATAATTTTCCAACGAGTCGATAAGATTTTGATGAAGTAAAATATCAATGTTCAACGGCATGAAATCACCCTCATTTGAATATCTAAAAGGAATAAGTAATTCACAACACACATCTTATCCCAACCAAGTTTCAGCAAATGCTAAGTTGGGCAAATTTATTATTTTAGAAAAGTTGTCAGTCCTGAGCTGAAGCAAGCTCTTCAAATGCTTTTTTCTCATTCTGTGACAGATAAATCGATGAAATTACTCCTAATCAAGACTTGTTACCCTGTGTTTCCATCAGATGCAAGATTGATGAATTTCAAACACTTTAAGAATATGTTCTTGATTTTAATTTCTGATGGTGAAAAAGTGTATAAATTGTACATTGTACCTTGTACAATACCAATTATCCAAGAAACATGATGAGTACAATACTGAAATACAAGAGAGCCATACTGTAAGACTAAATGACTATCAAAATGTTGAAAATATTTTCAAGTCAAATGTTGAAATTTATTGAATGTCACAATTATGAAAGTGTGTATCAATTTATGATATGAAAATTCACCCACAAATTATACAAAAAAATGCAAATTGGGGTGTAATATTGGGGCTTGCAGGTCTCGAAGTAAATATGACAAAATCAAAAATTAAATAATAAACGAAAAGTTGAAATGACTGGTCCTTTAAATGTAAAAATTTTTTTTTCTTTTAACAACAACAACGATCATAACAAGAGCAGCAACAACATTTTGCAAAAAGAAACAAATGCATATTTCATGTCCCAAATTTTTCTAGTTTTTGAACATACGATAACTGGTATATCATATAATACAAATCAAACCTATGAGGACATCCTTTACAAATCTTTTGATCAGAAAATCTTCCTCCAAATACTTGTTTGAACAGGGGTGGTTGTTTAAGATGTTTCAACCCTTCATCTAAATCTTCAGTTATTGTACTGAAGAATTCTAAGGCATCATGCTGCTCACGAAGATTCACAGGTTCAGTCGAGTTTGCCAATCTAAAAATGAGTCGATATTTTATTTTCAAACGTACTTCCAGGCAGAGAATCACAAAAAAATTATTTTTTTCATAACTTTATTTCAAATTTTTTGCTTGAATTTTTATGCCAAGTTTTCGTTGCTTGGCAGAAAAGTCTAAATCATTAAAGCATTTTTCAAATATTCTAACATGGAATATGTATAACTCAACAAAACTAGAAAGGGTGTTATCTTTTAAGTATGATGACATTAAAAAGAAATTAATAAAAAAGTAACTATCAGTTGGGATTACACAAGACTAACTCTTTATCCAACCCCTATACCTTTAACTGGTCGATCAGAATGCTAATAATGCAAGGATGCTGTAACAAAAATAAAGACGAATGCACTATATAATTCAGAGTCCTGCTGGGCTGCTGAACAACAAAACAAATGTATTTCTGTGACATTCTGGCGACAATACCAACCTTTAACCACTGAAAATTTAAAGCAATTGGTCCAGTAATTTAGGAAATAAGCAATTTTTTCACAACAAGAAAAAAAAGACCAAAAACAACAACAATATGATAACAAAACGAGCCGCTTCACGTGCAACAAGAGGTAGATGAAGTCAGAGGGAAACATTATGTGAATAAAAAGTCTTCTAATATATCTCATAAGGTGTGAATGAATGAAAAATGAAGATCTTCCTTTTCATGTTTGTGTATTGGTGTTACTCGTAGAAGAGAAGCAATGGGATTAATTCATTAAAAATTAATCGTAGTTTTCTACGAAATATCTCCCACATAGCTAGTAAATAAAAATGTCTGTCAGATATTCTGATCATCTTCGAATTCTTAACGACATGATGACATTACTCTGGAGTGTAGTGAGTGGATAAATAATTTACAAACTACTGAGATTAAACCCCAGTTAAAGCTCGGCCAAGTATAATATCTTACTGAACTGATATTTTCAAGTCTGATCGATCACCGTCCACACATGAAAATAGAAAAATTGGAATAGTAATTTAAATCACACACTATCAATCTTGATATGCTTTCCCCATTTGAAAATTTAAAGTCGGCCGAATATAATCTGGGGATAAAGACACCGATTAAGGTCTGGAAGCTAACATTATATAATGCACTCATTACTTAAGAATAAGTTCAAATCACCAATACACACGTCTATAGGATAATGATCATTATTTATTTATGGGACTCCAGATTCATTTGCAACTTAGCACTTGGAGATGAGATCGAAAAAAGGAGAGATCTCCACGAACATATTTTTAATTGTGCCACTGGGAACTATAACAATGAAAGAGAATTTGAGAAAAAGAGATCCAAATTCTAAAAAAAGAGAAAAGGGTGGATTTTTTTTAGATGTTTGCAATGAATTGTTTTTAGCAGTTGCGTATTGTTGAAAAGTGGAGTTTGGATAAATATGACGAATGAACTAGAGAGATACGAGAAGATGTTAAATCGAATTCCCAAAGTTTTGTTTTTAATTTTGATGAATATGAAACTATGTGTAAGCATACCTGAAAATGGTGAGTATTGAAATCTATTATGACAGTTTGTGAGGGTCAAAGGGTAACTGTATGGATTAAGAATCATGTGAATAATGACAAAGGCCATTAGATTAAAATAATCTTTCCATAAGCATTACAGTTTGTTGAAAAGTGTAGATTTAAAAGAAGTTAAATAAATGAAACTTACAGTATGACAATTTCTAACAGTTTTTGTAAGAATAGAAAAATTTAATTTTTCTACAAATGCTTGATTATCAGTGACCAACGATGCGTCTCAGATGGTATAAAATTAAAATAGAATAAATCCAAATTCTTTGTTTTATTTTTATGAATATTTTGAAAGTATACAACTACGGTATTTAAAAAAAAAATCACGAAATTCGACTAAAAAGTCAAATTTTTTTTAAGCCAAATGCACTTGAAGAATTTTTCACAAATTGCTGAAAAAATGACTCTGCACTGGTAGACAGAGGTATAAACTGAAACGATTCCAAATCATTGACTTGGCCAAATAACAGCAAATAATTATGTAAAATATATAAACATATATGTAATATAATTTCAGGACAATGGGGAAGTTGGAAAGATTCGGAAAGATGGAATTTATGTCTAGGGTCAAGGTTCAAGTATAACTGTACGAGAGGTGAACCTACAAATTTAATCAGAGAAGAAGAATTGGTTTGTAGTCAAGGAATATTTTATCAAACAATCAATGAAGTTTTGGATGGATGTTTCGATTGGCAAAATGAAGAAGGATCATCTACGATAGATCAATACTACAATGATAACAGATTTTTTCCAAGTGATAAGATCGAGCTTGCAATAGAAGAAATACAGGTATTAATATTAATTACTATTATTGGAATCCAATATTTACATAAATATTATACATGGTTTTCATAAAGTTCTGTTACAATTTTGAAAGTTTGTTTTTTATGGAGTCAGTGCCAACCAGGTTTGATTTAATTCAATCAGTGCTTTTCTTAGTATCATTTAGTTATATTTATTTTATTACATTTATTACATTATTATATGCCCACCATTACTTGCATGAGGCACATAAAAGGGCTCTCCAAGAGTGTATGTACCAATATGGAAGTAACTATTTTGTTCGCCTACTTTTCGTCAAGTTGTGTAAAGGGACTGAAACCTATGAGCAGTGAATTCACTTGGCCAACACAGACACTCCCCAAACTCGTAATAGAACTAAAACAAGGGAAATCAGAATAAAATTATGGCCTAACCCTAACCTGGTATACACACTACGGTAGTAGCCATAAAAAATGTCTTACCTAGTTTAATACATGACTTGTATCACCCTGTATCATTACCTGTATTACCCTGTATCATTACAGGGTGATACAAGTCATGTATTAAACTAGGTAAGACATTTTTATGGCTACTACCGTAGTGTGTATACAATAAGTACATCATTGTATGAAACGGGTGTGAGTGATAAGTGAGGATTTTTTATCAACTGCAGTTTTAGAATTTTTTTAGAACTCTAGATCTCGTGGTTAACATAAAATTTAGATTTTAGCAATTCACCAAAAAAAAAAAATTAATAAAAAATGAATCTAAATTTGAAACATTTAATTTGTAATATATGATATATTATAGTACTATACTATAATTTCTTATTAACACAACAATAGATAGAAAAGAAGAAAATGTTTAGCTAATGATATGGAAAAGTCAAAATGCTCAACTAACAATATGGAATATCCAGAAAATTTACAAATTGGCCACAACACATACAGATCTTGAATAAGAATGATTATCTTCATATTTTCACAATAATAAACAATGCTGTGTGCAAACAGATATTTTGAAGAAGCTTTCTAGTTAAGGTCTGTATATCAAATCCAGTGTGATGAGGCCATTTTACAAACGAAGTATTGATAAGGAACAAGTTAACAACGCAGAATAGAACTTCATAAAACAGAAATAGAAACTCAGACACCGGTACTCTCGTAGTGTGATAATTTTATTCCGATTTTCCTTAATATTAGTTCTATTACGAGCTCGGGGACCTTCTGTGTTAGCCAAGTGAATATACCATAAGTTTCCTGTCCATAAGTTTCAGTCCCTTTACACAACTTTTACAGTTCTATATAAAACAATTCATAATATTTCTTAACATGCAGTCAAAGGGTGATTGGTCCACTGGTGACAGCGGTTGGTCGGAATGTTTATTGACTAGAAAATTTCAACGAAAAAGGATGAATATATATAACAGACGAGGGAGGCAAAAACGCGAGTTTCACTGCCCTACAGACAACAGTACAATATGGAAAGAAGAAGTACGACACTGTTGTGCGGGATCATGGACTGAATGGAAAGTGCTGGAAGAATGTCCTGAATGTGGATGGGGAATAAGAAGAACAGTCAGAATATGTGCTGTTCCTAATTTAGCTCTAAAAATTGTAAGTAAAAGTAAATTTCATAATTATATTATTAAACTTCAAGAGAAATACAAATATATATTCTATTTTTTACTCATTTAATTTAAAGTTTCATTTTTTATAAATATAAGAGAACCCCGCTCAGTCAATGACAATGGAATAAAAAGTGTTACCCTTCAATTAGAATAAAAAGGAAATTTTGGGAGGAATATCGGGCCTCCAATAGACTCCGCCTTCTAGAGACTTCTTTAATCATTGTTAAAAAGTGAGATCAATCGGTTCTTTAGTGTTGCAAAAGCAGATTTTCTTAACAACAGCAACAAACATTAACAACAAAAATTGAGCAAAACGTAGAGTGCCATAAAATTCTATAAGTCTCAAAATATCGTTTTTAAACCTGTGGAGAGGAACAACAACCTCTTTTGGTTAAGTAGCATATCCAAATCACTATAGCATTTGTTCACTAGTTCTTTAGGGGGAAAATGAAGCGTTTTAAAACTGGTCATGAATAATAATAATAAATGTAATGAAAACACTGATCTATCTAGGTAAATGTATAAAATGCATGCATGATCAAGAAGTGTCTCTTTCTCAATTTTAAAATCAATAATGTAGATTCACCATATGAATTAATTGTAAGATTTCGCTAACGTTCAAAAAGCAATTACGATATTAGGGATTGTATAGTTACGATAAATGCAATGTTGTAAATTCTAAACGTCTTATTCTCAATATATTCACAGGAAACATTAGCAAGGAAACGCGAATTTTTGAGTCAGTGGAAAAACACAGAATGCAAAAGACAACATTGTAAAATGGTCGGAAAAAATTTAGTGAAATCGTGCGATGAAGTATGCGCTGGTAACGATTGGTGGGAAGGTACATTATGTACTAGATATGGAAGACAAGCATATGCTGGAGAATGCTGCATTAGAAATTATAAAGGTAATCGTAGTTTGAATATAAGAATTGGCAAAATATAAAAAAGGAAGTATCGCTATTTCTTTATTCGAGATAGACTTTGAACATTACATTTAATTATCTAGAGCAGCGTTTCCCAGCCGAGGGGCCACAGAGTAGCTGGAGGAGTGCCACAATGCTAGGCGCACAATTGATTTTACCTTCCATGCGAAAAGAAAACTACCTGTTCTTCCTAGTTCAATTGCTTTATGAGGTTATTTCACGGGTGTTTTCACTTCACTAAGACAAAGTGCAAAAATATTGAGAACGAAAAATGACAGAATTCAAAACAGCTTCAAAAATGTGAGATTACATTTTCATCAGTGGCTTATGTCTATACAATGAAAACTATATCTTCGTGTCTTAATCTAATATTATACACAAAAATGTTTTACAGGGTTGAGGCCGTCATGTGGCATGGAAGCACGTACTATGACAGATGAAGAAAAATACAAGACAACTGCCATGGTTGCAATCATACTGGGTGCAGAAGCATTGTTGATCGTAATCACAGCCATTATCATCGTATTGTACAACATAGGTAGAATGCCTACAATGCTATCAAGCGCTTTGACAGCTTGTTCTTGTCATTCTCCGAGAAGTAGCATGAAATACAGGCCAACCACACGAGAAACGATGCATAAACAACAAGAAATACAAATGGTTCCTTCGGCGAGAGCAACAAAAAAGAAACTCAGAGTGACTGCTAGAAATGTACAAGAGTTGAATCGATTTTTAGATGTATCAAAAAATAATACGTCTACGTCTTCAGTATAGCTTATTTCAAAATTGAGAAAAATTTTTGAGAACTGACTGTGTTTGAAGACTTCTTCCCCAAAAGACTTTCCTTATAAATGTTTTTTTTTGATGAGTGTGGTGGCCTAGTGATTAAAGCAACGAACTTAACTATAATGGCATTGCAAGTTAAAATCTTGGGTTCAAATCCCAAGCCCACCAATTCACCCAGGGTGTAATAAATTGGGTAGGGGATGTCACATTGGGAAAATTCAAATCCCTCCACATTGTAGTAATTCCTCATATACCAGTAGACGCTTGTCCGAAGCCTCGTTTGGGGAGAAGAGTGCACAGAACTTTGTACGGAGAGAAAAAACGTCGAATGAGATAATATTAATTGGGCCCAGAGCAAACCAAATGTTATGTGACACATAATTGAAAATGATCTTCACTTTTTTTGCTGATTTTCATTACAAGGCGATTCTACTTTTTTCTCTCTGCAAAGGTTCTGTGCAAGCATTTAATGATAATACTGACAAATTATGATGAAGTATTGATTTGAAAAAAAAGTTTCATTGATAACTAAAAATTGCTGAAAAAGTAGAGAAATATGCACATTTTTGAGCCCTAAATAATTGTATGTCAACCTATTATTGATTAAAAATTTCTTTAATAAAAATTTGTCACTGCATGTTTGTCATAATGGAGAGGCAGAAAACTAAAGCTTATGGTGATGTTGAGGCAAATATCACATTGCTTTAAAAAGGTCGTCAAAAATGTTTACAAGTAAGATGTTCAAAATGAAATTTGCTTGATTAGTTGAATAGGCCTAGGTTGACCTGAACATCAGATTTCAATAATCAATAGTATAGAATTTCGTTTTTCCAACAACAGAGCAATGCTCAAATATATGGACACAACGAAGTAGCACGTACCGGTGTATACAATCTGTCGCAGTAGACTACCGGTACGGACTGACCACCAGATCGCTAACACGAATGTAGAAACACTGGAAAATTTATTATGCAGTAATCTATTTCTAACATGTATTTGTTAATGGTTTTACCCATTTTTATAATTTGTACAAATATTATTTCCGAGTTTTTTGTAGGCTTGAGAGCAGATTAGGGCATTTACATGTAAAATGCGTCTCTACTTTTAGAATTTTCTACCTACGAAGGCACTCGCGGAATGAATTAATTCCGTAGATAGAGTTTCTACTGTATTTGTGGAGCTGACAGTTACAAAATAATTTGTCTCCCCATTCTCCAATATATCGAGAAATTTCCATAGAATATATTATCCACCTGTATAATCCGGTTCGACGTTTCTAAATTGACAAAAGCGGTGTTGACGCGCTTTATGCAAAATTGTAAATTAAAAAATATGATAGGCACGAAAGGAAACTAAAAAAAAGTTCTCACATTTATCGTTTCTACCTGTTAGCGATAGCCGTATGTAAATTCTTACTCGTAACTCATTGTAAATTATTCTTGATAAATTCTATTTTGCTTTCCAATGCGCTTGCTTGCTTGAGAAAAATATAATCACACAGTTTTATTGGGAAATCAAGGAAAATCGTGGGGAACAAAAGCTGGTTATCCAGAAGCAACACCCATGTACAATTTTTTCAATGATAATTTTAATATAAAATATATAGATATGTTTGTAAACAAACACTTTGTTTAAATATTTCTGATAAAAATAGATAGATATAAAATTACAAAATGCAAATTCCACAACAATCTTAGACAATGATTTGGTTTTTGCGAGACTAACTACTTATCCTTCTTCTATGCTTTTGCGCCAGCCGATCCCTCCAAAGAAGTCTGACCTTGGTCAGACGAAACGTTACATGGATATATTTGTGTTAGTGTGCAGCAGGACTCTTGAATCACTTAATCTTAGAAAAACTGAGAAAAGAAATTCAAATTTACCTGAAATGTTTCCAAAATGCTTTCGGTACAAAGTACTGCAGTTTGCTTTTTGCCAGATGTCCAAATATAACTTGAAAATGATGGAGTTGCGTACAGATATAATCAATTCTTTCTTGCGACTTCGAACCAACAGGTTTACAGGCATCGCTCGAAGATTTCGAAGTATTTATTATTTCACTCGATTCATCATTTTCTTCTTTTCCCTGAAATCATGTTTAAAATTGGATTATTATATTGTAGAGTCCCAAAACGATACACCTTGAGAGAATTTCGTGTCGGTTTTAAAATATCAATAAATTTCCTAAAAAGTACCCATGTTTTGAATAAATTTCCTAAAAAGTACCCATGTTTTGAATAAATTTCCTAAAAAGTACCCATGTTTTGAATAAATTTCCCAAAAAGTACCCATGTTTTGAATAAATTTCCCAAAAAGTACCCATGTTTTGAATAAATTTCCTAAAAAGTACCCATGTTTTGAATAAATTTCCTAAAAAGTACCCATGTTTTGAACTATACATTAAATAACCACATTAAATCATCAAATTAATATTTCCAGTCCTCAATTAACAAGTTTTCAAGATACAATATAATATGGGTATATTTGATATATTATTTATACTACCAATTCAACAATAATAAATGATCATCGACACTCATCAAAAAAATCGATGCCAATTTTGTAACAACAGCAACTATAAACTGATGGTACGCTTATTGTGCCCGTATACATACATCGAACGAGTCTACTTGCCGGCATAATACACATTATACGCTGCTCCATATTGCAAGGTGATAGTCACACACAATCGCAGCTGGTGACAGATGTATGGATTCCTCAAACAACCACAACCATGGCATGTTGCATTGATTGACTTTTTTACTCTACACCAAACTGGTATACAAAATGACTGGCTGTATTTGCCAAGTCAAACATGAGACCGAACTTAATTTTACTAGTAGATTGATTTACGTTAGATCAGTGAGTCGCGGCCAAATTTAGAATTTGTCAAGAGGTCGCGCCCCACCTCAAAAATAACTAGTCAACAATAAGCTACAAATAACAGATGGTAAGGCGAAAGTATGTTTTATTCGAAAAACATGTTGAAAGTATGTGGATGGCACATAAATATCTAAAATAAAAAAATGTAAATAAATAAAATAGGGCGGGTTAAATATTTTTAGTATTAATTAGCTTCACATCCCCTCTAAAAATTGTCTACGGCCCCCTTCTTGTGGGATGCGGCCCACCATTTAAGAACCACTGCGTTAGATAATATCAAGATGATCCAAACCTCTATCACTCTATCCTGGTCTTGTTCTTCAAATCCTTCATTTTCACTTTCAATAGCTTTCATTCCATATTCCGTGTTATCGGCAGCCAGTATTCCATCTCTTATCGTAGGGATCATGAATAATTGTTGAATGACAGCATTCATATAGCAAGTAGCTCCAGCATTTTTCAATCCGACAAAACCATTGGAAGGGCATTGACCAACTGGTGGTAAATACTCCCAGTCACACAACGGCTGGTCTTGTTCTGTAAATAAATTGGAAATCATGTAAGAAATGTAAAATTTAAATTAATTATTTTCAAATTCAATTCACAGGAAACAAATAAATGTGGAACTAGAACTGGATTCCGAATAAAAAAAATTGGTAGTCCCGTAGTATGTGTACCAGGTTAGGGTTGGGCCATAATTTCATTCTGATTTTTCCTTATATTAGTTCTACTACAGGTTTGGGGACTGTCTGTGTTACCAAGTGGATATCCTTCACATAACTTGATGTAAAATAAGTCACCTTCATATCGGTACACATACTTCTGGAGGGCCAAAAATTTTGGTTTTTAAAAAGGTGGTGCTTTTTGTTGATATTGTAGTATTTCGTTTGGTTTATCTCATTTTATTGTTTAATGTTTCGCTGAATTTGTGAGTAGCTAGCCCAATGACAAATTCAAGTTAGAATTCCTGTCCTAGTCCGTCATCAACAAATTCTATTACGCAATACATAGCATAAAAAGGGCCTAAAGCAGCTATTAGTATGCAAGATGGAAAGAAAAATGTTATGCACATATATAATATGTGGACATAATCTCAATTAAAAACAACCTGCTGGATATTGCAGCGGTGCGTCTTCACTGAAATAGGTGTTTGCCACTAATAATTAGTTCAGAAGATCCCGTGTGCTCTAAAGCGACACAAATAGATTCAAAGTTCACAATGCAAACATAGAGACCTTTTTATTATTATACAGTCTGATACAGCTGATTCAAATCAGAGCGACAAAATACGGTGCTTATTCAAAGGCAGCCAAACACGAAGAACGCTGTCGCCAGCAGCATAGCTCATGTATGCAGTGGTGGTTGGAGTCGTGCAACAGCATCTGACTATCGGGCAAAATTAAAGCTCAGACTCCACATACCAATGCATATGCAATGACTAAACAAGAACAATATCATGCATAAACAAACCTGAGTAAAACATCTCGGAAAGCATATGAGCAACCAGACGTAGGTTAGGTACACTGCCGTGACATAGAGCAGCAAGACAATCAAATGCTGATGATATTGTACTGGGAAATTCACAAATCGATTTGACCATGGCTGGCATCACAGGAGCGGCACCAATACGATGCCGCATTAATTTACATGACGCAGGGAATAGGAAGTCTTCTATAAGCTCCTGAATGAAAATTACAAGACAATTAGCTTAATACAGAAATGGTTAAAAATAAATCAAAATATTATAATTCAATTTTAATTAATTATATTTTATACTTATGAATAATTTAAAATAGTTAGATTCAAAAAATTATCAACTGGATAAATTGAAGTTGCAACAGAAATTCAGAATGACTAAAAACGACTTTATTTTATTTCTGGATGCTGTAAAAATAAAGAACTAATTTGAAACACATACACAGAGTGTCCCTTTTGTGCTTGTAGTTCTCATTTATCATACAATAAAATTTATTCAAACTTACAATTTTTATTACTCTAAAATTAGGCAAAGTTTTTTGGACACCCTGTATATATCCGAAACACTAATTATTTACATAGCCATATCAAGGTAAAACTGGTAACAAAATGAGCCTAGCATTCGAATAATACGAAATATGACAATAATAGTAACCTTAATCAATCCTGGCCCATTTTTTTCAGATCCGACTTGTTTTTTCTTCTCAGGAGACAAGAACGACAAAAGTTCTTTACAGATACATAAATGACCAGCAAGCAATGTATTGTCAACAGATTGTTCGTCAACAGCTTTCGAATTTTCCTAAAAAAAAACAGACATATTTTTACAATAATTCAGCCATATTTTTTTCCATTATGAAGCAGAGTAGCAAAAATAAACTTATTAATAAATTCCAGTTTTAGAGGTTCCCGAAGGGTGCGCCCCGAAAATTAACAGAATTGTGTTAAACATGACTGAATATTTTACATATCGTATTCATTATAAAAATTTTATTGTGTCCTATTTTAAATGCTGTGTATCTGAATCAATAAATTTATTTCACTTTTCTATGTCGTTCATTTTCTGTTACGTGACATCTGCCTCTATTCTATTGTTACGCAACAATATAGGTAGGCACAACTTGCTTCAATTTCGCGAGCTACAGTTTATTTATCTTCTGAACGATGTTTAGCGAGCATGAGTGATTTTTTTAGTATTTCACAGAAAAATCTGGCAGTAATAAGGAAGAAGAGTTGTCCTTTTTGTCTTCATTACTTAGGTCTACATGTTTACAAACTTTAAAGGACATAAAGTAAACATCGAAGATTACAAAATTGAGGTATATTTGAAGGCAGGATTTTTTTTGTGCGTCATGAGTTTTTTCCTTGATAATTCGACACCGCGAACAAAAAATTTGGGAACCGCTATCATAGACTATTATATTTGAAGTTCCAAATGGGCGCTCCAGCCAGAAGTGTGTGTACCAATATGGAGGTAACTGATTTTGTTCCCCTACTTTACATAAAGTTGCATAAAGAGACTGAAACCTATGGGCAGGGGGTATATATTCACTTGGTCAACACAGACAGTCCCCGAACTCGTAATAGAACTAAAATTAGGAAAATCGAAAAAAAATTATGGCCCAACCCTAACTTGGTACACACACTACGGGAGTACCTCAAAATGCTAGTAATTAGAAAAACTAGCATTGTTTACAAATATTCTGATATTTGCATTAACCTTAGCATTGGACCAACTAAGTCGAACTTTCATTAGTTTTATTGATTGAATGCTTTGTTTTATTAGATCTAAATTATTATACGAGTCGACTCACTCTCACTTTCTTTAACCACTCAATCTCATTGTTGAGTAGAACTTGAGAATTTTGTAGTTGAATATTAGTACAATATGCATAGTTGAGTAGCCTGCACAATAACATGAAGAATTCCGTTGACTGCAATGCGTATTCACGGACAGTGGTCTGAAGAAAACAATTAATAATTAATGTCATCTATAGATAAGAACATTTGCAGAAATTGGATATTGTTTTGGTGGAAAGTGAGAAAATAGGTTTATCGAATGAAATGAAAATATTATTAAAATAAAACCGACTTGATATTAGAGAAACCATTAGATTATGAAATATTTCTTTAAATTCAGATCTTGAAGCAATTCGATCAATATTTAAGGAGTACGAGGAGTAAAATTTGCATCAGTATGAGGATAATCACAGTTAAGTAATCACCAAGTCGCTGACATTTTTTTATTTCCATATGATATATTTATTCGCCTTCCGTACTGAACAAAGTAACATATGCAGGTGGTGGTGGGCATGGGATTTGAACTTGCGATGTTAACGCTTTAATAACCACTAGGACACCACGTTCACCAAAATAAAATTTTGAATGATCTGGAATCTGGATGGCGTCAAGCTCATCTCCCGTAAAAAAATATCTCAATCTAAATTTCAAAATAATAAAAAAGGGTACAAAATCTGTTAGATAGTTTTGATGTATATTGAAAACTTTACTAATAAGCTTTTTACACAGTAAAGTACTTACCAACAAAACCGTGAATAACAATGTTATGAAAAACACCAATGGTTTTGTACTTCCGACACATTTTGTTGACATCAATAAAAATTGGTCGACAGCAGTGAGTCTTACATCTCTGAAAAAGTGACGTCAAAAATATAGACTATTCGATAACCATACTTCAAGAATCGAAATTATCATTTCAAGCAATTGAAATTTCACAGCATGTATATAAAATCTTCATTTTAATTTATTAAACGAAAATTTTGAATTATAGATAACCAATCAAATTAATGCTTATCACAATTTTCTGCGTTTCCAAAAACGCATCGAAAATTCACAGAATTCTATGTGTTCGTTGTTAAGTTCGATTTTCTCCATTCAAAATACAATTTTAAAATATATTTGAATCGATGTAGTCAACAAATACAATTTGAAATTTGGTTAAGCTGCAATTGTGAGTTGAGCTTCATAAAGTCACACATCCTGTGAGCATTAAATAATATCTCAAATTTCTTATTGAAATGTAAAAATCAAAATCACTTACCTGTTAGGGCACAGAAGAAGTAAATCAATAACAAACTTTTGCCAGGATTTGTCTTTATGTAACGATTCAAGAGCAGGAGGATAAGTAGCAAGCATGATAGTCAACACTTCTAAAGCTTCTTGGCAAAGTAAAATACTTTCCAGAGACAATTCATGCATTCCACCATTCTGAGAAATATAGCGAGATACAAACGTAAAAACACAAGTTTTTGAATCAGTGGTTCCCAACTAGGGGAAGAAGTCTTGACCAGGAAGAAATTTTAATGTTACCTCAGAAGATATATACAGAAATATTATGCTATATTCAATGTGGCTTCAATAATCTTATTTGGTTATTCAGTATTATCGTAATAGTGGTAATACATATTAAATATTAAAAAAATTTGGAAGTGTACAAAAACTAAAGCTGACATGGGCGGCCCGCAGGCCCCCGCGGAGTGATTCAATTTGGCCCGCATGATGTTGCGTAACCAATCTAAAACCGAATTTTTATATTTTAGCTAAAAAATTGCTCAAGTAATTTGTTGAGATTGCGAATAAATTTAGTTTTGGCACGAGGCTTGTTGCTTTGTAACACTGTAAATATTGTTCATAAAATGTAACTTTTTACGTCACACTTACATGGCCCGTCAGTCTAGGTTGGCAATATGATAGGCCCTCGGTTCAAAAACCTTTCCCGCCCCTGATATATACTAGAATATTATGTTATAATCGGTGTGGCTTTCCTATTGTTTAGTAATTCAGTATTATCATAATAAACATTTTGTCAACACATTATAAACTTTTCGAATTTTACAACAGCCAGATTCAGTTGTGTGCAACATTAGCTAAGGAACTATCAAAGATTGACGAATAATGAAAACAGAGGATATGCATAGTTAGAGACAAACAAATAGAAAAGATTAAACGAAGAGAGAAATAATAAAAAAAAATGGTTGGGATTGGGAAATGAATCAAAATATGCCCCTAATATTAAAGTCTACTACCCTCTGGGTAGTAGATCTGGGTGTTCCAAGGTTGTCGGCTCCGGGGGCCACAAAATTATTTTTGCATTGTTCACAAGTCACAATAGTGTCAAGAATAATTAAAAAAAAAAGTTCAATACAAAACAAAAAATTTTATTGTGGAAACACATTGATCAGTATTTGTCATTTATCAGATTATATAATCAGGCATAGCCAACCAAGGCTATAGAATCCGCATTCAATTTTAAGTTCTCTATGATGCCAAAATTGTTAGAATATATTCCCGATCGAAAAGATAGAAAGCCAGATAACAATTTAGACTGCCAAGAACATCATTCAACTTCGCTAGTTGCCTCAGCTAGCCATAACATTAGTGATGTAACAATATGTCAAAAGATTTTTCTGGTTATTTTTATGACAAAACAGCAATAAATGCGATATTTTGATTACTTTCCGAATGCGACGCGGGCCACAGTTAATGAAGGCCCGAGAGGCCTGGGTTTGGACCACCCTGCTCTAGATATCAATTAGGACAAATGCTCGGCAAAAACTTTCCAAATGCAAAAAAGGGAAATGTATATTTCAGTTGATATATTGAAGCTTGGAACTCGGACAGCTTATTATAGTAGGACAATGAAAAAAAAAATACCATTGTCAGAAAATTAGTTAATATGACCAAAATTTTTCTTCTTTCTTTTTATATATATAATATAGATTCGAACATATTGCAGAATAAAATAAATAACACTGAAAGACTGACCTTTTCATAAGCCTCATGCAATTCTTCATTACTGGCATTCATTAAATGCAGAGATCCACTACCAGAACACCAAGCCAACTTCATCACAGCTTTCACTGTGTTCAAATCCGGTAATTTGTCTTTAACCTGAAATAAATCACAGCTTATTTTGATTATCGATCAACATACGCCAGAAAGTCATAATGGTCAATTAATTTCTACTAATACACCCAACACTTGGCTTAATATCAATTGTAAGTCTACTTCATTTTTGAATTATGTAAATTAAATGAAAAAACAAAATAAAAATAACCGATGCCAACTTACATTATAACGAATTGTCTATCAAATTTGAAAAGATTTTGAACCAGTTCTGAAACCCACCCTCATCAAAATAGAGCCAGATTTAATCTTTTGTGCATAATATGCTAAAACATCTCATCTCTTATTAAAGGTATCATCAATTCATCAATTTCCTTATTTTTGTTAAATTTCTGGGGTATTAGTGAATTTGACTTTATTTTAATTTTAGTTAGTCGGGCCCGCAAAAATACTTGGTTGTGCCAAGCAGGCCGTGATGAAAAAATTTTGAGGAACAGTATTGGAGCATTTGATTCGTTTTAGCTCCCGCTGAGCATTCTAGCTTTTCCAATACAATATACATACATACCTGCTTATGGCATCCTTGTCCTAATCTCACTGCAACACTTTTCAATACAATATGTGTAGTTGGATTTGGAATTTGTGAAAGTGCATTCTGAAGAATACCAGCTTGGTTACGAACAGTTGGAGAAACTACCATTTGTTGTGATTGACCAGACGATGCACTATTCGCTTCTTGTAAAGCTTCCACCACCGAGGCAACTCGTGCTGTTGAATATTATCAATTTATGTTTTTATGTTACAAAAGAATATTGTTTGCCAAAAATGAGGAATCAGTTTTTAAAGAAAAATCAAAACTTCACACTGATACAATAGTTTATTTATATAAATTTCAATTTCCAATCTTAAACTCACCTCTCTTACTTTCGAAAAAAAATAGTTCAAAATTCAGCTAATCACAATGCAAGCTGAGTCTTGTCTTACAAAGTCTTGCAAATAATATTGGTCGAAACATTTGACCTATCTGACATTGGAAGGGTAAAATCGTAAAGTAAAACCAGCAAGATTTAATAAAGTTAGTAGGCAAGCCTTGTTCTGATAGAGGGCAGGAATACAATAATAGCAATCAAAACAAAGTTGCTGTCGAATATTTTAACTTGGTGATTGGTGAATGTAAAAATTGAATTTTCATTTTCTGAGCTTTTATTGGATGGATATATTACTACGATACTTTTCTTGCTTGCTAGATTATTAAAAGTCTAAATGTACATTATAAATCAAATCTTACCATATGCAACAGAAGTAAACATCAGCTTTGCAACTTGTAGTACTATAGTGAGTGCAGCGCTAAAAGAATTAGAAATAAAATCGATAGCTTAAATCATGAAAGCATGGTTTCAGTACAAATATGGATGAAAATACTTACGAAGTAGTGACAAATGCCTTACGAATTAGTCTAATTTCTACAGGAATTCATTGGAATTTCAAATAAAAGAAATTGTTTTTAAATTCATATATACACAATTCTTTTTTTTTCAGTAAGTGACGAATCAATCCATTGCAAATTTCGAATTTTCTAATTATGATTCAAAAATACTACCACAAATTGTTAACAGCGAAAAATGACAAAATCTCTTAGCCTCGTGTATTGAAAGTATTTTCTGCTATCTTGCTTACCATTTTGTATGTGGATCTGCTCTTGCAATGAAGTTATCTCTCACCAACATATCAATGGTTACTTGGATTCCACCACTGAGTAGAAAATTTTTCTGAACTTCTGTAGTTTTTTCTCTGCTTTCTGCTCTCTCAGCAGGTAGCAACATCGCATACAAAACCTATTTTGTTATTGAAATTAAAACATTTAAAAAAATAATTATGTCAGGGGTTCTAAAACTTTTAGTATTACGAAGCCAGTGAAGAGGTTGACTGTTATTTATGAAGTCCCACAATGAATTTATAAAATAAAAACAAAAAACCCATTGTTATTTACCGATTTGAGTAAACTAAAATTACTTTATTTGATGATTCGGAAGTATTTGCTGCTTTGTATTGTAAAAATATTCAGTAAATGAATAGCTTGTGGAGCCCCTAGATTTCTCTCACAGAGCCCTGGGGCCTGTATTGAGCACTTTGAGAACCTATGGTTTATGCCATTGGATGATGGCATAAGTTTGGACATACTAGCATCAGTTTAATAGTATTGGCCAACAAAGATCCCAGTAAGACGATAAAGAATCAGGGATGTATATAAAACAAATCGATAATTCATTTCTATGAATATTCTAAATTTCTATGATAAATATGACCCATTATATAATATATTCTGTATATGAAACATAATCTCAAACTCAATTTGTAACAGTAAATTACTCTGTTATAACCATTCCCACTGACAAGTCATTATTTAAGTACCTGCAAGTTATATAAAGTTTCTGAACTTGATGGAAGAAAAAATAAAGATTCAATCGCAGCTGATGGTGGTTTAGGTGGAACAGACATCTTGGATTTCGCAATATCTTCCGTTAACTGAAAAACAAAAAAAATGTTGTCAATTAAAATGTCAACAAATTTAGTTTTTTTTTAGTTTGTTTTACAAAGTAAGCTGACATAACAATATCAAGTACGACTTTTTATTCGTCAAAAACAAGACCTGGGCCTCACTGACATTAGAGTTAAAAGATATACCTGGCGCAAAGGAGCTATATAAATGTGCCAGATAAGTTAAAAGATTAGCATGCTATTTTAATAAATAAAATAAATATGGCTAAGGAAATAGTAAAGTGGTTAAGAATCCCAAAATAGAAGAATTTAGAACTGATTCCAAGGCATTTCACATTGCATTGACTGTTAATTGTTTTCATATTACACTTTTCCACATTTCCAATCCAAACAGCGCTTCATATAAAAGCCACTGATAAATAAAGAGATACAATTTTCAAGAAAATTGAAAAATTTGAAAAAACTTTGAAATTCATTTTACCTTTTTTAACGCTTTCTTTCTGTTACTTAGTGTCTTTTTTTGATGTAAGTGCACCGCGAGCTTTTCCCCTGACAATTTGACACCACAAACAAAACAAAATGTTTGGGAACCGCTGCTCTAACCAGTCGTAATCCTTATAGTTGTGACAAAACAATGCAACAAACCTGCTGAATATTCTGTACAGTTCCTTCATTGCAAGGCATAAGTTGAAGTAAATTACGAGCCCCATCACGTAACTCTGATACATCAAGTTCACATCCAAGATCAGCAACTTGGAATAGGAATTGAGCATACTTTGGCTTCTTCGACATGATCTAGGATAAAACAAGCATACCGGATTTTACAAACCATGAGGCACCGGGCTATAAGACGCAACAGTTTTTAAGGGGTACTGGGTTACCGTAAAAAGCTTATCAAACGAAAAGGTATTTTCTGGTAAAATAAATTTTGTGTAAAAATGATTGTTTTGTATCGATATTTAATATTGCAATCATTAAAGATGTCGTTTAATATTTAATAATGTCCAAAGTTTTTTTTCTTTTTTAAATTCAGGTCACTTGAAAAAAGCACCAAGCACCTTCAATACTGAATTATAACAAAAAGTTTAATGCTAAATGTATACCAAAATTGATAAGTCATGCATTGTCCTACGAAAATCAAGCATACGTTTTTTATTACTCAAATTTTTTAATTTACATATAAAATTCTACAAAGTCAAGCTTACCACTCCAGGTAACAAAGCTTCTACTTCCGGATTAGGTTCATGTAAAGCAAGATAAAAAGTAGGAGAAGATCTTGAACTATCAGAACTAGAGTCCGGTGATGACGTAACATCCTTGTTTTTAGATGAAGGTTTGATTGGAACCAACTTCACAGATACATGCTGAAAGTAGATAGTGTGAACGATGATATAAAAATGTAAGATTTTTTTGAGAAAAAGTATCAAATATGCTTAGTTATGATCAGATATATCAAGGATTCAGGAGTGTGCGTGTTTTTATTGTGACGGGCAAAAACATAAAATTATGATGACACTATCGAACGACTAGTTATCGTAACTAGCAGAGTGTTTTATAAAATAGTGTCGCATTGTACTGCTTTATTACTGCTATAGCGCTTTGACAAATCAGACAAACCAAATCTTTATCACGTTGAAGAATGAAGTGTTTCAGAAACCAGTCACCGAACTCATGGCTTTCATAAATGATAACCAACATTCTTTTCCTACTGGTAGACAAACTAACCAACCCTTTTTAAGGTACAACATGGCAACAATAATATAATATCACATTATAAAATCTATGACGTACGAAAAAACAGATAATTACAAACAATGTAGGGCTTCATAACAACAACTTTTTACAATTTTTATTAACTAAGTGTGGTCATGAAAGGTATAGTTACAATATATATCTTCCAAATCAAAAAAATCAATTCAAAATCAGAGTAAATCTTTCGAACCATCACATGAATAAAATATTGCACATATATTTTGGATTAAACTTGAACAACCCGAAAATAAAATATTTCAATCTGTGAAAATGAAATGAAATTCAATTTGCTAGTTCAATAAAGTGTAATATAAACTACAATTAAATAAAAACTTATCCAAATTACCGTTCTATCTTTCAAAGGTAAATTGCTGATCAATTTCCTGTCATGTTCATTCAGTAGAACTTCCCCATTGACATACATTTCCACATTTGTATTATTTGCTGTTACATTCTTGAAATGACTCAAAATTTGCTTCCTGGATTAAATATAAGTACACAATTTAAAAACAAAAATTTCAAATACTTTAAAAAAACATTTTAGTGTCATCTACTTCATGCCTCAACATGACTCAGCCGTGTGGCACATTGTGCTAAACGTTAGGAATACACTTCCATACCTCTGATTATCCAGGGTTAGCAGGTTACAATTCTGTGTGGGGTAATTATGTGCTAAGATTGCTGGACTCCTCGCCATCGTAGGGTGGCTACTGGCTAACTAATCCCATACCCGATGAGCTGGAGTCACTAATTGAATATACCGTGGCTTCAGAGCAACTATGACCCCAAACCAGTTCCCCAGTCGTGAGATCAACAAACCAACAAAAAAAATTTGATGTACGTTTCCCACTACCTACCTCACAGAACCGAGAGTTGCATTCGAATGCGTCCAAACTTCAAATTCATCATTTTGACGAGACTGTAGAGCGACTCGAATAACGAGCACAATATTATATCCTCTGCATGCACGATGTGTCGGCAACATTGTTCTTTCTCCCATAAACTCTTGGTCGCATTCAGTGATATATTCTTGCAAAACAGTCAACACTCGAATCATTCGTTGAGTTTCAAAGTTGATCTTGGGATTGTTTTCAGCGCTCGAAACACTTTTGTCAGTCACAAGAACTGGAAAAATAATATAGACAGAGTTAACTATGCCGGCATCGCAGGTTATACATATCGGGTGCAAATCTTTAGTCCACCACTTCACTCAAGGTGCAATGAATTTGATAGGCAATGCCAAGCCCTTCAATAATAGTAGCTCAGTGATTGCTTGTATAAGGCCATGTTGGGAGCAAAGACGTGAATAAACAGCATATAAAAAAGAAAGGCATCTTCCAAAAACATAAAATTCTGAAATAAATCTTTTTAAATCTGGAATTGCTATTTTATATATTTCAATCTTGGTCTACTGATTACCTGAATACCAAACAACATACCCTATACATGAATCAAAGAAATCTGACTTATTAAAATATTCGAACAGAATGAAATTTATCTATATTCTATATTTTAAATTCTTCATTTTAGTAATAATATAGAATAAATATATATTAAAAATAATCATTTCGAGCAATTGACTCACAACTAAAAAAGCTTTAATTTAATTTTTGAAAACTCTACAAAATAGAAAACCTTTCGCCTTGCTATCTGTTATTTGTAGCTTATTGTTAGTTTGCTACTTTTTAAGTGGGGTGCAAAACTGGACAAATTCTAAAAAAGGGGCGCAGCTTAAAAAGTTTAAAAACCACTAACGTAGAAGAATCTTTGTTTATAATATCTTACTTTGTATAGTGTCCAGAGATGCTTTCAATCTATCCATACAAGACTGTACAAAATCCTCATGAATTTCAGCTTGATTAGTACGTAATTGTGGTCCAAGATTTGTATAAGTTTCCTGCAGAAGTTCAATGGCTTTCCCAGCTATTTCATCAGTTCCATTCATGAGAACCTTGAGAAAAAGGGAACAATTATGATCCAAGCAACCAAATATTTCTAGCATTGAATTTGCAAGTGTGCTACAAATATGCACCAACTAAAAGAAAATAAGATACAAAGCCTCATGTATCCATCATAATACAGTATCAGCTTTGAATTGACAGGACGTATCTATTACATTCATAGTGTTATATATTATTAGATTAATTGATTCACTAGAGTAGGAAATACAAAATCGCAAAAAAACTCACTCTCCACAAATATTCGAGTCCGATAAGTTCCAAATTATCGACCATAAAACTTGATCCACTTTGGCGTTTCTGAACTAACTTTTGTTCCCGACAATTCACTGATTTGAAAAATCTTTCGAAGCAAAGCATACCATGAGCAGTGAGTAGAGAAGGGTCGAGCTGGAGAATATTGTTCTCAAAGAATGCCTTAAAATTAATAATTGTAAATTGTTACAGGTGTAATAAATGTAGATCCTAAAATAACTATGACAGTGCATAACTAAAATCGTCATAGGGGTCATTTTCGGTTGGTGTTGGTTGAGTATTGCGGTCGTCCTCGCCGTCATCCAACCATAAGAGATCGTCCTCCGTCCCATCCATAGCGTTCGAAATGCCGCATTTTTTAAAAGACCGTTCTACTGTTCCAACCTCAATGTCTCCCCACGATTTCAAAACCCATTCACAAACCGTGGCCAGTGATGCGGCGCGCATATTTCCGGCTGGAGTGAAAGTTTGGTCCCCGGAAGCCATCCATTCATTCCAGCATTTACGCAGCCGATCTTTAAAAGGTTTATTTAGCGTACGTCCAATGGCTGCGTGACAGATGTTAGACCACCGGGAGTCACGGCAATATCTGTGTTGCACCGTCTAACTGCTTGTTTTACATTTTCACAGAGATGTGATTTAAACATGTCCCAAACAAGCAGGGATCTTGGTTTCAGGAGTCCACCAGGACGACGCGACCACACTTCATTTATCCACCTTATACACCCCTCGTCATCCATCCATCCGTTTTCTTGAGTGTGGACGATCATTCCATTCGGGAATTTTTGTTTTTTATAAAGGTCTTCCTTTTAAAAATTACCATAGGCGGCAATTTTGTTCCATCCGCAAGGCACGATAGAACTACTGTGAAACGTTGTTTCTCGTGGCCTGATGTCCTAACCCATATAGTTTTCTCGCCAACTTTATTAATAGTTTTGTTTCCTACCATATCGAAATATACAGGTGTCTCGTCCATATTGCCGATCATCTGTAACGGGTAATCGTGTTTTTGACGGTGACGAATGATAAATTTTTGGAACGAGGCGATTTTATTATCCATAGCTCTTGGCAATTTCTGCGCAATCTTAGTTTTTAGACGAAGTACTAGGTTGTGCCGATTCATGAAGCGATTACACCAGCTGTTAGTTGATCTGAAATTTAATGAATCTTCTTCGTTTTTACCAGCCCAGTTTAGTGCATAAAGACGCACCTGTGCACGCGTGACAGTCAAGCCTTTCTTTCGGTTTGCTTCCACCCATTCCGCTACACATTCCTCCAGTTTTGGCCATTTCGGTTGATTTTTCTGGTTACATTTACTTTTTCTCTGCATTTCTTTGAGTAAACATTCTGCTTTCTTCCAATCACGACTAGTTTTTCGGTAACACCGTATTGGAGAGCGGCTTTCACGTTTGTTGTTTGTAAGGCTAGCTCAACTACTTTTAGTTTGAAAGCAGCATCATAACGCATTCTTTTTGTAGATGTAGACATCTTTCACGGCGAAATAATAAACTTATATTACTGATGACGCAGTGAATGAGGCGCTTTCAATTTGGCGCGTATATCGTCAACACGACGAAGGTCAATGAAAGCGAGAGTGCATTAGCGCGTGAATAAGGCGCTTTTGAATTTGTCGCGTATATCGTCAACACGACAAAGATCAATGAAAAGAGAGTGCATTAGCGCGTAACTGAAAAATACAACAACAGAATCGGTCAAAAATAATAGTGCGCTTTTTTGCTTAACTGTCGAACGGAGACGCAGGGTTGCGATTTTCTTACTTGTCCCATTGGACGAATGCACGGAAAAACCCCTTTTTTTGGTGCCAAAAACAGGCCTCGTCTTATTGGCCGGGTAGTCTTATTCGACGGAAAATACGGTATATCAATCACACAATATCTAGAAATATACATCGATTTTTCGAAGTTGTTCGTTTAATGAGTTCCAATTCAGATTATACCTAATATTGTATATTTACAAACGGTGAGGAAGATTATGATATTTCCAGTCATAATAGTTCATAGTGGTTTGAGACAATTCAAAGAGAAAAACAATGTATACTATAATCAACATTAACCTCCACAACAAACCTTCATAATTTCAGGGTCAAGATCAGGTTCCTCTCCCATTAATTCAGAAAACCATTGAAAACAAGATTCTCTGTCAGAAACGTAAGCTGCATTCTCAGCAAGACAATGCCATATCTGACGAGCTTGTGGTTCACACAACCACAGTTGTCCATCTAGTAAGGAATAGAAAAAGTATTTTGTTAAAAAGATCAAATAACATATACACGGACAAATATGGGCTCCAGAATCATGTGTACCAATATAGAAGTACGTTAAGTAATTTTGTTCGCCTACTTTACTCAAGTTGTGTAAAGGGATGGAAGCCAATGGGCAGGGGGTATATTCACTTGGCTAACACAGACAGTTACCGAACTCATAATAGAAATAAAATAAGGAAAATCGTTATAAAATTATTATGGCCTGACCTGGTACACACACTACGGAAGTACCCAAATATGGACAGAATGGTATGATTATACAACTCAATTTCTAAAAAAAATTCACTATATAAATATATGTAATTTCCAGTTAAAATAGTGTTTTTTGCAGGAAGTCTTTTACTTTATTTTTTCAAAAATTTTCCCTCTAAGAGAAACGTTTTTGTGTGCGATGAGATCATCAAATTTAAAAATCCCCTGTCGCGTAAGTTGATTTTAGTGGTCGGCTGTGGTACCGTAACAGTTGACTACTGTGACAGATAGCATACCTACTTTGTCTCCATATATTTAAGAATTGCTCTCTTGTTATTTATATGTAAATAGATTTAACAAATATGATACTTGCGTACAGAAAATATCAAATTGTACCGAAATGTCTCATAAAAGTCAAACATACTTCTCTTTCGACTTTACTTTTAAATGATTTAAGCATTTCGTAAAAAGTTTCAACCACAGGTATTTTTAGAAGTAATTTTTCAGAAAATTCATCAATATTTTACAAACTTCAATACACAGTTTGGGAAGCATTCAGCCAATATAACCAAACAATGTTAATTACCTTTCAGTAGAAATCTCAGAAAATGAAGTCGCTCGTTAACTTCTTGAATGTGGGTATATCGACTACCAGGACGTACAGTTTGTGGATCATAATCAGGATTTTCTGTTTAAAAATAACAAAACAAGGTTTTAGAAATTATATCCAATAAAAATTAAAATATCAAAATTGAAAATATAAGTCAAATCGATTTTATCCATTCCTTAAACATTTTTGCTCGTTCTCAAACAGGCAAAATTAATATCTTGAAACTAAAATAACCTTTTCCTTTTAAAATCTACAAAATTTCAGATGAATATGCAGCTTTGAACTTGGAGCTAGTTTTATAGCATATGTTTCACTTTCAGGTTCACATATAATTTACCAGTATTAGTTTATAACACTTATTTACATTTCAAAAATATTTAAAAACAGAGATTTATTTAGACAACTTAAAAAGTCCTCATACCTCTTAAATATTCTTGAGAAAATTGTAGATATGAAGACAAGTTAGTTGCAACCATGGTAACCATAGAATAAGTATCTTGTAAATTGGAAATAACATTATGTCGATATAACACATGCTGATTACGATGAACATGCTGATAATTTTGTGGTGCCTGCAAAGATAAGTTAGAAAGTTCTAGAATTAAACAGAAAAAATAGATATAGAGAATACGGTGTACGAGAAGCCGCATGTACCTAACTACTCTTCCTATTTTTCAGTCTTTTTGTCAGTGAATCCATTTGCACTGACTGTAAGCAAGAGTTGAAAGAATCTAAACCAGGATTTCTCAAACTGTGACTTCAAAAGAGGGTCGGCCACAGATCATCAAAGTCTAAGAAATATTGATCCATGCAACTGAAACAAATAAATGACTAACTAATCTCATAACCGACATGGACTGGTAACCGGATGAGAGGCCGTGGTTCGCCAAATGATTAAGTCGTCTTATCGGCTTTCCTCTCCTCTGGGATTAATAGGTAAATCCTATCCTATCCTGAATGATTAAAAAGTCGTGCATCACACTGTCATTTTGTGACAATTCACTTGACCAAAGTCAGACTTTCTCAGACAAGCAGTTCACAATCTTGATATGCTTGTCTGAAAAAGTCTAGACTTTGAACATTGGAATGTTACAGCACAAATTTATGACAGTGTGAGGCAAAACCTTTGAATTTTACTTAATATAGATATTGGGAAGTTTTTACTGTTCTGGCTTGACTAACTAGATCAGAGCAGCATCAATGTTAGGGTATATAAAACAGATTTATAAAAGTCAGAAAACTAGAAGTACAATTTTGTAAAAAAGATTTTCATGAGCAACTGTGTTTCAATATATGAAATATATAATCTTTAGAATCTAAGTATATAAATATATATCGAAATACATTTAGCAGCATAAATTTTGAATTTCTTGCGAAACGAGATAATAATACCTACATTATCAAATCTATTAATAATAAATAGAAAGTCAATTTAGATAATGAATCCTCAGGTAAATGCTTATTCAGGGGAATTTGGGGTTTTTGCCTGGTACATAATATAAAGACTCTTTATTTACTTTTTCGGTGCAAATTCAACATGTACGTCAAACACAATTAAACAATGATACGTTGTACTTAATGACAAACATTGGCATATTTTAGTAACCTAACAAATTAAACTACCCCTCTTTCACCATATCAGAGGTAGGAAATGAAAGAACCCAGGGTTCTACCTTTTCAAAGACCGCCGTGTACTCTTGCCTTGTAGCATTTATCTCCCTAAATTCACCCCATTTCACATTAAAATAATAAAAACAAAATTAATTTTCCAAAACTTATAATAATGATTTAGGTACATCTCATTGATCCATACAGCCTGATGACCTCCACCAAAATACATGATATATAACGGTCTTCAATAAAATTCATCCCCGCTCACTCTTCCTACCACGTCCTCCGGTCCGATCACCAGTCCATAGAATCAATCAGCCATTTGTTTTGGATTCGTGAACTCGGATGGCCCAGGGGTCCGCAAATTTTACGTCGCTCGCGGGACAAAATTTAGGGTTGCTATTCTTTTGCGGATTTTTTTGAAAGTTAAAAACGGAACATCGTGCGAAAACTGCGACAATTCAAACTTATTAATAACAAGAGTAGTTTTGCAATCACTACTTGAAAGTTTGAAACAGTAACAGAAACGTCCGAATTTTTAAGAACAACAATTAAAGAGTAGGATCTTGTCCCACAAAGGCCAAGTTTCAGCAAGCTTTTTTTGGACGAAAACTAGTTTCAACAGATAAATAATTCAACAATGCCTGACAAAGTTAGGTCATGTTTTAGCAGGGAATTGGTAAAACTATTTTTTGAAGAAACCTTCCGTCTTTCTCTGTTTTCTCCTTGTCTAAGAATTTTCAAGATAAGCCACATTTATATCTCAAAAAGTACAAAAACACGAGAAAAAGACATGCTGATAGTCAAACAACCCCCAATACAGAAATTTCAATCTCACTATCTTCTTATAAATATAAGATTGAAATCAGTAAAACACATCAAATGTACTCAACCATATATTGCATTCCGTTCAAAAATCAAAATGAAATGTAAATATTTGTAAAATAAAATTGACCTTACCTCATTGAAAAGCTGACATATTTCTTGAATTTGTCTCAGAGCAGGAATGACCCAGTTGTCATTTTTTAATTCGTCAATAGCTTTTGTAATCCATCTTTTCTTCTGTCCATCTCTGTCTTGAGTACAACTGTAGTCCAAAATCTAAATTTTTTAAATATGTCATTTAACTACCTACATCGACTTCCACCCTCGTTCAGCCATACACCAGTGACTCTGATTGGAACGAAATAAACTGAGATAAACATATTCAAGATACGATCAAGAGTGTTTCTGCAGCACATTGACACAAAATGTATTTCAGTAACGTTAGCTAGTTTGACCTCGGTGCTACAGCATCCTACACATTATGCAAATGTTTCTACCAGCACGAAAGCTTTTCTAAATTACTTGTCGTTTTACACATGCGAAGCAGCGCACGGCACGCTATAACAGCGATAACAGTCTGTGGTTGGTTGTCATACATGTGATCGCTTTCATGTTTACCCTATGACAGCAATAATAGTCTGTGATTGGCTGGTCATGCACATGATTGATTGCTTGTTAGCCGTGTTTACGTTATGACAGCAAATTTTTATAAATTTGCCTTTTAAGGGCTGTTTTTAGTGGGTAGGCTTTTATGCGAGGATATGCTGTTAATCTTCTTTTTGAACAACGCTCTGTACAAGCAACCAATTAAGGAAAAGGTACCAGATTTGACAGTTTGGCACATCTCACATCCAGAGTATGGTGGGGTGTGGACTACAGATCTATACCCTATAATCATATATGGTTACAATCGTGCACTCACAACAGCATGAAAAACATGAAAATTTGATGAAGTTTACCTTCTTGTGTGCAGTGAGTGCTTGATCAATAATTTCAGTTGAAGCATCTTCAGAATGAGCCAAATTCCACAATAAATTGAGAACTTTGTGAGCCATGACGCCATCTTTGTCATCTTCTGCTAATCTTCTTATTAATTCCAATAATGTTTCACGTTGCTTCTTTTTTGCTCCTTCCCAGCTTTGCTGCAAATTAAATACAAACATTGGAAACAAAATTGAAGAATCTGATATTAGTAATACTCAAGTTATACTTTGAAAGAAGGTCTTATTCCTAATAACAAAAATTTAAACTATTTTGGCTCGTTGGTTGGCATATCTTGCTAAGTATTGGAAATACGCTTGCCATTGCAACTATGATTACCCTAATTTGCATATACGAATTCCTTGAAGGTTTATGTGCGAGAGGATTACATGTAACTGCTGGTCAGTTACGACCTTCTCCACAACCAAGTCCATGAATCTGAAATAAATGAATGGCTGACTAATACCACATCCGATATGGACTGGTAACCAGAACGTATTTAAATAATTACAGTTTGCGATAAATCGAATACCTTGAGCAAATCAATTTGAACATCCAAAAATTTATTTGAAATAGGATTTCAATTTGTAAGTTATAAATTTGAAAAGCATAGTAAGATTTGTAAGTCTTGTTCGTTGGTCATAATGGCAAAGCTTAAAAAATGTGACGCTCTGATTTGTCTTTCCTGAAATTTTTGTGTAAGAGTGCATATGAGACAAAACATGGTTATTGTATATCAAGTGATAGAACAAAATGAAATCCTGTGCAATAAACACAATTAAATTTCGGTTCATTTCAGTTCATTAAACTCATCTCTGCTACACATTCTAATTTGTTAGCTTTTCGAGGTGGTGTGAAACCTTGAAAGGAAAACTACCTTATTAAAACATCTATAAGTCAATTTTAATTTTGGTTCTAAAATGATTTATAATATAATATTCAGATTTGATAGTGAAACTTCTCTATTTACACACAAATAATTCACACAATACCATTTTATTGAGAATATTTGAAGAGTGAGTAAACATGATACACTGGATACATCGTTTCAAAATCCATAAAAAGAGAAGTAATATTAACTCCTGTACATTTAAATAACAAAGGAAGATTTTACCTTGAAAAGTTCAAATAAATGGTCAAGTTGTTCTGGTGAAAAATCCCATGCTAGCTTTGTCAATAATTCGTGAACGTTTTGAACAATGGTTGAATGTTTTCCAGCCTGTAAAATGTATCATAAAACTGTTAAAATTCAGTGCTTGTTTGGAAGTCTGATGGGCAGATTCCATACAGATCACCAACTTAAGTGTCTTTGTCTAAATCCAATGTTCACAAATGAAGCATAACACACTTAACCTAATGTAAGTGTAACTTAATACAACCAAATACTCCAATCAGTTTAATGGAAATAACACAAACATGTTTGAGACAGGATAGGACAAATGGCATAGAAACAGGATGGGAGAAAGGGAATGACCCAATAACGCAAGAAAGCCTTAATTAAGACCCAATAGTAATCCTGAGCTGTTGTGGACTAAAGTAGAAGAAATGTGGGCATAATGCCTAGTGCCACGCACAAGTCACGCACGCAAGTCAAGCACGCAAGTCGCGCACAATGTCAACATCTCGCTCTGAGTGTAATAAATTGATTTTGCAATGTCGAATGGAAAAATTTCCTGTAAAATAGTAGCGCTTTATCAGTGGCTATTAGGGATGTAAGTTTCGAATATTTCATTTTAGAATCAAATTTCGAATCAGAATTTTCCGATTCAAATAAACACTTTTGGTCGATGTTGAGACAACGCCGGCTGCGTCGTGCAGTTGCCCCATGATATCTAAAGTATTTTTTTTAAACAGAATGAAGCAGTCTTTTTTGAAATTCTGAAACTAACATATCAGCGGCAACTAGTTAAAGCCTCAAGAACTATAAATGTAAAAATACACACTATAAAAATAATGTGTGGGCAATAATATCACATACAGGCTTTGTAATAAGAAAATACTATGATGAGACGAATAGAAATAGAACAAGCAATACTATGTGAGATAATATATCTTTCTTTTTATAAAGCTATAAAACTGCCTGCATGATAGTTTAGGTCAGTGGTTTCCAACCGTTTTTCCAAGCGTCCCAAATTTTGTAAAACATAAATTTCATGAAATCTCATTACCCAAGGATATGCTCAAATACTGCACTGAATGGCACGTAGTGCTTATACCATTGCAAAATTAAATTACAACTAGACTATTTTTACATAACATTTATTTCTTTATTATATATCTGTACATTATTATTTGTTTGCCAACAGCGATTTTTGAAACGGTGATATAGCTTCACTTATTAAGCAAAATAGATGCTTCCAAGTTTTTACGCTGTGATACTTCACACATATACAACTACTATTGAGCAACACTTATAGACACAATACCAAATAAACAATAAAATTTACTAATAATAAAATCAATAACTTTTAGATCTATGTCGAAAAAACAAGTGATCCAAAAGAATTTCCAAGCGACCCATAAGTTGGGAACACACAGACTTAGATGATGATAATAAAAATATAACAAACTTGCACTTTTGTAAACACTAAAAATACGCACAAAAAACTACTAGTGTTTCCATTTGTATATATGGACAAACCCACACATGACTAAAAAATAGTCATAGGACTAAACTACAACATAATATATATATATATATATATTGTTGTTGTAATCGTCAAAAACAATGTATTATTGACTTTACAAGATTCAATCCTAAATACAAAACAAAGGAATAAATGAATTCACCTGGGCCGCCCATATACTGTCCAGATCTTCCATTGAAAGTGATTTTTCTTTGATGACGAAACGAAGAATGGTTTCAAGTTTTTCAACATATTGTGGTTGATGAAGACTGTCTCGTAACACAATAGACAGCACTTGATTCTCTTTTAACCATTCCTAACAAAATATGCAAGAATAAATAAAGATGCAAAAGTAAAAATAAATGTTTTCAAAATTTGCAACACTGTCCATGATATTGGACATGGAACAAGCCATATAGATCGTTTTAATAAAATCATTGTTATTGATCTTGTTGTTGTTGTGGGGACGCAGAATAAATGAATTTTCTCGGGGACACAGAATAAATCAATTTTTTCCATAACTAATAGAAATTTCCAGAAATGATTTTAAACGCTCTCTCTTGAAAATCCCAGCTACACCCCTCTAGTGGTATAGAAAATGGTATAGAAAACGACTGTATTACATAATAAGGTGGAATCGGCCGGCCTAAGTAAAAAAATTGTAAACTATCTAAATTATGATTAAGCAAATTTGGAAAAACAATTCGAAAACAACACTGAATAAAATAAAATATGGACACTCCTGAATTATGAATATACATGCTTGATTGTGATACAGTTCTTTTTATTCCAAAGGTACATACCGCCATTCTTTCAGATGTAAGCCATTCCTCTTCATCATCTCTATGAGCATGAGCTGAGTAATACGATACGTTGTTTATCACTTTATTTACTTCATTCAAGGCATTCATCTTACTACTGAAGGATGGAATCTGTAGAAGTCTGTGAAGTAATATAAGAATTGTTGATGTCTTTTATTTTCAAAATCTGCGATTGTAAGAAAATTCCAGTATCCAACAATTATGTCTAATAGTCTAGCTCGAGGTTTCCCAAACTTTTCGGGCCGCAGACCCCTTTATGTGAATTGTATTTTTGATGGACCCCCATCTTATGGCGTATCAATTTATCTGCCTAACCAATGTTAATGTTTGATTTACAACACAAACAAAATTAATGTGATGGATGAGGTTACTTCTCACGGCACAAATCGTCACGTCTCGACCTGTCTTTTGTCATCATACTGCCATTTCTGACAGTTATGAATATCCTTCCAAGATCAACCAAAAAGACGCATTGACATTTCGATTGAAATCAATTACCAAAGATCGATCAGACTCTCTTCACATCGCTGTGAACCCCCTGTGACGTCATCACAGACCCCCAGGGGTCCGCAGACCCCAGTTTGGGAAACCCTGGTCTAACTGATAGAAAGAATGGAGAAGAAATAACTTGATAATTGGAGCTAATTTTCTGATCTCAAAAATTTTCGCTATTGGTAATTTTCAAGTTTTATTGCCAGTTACCAAATGACGTCAGTGACCTATAAAGTTTGGTATACCAGAATTAACAAATTATTCACCAAAAATTCATTTCTTGGAATAGTCTAAATTAATCTATTATTAAAAATAATGATATATGATAAATATTACCGTCACTGCTAAAAAAGCAAATTCAATAATGAAAAACAGTAATTTCAATACAGTAGTATTTATATTAGCCATCTAGAATCCCAGTTCTCAACCAACCTCAATATCATTTTCAATCTGAACATCTCCAGAGAACGAATTTCGATTTCCCCATCTTCCGTGGGTAAACGAGCCATCAGTTTTCTGAGAAATTTGATGACGGCAGAAAGGGTGTCATTTCTTTGTTCACTTTTGCTTGCTTCTTTCTTCAATTCATCGTCAGTCAAGCCCTCTAAGCAACTGATGATTATTCCAGTAATTGGAACCAGATACGTCTGCACAGTGCGAGGAGTTATCAGATCTGCCACTTCTCCAAATGGTCTGAAAAAATTGATAAGATAAGATCAGTTGATAAAAAAAAAATTTAAATCAGAAGAGATAGAGTGGAATAACACAGCATCTGAGAAGATGTTCTCTGAAGGGGCAAAAATCACAGCCTTCACTACTTCACTAGGTACAATTTGCAAAGACTAGATTAATAATCTGTTTCATTTTTAGAGCGCAATGAATTTATTCTTTACTTTCGTTTGTTGGGTTCACTGTTAATGAATGTGGTGAATAAAAGAACTGATAGAAATGCAGCTAGGTGTTTATATCCAAGAGCAGAAGGCCCAAAAATTGTGGTTGGAAGGAGGCCACAGATCATAAAAGTCTGAGAACAACCAGACTAACAAACTTTTAGAAATATAGGAGGAATTCTTGGTAAATCATATGTAATTGAAGCAAAGATGATCAAAACTGAAGATTCTACTTTCTTGAATACATTCTAAAATAATATTTTCTAATGAGGAATATCGAATATATTTGGATTGAGAGATGTTCATAACAGAACACAGCAACGTCAATGTACATTCAGTGAGTTTGAATTCTGATATGGAGGTAACTTGATATGACCTATGATTTGTATGGAGGTAACCTGATAAGAAGAATGATATGGCTGGCTCTCTGTTTTACACAAGCCGGCAGGTGCCCTCTCGGAAGCCGTTACCATCTTTGCAAATTGCAAACTTATAATGGCCGCGTACGGTGGTGATCGGATTACCAATACAGCCTTTCTTTTAGAGCACTGCAGTCTAGTCGGCATTCTTGCATGAGTGAGGTATATTGCGCCTAATAATTGAAACATGTTCACCAAAGTTCCTAAGCTACACCAGTTCACGGACTATCGAAATAAAAGACTGCTTGTTCGGCTTGATTTTCAAGAAAATGGCTAGAAATTGTGTTGAATTAGAAATTTTCCATCAATCGGCGCATATTTTCGCTGCTGACATGGAAACAAAACATCAATTTCAACAATCCTTCTGTGAAACGCACAGTACTAGGGCAAAAGGATAACCCATGTGAGAAATTTCATCCAGATGGCTCGGACCACATCAACCCAGCAGTTTAGTTGCTACGGCTAAAAAGTACGTAACGGTAGCTGTATTGCACGTACACCCAACATCAAATGAAATAAAATGTACAGACATTGTTCTTACCTTATAAGTGCATAGATAATGGCAAGATTAAGTGCAGTTCCAGATTCAAATCTTTCCAAAAGAATTTTAAATCCTTCCAACTTTCCAAATTTATTGACAAGATCAACAAGCCAGCCCTTAATAAACAATAAAAAAAATGAAGTCAATCGAAAAATGTATTTTCATATTCTGACAAATTGGTGCTCAAGTACTGCTATCATTGTTAAAGTATGAAATGTTGTTATTCAATTTGTGGGCGTGATCAGGGGAGTAACCAAGAATTTTCAAAGAGGGGGGGATCCGGGGAGTAACCAGGAATTTTCAAAGAGGGGGGGATCAGGGGAGTAACTAGGAATTTTCAAAGAGGGGGGGGGGGGGAGGGGGAGTAACCAGGAATTTTCAAAGAGGGGGGGGGGGGGGATCAGGGGAGTAACCAAGAATTTTCAAAGAGGGGGGGGGTCAGGGGAGTAACCAAGAATTTTCAAAGAGGGGTGGGGGATCAGGGGAGTAATCAGGAATTTTCAAAGAGGGGGGGATCAGGGGAGTAACTAGGAATTTTCAAAGAGGGGGGGGGGGATCAGGGGAGTAACCAGGAATTTTCAAAGAGGGGGGGGGGTCAGGGGAGTAACCAGGAATTTTCAAAGAGGGGGGGGGATCAGGGGAGTAACCAGGAATTTTCAAAGAGGGGGGGGGGGTCAGGGGAGTAACCAGGAATTTTCAAAGAGGGAGGGGGGTCAGGGGAGTAACCAGGAATTTTCAAAGAGGGGGGGGGGATCAGGGGAGTAACCAGGAATTTTCAAAGAGGGGGGGGGATCAGGGAAGTAACCAGGCATTTTCAAAGAGGGGGGTGGATCAGGGGAGTAACCAGGAATTTTCAAAGAGGGGGGGGGGTCAGAGGGGTAACCAGGAATTTTCAAAGAGGGGGGGGGATCAGGGGAGTAACCAGGAATTTTCAAAGAGGGGGGGAGGGGGGATCAGGGGAGTAACCAAGAATTTTCAAAGAGGGGGGGGTCAGGGGAGTAACCAAGAATTTTCAAAGAGGGGTGGGGGATCAGGGGAGTAACCAGGAATTTTCAAAGAGGGGGGGATCAGGGGAGTAACTAGGAATTTTCAAAGAGGGGGGGGGGGTCAGGGGAGTAACCAGGAATTTTCAAAGAGGGGGGGATCAGGGGAGTAACTAGGAATTTTCAAAGAGGGAGGGATCAGGGGAGTAACCAGGAATTTTCGAAGAGGGGGGATCAGGGGAGTAACCAGGAATTTTCAAAGAGGGGGGTGGATCAGGGGAGTAACCAGGAATTTTCAAAGAGGGGGGATTCTGAAATTTTTTCAAATTGCCAAGTTAGATAACAGCTACGAGTTTGGAGTTTTGTGGGTCAAACAAGCGTTTCAAGATACGAAAAATTGCTATGTATGATGAAGAATTTTTTTTTTACGTTTTGAAAAAGGGGGATACGAACCCACCACACCCTGGCTCTGGGTGTGATGACCTAGTAGTTCTAAAGCGTTTCACTTAACCATGTTGGAATCGCAGGTTACACATTTCAGGTCCAAATCCCATGCCCAACACATTACCCATGGTGTAACAAAATGGGTAGGCAATGCTGAACCGTAAAATTTCTGATCCTACTAATAAATAGCGTACATATATACAGGATTTTGTTCAAAGCAAACAGCATGAAAAAGCGACATATAAAAAAATAAATTACCAAATCAAATTCTTAAAAAACATACACTACTAATTTGAATAATCCATTTTCAATGAAAACGAATACATTTACAATATTCAAAAAATACGGCGCAATCTCCTCAGCAACAAACGTAGATCGAAATAATACATAACATATATTCATACAACATGTCTACATTTGAAAATTGACATATCAATTGCAACCAAAATTTTACGTCATTCAACAGCCAAAACAGGCAATATACTTGATTTGTAATACCAGAAAGGATTTACAAAGCATTGGATATATACGGTACATAAAAATCCCTGACAAAACAATTTCCTGAAAATTCCGCAATACAAAAACCATAAAACCACATTCAATAGAATTCCGCCTCATGGATTAAAAACGAAGGAGATCCATGTTTACACTTGAAACGCGGAGTACAAAAAAACATTTTTAATTACATACAAGTATGGACGACGAGGCTAAGAAATTCAAGATTTATAACAATGAAGACTTAATATATAACAACATAAGCAAGTTTATTATCATGCAGTCATGCCTGGATTTTCTCATAAAAAGCCAAGTTATTGGCTACTCTGTAAGTCAGCCAATTATAATAAATACCCCAATATCAGCTCAATCTGTACCAAGACCGCACATAAAAATAGGCCAAATCAACGCACAAAAAAATATTTAATCTCAGGGAAAAAATAGACTGCACTTGTTTAATTTCTGAAACACTGTCTCAAAAACTTGATCATTCAATGAATCCCTAAGAAAGTATTTAGACTGTACCAATTGCCTACACAATTTCACATGTTTGGCGTTAACAATATTTTTAATCACAGAGAGTAAATGGACTGCGTTTGATTAATTTATAAAACACTGTTTCAACATTATGGACTTGATCACTCAGCGAATCCCTAACAAAGTATTAAGACTGTGCCGACTGCCGACACAATTTCACAGCTTTGACGATAAGTCGATAACAATATTTTTCTTGTCTTATAAAAAGAACATCAAACCTTTGGTTGTCTTGAATCTGCAGTTCTTGCAAACAGTTCGTCAGGGTTAACTTGGCCACCAGGTGGATCAGTGGAAGATGATCGATTCCCATTATAAATATGAAACTTACAGAGAGGATTGAAAACCATCGCTAGTAAATCAAGAAGTGGCATCCAGTCATCTCTCAACTTAGCAACACAAAGTTCAACCAGAAGTTCAGCATTATTGTAAATACATTTCTGAATAGAAAAGGAAAAACATGCATACAAACATTTCATAGTTTGTGGAAGTGGTTCTTGGACTGTGTGAGTGCATCATAAAATATCGATCCGATTCCTAATAAATTGCTTGTTATTTGCTGACATTTTAAAATATACATAAAACATAGGTCAAAAGTATTGTTTATAGTACCAGTTTTCAACCTTTTTCATGTCATGGAATAAAATCAGCCTAACATGTTCTCAGCAAACCATAGAGAATTTCTACTCATCATTTCACAGATAAAACATTATATTGAAAGTATACTATTATACATAAATCTATTCATAAGGTTTGTAAAACCAAGTGAAACTCATATATGGTGTCAATAAAACCGACGTTTGTTTTTATTTACTAGATAAATATATCGATTCTGTTTTCGATTGGGTTTCTATGAGACTAACTACTTATTCTTCATCTATGCTTTTGTGCCGGTGGATCCGTATGCATATATTGCAAGAATGCTGTAGCAAGAGTAGAGATAACAATCCTAAGTGATTCAAGAGTCTTGCTGCACACTAACACAAATAAAATCATGTAACGTTCGTCTGATCAAGGTCAGTCTTTCTCAGACATACATTATTCAACTGTTACAGAAACTGTTGTGTGGACTCTTAAATTACTTAAAATAGCTTTAAATTCATTGTACATTCTAATCTAGGGTTTTTATAGAAAATATATACAAAAAAAATGAAATTCATCATTAATGAAATACTGGCAGTTTCTATTTTCAAGATTGTTATTTTAGAAAAAGCAGATTATTTATTCAAATTTACAAAAATGCAGAACTAAGTGATCACAAATAACCAAAGGTTCCTCTTTTCACAATTTGTGGATGTGAGACTTAAAATTCGATTTAGACAAGCACAACATGATCTCTTTTTAATTAAGCGTTAGACTTAACTGTGTTGCCATCGCATGTTACACATCTCGGGTTAAACTCCCATGTCCACCACCTCAACCAAGGTGTAATGAATTGAGTAGGCAGCGCCAAACGGTAAAGATTCTGATTCTTCCAAAAATAGTAGGTTCCTATATATCAGTGGTTGCCAAATTTACCGTAATTGACCGCGGGAGGGGAGCGCCCACAAGGAGCCGATATCGGTATGTATAATTAGGATACCGAATTGTTAATAAGATACCGATCTGAATTGTTACAAATACACACGTGCTTAAACTGTGATACCGACGTAACAATTGGCGGTATCTTATAAAAAAAAATCTAAAAAAAATCGTATCGTGGTCTCGGTTTGAGAACCACTGCTATATATCGCTAGATATCAGTGGATGCTCATACAGTGCCTTATACAAAAGCAGTAAAATACTAACATGGATATTGAGCTTCCATCCACTCACTGCCTCGTCTGTTAAAATTTTGCTGAACGATATTGTCAAACCATCACGAAAAAATCTTTGGCAAGCTTCATTTTTGGTATCGAGACCTAAAAATATTTAATCAAATGAATAATTGGAATATTAGATGGAAAAAAAAAAAAAAAAAAAACTATAAAACCTTTTGTCTAAGCTGTGTTTTCAATGTACAATACCACACTTTACATTGCATAATAATTATTTCGTCGTTTATTTCATTGTAGTATTTGGTTGTATTAAGAAAATTATCAACAGTTGAATCTAATGTAGATAAATTTGTTATTCTACATTTGTGAACACTGGATTTTTAGATGATACTCAAGTCCGTGATCTGCTTATCAGATCTCCCAACACTGTTCCCATGCCTTCCCAAATCCCATGCCCTCTACCCCACCCAGGGTATAATAAATTGGCAAACCAGAAAGACTCCTTGAAAAGCTCCTCAGATCAGGGTTTCCCAAATTTTTGGGGCGCGGACCTCTGTTTGCAAACCTTATTTTTAAAGTACTCCCAAGTTTCGACCTGTAATTATGTCATCATATTGGTGAGAGCTGAAAATGCTACCTCACACATGTATGTTGTTGTAAAACGCAATAGAATTGTAATTCCCTTTTCTGACAGCAAGGGATGGCGGTATTCATCCTCAACGCTGAACAAAAAGACGCAACGACTTTTTGATTAAAATAAATCCTTAAAGATCGATCAGACTCATTTCATATCGTTGCGGACCTCCGGTGCAGTCATCATGGACCCCCAGGGGTCCGCGAACCCCAGTTTGTGGAACCCTGCCTTAGATACCTCAAGTAGCTCCTTAAATATTATTGGATAATAGTTGATGCTTGCACATAGCCTTGTTCGAAGCAAAAGGCATGATGGGCATTGTATAAAAAAATCACAATATTTTTGATATCTTACTTTACCTTCTATTAAAAGTCCAATTTACTCAATGTTGTAATCCGTCTTACTTATTGCACACAATTTATCCAGATAAAATCTCAGCATGAGGTAATGATCTAGGAAGTTCGTACCTGATTTTACCAACTTAATAGCAGCCTTCTGCAGAAGTTCCAATTGCCCTCCTGGTAGAACAGGTACAACCCAACGTGGTTGATTAATCAAATCATCGAGATCAGCAAGCATTGATTCAGAAAATTCATTCTCCGATTCCGTTGTTGTTTGCTGTTGTTCTGCAACTTCTTCAAGAGATGAATCAGCATCTCCCCCTCCACTTACCTATTTTGAATATAAAAATTCAATCAAGAATATGAAATGTGTTCTATAAACACGGTATAAATTCATGACTGTGATGTCCAGGTCTGTAGAGTTCAGTGTGTTTTTGCTGGAGTCGGAGTCATATTTTTAAACCACCTAAAATTGGAAGTCAGAAATTACTCGGCGGTGTGGCTCATCGTGCTAAGCATTAGAAATACGCTTGCCACTGCACCTCCGATTACCCTGCGTGGGTTCGAAAGTTCGAATCCCATGCGGGATTAATTATGTGCAAAGAATTTCTTCTTTTTCTCGCCGCCATAGGTTGGTTTACTATCCACCATGAAGTCCATGCATCTGAAACAAAAACTTGCTAAGTAATCCCATACCAGGCATGAACCGGTAACCGGACAAGAGGCCGTGGTTCACCATATGATACCAAGTATTCTTAACAGTCTGTATAAAGTTTCACTGAGATTTTCGTTACCGATATTTGACTTCATATTGGTAATATTTTGAAGAACCTAATCCTTAGAAAAGCAATTTTAATGGAGAAAGAATCATCAAAATGAATTTGAAATACAACTTTTAGTTATGAAGCTGAATTTATGTTACCTGAACAGTATGGGTTTCTACTGCTGTATCATCATGTTGAACTGGTTGTCTGCTACTTCCATGTAATGATGACGGGCGTACTACATCTACAAAAAAGTAAGAACTAAATAATATAATCATACTAATACCTATTGTAAATGATACTTAAATTTTTACGTATGTGAATACAATTGTTTTTTCAAAAACTGTGATGTAGAATTGATAAATACAAAAACTGTGTTTCCCCGAAAAAAGTCAGGGTCTCATTTCAATTTTCTTTCGAAAAATAACACTAAGGCTTAGTTTTGGGGGGATGTCTTTTATTTTCTTTCCTCATTTTCAAATATACAAAATATGAAAACCGATATCCATTTACTTATAACATGTTTTATGCAAAATAACTGCTAAACAAACAGTGGGTGATTACGCATCATTTAAAACATGTAGGAGAAATTTCTTGCTATCGACTAGGTCTTATTTTAAGGGGAAACTTATACCGGAATCATTTTCAAAATTCAGGCTACGGTAGGTATTATTTTTGAGAAAAACGGGTGGTAACTGAAAAAATATAATTTGCCAGTGAAGTACCGGTATATTCTTATTTTTTACAATTTTATAAATTGTTAATATGTGAGAACTTAAATCAGATATAATCTGTTATGTGCAAACTCCACATAAAAAAATTTTCCAGTACTCAAAAACTGCTGTAAAACATTAATAAGAAAGATCCTCTGATTGCTGTAAATGTACTCGGAGTTTCAAAAAAAAGAAAATAATCCTACTCATACCATTTTTGTCTCCAGGTGGGCTGATATCATTCAAAGATTTGTATGGTGGAGGTGGTTGATCATTGACTGGTGAATTGTTAGTTTTCCTGTTCACAGTACTACTGAGTTCTGGGGGAAGTGAATCCTCCTAAAATAATTGAACATTTTAACAAATTTGAATACAAACAGTCATATAAGATTGTGATTACCCTATATCCTCGCATAAAAGCCAAGTTTAAAACTCAAAAAAAAATTGCCTAACTAAGAATTCGACTTATTCGCACATAACTCTGATCTCACTGAAGGGTTGGCCCATAAGCGCACAACTCTGATCCCACTCAAATGAAATGATATTATGCTTAACTTAATTCCAAACAGCTACAACTCGAACCATGCAAGTTATCCCATGCTGTGATAGGTGCGTACAGCGTATTATGATTTGTAGGGTTGGCTTATATGCTATTTTTTTTTATAAATTCACCGTTTTAGGGATGTTTTTAAGGGGTCCGCTTGAATGCGAGAATATAAGATATTTATATAAGGTATTTTCTTAAATTCAGTCAATGAAATGTCCATGCTCTTAAACTTGAAAATACAGTATTGTGGATTCAGTGACCTTCGACATGGAGCTTCCAAAAATGCTTTGCATGTACGTCTTGATTTGAGTATGCATTTTCACTGTGTGTATATATAACAATAAGAGAGACATATCTGCAATAGCTATCGTACTAAAGGCGGATTCTTATGTTTTACGTTATTCAGAACAAAAATTCCTACAAATCAAAATGAATTGAACAATGGGATCCTTCATACAATTCATGTGTAAAATTATCAATAATATTGTATGAATATAATCTGCCAGACAAAGCAACTATCAATAATGTATGAAGCAATAATTTATTTGCAAGCAAAAACATGGTGCCGTCTTGATCATTTGTATCATGAATCAATGATATACATACCATAACATTATAATAAATATAAGAATATGATAGCTTTGTATATGCTGTAAATATTGATAGCAATAAAGTTTTGAATTGTTTTAAAGAACCACAAATCATTTAATTATAGATCCTATAAGTTCAATATATTCTTCTGGAATAGATGAAGTATAAGAGTTTAGCACAAATCTGTATTTCACTGCCCATGATGTACACTACCACACTGTCAATAAATTGCTTAGATTGAATTTTTATTCATACATAGGGCGCATTGGGCTATGAATGGTTTTTGAAGCAATACTGGTTTTGAGTATAGGCTATAAAGCATAAAGCATTACCTGATCCATACATTAGATGCACCAGCTTTTAAGGTGCACAATCGATATAAAAAAAAATTGAAGTGAGCCTTATGGTCCGTAAAATACGGTACATGTAGGCCTATATAGTTAAAGCTTATAAACTGGAGAATGACCAAAAATGTTGAATGTTTTTCATTACTTTCTCATGCCACTAATTAACAAACACTAGTCGAAACTTATCTCAATAAAGTATGAGAGAATTATGGCTCAAGAACTAATATAAATTGCACAAGTGAGATACTTCAAATAACAAACAATGTTGTTGGCCTCAACATATTTTACAGAATAAAATTAACAAATCAACGGAAGACCCCAAAAAAGCAGAACTCAGGTATTTGATTTTGATGTAGAAAACAAACATAAATTCAATTGTTGAATACATTTTTCTAAGAGTATTTAAGAAATTTATGGATTCTGTTTTGAATAAACCATGTAATTGGGATTCATTTTTGCTATTTACTCACTATAATGTCTGACTTTGGTCTTTCATCTGTTTGACTCATTTTTTCTTGATATAGGAATCACTGTATTGAAAAAAAAATTACTTGTTAAAAATTTAAAATTAATATCTAAAATTGGCACATCTGTTTTTTTGTATATAATTTTGAATTCCATTAAATAGGATATTTTAATATCACAAATTTATATCCAGTGCTTTTTGGTGTTTCAATAAACAGTATTCATGCCACATGCTATTGCTAGCATAAAAATTGTTTATATCACACTTTTTCATGCCATTCGTTCTGAAGAACAATTAAAAAAAAGAATTCCATGACATATAATTAAAACCAGAAAAACTCACATTTTTCCAATTCAAATCGCATCCATAATAAAGACGATTTTCAATCATACAGTTCCAGTTGGTCACACACTGGCCAAACGTGATAAATATTGTATTATACTATAATGCTGTAAAATGTTTAATATTTTGAGCAACACAAACCAAACTACCGGTAATACCTGAATACTGTAGTAATAGAATGTAAGAATACTACACAACATATTGGATAGGATAGACACAGATACTTATTAGGAGAAACAATTTTTCCTAACAATAATATCTCAGTATCTACCGGAATATAAAACAAGGTTGAAGGTATAAGTATAAGTTTATTTCGACTCCATAATCAGCATAACAATACATTTGACAGATAAAAACAAATAAATAAAAACTGATTATGAAATCAGGGGAGCAAACAAAACCTTAGATAAGGTTTATAACGTACAAAATATAAGATGGAAGGTTTTGCCAAGAGGAAGTGGTAAGTGTTTACTCACCTAAAATTATTAAGTTATTTCACACACGCTCACATGCACCCACCAGCCACACACACACACAACCACTGAGAAGTTATTTAAATAAGAATAAAACGCGATAAATTTAGGGTATACTATACAGTAAACAAAATGCTATAACTCTCGAATGCTACAGCAAAAAATATTTTGTTCTGTTTTTTTTTAAGGAATCCAATGGCAGAATGCATGAATGGTATCATATTTAGATTGCGCTTCATTTTAGTTTATTGGGCAGTGCTGGTTTGTGCGATATGGAGGCCCAGATTGTCCCGTTAAGGAGGGGACCACCCACTGTTATACCGTACGGTACCGGTAACTGATATAACTTTAGGGTCTCACTCGTGAAAAAACTTTGCTTTATAATAATAGCGCACAATATTTTATAAATTTTTTTTATGTTCGTCATTTGAATGTTCATACCGGTACTCTACAGCTTACTGATTTCCATATACAGCGGAACTAGAATGGAGTAAGAAAGATGCCATTCCCAAAGTGAATACAACCCTTATTATATTGAAGTTATAGGCCTAGACATTTTGCCCTTTCCGAATCAGCTGCATTACGGTAATGCAACAACGGCTTACGTCACTTATATCAAGATCAACGCCATCTAGTGCTTTCAGTGAATTTCGTTATCTCCATTGATTTATCCCGTGGAAAAGTAGTTTGATAAGACTCAGAGTTGCGATATTCCTAACGCATATCACGATGCGCCGTAACGTGTGGTTGTCGTTAGTGTCTGCCGCGAAAAAGAAAGGGATAGTTTATTTCCACAAACATTGTTAACATTAACAAATATTAAAATTCATTTATGAGAGAGAGAGCTTTATTATTTGTCAACCAGAAAAACAAGCATTGCAACAGTAATAAAAATATACAACAATAAACGCAAAGTTATTCGGTAAAAACCGGTCATCAGAGTCAGCTCCCCCCATATTCACTATTTTATATTATGTATATGAGAATGGTGGTTATGGTGAGGGAATGGTGTACGAAAGAGCTAACTGTTGGAGAATTGTCTAGTTCTCTACAATACATTTCCAGGTTCGGTTATAAAACGGTAGGGCTTTGTATCCGATTCGGTTGAGTATTATAGAATGGGTATACACCTATAGTTCCATCTCTTAAACCACTGTTTTTTTTTTCGTTTACAGAAGACTATCAACCAGTTTGAACTCGGGGGTAAATTCTGGTGATCTCAGTTGCCATAATTGGACGGAAGAAGTCGTTATAAGTCTATTACATTTAATTTATCTATCTAAATTTTGTTATTATTTTGTATAACACTTTCGTATGTTGAATCTGCTCTAAATTTTGCATGTGCATTTATTATATCTCGGACCAGAAGCCTTTTGAATGAATTATGTCGCATAATTAGCGAGTTATCAATTAATTAGTGATGGGACACGCGGTACGCCGCTAGATCAATAAGTCGGCGGTCTCTGATCGCTATCTCGTCTTTGTTTCATCATTCAACTTTGGCAAGTTGACGGCGATGTGGAGGGAAATAAATGTCTGGTATCGTGCCCTACCGCATGCATAAATGTAACATCATTCAACTTCAACGAGTTGACGGCGGTGTGGAGGGAATAAAATGTGTGATATCGAGACCGACCGCATGCATAGATGTATCTCGATACGGAAAATAAATAAAAAGTGCGGCAATGAACAATAATAGAAAAAGACACCATATTAAATAATTACTTACTTAGACGATTATTAATAATAAATTGCTGTAACGACAATGCATAACGGCATGGCAAACCCAGCAACATTCCAAACCCTTCGTCGATGTAGGTCGAAGTGGGTTTCGCCAGCAAAATATAAATGCGACCTTGCCTGATACATACAACGTTTAACTTTGCGGTCAATTAAGGCTTCCGAACCTGTCTGACTCTGAACTGATATATACAGTGGTGGGATTCAGCCGGTTTGCATCGGTTCTATAAAACCGTCTCGCGGAATTTTATGCGATCGGCGAACCGGTTAGCATTACTGGTTACTGTCAATCGATTTTTGCATCTTATCTGAGACACCGATTTTGAGAACCGCCTGACTTTTTTGTGGAACCGACTGACAAAAAGATTGAATTCACCACTGGATATTTATGTCAAAACAAGTTGTGCAGACAACCAAGCTGGTTATTAATATGTGGAAGCGGCGCCGATACTAATTGAGCGGTAAACCAACCCAATGAATCGAATCAAATGAAAATTAGAAATTTTAATAATTTTTCCAGCCTGTTTCAACTGGCAATGTCCTTTCATTTTAACTACAAGCTTCTTACACGTAGAAAGGCTAATATTGCATCAAAGAGTAATCAATGATCTTTCATAACAATACAACTGGGGTATGGATGATTTTTTTTTTCAAAATGGTCTAATGATATTTTACCCTGATAACCCTCTAGGCTTAGATAAGATTCATCACTTGGTGTAATTCATGCGCATACCATAAACACTATTTGAATCTTTTCATTATTGCAATTCTTTATATTCAATGCACCTCAGCCATCTAAAGGTAATACCGATCACCCTATACCAGGGGTCGGAAAACTTTTGTCGTTCGCGGGCCAAAATTAAAGGTTGCAAGTCATTGGCGGGTCGCGCCTATTTTTAGAAATGTTTGAATATTTTCTGCGTCATTAAACCATTTGCACTCAGCATGAACGTTTTTACGTTCTGTTGCCATTCGTCTCAGTATAATAAATTATGCGCTCATTCATTAAACGAGCGATTGTGAATTTTATACTTGGCAGGTTGTGAAACTTGTAATATAATTTAGTGTCTCAAAACAAATTCTGTCACGTAAAGAATATATTCGTCAATAAAGCTGTTTTGTTGATGTAGTTCAGTGAAGCGTCGCGGGCCGGATTATTTTGCTCCGCGGGCCGTGGTTTGCCGACCCCTGCTCTATACATGGCCTGCATACTGACTAATATAACCTGCATAATTCAATCAATCATAGTCAAATAGCCATGGAAATTTATCTCAAGTATATTGGGCAAGATAAAAAAAAAATTCATTCAAGCGTTACAATACGCAACATTGCAGTTTTGTGTACTAATAAGGTATTGCATAAAATAATTCAAGAATTTTTATACAATTATAAAATCCAAACTATTTAACTTTCAAGATCAAAGAATGTTTCGAAATAATAACATTAAATGATTTTTGATGTTTTTGGGTAGTTCAGTACTGCATCAAAATATCCTCACCTATTCTGTTAGCAAATCTTTGAGAATTATGTGGAAAAATGGGCATTTGCAGATTACTTCATGTTTTATCTGAGTAAAATCGAAGTGACTCATAAAAAATAATATTCAATCAATTTACTTTGAAGATCACAACTATTGTGGCTCATTAGAAATAGGTAAAAAAAAATGCCATCATGTTCAAAAGGCCACAAATATTGGACTCCTCTTACAATAAAAAGTAACGCAAGGATACTGTGTTGGTAATTCTGAAGCTTGAAACAGCGATGCAGCCAACAGCCCTGATGAAAATGCAATGACAACAACGACTCACAGACATATATATGAAAAGTATAAAAAGAGGTTGGAATAAAAGTCACAGATAACCATTACCTAATCATTGCCTAAAAAGCAACCTCTGTTAATTCTTGTTTTTATACTGATTGAATCGACTACTAAACTGGCCATTAGGGCGAGTCCCCACAGGCCCATAACCGTTTGTTGTCGATTTATCACGGCTATTTCGGCGGTGGTGAGGAGGTGGGTAGGGTTGGTTTGTGTGAAAATGAGAATTATGAGACGACGATGAGGTACCGTTGAGACCTCTAGCAATTGCATATTCTTGATAAGAAACTGCCACTTTTTCACTTCGATACCGTTTTGTTCGTATGGTGGATCGAAAGTGAGGAGTTATCTCGCCTTTATATCCACCTTTTCTGAGCAAGTTTTCGACAGTTTGACTGTGATTCCATCCTGAAATCATTGATAAATAGAGTTGATAGAGAAAACAACGTGGAAAAAAATTTGTGTCACCAATTCAATAGCAGCCGAATGGTTAAAGGCAATCTTGGTTAATGTACATAGCACAATAGAATGCATTAACGCATATTTGTCCTTGGGCATTGAAAGATTACAAAACAACTGATGACCAGTATAGGATGTAAAAAATCTGTTAAAATCGTGAGACATTTGAAAACTTTGCCATATATTTGGATTATGTTATGACAATGAAGACTTCAGAGGATAACTGGTGACATTCAATTTAGTTGATACAACTCACATTTAAAATTTATTTTCAAGAAACATTTTCTGTAGCACAATGATCATAACCTTCTGATCATTGTTAAAATCTCTAAAAGTTAACAAAAGTTGTTATTACCAAGTTATCCTTCAAACTGTGTTTCTGCACTGATGGCCAGAATTCTACTTGAATTGAAAGAAGACAGACCTAAGCTCAAGGTTGGTACAACAACAAAGAATTAGACAACTTTACCAAAAGAAATATCACAACAAAAACCAACCTTGCTCTTTGCTCACTTCAGGTAGGTAAGTTGCCGTTTTTTGATGATTTCTTTCATTGTTGAATTCAATTCGAATTCCATGAACCCCAATCTGCGTAAGGTTAGAGTTGATAGTGAAAGTTGATCCACAATTTGGAAAAAAAACACCAGTTAAGCATACACAGAGGAAATAAAAGTAAAAATATCACTTCATATCAGAATACAACATCACAGTGCCCCTAACATCATAAATTATTTTTCACTTCATCACAGGTTTTTCTCGTATGGCGACAGGAATATGCCATATGCCCTACGATTGTATAGATAATCGAAACAGGGTCAAATGTGAATAACCAATATAGCAAATTACGTAATCCTACCTCCCAGTCATAACAATCACGGCAATCCTCAAAATTTGTCAACAATGATACAGAACAGTGGAGACGGGATAGTTCATCTCTCTTAATTGGTGCAAACCTGCTATCTTTCATTGCACTGTAGATAAGACCATGTAAAATAGAAAGTAGATATAATTTCAAAGTGACCTGATTTTATGTACTACATAGGTACTAATCTGATATGTTTTACAGAATGTTAGAAATAACTCTAGTTACATATTTTAGTCACATATTTTATATGATTCAGAAACTTACAAATTTAGTGTATTTTACAATTTTTTTTATCCAACGAAATGGCATAAAAATCAATATTTTGGAATAAAAGTGTTGTGTATTCGTGGGCTGTACAAGTTTATCAATCAAGATTGAGGTATTGATCAGCTGTTCATCATTTGAAAACACATTCCACTCATCATAATAATAAAAGCAAACATTTTATACAATACATATGAAATTTTTAACAAATTGACGTTGAATACTATAGGAAAAGCTATGCTTGACATTTAGTTCTGAACAATTTTAATTATTCATTCATAGCATAATTGAGTTCAGGAGTGTAATTTAAAACTGAATGAATAGAAAGATAGTAATTTTGAGATTTTCCTTAATAATAATTAGTCAACTAAAGTAACAGATTGATAAAAAAAAATATTGTTAACCATTCATTATATATCTACTTTATGGATGAAGTTTCCCCTTGGGCTAGATCAACATACATATTGTTTTAAGTAATTTTTGCCGAAACAAGTCGGCATCTAAGATAAAATAATGAATTTCCGCAATAACCAGACAACAGCTAATAAATTACAAAAGGCCTTCAATTAATGATTGAACAATGCTTTCAATTTGTGTGCAGAATTAGTTTCTAAACTAAAATTTTTAGGATCAAATGATTGCCATATTATTGATAAATGGAAATTTTACAGCAAATTAAGGTCATGATCAGAATCTAAAACAATATAAATATCATATCTTGCCTTGTAATTGCATATTCCTTCAGACCATCATGCAGTGGTAATGGACTAAAAGTTCCAATGCATCCTCGTAGTCTAGGATCCCTTGATCCAATTTTCCATGTGACAAAGAGAGGACTGAAAAAATGTAAGACTGTAGTAACGAGTAACGTTTCACTTACAGTCTAATGATTAAAGTAGAGAAAGGAAATTAGGGATACAGCTATATAGTTTAAAAAGACATGATATATGATTTCATTTAAGATCTGAGAATACCATAAATGGAAAGATTCACACAATACTCACTAAGCATCATCAGTAAACGCCGGCTTTCTAGGTGACTCAAAATTGTACAGATGACTTCTCAAAGCATCGAAACAATAATGGCACATCTCTTTGCTGACAACTTGTTGGTGAGCATCAGGGGGACGAACAATGACGCCATTTTCAACGACGCCATTGACTTTCCCATTGCAAATTTTTGATTGATCTTCGCCATTCATCATTTTGGTCCGCTTCCCACCACAACACCCTGAGGCCATCATGAGGTATTTAATACACAGAACCAAACAAAAAGATACAGAGAAATATATTCTACTACAGATGATAAGAGTATTCGGTTCAATTATAAAAATTACAAATATGATCCTAAAGTCTGTAAATGAAGAAAAATAATTTCACAGTCAGAATATAACATGTAGATTTCAATTCATAAATTGAATAAAATACAATAAAAAGCACCTGAATAGGCTGTATTTATAAGTACTCAAAACTTATACTGATTTATTGTAAAAAGGGACCTACATATTAAATTAGTTTATCCCAGAAATACTTTACAGAAATCACAATTATTGAGATGACATGGTCGGGTTCATAATTGAAGATGATAACATAAAGGCATCATTAATGAGTTAAGATCCCAAACAAAATAAATTAGATAGCTGATAAAATCACAAGACCAATGTTACCAATCTTGACCGCCCTTTGCAATGATCTTTTAAGTGAAGCAAACCCAAAATAAAATGAAACACCAAACAGTAATTAGGTTTTCTAGACCAGTCATCACTCTATCAATGACTAGAATTGTTTTCTTAGGGTATTTCTGCCTATAAATGTTAATAAATCATGCTTGCTTGCACAGAGGTTTTATGGTCGAAGTAGAATTGAAGAAATTTTAAACAAACAATTTGAACATCATATTGTCTTTTTTAGAATATCCGGTTTGATTTGAAAAAAAAAATATTGTGTTTTGATAATTTCTATAATCTTGATTTTTAAAAATAAAAATTTATTCAAACATATCTTCAAAATATTTATCAAATTCTTCCTCCCGAGTTTTTTCTAAATCAACTTTCACTGGTTGCGACCAAACATCTTCTTCTGTACTCGAACCTTTTTCCACATCTTTAGATGAAGTAGGATTTTTCACAGAAGATGATGGATCATGTCTGGATTTCTTTTTATGTTTTTGGCTCTTTTTAGATTCTTTTTTCAATTTTTTTCTTGTTACTTCCCTCTTTTTGTGATGAAAATTCAGTTTATAAGAGCATTCTGGGCATAGTCTGAGTTTTACTAGTGCGTTCTTTTTCTCTCCACTTTCAATGTAAGCAAAATTAACTTCCCAACTTCGTAAACCACTTTCTTCATTGCATTTTTTATTACCACAAGAAAATTGACCTTTTCCGACAACAACTTCTTTTTCAATTCGCCATCTCAAAGCGATTTTGTTCTCTTTGAAATAAGTTAAATCAGCAATTGCATATTCTTTGAATAGTTTGTCCCAATACTTTTTTGCCAATTTTTTTTCATAATTCATATTATCACTTGAATTACCTTCATCGTCCCATATAAATTGGTTATTGTTTTTAATTACTTCATTATCACTCAAATAAGTTCGAGATGGCATTTTAAAATCTTCCGGCTTTCCACCATAATATATCAAATAATCATTAACAAATTTTTTATGTCGTGAATAAGCATCCATCGCAAGAATTCCATGATATCGCATTCTTTTTCCCTCCTGTTTATCCAACTCAATGTCTAAATGACGCTTAGATGGCGGTTTTATAAAGCTCTTTTTTCCGGAACTGTTGAACAAGCCCAGTTTATCACTGGAGGGTTTATTGAAAAGATTGTCATTTTTACTCTTTATTATCCGGCTATTAAATTCAACATCACTTTCTCTGTCACTGAAGTCTGAACCATAGTCACATTTTTTCGGATTGGATAAAAATGACATAGCATTTTTCGGGAAGTTACCGAATGTAGTTAAGTGCGGGGCAGTAACGTTATAACACTAGCCACTAGTCTGTAAACGTTGATGTCTATTTTAGTATTTACATTGAACTGTCAAAGACAAAGGTCAAGGGGTATCTGGTTACAAAGGACATTTTTTATATTACTACATTCAGACATTACCTTTCAGACTTTATAACTCATGAAAGTTCTTCGTGCTAAATTAGGTAAAAAAACAATATTCATTCTGGACTATGACATGAATCTGTAAATTGTTACAGTACTATCCATAATTGAACATTTGATTGTTTTATCCATTCCCTTTAAAATACAGCCTTAATCTATTGAAATACGCATTACAAAGCATTATCCATTCTATATGATTATAAAATTTTAATTTTTCAGTTATTATTAGAATCATAAATTTACAAAAGGAAATAAAAATAACAATTACCGGCTTAGTAAATGAATATTTCACGATATTACTGTATTACTAATAAGTTATATTTCATAAAACATTATTGTTAGGTCCCTAATAATAATAATATAGGTAACTTACATACATTGGAAAATCTCAACTTAATCAACGTCAAAATATTAAGCCAGAAGGAAAAAGTTCAGAATGTAAAAATATTCACGCGAGATCTCACCTTTTTTTTTTTTTTTTGTGCCAAATAAATTCCAATGCCAAACGGAATTTTCGTATTAATATTTTGGTATCAAATCATTTTATTATAAATATATAAATAGATATTTTTTTTTGTTTCCATGTTTTTGTTTATCATTTTTTAATTTAATCCCATTCCCCCCAATACATATGAATAGTAAAAATCAAAATAAAGACAAAATTCATACCATTACCATGATGTCATTAATTTAATATAATCCAATATATGTCCAAAAAAGTTGAGTTAATCCACATGTAATCCACTCAGCAGTTAGTTGAATATAATTTTAATTTACAGGTAATCAGTTTTTATTTTAATTTTTTAGTTAGCATGAAAAATACAAGAATACAAAAATTAGACAGAGAATATGGAAAAATCCACGCTTTCATATTGGGTTTTTCCCATTCGCCATCTATGTTTCATAGTCGATACATCTTCCTCTTATGAAAATGATGTACAGATAACATACTTTCAATAATTTTCAGAGTATGGTGTTGCATATAAACTTACATCATGATTGACCTATGTAAAAGATCATCCATGTGCTCATATAACAATAATTCATTTCTTTCGCTTGCTTTTAGTAAATTTAAAATCCCTACCAGTTTACACTTGAAAATTGAACGCATACTACTTTTCATTTTATCTATTTCATCATATTTTACTGAATTTCGATATTCCCAAATTGTTGATTTTCCGCATAATATTGTGATTAATTTTGATTTGCATTCCGAATCGTTTGCTATAATAGTATTTTGATTAATATCTATGCAACACCATTGCCAAAAATCACTAGACCAGTCACATTCTAAAAATAAATGACACACAGTTTCTTCAACATTATTTTCACATAAGACACACATTCCTGGTTCATCAATGAACCAGTGTTTTATTTTGTCTCCAGTGGGCAACCCATTATGAATTAACTTCCAACATAACTCTTTATACTTGTTTCCAATATTTATTTTCCATATTTTATTCCAATTAATTGCCTTAGTTAGGTGAAATTTATTAAATATGTATTCCTTATGGTTTTTCAAAAATGTATCATTTTTCTTACTTTGTAAAATCCTATAAATTTGATTAGTGGTCAAGTCTTTCGACCCATTGTACCTATCAATTAATATTCTTGTTTGACCAAATTCCCTATTCCTTGATAAAATCTCTCTCCATTCTATTGGAAGTGCTTCCCATATTTGCCGTAATTCATTTTCGCACTTATTTATCAAGCAGTTTTTTCTTAAAGTACTTATTGCAGAGTTTTCTAGCTGGGGGTACACTCTTTTGGAAATATCATATATTGTTTTGCCAAAGATATCACTAACAGTAATTATTTTTGCCTGAACCCAATTTGATTTAGCAGTTATTTCAATATTATTTCTATCTAATATTAGAGGATTGTGCCAAATTATTTCCTGTGATATTTCTGCTATATTTTGTGGTTGATCTCACCGCCCCGCATGTCTCACAAAGAACAGAACAAAACCTGGTACAAATCGTCACTTTGGTGCGAAGTTCATCACATCGTTTCCCATATGATAGAAAAAATATGTTCCCATTTTTAAATTCTGACAAAATGTTTAATAAGCAGTAAGTCTCACCGTAAATATATACTACTACGGTCTCACACATTTTTTTAAATATTCTTCTTGCATATATTTTTGCATGAAACGTGAAGACCTGGAAACTTTTTATCAATTATCATATTAGGATCATAGGCATAAGACAGATTAAATATCCCAATTATGGGCAACAACGTATCTCGGGGAGGACATGTGAATTCTATGCTCACTAACTACTTATTTGCAGCTGAAACATGTAACCTATTTCTGCAATTAATTATACTCATTAATCATGATTATGGAACCAACATTGTTTTCTAACAACTATTGAAAGGGAACAATCCAATTTTACGTATAGGATGTCGTTGAAAATGTGTTTCCAGAAGCATTTGAGCAAAAAGCATTGCAAGAGGAGTCATCTCGTATCTTGCGATTTAGAGGTCCATTTTAGTAATGAAATTTCTTGTATAACCGCGTCCTGCATAATATTTTGTTAATCGATACTAGCCCCTTTTCACCCAATGTATATATGACGTAAAGCGTTAGGATTCTTGGCGAAGAACTTTAAATAGTGGAAGATAATGTCGTCGGATGATGACAATCACGCCAATACAACTTTTGATATTGGACCTGTTGGATATGAAATAGTGGGTGATATAAAAAAAGTTAATGATGGGAGTAGTCGAGAGATAGGAGAGCGGGCTGTTTGGTCAGTTTCTTCTTGTAAACAAGGTAAAAAAGAAAGCAATATTTTTGCATTAAATGAATAAAATTTTTACTAATTTGAAAATCAGATTCTTGGTTCTTAACATTTACATATGATTTTTATCAACTTCTGAACTTTTATTGTATCCAATTTATATATAATCCACTCAGCAACAATCTTTTTGTGTTTTACAATTTTGCCATTAACAAGGCTCTATGCAAGAAAGCTGAGTAACCCTTCAAAGACAAATGCACTTATGTGATGGCCCTTTCAATATTAGACTACTTATTGGCAACCAGTTTTTCACTAAACATTACATAAATTTTTATTATAACGAGGGTTTGCAACATATGTTTTGGTGTATATTTGCGATACCAATCTTTTTCATTTTGAATTAAGGCTATGGAGTTACATTGTTGAGAGATGACAATCTTGAATCATATTGGCAGTCCGATGGCACTCAACCGCATATGGTCAATGTCCAGTTCAGGTTAATATATTGACTTCTTAAAAACAGCTTTTTTTTGCTACTTATCACCTGGGTCCTCCATTTTTTCAGACAGAAGACAGATATTGGTTGTGTGGCGATTTACACAGACTATAAATCAGATGAAAGCTACACACCAAGTAGAGTGTCATTTAGAGTGGGCAATCATTACCACGACCTGAGAGAAATTGAGGTACAAGTTTGTGAATTTTTTTTATATGATGGTTATGAATATAATTGTTTGTATGTTTACTCTTTTCAGCAAATATACATGCAAGAGCCGTGTGGCTGGGTTGTGGTAAAGCTACAAGACAAGATTCATCAAAAGCCAATCCGGGCCTTTATATTGCAAGTGGCAATATTGCAGGTAAGAAAAAAGAACAGGATAAATCTGGATGCAATGAGTAAGGCAATTTGTAAAATATCCTAGTAGTTATAAAATAAACTTAAGAGTATGGTATTGCTAAAACTGCTAATTATTATTCAAGTGCAATTCGCACTCTCCCTTATCCAATACAATCTACAGAATCATCAAAACGGTAGGGATACTCATCTGAGACAAATTAAAGTATTTTCATTCAATGGTATACGGAAGCAGTTTGATCCAACATTGCCTATGGGGCTTACGTCGCAGCAATTTTCAACTGTGGAATGCAGCATGTTCAACACCATAAGGTGAACAGAGAAAAGCTATCTGAATGTTGGACCACCAGAGAAAAAAAGATGGAGGACCACAACAATGTGGGCGAAATTTCAATCCTGAAATGAGAACAGCCGCTTTTATTATGATGCAAACTGGGAAGGACGAGACTATAAAAACAAGTTGAATATACTGTCTGTCATCATTTGTTGGTGATATTTTGATATATTCAGCAATTACAGTCAAGACTGTTTTTTTGAATTTATTGCAATGAAAAGGACATGACCACTAAAAACGTAAAAACAAGAATTGTGAAATATACTACTTTAAGTTATTCGTTCATTCATTCATTTACATTTCGAATACTGTACTATACAGTGTGCACGAACTACTAGCATTGGTAGGTCAGCTGACGGAATCAGATTACAACGGATCAATATAATGTAACTTTTCGCTGATTTGCGGCTCTGCCTCGTCCACGTCCACCACCTCTTCCTCTTTTATTATTGAAATTTGGCAAAGATCTGTTGTTTGTTGAAGACTTATTGTTGTTGTTTCTTTGATTTTGCCTCCCGGCACCACGACCCCTCGTCTGTTGTCTAAATTGGCATTGGATAACAATTAGGAAAATTCTAGTGAGTGGCTCAATGTTAGTATAACTATCACATAATGTTGTACTAACCCTGCCGTCCGCCTTGGTTGCTGATTGTATTGCCTATTTATTGATTGTGTCATTTGATTTCTTCCTGATTCATTAAAATTTTGTCGTCGAGAGAAATTTGTTGGTCCACCGTGTCGTTTTCCACCCCTCTTAGATGCCTGAAAATTTTATACCCAATTATCTATCCATTGCATGAATTATGTAAATGAGTCTTAGTCTGACATTCATAAATGAAGATTGACAAGAGATTATGTTTTGGTTGAGTCCGAATAATCATAACTGAGAGACTTAAAACTTATATTATTAATTTTGGTAATTATTAAGGTACTTTTTACTTCAATCTAATATACCGGAAATGAAAGTGAGAACAATTACCTGAACAGGGACCAGTCCTTGTCTGTTTCTATTTGTCATTTGCTGGCGTTTTTGTCTTTGATTGTTTTTTCTGATATTAAGCCTGGCACCGAGTCTATCCTTAATAGATGGCCTGCCTAAAAAGAAAATCATTAATTTATTCGAGTTTTGATAAGTGCTTGAAAAACTTCATTAAGATGAACTTACCTGCAATTTTAGGAAATCTGACTGGTCCTCTTTGTTGTTGTGGCCCCTGTTTATTATTCACACCTCTGTTTGCTATTTGATTCTGAAAAATATTAAGTATTGTACGAATTGTTTGAAAATTTCATCAAAGTAAAATGTCAATGGGGCAGTTGTCATCCATAAAGACTATTCGGAGTGGAGTGATCAAAACTGTAAACCTATTACACATAGCATTAGATATTACCTTTCTCTGTTGTCTAAACTGCTGTTGCTTCGCAGGGTTTACTCTCCCTCCTCTTGTCATTCCAACATTATTTTTGCTTCGAATATTCTTTTTTGCAGCATTTCTGTATAAAAAGGCATTTTAATTATAGCATACCCGATTGTCACTGCCATGATGCAAAGAAAATGTAACCATACCTTCTCGGTCTCTGTGTCGCTGTTCCAAATGACGAAGCATTTTTGGTTGTCTGTACCTTTTGACCTAAATTGAAAAAGTCCTCATAATGCAAATTTTAACAATGGTAGGTCTTCAAAGGTATCAGAGTTTATGTAAAATTCCAACTGATGCAATTGAATAAAGAAGAATAAACACTGTAACTGGATTCAACATTTTATGTACAACATTTTTATATACAATGATAGTACCTTTCTGTTGCCTCAATTTGTTTATTCTTGTATTTCTGGCTTTTAATTTCAAAGATTCAGCTCGTCTGCGTTGGGCTGCAGTCAATTTCTTCGGAGCTGGATTTTTTGCCTTCTGGGCAGCAGCAGCGTTCTTTTTCTTCTCTTTTTTATTGAGCTTGATTATGTCATCTGTTCCAATCAAAATATTCAGAAAAAAAATATAATTTAATTTTACCCGGCCTTTTTGCAACAGCTGTCTGAAATCACTTGATTACTCACCTAATGACATGTCAATCTTTGCGAATGGATCCACATTAGACATTGTGTTAGATTAATTTATTAGTAGAAAATGGTAAAAAACAGGTCTAGAATAAACTAACTGTAAAATTCAATTAGACATTGTGTTAGATTTATTAGTAAAAAATGGTAAAAAACAGGTCTAAAATAAACTAACTGTAAAATTCAAATTTTCGAGTAGTGAGGAGTTCGTAGTACCTCTGGATATATTGTATGTTGCTTTTAGTTAATAAATGTCAAGTTGTTACTCATGAAATAATTTTGCCAAGCAGTTGACATCAAATCGTTCAAACTAGATTCTCACACGTTAGCTGGCATAACTCCAATTGGGTTTAATATTGTCAAATTCGTACAACAATACACTGCCAATGCGTGGATCTGATCATCTTTAATAAGATTTCAACCTGAAATAATATGTTCAGGGAAACTCCTGATATGGACAACTAAGCTTTATGGCAGTATGGCAACTTCTCGGTTTGTGGTATGACTGCTGGACTGGTGAATCATTTTATCTCTCAAGGTTCGGTCAAAGTTGCACTAAAAATCTCTCAAAGTCGCAATGTTGAATCAGTCAAATTCCACTATTCATCTCTAACCTGCCCAAAATTTATACGATATGCTGAATACAGAAATAGCTGAAGAACCAGTAGGATAAAGCACGGTACCGTATACCGGTACCAGGCTGCCAGAAGCAGTAGATTTACGACTACCTTATATTAACAATACCAAGACACTTGTAGACTATAGTCTGATTGCTGTTTGTGTTGTGGTCTAATTGTATTCTGATATTGCAATCTCAACTTTTTGCAGCGTCTGACTGAACGTTAGATACAATAATATGTACATCGCGTAGTACACGGCACACGCAATCGAAATTGTACTGTGGTCTGGGACAGCTTTTCTCCCTTTTTATACAATAATAAAATCTACCTTTTCCAAACAATGGTTTCGCACTAACATAAGAAGATTTAACATCTGCCCAACTGCGAATTGCGCCATGGCAAAAACAAAAATTAACAGCTGACGCGTTGTACGTCATACCCCAAGCCTCTTATCGTTGTGAAGAGATGCATCTGTGTCCAAAAATCAAAGAAATATCGTTGGCACTTGGCAGCCGAGGAGAGATTTTATTCGACTCTATAATCAGCATGATATGAAACATAGCCTACATGTAGCAAAAACATATTAAAGACTGATTCAATAAGGCTTCTAAAATGAAGTTTAGAACGCATATAGTATAAAATTTATAACGCGCACATGAGTGAGTTTAATTTTACGTTTACTTGAGCAGATGAAAAATAAATGAAGATACACTTCGGTTATAATTTTATAAACATTAACACACATTTATTTTCTCACTAAGCAGTAATATTAATGAATTATTTGGGATTTGTGCAATTTGAAATCACAACTTTTTGTTTACCGCGAGCTTTAGCGGTGTAAATATCCTTAGACTAGAACTAGATCATATCACGATTGTCCAGCTTCATATATTTTATTGTACTTTAATTAATTTCGCACATGGTCAATTTATTTCGTCGGTTCAAGACATCGATTTGTTGTCTATCACGTGGCCCATGCCTGTACCGGCTTGAAGCCGACAGCGCATTCGCACAGTTGGAAAAACTTTTTCTAATGCGAAATTAAATGACCACAATGTCATTTTATGACGCGCACAGACTATAAAACTGTCTGAGGAGACCCCCCTGGAGAAACATTGGTAATTGACGCGCATGCGCTAAGCCTGACTTTCGAACAGTGGTTCCAAAAGTATTTTCTCAAATTTTATTGTTTGCTACACCAGTTGGGAAGTGCTTCTGCTGCATAGAGGAGTCAGGCGTATTTGCAAGATTTCCCCCTCTCCCGTGTCAATGACTGTGGACTCGTTATCGAAATATTTCAGAAAGACGATGTTGTTTTAAAAATTCTTCACTGTCCAAATAGAACTTTGGACGCCAGAATAAATTTTAGCAATGACAGATAAAATACTCCTGCCGACTAAAAATGTCAGGACTGTTATAATAGAATGCGCCAGAATATCCGTGAAATAAACAAGAAGACGGGTTTTATCATTAGGAAATAACCATGGTCTTTTAACCAGAATTATAATTAATTCCGTTTTACATCCGGCAATCCGAAAATAAAGTAAACCTAACCTGCCTGCAACAATGAGAAAATCGACAAACCCACATATTTCAGCCACATATGTATTTTGGCAAAATAATAAATTCTGTAGATTTTCAATATCCGGCCAATTTACGCAATTCACACATGTGCTCTGACTAAGGCCTGCCCCCCAAGCAGAGGAAACACAAGTCGCTTTCCAAAATACTGTTACCAAGACTAAAAAATGGATAAGAATAAATATCAATGGATTATATGAACATAGTAAACAAATACTTGTTACAAAGCAGTAACACAATAAAGAAATGTTTAACACAAAATGCATAATATTGCACAACATTGACACATTTCCATTAAAATAGAACATTTCCATATGTGTGGGTGTACTTTCACAAAGTGAGTTTCAACATAAAGTTACAATACACATTCATGACCAGAGCAATGCACAAAATGAATAATCTTAATAATCTTCTTTGAGCTTCGTTTTATCAGATCTGTCCACATCGATTTCACGAACATGTTACTTCATGCAAACGATGCTCACACGTATTTAAATCTTGCAGAGTTAAATATAGCGTGCCAAGACTATTCATATCACCAGAATATTTAGGAAAATCTATCTGAAATAGTTTAAGTGCAATCTGATATTCTGCAATGGGTTGTGCAGTTTGCCTAAGTACTTAAGATTGTACCATCAATAGGTTGATCACATCTAAATACCTATTGTATAATAAAAACATCAATGAACCGCCAAAACCATTCATCAGTTCTAGCATTAGCTATTTTCGTATTACCTATATCTGGTTATCGGAATATGTTTATAAGCAATCTTACATTCTAATTTTGTGGGTTTGAAGAGGCTGTGAGGCTTGTTAAGCAGCTGTATAAAGCAGATTAAGATTTTTTCCAGAAGACACTATTATGATACTGTGTGTGGGATAGTTAAAAAATCAGCAGTGAAATTTATGTATGGAATCCAATAGTAAATTAAAGCAGGATAATATTTAATTTTCTTTCCGAGCTTGAACTCTACTCCTGTAATTGGTATATAAGCAATTGAAGTTGAGGAGTTCCGTTCTTTTTCATCAGGGTATCTCTGATAATTCGTATTTACTGAAAAGAAAAATTAACACCGATTAGATTAGCACTGATATAAGTAACAGGAGATATGATACAGCAGCCATCTAATTGCTATGAGGTCGCATTAAACAGTTATTAGAATGTTTTGATGAATAGGTTTACAATCAGGGCGGGAAGCTTGTATAATCAAACTGATTGCAGCTGTGGTACCAGAGCTTCATTTATTTACCTCTGAGCCAGTATCCAGCTCCATAGCCATTCATGTTTTTTTATATGACCACCTCTCAGAATATCAGACCAAAAGCTGTTTCATGGCATTTGGATTCAAAAGCATTATATAAAGATTTCAATTTTTAAAATTAAATTTTGAATTTCAAACTTATTCTGAAGAATTAGATGGTCAGGAGCTGGAAAATTAAATAATTTCTGTTTCAGCGAATGTCACTATTCTATGGATCCAGGCTACGACAACCCAGCCCTGTTTACAATTACATGCTCAACCGATAGACATGGCCCAAATTTGGTTACAACAAAAGTTCAAGATAACTGAGCACCATATTTGATCAGAACAACTGAGTGGCCCAAAGCCTGGATTATTCAAAATGCACTGCATAGATCAAATTTTGTTTCAACTTAAACAATGAGTTTTACCTATATAGTGCTTGTGTATATTCATATACTGCATCCATACTCTCTGATGTAGTTAGTGTAGTTTTCACAAGTTCTTCTTCTGTTAAATCCTGACATAATTGCTTGATAAATTTTTCACGATCTGGCAACATATAAACTGCAATACCCACAGCTTTTCTCACAATCCATGGATGGTACCTGTCAAAAATCAAAATATTTAAATTACTAAAACAAGATGCATGATTTCATCAATGCTTTTCGAACATTGAAAACTCAGGATACATAGGAGCCATGCACAATGTAGGAAAAAGATCAGAGCATTAAGGTACGCAAGTCTGGATAGAGTTTTGTAGTTGCAGGCCAGTGTATCAAATTTCAACCTATTAGGTATCTCAACCTATTACTTGCTTGATACTACTTTCAGCATTTGTTTATCATCATGTATCTATATTCTATAATAGACAAAAATGTCATCATGGTTCTAATACTGTGCTTTTTTTAAATTATCTTCAGCAAATTTCAATTTCAAAAAGTTTTAATTCGAAAGTATTGGCCAACATACTTTGCCATTGGTGAAGCATGGTATGCTTTGTATCCCATCAATGACACTTTTCCATCTTCTTCATTTTTTGCCAGTTTTTCCAAAAATAGGAGTAAAAATTTCAATGCTCTGTGTAATCTGAGCAATGTGCGGCTTCCAGATGCTTTCACCTGTAGATATATCAAAGTTACCAAACGAAGCATTGTAATATACATTCGCGATACATTGTTAAAACATTATTTCCAAAATAACTATGATGGATTTGAGACCCTGGTCTATGTGATTTTATTTGGATGAGATGTGATAAACTGACGATGTAATAGTGTAAAAACTGAAAATTTGAATTTTTTGTACCTTACTTGAAGGTGCTTCCTCGTAATTAATAAGGTTTTCTTTCTTCTCATACGCCATCATCTTTTCTACAGTTTCATAATTTTCTTTTGCTTCAGACTTTCGAAAATCTTCAAGTATTTCAACTTTCGATACAACATCAGATGATACGAATGAAAATGCTTTTCCCATTGCATTTAAAAAGCTGTAACATTATTGGTATTGCAGTTAAACCTATTCCATAACATCAATATATAAGCTAATATCGGTAAGTCGAATACATACCGAATCAACTCATGCCAAGCTTCGAGACAAGCATCCATGTCAACTTCTACCTTATTTTCTGTTGTAGCACAACGAACAAACTTTTCAGAAAGATTAACTAGTGAGAAATGTGCACTGCACTTGTCCGCCATCTTTTTTGGTTCAGGATTGGTTTCCTTGAAAGTTAAGGACAGTGTTTATATTAATACAGGAACAAGAATGGATGACACATAAATGATTCATTACAAATAAAACATAGTACCAAAAAAAAGTCTGTTACGAATCTTTATACATTTCAGGTACACTAAGTGATGAAAATTAGTCAATATTGTCGGTACTGATAAAGACCTAAGTGTATGACAGTTACAAATAGTTGAAACTTATTCACAACTGAACAGAATTATAACAGCAAGAACAACACGTAAAAAATTACCTGGCGGGATCAGTAAGTCAGTTAGCTTATTTATTATATATTTGAAAAACTAAAATAACTACAACTTTCGATATAATAAGTTGATGGGAATACTATATCCAGATATATTAAGATTACCTTACATCTAGATATAGAAAGATTGAATTTTTAATTTAATGCAAGTTTAAGACCAGCTGGGCAAGTGGTTGAATGGTTTGACATTTACCATACACAAAATATTATGCAAAATTTTAGCCAAGCAAAACCTGATCAAACAAATACTTTACACATCATTGCCAGTATGAAATAAATCTTTCAATTGCAGTTAATTGGAGTAAAATAGACAGAAAGATTTCAAGAACATTAATATTTTATAGCAATAACTGAATGAACTCCAAACTGAATTTACCAAACCGACACACCCGTAAAATTAGCTACTAATAAAAATCATTCTCAAAATGAAACAAAAATGACAAAGTTAATAGTAAAACCTCGCTTTAATTTGGTCACCCAATACTGTAATATCTAAATTGTATATTAAACCATCAATTTTCAAGTTGCCTAACAGTTCTTATATCATAAATTGTTTGCAGAACACCTAATGAAAATTTCTGATTTTTTGTGGTAAAGATCCAATTAATTAACAATTACCTCGGTCAGATTTGACATAGAAAGGAAATCGTGAAATGACTAACGGCTTGTCCGACTTGAGTTGCGAAAAGACCTAGCAAATCGTAATATGGACCTACGAAGTACATATAAGAGTTTCCAAAGTCATACCAGAAAACGCTGAGATACCTGTGGGAATTATACAAGACAGGATCTACTGATCTAAGAAGCTAGAAATAGCAATGACTGCACTGTAACATACAGACATATTGAACACAGTGTGAAAAGTTTATCCTCTTACAGTTCATATTCTAATGATATTGTACATCATGCACTGATACAAAAATTGTTTAATATTTTGTCGGCTATCACCAACTATCACACCCTCGCCTCTCGAATCACCAGACGGTTTTGACTTTGAGCTGTGAGCGGCGTAGTGTTCATGCCCTGCCCATAAACCACCCAGTCCCCGAAACGCGTGGATGATTTTATCGCCAGCGCGTTTATAGCGTAGTAACTTACCTCTTTAAATGCCTGAAAAAAGTCTACGATAAACTGCGGTAAATTCTCTCCGTTGTCCAACTTGGTAGAATATTGCGACGACGCACCTGGGGAATAAATTAGTACATAATGACAGACTTTCTACCACAATGTTCTTCCATTCAATAGCAAATTAGCTTACTTATGTTACATTTGAATGTAGCGTATACCAGGCAAACAAACAGAAAACCAAGTATAGAAGAGGCCAAGTATTTATTCATTCTTCGATGGAAGCACGAATAAATTACAGCTTGCTTCGCGCAGAAAACGGTTTTTCGTGTCTGCACGTCCAGCCAGTACTTTACGTGATATGCCATCAATCTAAAGCAGGCAATGGAAAGACCTCGTCCATCTCACTAACACTCCATTTAAGGTGTTATTACGAAATATTGGCAACTAATCTTATTACTCAATACCTGGAGAACAACAACGTGTTGAATACAAATATTTGTCGACCAAGCTATCTCATGCAAAATGGTTAATTTGCAGACGTTTCGCTCATGTTCTTTGTTTGTCGCGCTACTTTATATGATACGCGCAAACAAAGCCGAGGCTTTTCTCTTTACTATTTCGCCAGAGGCTGTGCGTCAATATTCAATGAATGGCCTGTATCGTCGACTCAGCCGAGGAAAAGTTTAAAATACGATTAAGAACAAAAAACCATGCGGACATTTGTCCAGTCAGGGCAGACACAGCATATATATTAATCATGACTAATTACGAATTACCGGTACTGTCGCTATGATAGAGAGTAATCCAAAATCAGTGTCCTCGATACAGTTAACTCCAAATATACGAGACGTATATGAATATTGTACAGTTGCCTTATAAAAAGTGCCCAATCCTAGTTCTGAATATTACCACAACTCACATGCGCTAAGAGCAGAAAGCTTTGTCTTGAAAATTATGAATTTTATCGCAGACTTTCTCTTTTTGATTGCCATGAAATTTTATGAAGGTTAAATACACTTACACTTCTTTACCCTCATTTCATGATTAAATGAAGTATAACGTGTCTTTAGGCGACTACCCGACAGACTTTCTGCTCAAACTGACTAAAGATTACATACAGTGCAAATATTTCAACTGATGAAGCAGAGTAATCTGTTCTTTGTTGAGATACGAATCATTTTTAAATGAAACGCCCTCGTCAATATTTGCGCAACTTTCGCATTGATTGCTTTCTACAAAGCATTTACTGACATTGACCTGACAAGACCATTAGGTTGTGGTAACGATTAAAACACTCAGTAAGCTCGTTTGATGTGAAAGCGAGTGTGACTGTACCTACACTTGGTCCGAATATCGCGCAATTTTCTAACACTGCTAATGTATTTTGTCGCCGTCAGTGCAGAACTCTAGTCGAGTTCTAGTCTCATAAGGTTATAAAACGCGCCTCACAAAGCGCAGATTACACTAAAACTATATTTATAAGTACTAGTCGAATACAAACATTGCTCATTATGGTTTGGAAAAGTTTCCTTCCTGTCTATCAACAATTTTGGAGAGATTTTTTTATGCCATTTCCTACAATTATTGTTTTATATTCATATTCATCCCCGCTTCAGAACAAAAATGCTATTAAAAAACACACGTCCAGTACAGCAACAAACTTTTCATGGCAACTAGCTTTCATTTATTTCGTCTATAAGTTTAGAACAGGTTGCATTTGGAGGCAACATGATGTGATCGGGCTAGGAATAATATATAACCAATAGGTGGGTATATACTAATAAAATAATAAAAACAACATTACTTGGTAATTGGTGAAAAGTTGCATGTACTGCCAATCCAAGGAGAACTAAAACAACAAGACTTTGCATCAACATACTCACATTGTAAACATCTTATGTTTGTTGATGAAATCATATGGTCAGTTTAAATTGGGCATCACTAATAAATAATAAATGTACAAAGTGGGTAAATGCAAAAAATAAAATAACATTTCTAACAAGAGGTTGCTGTGACATTAGCACATCAATCATTGGTACAGATTTAGTTAGGTGGCACACTGGTGTAAAACTACAAACAATTATGCAGATTCGGTACACAGCTTTGAGAACGTCAGGCCAAAGAGACCGCCTTTGTCGAATTTTATTTATGCACTTGAAAAAAAAAATTTTATAATGCACAAATAGGCACAAAATAATACTAGACAATTTGAAGTCCATATATGACCTCCTATGTCCGACGAAATAATAGAAATTTATATTGATTTTCATAGATATCTTTGTAATCAATGGGAGAAAATACAATACAAAATTTGCACATGAATCACTTCTCTAACAGTCATTCAAGGACATCATGCATTTTTTGCCAAGACGTTATAAGTCAGACCATCCCATTTTCTATCCATATACTCAATGAACCCCATAAAATTATAAGTCAGGCCAAAACTAAAAAGAAATTCAATATTTTTTCCTTATCTCGCTGCCATATAGCAAACTAACCCACAATCTTAGTGTGATGAAAAATGAACCTAGAGAAAGTAAATTACTAAATCAACCTTTTAGGGTACCTTGATTGAAATAACATACTCATTAGCATTCTCAATTGATTGTTGTAAAGTTAAAAAAAAAACAAAAAAAACACAAACGGTTAAAAGCAAAATATTTTACATTTTACGCCATTAAAATACAATAATGTTCGGTAAATCTAATTTCAACAAGTCTTTCACTCGATAAGCTTGAGAATATTTTGCACCAATTAAATCCTGTGTTGTTTGTTCCAGAGAATGACAATCACTCAGCAGATATACAGCACTAGTTTTGAATATTTCTGCGGTTCAATATAGTCAAAATTTGAAAAGTAGCACTCAACAGTAAGAAGAAGATCAAATTAGTCGAGTCAGTAGTCTCGTATCACTCATGTTACGCAGGCACACGATACAGAAAAAGGTCTGTATCATTCATACGCACTCACACAGCACGCTTATTTATGATCATCACATACGCATCATCACGTTCACTTCGCACGCACCATCACACACGAGGGGGAGGTGGGACAGACAGTTGTCCAAAACAGCTGGTTGACTGCTTTGTACTAGGGTGATGTGACAGGCAGCAAGCATCATCTTCATCATCAAACGAGCACTCCAGAGGGGTAGGTAGTGCAGGAAGAGAATAGGACGGGGCGGGCGGGACAACATGACACTCTCTCTCAGAACTTGAATTCTCCATCAGGTGGAAGCTTAACAGATGGGTCAAACTGGAATCCCTGTGTGCTATCTGGGGCAATGTCTTCTTCAATCTGTTCGAGAAAATACATTCAAAAGTAAATGAAATTAAACAAATTACAAAAATTAAAATGGATGATATTCTCAAGATAAAGAGTACAAAAATCAAAATTTATACGGGGCTCCCGAAGTATGCGAACCAAGATGGCGGACATCGGAATTTGTGTACTAGGTTAGGGTTAGGCCATAATTTTAGGTATAAATACTACGGGAGGCTCTTGGCTAGTCTTTGAACTGATAATAGGACTAAAATAAGGAAAATTGGAAAAAAATTATCGCCTAACCCTAACCTGTTACGTTCCGATGTCCGCCATCTTGGTTCGCATACTTCGGGAGCACCATTACAGTACAGGCATAAAAATTTGGAAGAGTAGCCACACCAATATATAATAAGCAGACAGAAGTTGTGAAATTGATGATATAAGTTCAAAATAAATAACATTAAATCGATCTTACGTCTCCAGAAAAGAACTGATCTATGATCTCGTACGCCAGCTTGTAAATATCTCCATTCTCATGATTCTGAAGTGCCTCAATCTTGTCTAAACCTGAGAAAGTATGAAACAAATATAGAAGCTCGTTAGTATGACGGAAAAAGATAACAAATAATAAATTTTAGTCTTCTTTACCTCCACATTCCTCAATCAGAGTAGCAACAGCGTCATCTTCACCTGCCATTTTCAATATGTTGATAATTCCATCCAAGACCACTTGAACGACCTAGCAGTAATAAATGAAAATTGCTTAAAAATCAATATATTGAGGCAGTTGAAATGCGAAACGGCATAGTGGGAGAAGACTGCAGTCAAACAAGCTTTTCTTTGGCGAACTACTTCACCATACAATAATAATCTGTTGGATAAACAAATACTGTATCATGTTATTGGCCTACATAACTTTGAGATTACAAATATACCAAGCAATAGGAAAAGATTAAGACTAAGAAATGGTGTCACAGACAAGCATTCTGATAACCGGAGCAAAATAATAGTGAATTTGGAATAACCAAGGATTAGCCTATTGTAACCTGGTTTTGATTTGCCTTCCTACAATATTTTGAGATTATTACATAATTTACATTGCTATAACACTAGAACCAATAAGAGAAAGGCACATGGAAAAGAAAGAATGCTTAACCCTTTCCATGCGATTTTTATTTTTTATTAAATAATCGTATTTGCTACTCCGATTTTATGCATTTGTACCCCCGCAACTAATCGATCGACTAACGAAAAACTAATGATCCTCTGCTGCCCACTGACGGCTCGTTGGAAAGCTTATTTAAAGAGCTTGCAATTGGCGATTAAAAAAAGTTTTTTCAAAAGTGGTGGTCTGAGTCACAAACCGGATAAAAAAAAGGCATTTTTTTTCTTGGGAGTTGAAACTTCAAACCGTGATAAAAAATAGAAATATTCGCTTAATCCTTTACTGTTACCGCTTCGTGGTTGGCAAACAATAGCATAATATTGCTGTAGCAATTTCGTGATCTAACTCAAAATACTTTGGTAGATGGAAGGGATAATATGTCTTCTATTACCACCCAAAAAACACCGAAATTTGCATAAATTTCAAAAACACTCCCTCGTTCCGCCGCAAATAAAATTCCCGTCGTAAACGAAAGCGAGATTTACCGTCGCTTATGTTGATCTCGAAGGAGACTTCTTATCAATAAACTAAAACCCGGAAAAACTAGACCAACGCTTTGCGACCGATTGCTAAATAAAACAGTGGAGTACATCAACGTACCCGCCGCAATCTAGCGACTTTTGTCGTTGGTACGTATACGTGCCCACCGCACGGAAAGGGTTAAATGGCCAATATAAAAAATTGAAGAAATTGAGGAATGGCTTATTGTGACCTTGTTTTGATCTGCCCGCCTACAATATTTCGATAGGGCCCTAAAATGTTATAATTTAGAAATTCATGAGACATGCAGATGGGAAAATACTTGAGAAATTTGTCAACCTGATTTGACCACGTAACTCAGTGCAAGTTTCAAAGGGAAAAAAACAACAAGAAATTTTCTAAATTTGCTATTTTAGTCACCTACTTTGCAGCACTTGATAAGTTCAACACTCGACACCCACCTGATTATCCTTAGCAGTCAGCAGGTTACAAAATGGTGGAATGACACCTTGGCGAACAACATGTGCCACTTGATCTTTGTTTCCAGATATAGTTAAGTTGCTGATGGCCCAAGCTGCTTCCTTTTGTGTTTGGAAATCACTCTATGTGAAAATAGAATATGATTATATCTTAGTTTTTATACTTCAATTTTGTAAAAACATTAAAAATTCACTTTTCTAAAATTTCTAATACATTCAGAGTAAGATGAACCAAAATTTTAAATAAAAATGATACATCTTTCTCATTGTGCCAAATATTTTTACGTTTTTTTTGAAAAATTATTGGACATTGAAAATTTCACTCCCTTTGTTAAACAGCAACAAAGGTAAGGTCACATATGAGTTAAAATAGGTTTGAAACTTGTTACTCAAAAATTCAAACGAGTACAGTTGGATGAGAATTACGGTACTCTACATTGTACAAAACTTCATTGTGAAGGTACCTTGTTTAAATGCATTATAACTTGTGGTATGAGACCAGCTTGTATCACAGATTCTACTTGAGTTTGATTACCAGCTGTGATGTTAGACAAGAACCAGACCGCTTCCTAGGAGAAAAAGAATATCAGATTTGACTTAAATATAATTTTCCATATCTCCGAGCATGGCTTTACTAGACATGTTGCATGGTAGATGGTATGAAACTAATTCCTGCAAGGAGTCCCAAAATCCTTCTCTAGCATAGCTCTAATCAATTTATTATAACCAGCCACAGATAATTGATTGATAGTCATGATCTTGAACCAATGCCAACTAGCAGGACATTCAGTAAAGTCCAACGTGAATTAAGTAGTCGAATAGATTTGAAATTCTGTCATATGGTAAATTATTTATTAATAAATCTAAATATTGGCATTTTAGGAATTCAAGATCAAGGGCCATATAGGAATAACTTCGCTTAAATTAAGAGTTGTAAAAAAGAGAAATTGAGAAAAAAAAGGAATTATATTAGGCATGTTTGTATATGAAGCTGAGACAGGATGTACCTATTACATTACCAAATTCAATTTTTATGAATTAACAATGATTTCTGCCAATTTCTCTGCTGATATTCTATATTTTTTCATAATATTATTTCAGAATATGTGCAGAATAGTACCGGTAAGTCTTTTCATTTTTACCATTCCTGAGGACAACATACTCAAACTTGAGATACAAAAACCAAGTATTGGGTCGTTAGTCCAATTGGAATAAGATTATTCTTTTATTAAGGCATAAATACTAAGAAGGAAAGATTTATTAAGGATTAGCATGCTATTCTAATGAGTCTGATATTGACAAATAGTTCGTTCACATTTAAAAGATACAATTCAATCATGTGCCAAATACATCTGGATGTATTATATATCCAATACACAATAAGTATATGCTAATTTCTACCTTGTTGATTTTTTCCTTATGATGAGATAGCAATGCTGGGAAATGTTCGAGTACACCACAATTTAAGACAACCTGAGTTTGGTCATCAGTACCAGTGACAATGTTTCCAACAGCTCTAAGTGCAGCAGTCTGTAACAAAAAGCAGCGATCGAAAATACAAGTAACAATATATCATACTAATACAAATAGCATTCAATATCAAAGTGCTTGTTATTCCACACCAATACTTGATCAGAAAACAACATGTATGTCTTACAAGAAGCGCTTGATAAAAGAAATCTAACAATACAAAAAGTACCCAATAAATTTTTAACATCGGGATATTTTACATCTAAATTGATAATAGCAACAGAATTGGAGCCTGGATCCATTGAGTTTTGTTGGAGCCAAAGACAAACTTACATTAATAGATGGAGCTGAGTTTTCTGTGGGCTGCACATAAATCTCATCATGACAAGAAAAACTGACAAAAAATTACCATGAAGATATATATAAATAAATTGAAGATTGCCACAATGAGGCAATTCTCTGATGAAGTCATAAAAATCATGATATAGATCAAGCAATATTATGATACGAATCAATTCCTACCTGTACTTTAACTTCCTGGTGGCTGAGCAGAGGAACGAGGAATGGAACAACTGCAGAATCAATCACCATCTGTATCTGTTCATTTCCTCCATCCGTTAGGTAAGAAAGGGCCCACACTGTATCCACAAGAATCTGGAGCAAGTAAAAAAAAGACTCAATGGCAATCACTTAAGTTATGCATGTGCAACAAAACTTATGAAAAGTGAAATTAGATGTTCTAGTTGTAGCCCAAACACGTAAGGTAATCAGCATGTTACGCTATCAAACCTGATTCAGCAGATAAAAATTGTCATCATCTAGTAATATATTTCCTGTTTAGCAAACGCTAATAATTTAAAACAGCAAAACTGGTAATTTGAACTAACCAAACTTTACAATTTATTTTGAAAGGAGACCGATGCTCAAATATATGGACATGAAAGCGAAAATGAAGTTGTACAGATGTGTAGCCTCCACGACTTCGCCTTACTACCAGATTGCAAAAGCGGGACTGTCAGAGGGTGCACAATTTTTTATTTTGATGATGTCATCGCACACAAAAACAACAAATAAAAGCTTTCTAGACACTTTTACCACTGAAAAATGTTTGCCTCAATTAGTGAACCATTCATTTTGCCAAGGACCTGCTATTAGGGATGGGACGAGTCCGGCATTACAGAGATTCGACGAATCCGAGTAATGGGTCAAGGACTCGAATCGAATCCTCCGAGTCCGTGATGTCACAATGTAAATTTGGAAAACCTGTTTTTGACAATACTACAGCATCGTGCGCTCACAAACATACGTCGTAGCTCATATTTTTTGCTTAATGGTTCCGCAGATAGCTGTTGAATCAATTTAAGAATATATTTTCCTTCTTTTTTGTCCTTCTTTTGAATCAGAGTCCAAAAAATGCCTGGGTTCGACTCGAATCCGAGTCCAGATCCGAATCCCGGCCCATCCCCTACCTGCTATATCACATTTTTCTAAATTTACTAAATGTGTCCCATATGATATATGCTCTGGCGTGGCTTATACTAAAATCACGACGTCCAATCGTAAATAAAAGTTTCACCAAATAGTAAAATTCATTACATATATAAAAAATTTAATGATATTGCTTACATTATTGTCTGGGTGATGTATCAACTCACAAAGAGCAGGTAAAAGTGCTTCGATGGTAGCCATGGGAGGAGGAGGATCTTTATTTCGACAGAGGTTGACAATAACCCAGGTAACATTTCTATTGTGATAAATAGATACAGTGAAAATTAAAAGCGAAAGAATAAAAGCAATTCAATATTGATCTATCATTGAATAAATCAATGACATAAAACAGCTGTGTCTGACATGTAATATTATATAAACCAATACATGCCAAAAACGTCGGTAATCATACCCAGCCTTAGCAGGAATTAAATACAATATAAACCATGATATAGTACCAGAAAGCCAAATAATTTTCTATTACATAAACATCAAAAGTGATAGTAGATCATTTATGTTTCATAATACAATTTTTGAAGCTTATTACCAAACACAGGACCTCATTATCATACAGACAAAAGTGAAACAATTGATAGAAAATTGTTCAGTGATTATTTATATATTACCAGACATGGCCATGGATGAGTGTACATACGAACATGTCCATTCATCTATGGCGCTTGATCAATAAACAATTATTTGTGATTGTACGTGACAGGGTTAAACAAGTGAATGATAATCAATATTATCAAGTTCCTTTCCATTCCATTAACAGTACATGTATTTTCTATTATATATGTCCCATTTTAGATTGTTTTTAACTAAATAAGACAGGTTTTTGGCAGTAATCATTATTATTTAACCAAAGAGGACGAGAGAAATGATTTCCATATAATAGATATTGATTATACTCTCCCTAATGTGCTGTCTAATTTTTATACATTTGCAATTCCTTAATAATTAAGGTAAAATAGTACATTTTGACCGCTTTCAACTAGGGACACTGATAAAATAATATTTCACCATTATGAAAACTCACAAAGTAAATTTTTTAACAGGTCTAAAGATTATACTAACACAAATAATTTGTTTTCTCTGAATAATTCAATCTAATACAATATTAGACATAAAACAAATAGATAAGGTGCCTATAGTATTGAATTACCATATATCCTCGCATATAGGTCTCCTAAAAATGGTCCTAAAATGGTGAATTATTAAAAATACGCAATGGCAATACCTTATAAACCGTAACAAGCCCCCATGTACCCATTACAGCAAATGGTTGCAGAAGAGGTTAGTACGATCATAGTTATGCGCGTATAAACTGAATTTTTGGTGCGATCAGAGTTATTGCGTATACGTTTCCCCTTAGTTTGGCAACTTTTTTTTTTTTGAGTTTTAAACTCTGCTTATATGCAGGGATGGATATACGGTAAGTTCTTATAAAATAATTTAATTGTAATAGAAGCTTATTACTACAATTTCAATATAAAAAAAAATGGAGAAGTTTAGTAAATTAAATTGTCTTCAATAAAACCTCCCTAATTGAATAGCCTAATCATTTGATATTATAATTGATTTATTGAAATAATATAATGAATGGTAGATTAATTAGTATTGCATTCATTTTTACCTCAGGAAACTGATCGGTATCTCTGGATTGATGAATTCCAACAAAGGTGCAACAACACCAAGATCTATGACTTCATCTCGTAATTTAGGTCCGTCACCTGTAAGTTTGATAGAAAAACGATTGTAAGCATTGAAGAGAAATGAATTAATAAGGCTGAAGCAGGATTTGTCAAAATTCGAATGGGTCAAATCAGAATATTCCAATCAGCTGAATACATTTCAAAATAATGATTTCAAATAATGAATATTGAATTTATTCTAATTTGGAAATGCAGGGAAGTTGAGATAAACAATGGTTTCATTCGTTTCCTATTGTTGGAAGGTTTCAAAACTTAAAAAAGGCTTGCATGGTCGTACACCGCAATGACCTGAACCACCAATGATAATTTTTCAGGCGGATATATGGTAAACTATTCCTGAAATCCTGAATAAAAAAGTACTTTTGAAGCGATTAAAATAAAGATGTGTTTTTGATAAACCTGGTTCGAAAGTGTGAAATAATGCCACTCAAAGTAAACGTTTTAAATTTCAAAGAAATTTGAATATTATTACTGTAGTATTATTCCATCAATATTTTATGACATAAATATCAATTATCAATGATAAAAATACCATTCTAATTCCTAATTCAACTATTCCTAATTCATAATTCTAATTCTAAACCTAATTCAACAAAAACATGTTAAGCACATCCATGATTTCAAGTACTTAACTTAGAATTCTTTAAAATCAAGTACAAGGATAACAATACTTAATAAGAAAGAAAATATGAAAAGCAAATGATTTAATCTCACCTATTATGTTCCCGAGAGCCCAAACAGCTTGTTCACAAACATTTTGATGGTCTGATCTGAGCAGTTGAAGAAAGAGAGGCACAGCACCTAAAGTACAGAAAGATGAGTTTTTATGAATTCAAGGAAAATGCATCCTCCTTAATTTGGCAGTAAACACAAAAAGCAAACACTTGGCAATGATTTATCAATACAAAATGTTGCTAAATGTATTTCAAAATATGGACTTGATTAGAATAAAAAGTTAATCAGTATAAAGACTCGTTATCCCTCGATATATGTGAGGGATTATATTTTGTAAGCACAGGATCCAGCATATATATATATAAACTATTCACGAGAGTCATAATAGATGATAACAATATTATGTCACACAAATTTCAAATGAGTATATGGAGGAATCAAAGCCTGTTAAAATAATATAAGGCATGAGAAAAGTTCCACTAAAGAGCTCATTAAAACAAACAGCACACATAGCTCCATGTTGTGTTGATAAGTCGACTTACTGGTAGGTAATACAAATTGACACGAGTGTGTAAAAATTACCTGCATCAACGACTGCCTGTGTTTGTGTTGACGTTCCTGACGCAATGTTAGTTAGAGCCCACGCAGCTTCAAATTGCAATGACGGATTATCAGCTTTTTTCAGACATCCCACGAGTATTGGTAATATACCTACAAGTTAAACGAGGACAAATATTTACAAAAAGGAGCAGTTTATCAAAATCAAGTTCACAATGTTTCATTCATAAAATGTTTACCTGTCTGTTTGTCACATCAAAAGGTATGTTTCAAAAATTTGTTAAGTCATTACAATGCCAGAATGCAATCAATTCTTTCGCCTACTTATATGCACTTACTCAATTCTCTGGTTTGTTCCTACTAACAAATTCACCCAAAACATTTCTATTCCTTTTAACAATCTAAGTTTTGTTTGCATATTGTTTAACACAAAATTGTAATTTTGACCTTAGACAAAATAGTATCAAGTGACACCAATGTAGGGTATTCAACTACATTAAAGAATTTATTCTATTCAGTCAGTCTGCATATAAATTTTGTTTCAATGCAAAATAATAATAAAGGTATAATAAGTTCATGCTTTGAATTTTCCATGACAATTGATAATTATATTATGTTTTGCAAAATAGCAGATAAATGTAATTATAGTTAGGTTAATTGCAAGCATGTTTTCCATTAAATTGAAATACAATTTATCATTTCCATTGACAGATCTATTTATGTGAAATTACAACTATATATCGATCTTTACATATACTGATTAATAGCAGCTTGATATAAGTTAGCTGAATGATACATGTGATCAAATTTCCCTTTTCATATAAAAATATTTCTTCCTAGGAGCATGACACAAGATGGCATAGACCTGTCGAAATGGCGGTAGTATATAATTATTTACTCAAACAGCATTTGTTTTGAAATTGTTTGAATTGAATTAACCTATAATTTAAGATCTGTGTTGCTCCATAATATATTACAAAGCTTACCGGTAATATAAGAGTAAATCTATCTGGAGTTATCTATACCAGGGCTGCAGATTGGGGGTCCCAATCCCAGCGGGTCGGGTCACGAAAGCCTAAATCGAGGTTACAGTAAAATCTTTTTTCAACACTGACTGATTGTTGAAACAAAATATCGATCAAACTTGAAAGATTTGGAACCAGTACAGAGACCCATCATCACCGAAATACAGCTAAGATTTGATCTTTCGTGCAATGATTATACAAGCACATTAGTCTCATTGAAGTTATTGTCAATTTCATTATCACTGTTATTATTTCAGTTACTGCGGGTCGTGAAAAAATTTGGACATATCAAGTGGGCGGGGATGAAAAAAGTTTGAAAACTGATTTTTGCGTCTTTCTACTCCTATGTCATTAATTTCCAAACCTCAATCCGCATCATGGTGGCATGATTTACATACAATACATCGCAGTGTTAGAAAATTTACCTGATTTTATCAAGTCATCAATTGGTGGATTTCGATCACTAGATAGTAATTTCCTGGCTTGCTGGACCGCAGTTAACTGAGTACCAATATCATCACTAGTAGCATTGGCAACAATTTCCTCCAATTTTGAAGTTGACTGTGAAAACCAAATATGATGGAGTTTAAAAAATGTATATTAGTCTCGTGGCAAGAAAAATAAACTGAATTCTACCATTAATATGCCAAAGTAGAAGACGTTCAATAAAATGATTTCATCATATATAAATTTTGCATGTACATTTGTTGTGAGTATTTTATCAATCATTTTATTAAGGTAAATTTTATACAGGTGTGTAATGTAATGATTCAATCGACTAAAGGAATGATATGAAAATATATCATGGACAATTCGAATTTGGTGTTTTGCCAAAAACAAATTTTATGTTATCATAGCATTTTGAATATTAATATTCAAGATTGAGATTCTTAACTGTATTCACCTTTAAAATAACAATACAAATCTAAGTTATTTATTCAAATTCATCAAAGTCCTCCATTATAGACTAATTCCTTCATACAATTTTGAAATATTTTGACAACATTTTGTAAAAGTACATTAACTTCTAATATATCACATCAGCAGTCATTCTATTCATTGATGATTTATTTTATATACATTAATATACCCTCTGGGGAAATAGGAAATTCTCCTTATATTTAACAATTCTCAATACATGATGATCATCGACATTAAAACCAGGAATGTCATGAACAATAATTTTGCTACTTTGAATAAATTTTATAGTTTTGCATAAGATGGTAATGAGTATTATTCTTAATTATGCTACGCGTTATGTAAAAAACAACCCATATGTCATTACAGTCTAATCAAAGTAGCTCATAGCATGTTTGTGTATCAAATTCCATTGTTAGATTTTTCTCCAATATTTGGGCTTGTTTTGTTGTGACTTTGGACAAACCTACGTATTCAAGAAAAAATAAAATAAAAAAATACAGATTCGGGTAGATCAGATTCCAAAGAAATGTATCCAGATGTGGCAACCCTACTATGTCACATTTTTCTGAAATCTACTTTTTTATTCTTTTGTTATTGTGAACCAGGGGCAATCTTTTGGTGAGGGTTTGAAAGCTGAACCTGTTTCAGTTCCAATTTTAGGTAGTGCTTTATGTTTATTTTGTGAGTATTTGATTCTACTGTGGGGATGGGGGTCGAATATGATACGAAAATAATTGTCTCTAAAGTTTTTTTCTGAAAACTCAATATCGCTAGTTAAGACATGAGAATATATTGCCAGTTTGTCACATCCTGTATTCACTTCATATTATGAACCGTTTCAAAAGAAAAATATGTTTTGACAAACTTAAAAGTTTTTTTGGCATATAGTGACTGCAAATATTTACCACAGTGCCTATTACTCTTCACAAGAATAACAGTGAAAATAGAAAAAAATCATTTCAACACTAAAAATCATTCTCCAAATAAAAAAAATAAATATATAAACACATTGGAATAAAAATATCATTCTTAGTCATACCGGTCTTGGATCAGAATCAGATTCATCAAATTCATCAATAATTGGTACATTTCTGCGTTTTAATAATCTGTCATCCCTTTTTTGCTTTCGTAGCTCGACTGACATTTCATTACGCTGACGCCGCATCGACTGCAAATATGTTTTTTATTAATTAGAATGCTAGGGTTGCAAAAACATTGTCATGTTAACATTAATTCAGATCACCATGTTGTAGTTTAAAACCATAAGCTCATTGAAACAGTAAAATTATTTATTTAATATAGATAGATATAATGAACAGAAGACAATATTGCTTTGTGATATCCATGGTACATATGTTTAGATGGAAAAATGAAACTAAATATTAAACTATTAAAACTTTCTAGTCAATAAAAGGAAGAAAATACAATTGCATTTCGCGGGTTTTGCTGATTACGACAATTAAATTAAAACTCCTTGTAGGACAAAACCATTGACTTCATAAATAAGAAGTGACCGATGTGTTACAATGGCTATTCTGCTTAGTAGTTAATTTAGTAAGGTGAAACATTTATTATAATATAAAGTTGTAAGAAGCATTTATACCTCCTGATCTCTGCCCTTGTGCTTCCAACTTTTAAAACGATTGCCGCCTCTTTCTTCATCATTCATTTTTATTTTTTTATACTGGAGCAAATGTGTTTGGAGCAAATGAAATTATTAAGATAAAATCCTTATTATAATATTTATATATAGGCTGCAAAAACAACAGTTGATAAAATAGTAAAGAGAAACATCAGAAATATATAAGACTGTCAAGTAATTTCACAAAATTCACTTGTTTAATTATTAAACTAATGAAAAAGGAAAATGTAAGACTAATAATTTTCGTTATTTAGATTATTGATTCCAAGAATATTTTTGGGCGCTCCAGAAGTGTGTGTGGAGGTAACTAATTTTGTTCGCCTACTTTACATCAAGTTGTGTGAAGGGACGGAAGCCTATGGGCAGGGGGTATATTCACTTGGCTAACACACTACAGGAGTACCTAATTTTGAATAGTTTCAATTAAAAATTAAATTACGGTAAATTTAAATCTGACAGTATAATCACAAATGCCTTCATTTCATTTCTGAAAGCTGTAATTACAAAGAACCAAGTATGATATCTATCTTAACCCTTGCATTTCCAAAATTACATTTGATTAAAAATTCATTGATTGCTGAATTATTACAGGAACGTATTCAGAATAGAAGATATTAGGTTTCGGCCCTCCCTGTTCATCATTTTTAATGATGATGATCAATACGTTTTAATATTATTAGAATGAAAAAATAGGAGACTCCTAATCATTTTGAAACATTTGAATTCTATTCTATTTTAGAGTCTAGCAAAGTAACGCAAAGTAAACATATTTTTCCAAAAAAATCCACATCTTTCAGATAAAAATTCCATCAAATGAACTGGCTGGCGCAAAATTTATTTCAGGATATGACTGCTGTATAACGATATATCTGAGAATCGCCCATTATATGTTGGCAATTATGTCATTATCGACTTCAGCCACAAGGTCAGCTTTCATAAAACTCCTTTAGAGTGACATAAAAGTCATAAACATTTATAATACATATTTTAAACTTCAAATAGTATAACCAATCAGCTTGTTTGGAATAAGATTTCAAATGTGTTGTGCCATACCATCGTTAAAGCTATGAATCAGTTGTTTTAGACATAATATAATAAATCTTCATAAAACAAATCATGTTGAAATAGAAACATATACCGATAACTTACATGTCCTGTATATTGACATAAAACATAGCTTTGGAAATATTCCCACAAATCCACAATAAGACAATTCTGGAATATTAAAATTTGAATTCTGCTGTAATGTCTTCGATAATTCAGAACAAAGACAGAAATAAAAAAATATTCACCAAAACAAAGAGAAAAAACTAGTATTTGAAATATTAAAGCCTTTCAGCCAGATATTCAACAATCCACAGACCTATATTCAGATATTACTGTATTAGGACACACTATACGGTGATTTGACAAGCTTGACGCAGCCTCAAGTTACTTTCAGACACTGCGACAATCTGATATTGTCGAGTCTTTTTTTAACCAAGTACCGGCTGTCCGGTAGCGGTGAGCCGGTAGACCACAGAGAAGAATTAAATCTTTGTTTGAGCTTAGAAACTAGCAGACTAATCATATTTTACAAGTGAAAGTTCAACAGCCAACAAAATAAAATTAAGCAGATGGAACAGCCTAAGTTCTGACCCACCGGTACCGGTACGCCCTAAAGCTCCATGAAAAGGCTAGAACAAACAGAATCATGAAAAGCAGAAATGACGCCCGTCGGGCCCCGGTTATTTCGCAACGCAATCATGCGTCTGTAGAGTAGACTCCAATCAGACGTATTTTCCCCATGCATCGAACTTTTTCGTTTGGTTACGTAACAATGTCCAATCAGCAATTAGTTAACTATGGCGTCACCCTCAGAATTTGTTAAGCAACTATTCCTACTGACTGACTCGTTTTCGTAGTTTTACGTGATGTTCAGTTTTTAGCTGTTATGTCTTGTGTTTCCAGATTCGAATAAATGCAAATAAAATAAATACCTTAATAGTCGTTTTGTTCCCCGAAGAGTTTCAATTTGGTTGCCGTAATCGAAAAAATCGGCGATAGGCTAGCCTTGGCTCTGGTTATGAGCATACACACCAGTTTGCAAGCGCTAACGCGCATAAACCTTTGGAATCAAGCATGTTCATTATAAGAAGACTTTTTCGAGCTGCGTAAACATTCATGGACTTCAGAAAGTGTTGATCTTTTGTGTCAGTTTGGTGGTGATCTGCCTCCTAAAATCTCGTTTTGATAAGCTAACTCAAGGCTAAATTTTTTAAATCATAAACCAGAGTTTGAATTGAATAAGATTTTGTTTCACTACCATGTATATATAATTAATTGCGACACAATGAGAATATAAACATACCTTTCTCATTATACATCATTCTACACTTAGAAACTGATGAAGATTTTGGTGGGTAATCTAGCCCCGCACATACGCAATAATACCTGGCACTCTGCAGTGGGCTTGACAGTGCAATAAGCAATTTTACCACATTACGGCGCTGGTTGCACTGTGTCGGATCTAGACTCTTCCACTTCGTGGGCTTATTTTGGAAATTCGGTCGGTGCGCAAAGTTATGTCCCCGGCAGATCGGGTTTTTACTAGACCGCTGAAGCAAAATCATCAACTTGATTATTATCTGTACAAAATGATTAGTAGGTAGTCTCAATGAAATGATGCAGGCAGTAGACGTCATACTTTTTGGGCTCTGTGTGGGACTCTCTATGGGGCAATTCAAACCAAATATTACAGGCATTTTCATTTTTTGCATGTCAACATGAACAAATGGCAATACTTGATTTTTGTGAGGTCTACATCGGCACAACTCTTACAAAAAAACTAATCTCAGCGTAAACAACAACATATGCCAGCAACAAATCCCACAAGTATACACTAGAGAATATCTTTTTGAAAGCATAACTACAGAATCCAGAAAAACGCACAACAAAAGCATGCATGTGTCTTCAGCTGCAAACTGGCAAGTTCATAAGACAAAAATACATTAAAAATTCGCGAATACAAACACATAGAAATACAATGAAAAAAATTGCACAATACATTGAGTTACAAAAGGCGAAGAGTATCACAGTTAAAAAAAAAAAAACTATGTGTGTTTTACAAAAATGAAACTTTGCTACAAATCGTTTCCATAGCAGCATCGAACAAACGCCATGTGTAATATCTTTGTGTGAAAGGTTCCACAGTCTCGTTGATCAAAAAAGCGGAGACATTACAAACAATTAACTAGACAGGTTCAAGAGCGATTGCACCAACTCCCACACCTCCTTCATGTGCCCACATGCGATCACCAAGTTTCCATGTATTTGTTTCAGGATCGTACACCTCAACTGATGATAAATTTGAACATCTAAAAACAAAATACCACAATGTTCTACACGCCCATGTAATAAATCGAGTATAATGCTTGGATAGTTGGATTGCTTCAAAAGATTGATGAGAGCAATGGTTACATTGAATTAAGTCAGGTTTGCAGAATCGAGCAAACATTGGGGTACTCCAGAAGTATGTGAACCAAGATGGCGGACACTGGAACGTAGTATGTGTACCAGGTTAGGGTTAGGCCATGATTTTATTCCAATTTTAGTTATATTATGAGTTTGGGGACTAGCCAAGTGACTCCTGTAGTATTTGTATCTAAAATTATGGCCCAGCCCTAACCTGGTACACATATTGAGTTCCGGTGTCTGCCATCTTGGTTCACATACTTCGGGAGTACCAATAATTGTACCCAATAAACTGAATAAGTCTGAACTTAAGACTGTTTTCAGAGAGGCTGACTAAACGACAAGAAACAATTATAATTGAGTGAAATGTTATATAAAAGGAAAAACTGTCACCTGAATCGAATAGAAATTCGTTTCATACATTGCTTTTTACACTCACCCATCATATCCACCCAATGCATATATTTTTCCTCCACTTGTTGAAACACCAACACGACTTCTCCGCATGCTCATTGGAGCCACAAAACACCATTGACAGGTGACAGGATCAAACAGCTGGAATTCAATAATTATAGTATTCATTTAACCATAGAGTACTATAAGTTGGAGCTTTATGGGCAATTTTGAAATTGATATTAGACTATGACTACAGAACAGTACCTATTGGCACATATGTCATATACAGACTATTATTATATTTGCTTACAATCCCAACTTGCAAATTTGGATGAGACCATAGTTCTGAATTATCAGGGTGTATAAGTCTAGCAGAGTGCGAAATGTGGAAGGTAGCTGACATTAGTGAGCGAGGCAAAATTATTCGCTGTTATTAAAGGATTCAAGATTATAAGATGGTAGATGACAAAGAGGATGCTGATGTAAACAAGTACGAATCAATCTCATTGATAAAACAACTATTGGAGGAACAAGCGAGCATAGAAACCTGCAATTGCACATAAAATTAGATCAACTGAAATTGGATGCGATTGCATCATTAATGACACTAAGCAATGAAGGTGATCTGGTCGAAAAGAGCATTAAAGAAAAGCACATTGTTAATGTAATTGGGGATTCGCAAGTAAAAAGAATTAAAAACACTATTTCAACACTGACTTTAAAGGCTATTCGCATAAAAGGTGGTAAATTTGAGCATGGAGAAGAATGGCTACAGAGTAAAGATCCATGTGTGGAAAATCTCGCATTATATTTTGCTACAATGCATTTAGATGATATTGAAACCGTTAAATTTCGAGTAGGAAAAATTATAATCGATCCGCAAAAAAGTATACTGTATACAGTATTTTATAACACCATTGCTACATAACACATATGGTACAATATTTTATAACAATCTATTTTACCTCCACTGAATCTAGAAACTTTTTCCCGTCATATCCCCCAAAAACAAATAATATTCCTCGCAATGTTGCTACACCATGACGACATCGCTTAGTGAGCATCGGAACCCCCATTGTCCATTCATTTTTCTCAATGACATAATATTCCACAGAATTGAAAATTTGTAGTCCATCGTGACCCCCAAGAACATACACATTTCTTTCAAATGCTCCAACTGCAGCAGCACTGCGTCCCTTTTGCATAGGTCTTAATTACAAAACACAATGAAGGTAAGTAATATCATTAAAGCACATATAATGTTGAACTCAAATTTTTTTTCTATGTTCGATGCTTACTCTGCTTCAACATAAAATTCTTCTAAATTTGACGATGAGGAATTATGTACGCATTAGATCAGGGTTTCACAAACTGTTTTGTCCGTCGAAACCCCATTTGTGGATCCTAGTTTTGACAGACCCCCAGTCCATGCAGTATCAATTTCTGTGCTTAACCAATGTAAGTACAATTTTTCATTTTCGACACAACAACACAAACGACATTAATGTGATGGATGACGTTGCTTTTCCCTGGACAATTCTCGGTGCAATTTGTGACAAGCAAACTCGTAGGTCAGACTCTACAGCAAGTCTCGACCTGTATTTTGTCATCATATTGGTAAAAGCTTAAAATGCTGCCTCACACATGTAGAAGGCAATAAAATTTTAATTGCCTTTTTTGACAGCAATGTATATTCGTCTAGAGAGCTCGAACAAAAAGATGTAATGGCTTTTTGATTGAAAATAATCATTGAAAATCTATCAAACTTTTTTCATATCGTTGCGGACCCTCCTGTGCAGTCATTAGACCATATCTTAATGATCTATATACATTTCACTAGTTTCCTCAAATTAGGATTTTCCATCACACCGATATTACAACAATCCAACAAGAGATCAAAGTTAAAAATAATGTTAAGTAAAATTATCTAATTTTAATCTCACTTGATTAATTCCCAGGTTTGAGTATGGGGTTTGTATACTTCACATGAGCTCTGAGATGAAGTGCCATCAAATCCACCACACACAAATATTTCTCCATCGAGTGCAACACACCCTAATGCGCTTCGCTGAAAAGGAGATTATTAAGAAAATTGATTTCAGACAACAAAACAAAACTTAGAAGTCACACAAAAATGAACACCATCTATTTAGAAATGGGTCGATGGCATATCCAAAATCGAATACCATCGAAGACAAACAATGAGCATGAGACAATCATTATATATTGCACAAAAAAATAACATTCTAAAAAACTAAATTTATATTATATACTAATGTTTTCCCAGATGGCCAAGCCTGATCAGTGATGTCATAGGGCGACTTTTTGTTCGTGTGGCACAAAATTATCAGGGAGACTCAGCGAACACTTCATGAAAAAAAAGTGCTACTATTAAATAAAAATCAATTTCAAAATTGGTAATGTGTACTTTATGTCTTTTAAAGTTTTTATTGTGTAGGCCTAAGGGGTGAAAGCAGAAAGTCGACATCTGCACCTGATTTTCACTCAGAATGCTAAAAAAATCACTACAGTTCGCTAAACTCGGTTCCGCAGATAAATAAACTGCAGATAGCGAAGTTGCAGAAAGAGGTGTCTACCTCTATTGTTACTCAACAATTGGAAATCGCTGTCATATGGTATAGGTGTCTGATCATGACCAACAAACTGTGAAAGTGATGTGACCGTGCACTCAAGTTCTGTAGATAGGTGATTGGAGTACTTTGGTTATGAGTATTTACTAGACATTTTTAGTTAGTTAACACTAACCTTCATATTCATAGGTTTGACATCACACCATTCATTTGTATCAGGAGAGAACATTTCAACAGTCTTTAGTCTTTGAGATCCATCATATCCTCCTACTGCATATAACTGACCGGCAAGTACAGCAACCCCGACTCGACTTCTGCATGTTTTCATGGAAGATACTGTTACCCATCTAAATATCAAAGAAATTAGATATGAACAACTTGTCTTAAAAATGCTACATGGTTACCCATACCATAGGTCCCGGTTGAACAAAGACAGTCCCGATAATGACAAGCTGTCCCAGCATCCTGCCAGTAGACTTAAATGTCCCGGTCATGCAGTCATAAGTATATTTTTCTGTTTTGTATCAATATCACTGATTTGGGATTCACTTCTCTAGTTCAGTATGAGAGAGAACTACTATATTGTTACGGCCTAATTGCTATCTGTCCCATACGTCAAATTGACATCGAACGGAAGTTGCATGTTTTCCAGTGATTTGATACAAATTGACTATTACTAAGCCCCAGAAGGTTTGTTAAATCTGCACTGTCCTTATTTCATGTTTCATACATATGGTAAGCATATAATATCGTGAACATGTATGAATTTGGAACTAGCAGTACAATCATTTCCAAAGATTATTTTGGATTTTGACTGGAAAATATCAGGTGTACTGTGTCAACAAATGCTAACAAATTATCTAATGACAATGTAATTCCCATCACACAAGTTAAAAATTATTTCGATATTGATATAAAAACAAATAACAATATATAAACTTGAACGAATAACAACATTTGTTGGCCACTCGCTTCTTTATATAGGCAAGCAACAGAACAGGGATCTGGAATGTAAAGCTTAGTCGTATCCAAAAAGACTTAACGTAATTGAAATAAGTAAAACAATTTCCCTACCTGCCAACAATTGGATCATATTTTTCCACAATGTTGAGTGCTTCACCACTAGATGTTAAACCTCCAACTGCATAAATCATGGTATGTACATCGGTACAACATCTTGGTCGAACCATATTTGGAGGAAACTCATATCTACGTTCTGGCATCAAATGATAATCTTTTGCCTGGATTTAATTTTTTAGTTTAAATACAGCTCTCTTCTGCTACAATATTGTCATCCAGTAAAATACTAGCAATTTCTTTTGGAACATAATAAACTGCTTAAATAAAGTTTAGCAATCCTATTTGTCATAGCATCTGAGGAACAAGCTAATGTTCCACTGATTTCTTTGACTATGCCAAAATTATATTTTTTGATAATTTAAAACATTTATTTTGTTTATACCAGTCGTGTAAAATACTGTTTGGCCTGAAGTTTAACCAAAAAGCATACAATATTTATATACCTCTCATGAAATCAAAACCTAAAAATTAAACAAAAGAAGTCTGTTTGAACATAGATGAAGGAATGATAATTACTTTGTCAACGAGATCTCTACATTTCAGACAGGTTTTCACAGTATGATGCATCTGCACTACATCTGTTAGGAATTGTGGTCGTAGAAGAGGTAATCTGATGTATTGAAGCAGTTCTTGCATCAGTTTTGTTCGCTCTGCTGGATCTTCCTTAATCCAAACTGTAGAAGCATGAAATACCTGGAAATACGTGATTACGGGAGAGTATAAAAATAAGTATTGAAAGGTATGATGCACTGTTGCATGTTTTGAGATATTATATTATTAACAAGTTAACCATTCAGTAAAGTAAAGTGCCATCCATAAACATCTTTTAATGATTCAGTCATGGTTTACTATCTTTGGTGTACATCGTGTTGTTCGTTCAATATCAAAATAGGTTCAAAAGATTAAACGTAAGCGATGAAATATAAAAAGGATAATATTGAACCAATCGGTATAGGAATCGATCAAGATATGGAACAATAATTACAATTTTCTCGTTTTATCATTAATATTATTAGATATAAAGGTGCATATTGAAGGAAATAGTTCGATCTCACAAGCTTCACTTGCAAGTCTATGACGCATAGCTCAGGTTTTAAAGTATTATTGTCATAACATGCCAACATTATAACACCAGAACAATGTCCAATACAGTAATCCCACGTTTTAAAATTTAATGACGTTTTTTTTTTTAATTAAAAACCGGGTTATTTAAATATTTTATTATTTTCAATATCGAATAAATGAGAATACGGTCAGGTTTGGATCATCTTATATCAGTGTGTATCCCAATTAGCCTAATACTACTAAATACTGTACTATTTTGAGACTGATGTGATTAAAACAGAAATAAATAACTACCTGTTCTTCTGAAGAAACATTTATCTCATTTCTTGCTAATAAGTCTGTAACTTCATCAAGAGAAAGTTGAAGATATTCTTGTGATTTTGTGACTTCTAAAAATCTTTGTTCGATGAAACTATTTGCCTTTTCTACCAATGATCCACACATTAGCAATTCGGCAAAGTGTCGTATACCCAGGCAATTTGTCGGATGTAATCGTTTCTGCATTTTAACAAGAAGGTGATAAGTTAATGGAATATACTTAGGCTTTATACTTTGAACAAGGGATGTGCAAACTGCGACCCGCGGGCCAAATGCGGCACACTAGAAAAAATTGTGTGGCCCGCGGAGTAGTGCCATTTTAAATAGTGTGCCCACGAAACAAGTTTTTAGTTGAGTTAATCTGGTCCGTGCGAGCAATTTCATTCCTTTTGCATCGCAAAGTATATACCAGTACCTGCCACTGTTATATTAGCAAAACTAGCAAGCAAAATTCTGTTGCAAAATACACAATGTTATAAAAACGTGTTTCTCACTAAATTCGTTCACATCACAGCCAATGTGACAGTAATAAATGATTTAAATATCATTTTTCTCCAGAAATTTAGCCTTGTAACTCACTATTTCTGTAAGGACCCCAAATAATGCCGTAAGATTAATAACACAAAGAAACAATATTTTGTGCCGCAACTACTAGAAAGGTTATCTTAGACAAAGGTGCGACCCGCGGCTTCACCCAGTTATTTGTGTCTGGCCCTCCTGTAATAAAGGTTGCACACCCCTAGAATGCTAACTAACTAACTTTCTGTGTTAAAGTAGAAATTCGAAACCATGAAATATGATAACAGTATAAATGTGAAAACTAACTTGATACATAATGCCATATACAAATCAAACAATATTACATGCACAAACGCTACTCAATTTCCACATTGTACTACCGTCTACCAGGAACAAAATTCAGATATGTGATATAAGTGAGATGAAACTATAACTGCATTCATTTAAAATTACCAGAATTTGGATCCGATAACTTAAACATTTAATTTTTTCAAATCATTTTAAAATGTATTCAGTAGAAGAATGAGACAAATGCTGATGAAATTAAGAATACAGCCAACACATTATCTATTCCTGATTTCGAACAAGCCAATTTAATGATTATGTTCCAATTTAAATAATATTATATAGAATTGCAAATTACACATTTCCAACTTATTTCCAAACAACTATTTCTTTATATAATATTTGGAATAGTAAAACAGGGCTTACTACTGTCCACAATGAGGTAAATTTGACATTAATTTATATCGTCTAATTTTTTCTTGTGACTATGGAGATGAGATTTTGCCAAGAAGACTGCAAAAAATTGTCATTGTCAAATAAATAAAGATTTTCAGAATTCAATTTTACATATAGAGTGATACCTCAACCAAAAATGATTAGCAGATGTTATATATAGCTGAATTCAACCGATATGGGCTTACACTATCGCATAGAAAGAATGACATAAACGGTGTAAACAAATATGCTGTGACACAAATAGTTTAAACAGGGTGTGTTCGCCACTTGCCATATAAGTTCAGAGTAAAATTATTTTAATCAATTTTCGAATAAGAATGTCGTTTTGTAATCATTCCATCATTCAGAGTCGATCGTTAAAAAAAGGCAATCCTTATCATTACGTTCATTTATGATGCTTTACCATTGTCAGGAATCTGGGAGAAAAATCGCATCTCACACAATATACAGGTGATTATGGCACCTAATACCATGGTATCACAAAATAATACCCACTGAAACTACAAAACAGTAAAACCATATAATGACTGCCGATACTAACCTTAATGAATTCACAGCAATAGTCTTTTACATTTTGTAATTGAAGAAAATTTGCACCAACTAATATACTTTGTACATTGGTAATATCAAGTGTAATTCGACCACTGTATGCATAGTTGATGATTGCCTCGAGTGCAGCAACATCTATTCCCTGAAAAACGATACTTATAATAAAAAAAATCATTCATGCAATATGGATTGACAACTATCACTGAATGGAAAACTGAAGTAAAAGCAAAATAAAATAGTTTGGATTAATTAAACCTAAAATATTACACCCTATATTCAAACTCAAATAATCACTGACGGGGAAGGGGGGGATGTAGAGTGATTCAGATTCAGTCAGACACCTTCAAATCGAATTTAAACTGGTTTCCTATAATAGCGGTTCCTGAACTTTTGTTTGTTCAGTGCCAAATAGTCAGGAAAAAAAAGTCACGGCCCTTTTCCAGGAAAAAAAATTGCTGCCTTTAAGTTGAATTTTGTGATCGTTAATGTATACTTTATGCCTTTTTAGGTTTGTAAACATGTAGGACTAAGAAATAAGGGCAAAAGGTCAGCTCCTCCTCCTCCTATATGTCTGATTTTCCTTTAGAGTACTAAAAATATCAGTCATGTTGCTAAGAACTCAGTTCAGAAGATAAATAAACTGCAGCTCGCAAAAATGCATCTAGTAGTGTACATTACATAACAATAGAGATAGACACTACGTAACAGAAAGCAAATGACATAGAAAGGTTAAATGAATTTACCGATTCATATTCACAGCATTAAATATAGGAAACAAAACATTTTCAATATATAAAATATATATTAGTTGTGTTTAACACAATTCTGTTAATTCTCAGGGTGAACTTAGCGAATGCACCACGGCATACCCTTTGGAAACGGATGTCTTATATATAAGGTGATACCATTATGCTTCTACACTGATACAACCATCCATAAACATGTTCCCATAAATTAAAAAAATGATGCCAACAGGAAGCCTTCAGGGCAATAATGGAATTATATAGAAGACTAAACCTTACCTGCATTGGAATGACAGGCATATTAGCCTCCACCATATCCGTTGTAAACATGCTATTGAAATAAGGTATCGAAGCAGCTAAAACAATACGATGAGCAGAAAATTGACCACCTTCCACTTTCAGAACAACATCACACATCTTTCCCTGTATTGAAATGAACGAATAGAATAATAATTCGAACAAATTTTGAAACAAGAACAGTATATATGTTGACATAATTACAAATTTTTAATTTTATTCTACTCAGTATTCTTTTATTCATGGGCAAAATATTGGTATGACGTTTACTCCGTAAGTATTCATAAGTTAGTTAATAAATTTGTATGTGATAATTCCTATAGATAGCCAACAAGGACAATGTTATGAACTAGTTAATAGGTCATTGTAAGTGAATTGCTGGCCAAATTTTGAGCACTAACAAAAAGATAAAATTGCGCAACTACAGTGAAACCAGATATTCAAAAGTAAATCGAAACTCAATGTAAGACGTAGTTACTATTTTATTAATACTAAACTGTATTATTTTATTAATCTATAAACGATCATGTATTATTACCTGTAAAAATGCATGTCAGTATTTCGATTACATAATTAAACAATATATCGAACTATTATCATATGTATAATGCACAACAATTTGTTCACCTACCTCTCTTCGAATCTGTTCAAAAACTGTAAGAATATTGTTTCCGAATCCATTTGTAGAAAAAGTTTCTTCAGATTCAATGTCTGTAAAATCCGACAAACCAAGAGACATCATGGGTGTAACAGACAACTAATTAAGCAACAGAGCTATTTATGCTGAAAACTTTAAGAAGCGGCTTTTTTATTGGTATAATATATCAAGTACAGTAATCGCAGTAATATAGACAAAAAAGAAACACGGAACACATTAGGAAAGTTATTCAATGAAATATAGATCGATAATAGCTCTGAAACTGGACAAGAACATGACTTTAGCAAAGAGTCCATGAAACACCAAAATAGCTATTATGAATACATTCTAATAATGACTGGCCAAAATTCCTGCATAACATTTTACAACATTTATTCAACTAAATCAGACTTCCTCAGGCAGGCAGTTTACCAACAGTTACCAGTGATAATATTGGAATATTGATTATTACAATTTATGTGGGATATGCAATACTAGCCAAATGTGATATTTCATGAAAGATTGATTAGACCAGGTTTCGGTAGAATTATTCCAATGAATAACAAAACTCAAAACGAAAGATGTCACAGACAGATATACCATGACAATAAAGTTTCCTTAGAGTAAGTCTGAGGGCTGTCAGACATAACTCTCCAAATTTAGAGAAACGATACAATTGTGTGACATCACACAAGAGTGTGACAAAGTTACTACACACAGTGATCAAGAATTTTAATTCACAAACTGATGATGACTCACTGTGACATATGAGACAATCGAAAAATGAAATCTAAACTTATGATATAAAATATCAGAATAGCTTATCATTCTATAACTCTGATGCAAAATACATTTTGACTTCAAATTACCTGAACAGATTTATTTTGAATTAAAATCCTAAAGAAACTTGACAAAAATGAAAAATTTGACATAAAACAAATATTGCAAACTAATAGAAAAACAATAACTCTGACCATCTGTATTCAATTGTCTTAAAATCTGTCTAATTTCTTGAGAACCCACAGTCAAGATTATATAATTTGAAACTTTATGAATTTAGAAGCAAGAAATTGCTTTTTTTTTGTATAAAGAAATATTGAAAATGGATAACATTCATATGACCAGTCTACCAGAAGCCTCGACATTTTGGAGTTTTTAGTCTTCATACAGATGAGACGAAATACAAGTACAATGAATTAGCTAAAAATGCCACAATTGAAAATCATGAACAATCACAGTTTAACTAGTTGTCTATGGTTGCATTATCAATAATATCTTGAACCAGACAATGGATTTGCAACATGAAATGGGCTATGAGGTTTTTCAGGATGTCCTTGATATCTACCCGGTGATCCCGATCTTGATCTGGAACCCTGAGTGACTTGTTGGGGTATCAGTGGTCCTTGCGGCAGCATTCGTATCATAGATCGTCTACCGGGAGAAGATAGTGAACCAGAATCATCTCCGAAACCCGATTTTTGACTGGCCATTTCAAGCTGTTTATCCAATGATAAAGAATTGTATGGTGACCTCTGATCATTTGATCGAGCGGTTGGTGGAGTGCCATGTAAAACGCTTATATGACGTGATGGTGTTCCATGAATGCTACCATGTTGTGTTGTTGGGGGATTAGTCAGGCCTGATAAGGAAAAGTGACTTGAAGGGTGAGCACTAAAAGCGTGATCATATTTTGAGTGCTGAGGCGCTGTCGGCAGGTGGCCAGACGCAGCCATACTCGCTCTCTGATACATTTGTATAGGGCTTGGTTGGGGTGATGCGGGACTATGTGGTCTCTTGACACCTTGGTGAGGGGCCGGGGAAGTCTGCGGATTCATTGAATGTCTCAAACTAGGATGAATACGAGGGGACGATTGACGACCAGGTAATGATAGATATGGCATTGCCTGGTGGTGTTGGTAATGTCCTCCTTGCATCATTTGGTAATTGCTCATGTTGGATAAAGAATGTGAATAATGGCCATGACTGGATGCAACCATTTCGGTTTGTTCTTTTATTTTTTGCTTTTTTCTTTCTTCTTCTTGAAGAACTTTCTTCAATTGACAAAAAAGCTGGTGTTTCTCGTCTTTCAAAGTCTCATGTTTTTTGTGCAAACTTGACAGTTGATCTTTTATTTGTTCCAATGTGACGCTATCTTCCTCTTCTTTCCTTCTCCTTTCTTCTTCTATTTTAGCACGTCGTTCAAAGTCTTTCTCAGCCTCCTTTTCTTCCCGCATTCGTTTTTCTCTCTCTCGAACAACATGCCGCCTAAGGGCTTCCTTCATAGGCTCAGACATCTCCTCTCTTTCAACCAAAGAGGGCATTATTGGTTTACAAATATTAACCTGTTAATAAAATTAAAATTTTATGAAAAACTTGTTTTTGTTCACATAAACGAACCAACTTAACGCGATAGAATGTTCAAATCAACGTGATTGAAAAAGCAACTGCGCAAATCGTATTTCTTTTAAGCGTAATTCTAACAGATTTGATATTTCTAATTCAAGTTTAAAAAACAGTCAGATAATAAGTAACTTTTTAGAAAATCTCAGTCATCCTGGTCAGATTATAATGTTAGAAAAGCACGAATAAGGAGGTTGGCAAACTTACTTTGTGTAAGGTAACAGTATATCTAATTTTTTTATACCACATATTTATGCCTTTCGCTACAAACAAGACTTTTCCATAGCAGCCACTGACATGTAAGTCGCTATTTTAGAAAAAATGGAATCTTTCCGTGCATGGCATACTCATTTTATCACACCATGGGTGGTTAGCATGGAATTTGAACCAGAAATTTTAACCTACGATTCCTTAGTTAAGTATAAAGCTTTAATCTTAGTTAATTAGTCTAAAGCCCCCACATCCTAATCTTTATTTAACATTTTTACGTCACTTCCACCTTGGAATTATTATTGGAATTATTATTTGCATATTATTTTATTCTCGCAATCGTCTCATGTCAAAGCTTTTACAATTTCCCAAACACACCGAAACCCCAGACTGGATTCCATGGCGGGTGCACGCCCGAGGGCGCTAGCGCTCCGCAAAAATGCACGCGAGCGATTTCAATTTTGCACGCCGATAATTTGCAATTGCTCACCAATGTAAATCAGTTTAAATTGTTTTAAAATCAATAATCCAGTAATATAAAGATGCCAAAATATTATAACTCCACAATTGTCGACTAATACTAGCTTGCAAAATTTGGTCTGATCGAAAAATGCGAAGCAAAAAAGACCATATCGTGTTGAATGATAGGAATCCCGTGAGAATAGTTATGGACGAAAAGATCGCCTCCGCACCAACGCTGGCCAGGTACGGCTCTGATTTAGCGTATTTTTCATACAATAATTTTACACGAATGTACTGAACAGTACCGGTATTTAAAGTCGAACAAACACTCTCAAAATTAGTGACCGAGTATAAAAATACTGTTTGGGGTCAATGGTCAAACGTCCAATTTTGCTCTAATTTGATGTATTTTTATTAATTCTACGTAAAAACACTCCCAAAATTAATGACAAAGTATGTCCATTTTTCTCTGGTTCAACGTATTTTTTATTCAATAATTTTACGCGGATGTACTGAACAGTACCGGTATCCAATATCGCACAAACACTCTCAAAATTGGCGACAAACTGTAGAAAAAAATGTTTGGGGTTAAAGGTCAAACGTCCATTTTTGCTCTGATTCAACGTATTTTTTTATCTGATACCGGACGGTGATGTATTGAGAGGTATCTAATGTCAAAGTCAGTTGCACGCGGGCGCAGTTGTTTTGCACGCCGTGAGCTATAATATAATGGCTCTGATAATTGCACGCCAGGGATTCTTATTTGCACGCGGGAATTTCTGATTGCACGCCCGATTTCTCGTTCAAAAAGGCCATGAAATCCAGACTGGCCGAAACCCAAGCGTCAAAGCCACAGTTGGGATGTTCCGTTTAAATAATTTTACACTTGTTTATTTCAAACAAGTTAATTCTGTCAGTTGCACGCTAAGAAACTCGGTTTTCATGCGGTTTCAATAGAAGTTGCACGCCGGGAATCTGTAATTGCACGTTTGCTTTCTCGTGAAAAAAAGCCATGAAATACAGTCTGGCAATCACATATAGCATCAGCGATGAAAAAAGGATAATATTTTGATAGAAAATATGTACATGTTTATGTGTTGAAGGAGTTAGTTCATAAGTAGGGATGTAAGTTTCGAATATTTTATTTTTGAAGCGAATTCCGAATCGAAATGTTCCGATTCGAATATTTTCGAATCTGATTCTATTTAGTATAACATCATATTATCGTTAACTCTCCTTGGATTTAAAAGAACTATAGCATAAAGGGTGATTAAATAACAATAATGAACTCGAGGAATGAGTGAAGTTAGTAGAAGAAAACATTAAATTGATGCTTGAACTACATAATATATTAGAGGATATGTATTATTGCTATATAGAGTTACACTCAGTTATACTTATTACAGTAATTTATGTTCGCAAACAATATAGGATGTATAGTGATGGTTTCTTCTAAAATTCATTCAAATGATAAACGTCAGTGAAATATGCGTTAATACTGCTTGCGCCGTGATTTTAAAGAAAGCAAATGATAACGAGGGAAGCATCGCAGACCTATGTTTTATTGCAAATATTGTTGTTAATATGATGACATTATATAACTTAGGTAATTTAAATACATGTTCATATAATAACATATTCGTTTAACTTCCTGACATTTTGAATAGTCTAAAAACAATTTAACGAAACCATTGGTTCCTCTGAGGCGGCGACCCATATGAAATATAACAAACCCCGGAGTGTTAAGACTTGGGAACGCTGTAAGCGTAAGGAAAATGAATGTTATTGTTCAACAAGACAACACTGCGGCGTCTTGCAATCGCCTCGTGTTATCTAAATTATTATTTTTTCAAATAGAATCAAGCTGTTTTTTCTCAAATTGCTTCGAATTGATGTTGATTCGAATCGCTTCGAAATGAGAATCATATAAAAATCACATGAACATGAATTTTGTTTATTTGCATCAAAATGTAACAGCATATGTAGAATACACAAACATTATGAAAGATTCAGATGAAACTGTAACCTTTCCACATAAGTTACCTATTTTTACAATTTCCATTTTATTATTATCTGAATACAGGTCCCTTTTCAGCTTTTCCAATGATGTTTTCATGGCATCATAAAGTTATAGGTCAAACTTAAATACAGAAATATAATGTCTAATTAATATTATTTATTTGTAAAATCAATCGCGGTATTAACGATATATCGCGACGGCAAAGAAAATAATAAAAACATCTGAGACCAGAACAGACGAAACATACTGCAACCCGCGCATACCCTCAAAACGAAATCGCTCGGCCGTATCGAGGATCGACGGCTGAGAATACCAAACGAATTCCAATAAATACAACACTTTAACTGACTATTCCCGATACTAAATGACTAAGTTACGCTCCTAATACAAATCTAGGACATCAATTTACGATGCCATTGCACTTCAATTACAATCTCTAGTCGAAAACATCGCTAAATAGCGACGTCTACACTTCAGGGTTTCCCAATCCTTTCAAACCGCCCATTCTGTTTTTATGTCGCGACGGTCTTTTGCGAGGGACGCTTTTTTCTTTTTCACGGCTGAGTTACGTTTCCGCACCAGTGGCCAATAGAAATAATGCTTTGCTACCAAAATCAACCAATGGAAACATGGTATGGCGGGGGTTGCAATCTTTTGCGCACGGCTCCCACCACAATCATGTTGTTGTACCAGTCGGAATATTTTTGAAGGGCTGCTTGCTGTCGGCTTAAATTTGTAAAACGAGATTGTTTTTTATTTACTTTTGTGCCGCATGTAAAAAAGGTTTTCCATTGGTTCATATTGACTCTAGTCAGTTTTTGTATTCTGAATAGACTACTTTTGTCTTGCGTAATGAAGTGTCACAGTTTTTATTTTGTGAAACTGTCGGCTGATCTAACGGAGGCTCGAAAAAGAGATAATACTGGTATCGCGTCTTGAGTTTAAGCTGGGTTGTCTTCGTTTCGATTTTGGATGGAAGTAAATCACATGGAGCTTATGTAGTAAGATGCTACATTTTACTCTTAGACTCTATGATATATTTATTTTCTATGTCTGTATGTAGCCTAGAGCTGGGAGATTCAACATAATATAGTAATACCGGTACTGATGGACTGTGTTAGGACTGCATGACTGTATGGGTCTTAGTGCTGTACCGGTACTGGCATATCACTTACAGACTTATGCAACAGCCTAATTATAACCATCTGTTTTATTTCGATTGATTAGGTATGATAGAGTAAGATCTGAAGATGGTAATCAAATGCAATTTTCTGAATATCTTACATTTTTCTAGCTATGTATTCGTTACGTTTTTCATATAAGTAACGTTATATCTGTATATAGAACAAACCTAACATATAATATGGATTGAAATATTTGATGGCTTACATGCATAATATTTATACTAGCTGACCATTACCCATGGTTGTCCAGTGGCAGTAAACCATGTCTATAAGTCTATTATCGACAGTTACATATTTCTGAACTACATGTACTAAGAGAGAGATATAAAATTCAATCAAATTGTTAATTTAATTGGATTCAAAAAACAGTAATTCACCTGTATTGATGAGATTCGAAGTTAAATTGTTTTGTGGCTTCTGCTATCTTGATGCAGAGGTCATTCTACTTCAACTCAAATAGATTAAGCGAATATCTCAAACTAAACATTGATTTCATATCTATTTCAACAACAAATATTTTCAATTTCAGGATACTGGTAATTTAAAAAAAAAGCTACACAATCGAATGTATAATTTTTTCTGGGTGAACTTGAAACCTGAAATGCCATAATGATAACCGATATTGGCATTTTCACATCTATTCCTATATTATAATATTATGAACACGCATAATCTTAAAATCACCAGCTTATAAAATAAAATAAATCCTTTCAAAAAACATTTTTGAAGGATGATATCCATATACAGGGTGGCCCAAAAGTAGGTATACAGTTATTAAAAGTAGGGTTTGGTCCAAAAGTAGGTTGGTAGTTCTCATTTAGGCATTTTTAAAGTTTAAGAATGCTAGCTATATCGTAGACAGAAACTGTTTAATCTCTTAAGTGCTCAAAATGTCTTCCTCCAACATTGCAACATTCTTCACACCTGTCCAAAACACTCTGACACACAGTAAGGCACAAATTTCGATCTTCATCAATTTCTCTGAATGCGTCATGAATGTAATCTTCTAATTCATTTATTGTTTTGGGATTTTGCTCATACACCTTATTCTTTACAACACCCCAAAAAAGAAATCCATTAGTGTCAGATCAGGTGAGCGTGGTGGCCTTTCAATGCCACCTCTTCTTCCGAACCAACGCTGCAGGAAAGACTTCGTTAAGGTAATCTCTTAAATATTCGCCATTAACCCTCAAATAAAATAAAGATTTACAAAATGTATTACCTTCCAAGCAGCTAGAAAACTAATGTAAAATTCACACTAGATTTATTATCTAAAAAATAAGCAATTTTTGTGGTACTTAACGAATAACATAAAGTGAACTGCAAGTAGCTTCAAAGCATATAAAATAGTTCAATAACTGTATACCTACTTTTGGGCCACCCTGTACGCAGGATATATTCCTTCTATATGGTATAAAATGAAAATATCAATTTTTTACACTTTTAATCTTTCTATTTCTACTCGTGTATTTTTTGGGTACATTCTGTTTTTTTGTTCAGGCAAGTCTTTTTTAAATGACTAAATATTGATTCATGATTAAGCAATCAAGATATTGGCATTCTAAGTATTTTGAAAAGAGATAGCTGAAGTTGGGAGATGTATACATTGAGCAATGAGACACTTTCAGATAAAACACAGCCTTGCTACTATCTTTTTCTTACATCAGGATTTTTTGTGTAGAATGAGGATAATATAAATGTGATGTAGTTTTCATATATTTAGGGTTTCCAGCACCTTACAAATAGTTTTTGATGCCACAATATCAGTTATATTTATCAATTGGTTTGGTTTTGCTGCGCGCCTATTATATGCTTGAGAAATTTGGTATATATACTTAGTACATCTAGCTAGCAACTGAAAACTATAAACAATTTGAAATTTGTATACAAATTGGTTTTGTAGGTTTATGATTTTAGTCATCTTATATTAATTTGAATTTTTTTGAAGACCACATAATGAAAAACAACAATATATTGTCGACTGAAACCATTGCATGTTTCTTGTCAACTATTATATATATTCTATATTTTGTGTCTTTTTGCCTCGGGGCGAATAGTGTTTAATGCTGTTCTCCCATGATGCATTGATATGATTTTTCACAATATTGTGTCGGAACAACTTGCATAGCATACCATGCTTCATTGCTCATTTTTTATATTGGTATTTAATTGGCTTGTCCACTGAGGAAAAAAGTACATTCTTTTAAATTTTTTTCTGTCAGGAAGAAACTAACTTTTCATTGAGTCAAGTACCGAAGTCTGTATCAACTTCAATCTCTAATACCATATTTTTTCACTCAAAAGGTTTTATGATAAACTTTTGTTATAATGATGATATTGGATTTCATAAAGTAACAATGACAGAAAGCAAACAACCGACGCCAAATCGATTATTACGTCCTGGTGCTATTATTGCAAACCCACCTGCCCCAGGTTCGCCGTTTATACCTAGAAGCCAATACTCTTTGATGACGCCTGGAGACAAACACAACCCAGCCACACAGTCATCATCTGCTACTATCATTCAACCAGCTTTAATTGTAAGTAATACTAAATTTAGTGAGTATTTATATTTGGCTTGTTTTGCCTGGCGGAAGAGTCTTATTTTCAAAGCTGATTTTTAAATTCCCTGGAGTTAAAATTTTATACATTCAAGGGTGATAATTGAGAGGTCAAAATTATTTACAGATACTTAAACAGCATTCTGTTTACTAAGTACTCTTAATAATATTAAAGAAGGCTTGCAGAAGTCACAACTTTTCTTATTTAGATGCAGAGCTGAAGTTGAAATGTTTCACAAACCTATTTAGATTCTTTTTTTTTTTAACCTGGAATCCGAGTCTTTACTTAAAAAATTGTGATATTTTCTGTTTTCAGTCGACTGCAGTTACTACCCGATTTCAAGTTTCTCGTCAAATTGGGTCCAAACCACAATTAATGGTATCCACTGGTTATAAGCCCAGCGCAGGCAGTGTTGCTGTACCAAGAGTTTACTCTGGTCATGCTTCCATTGAAAAAATAGGCACACCTCTAAACGCAGTTTCTGTTGATACACACGTGAAAGCTAACGTTAAACCAGTGCCAATGGCAAAGGTGAGTATCAATATCTTATAGGCCAATTTTCAATACAATTTGGAATCTTGTTTTGACTACTATTTCATCATCGAATCGAAAATAAATAAGGCCAATCTAGACCAGTTGTGATTACTATCATTTATAAACAATATTAATACTTATTAAATCCTAAATATAGGTAATGTTTCAACTGTCAATGCAATGGTTATGGAAAAAAATTTGAAATTCATGTGTTTCCTGTTTTGAGATTCACTTTGTTCCAACCTAAACACTTCTTATACTTTTAGTCTGTTCCTGTGTTGCTTGGTCCTGGATTACGGCAAGTCACGAAAACGGGTACATATGGCGATCCATTACAACCTTTAAATGTTACCCGAGTACCAGTTCCAACGAACTCATGGGTAATCCATCAGCAAGACCTCAACACACCACCAGTGTCGAATACATCAGCAACAGCTGCAGTCACAGTGTCAAAAACAAAACTCATATTCCAAAATAATGCAGTGACATCTACATCAACGACTGTGGCAATGTCTCCTCATGATTTGTCAAAGAAGTACGTTTTTTTTTAAATATACATAAATGCTGTCGCTTATGCAATTTCGACAGAATATTTCAGTGCATTTTTTTCCCCGCTATTCTCACTAGTTTTTTTTGACTGTATTAGAACTAAAAACTCAATATCTGAAGCTCAACTGATTTACTCGTCTTTTTATTTTATATTTTCAGGCATGGCAATCTGCCGCAGACAAAATCAACCATCAGTATTTTGCCAACCCTACCTAATATACCTCCTCCAGAAGCAGTTCACAGGAATGCACTTACAGCCACACCTGTACTCTCCGCAGGTGAGTTATCTGAGCTATTCAAAATTAACTAGAGTTTTAAGACTTCTGTAAATATATTGTTCATTATTTTTAGGTAACAAGCCTATTTATCAAGTGGTAGCACCTGGATTTCAAACTAATATACACAGCCAAAATAGTGCGATTAAGAAACTATCTGTTTCTGCTACAATTGTCAGCCAGCCATCAGCAAGCACTACTACAGGTAAACTCGAAATTTCCAGAATAAAACGATTTTATTATCGTAAGAATATGAATTGAAACTGAATAAATATTTACTTATTCATTACCTTTAGCGAGTTTTCCATCATCAACTTCTGTACACACGACCGGTCAAGTAACAGTGATGACATGTGGACCAGGAATCACTTACATACCAGCTCCTAATCCAGCTAATGTATCTTCTATACCAATTGCAAAAGTATATCCTCAACAACAGGTAGATGATCAATAACTAACTATTGTTGTCTAATTACCAATTGATTGATATTAAAGGATAAAAACTGCTTAAGGTTCTTGCTCGATAATGCACTAACAACCAGATATCGATTGATTGATTTGTGAAATAACGAAAATACCTAACTTTTTGATTTTAAGATATTTACATAATGAGAATTGATACTTCTTGGTATTTTCGTAGTATCATGTAACTTTGCTCAGTGACGATTCCCCTTTACTTCTGAGTGAGTGCAGATGACATTGATTTAAGCAAAATTCTTTAGTAAATAATAAGAAATCGATGTAAGGTAGCTAGTTATTGCTGACAGTATTTGAATAGCTTAAATCTTGAGTCATTCAATTTTAAACACATCGATTTACTCCATTAGCAATATATTATAGAATTTTAATTTCCCTTCACTAAGAACAGTGCTTATAATATAGAGAGTTTTACTTTCGTTTAAATTGAATTTAAAAAAAATTCATTTTAAGTGCATTGGTGTACAAATCTAGTATTTTACGACCTTAAATTGCATTACAATCCTTACATTTTCAGCCTACGTCGAGGGTAGCATTGACAGCTACAAGCGGCCGATTGACAGTTCCAATGATATCATCAGTAAACACATCCAGTTCAACGGTGTCTAGGACAACAGTTCCCGCAGTATTACAAGTTGGTTCAATTAAACCAACACCCACCACTTCTACTGCTATGACATCACAGTCAACAATTGTATCCACCATACCTGTTGCAGCAAATAATAAGGTTTGTTCTGTAATTCTCTTAGACATGATATGTATATTCCAAACTTTTTTAGTACATTGGTTTATTAAAATTGGTGGAGAATTTGATTTTTGTTTACTTTGACCACTACGTTAACTACTGCTAAAGCTGTTTTATATGAATATAATGAACTTTATGTATTGTAATCATTTTCTAGTCTGTTGCTTTATGTTGGCCAACAACCTTAAACTATGCTGCTCAACAGACAATATCATCTGCGGGAAGTACTGCTGCTTCAAGACCCAGCATAACAATAACAAGTAAGTTGTATTTTGCTACATGTATTTATATACTGTATTGTTGAAATAATAGACTCCTTTTCCTCTCAGATTCAGAACAAACGGCCAATGCGATAATTTAGTTAAAAAAACTTCTGAAAACTCTTAGAAATATTCTAGAATATATTTAACTAGGAATGCATTCTAAGTAGATCAAACCATTTAGTTAGTTGATTATTTATCAACTTGGAATATTCTGTGCTGTTTTTCAAAAGAAATAGGATTTCTTTCACCTAAATGTGAATATGTACTGTAAAATATTTTGTTTTTTTGCTTGCACCTTTGATTAGATATTTTAAATTATAATTGTGGGATCTTAATAATAAACCTATAGTATCCAACATTTTCTATCCTATGGATCTTTTTAAACAGTTTGCAAAGGTTGTGAAGACTTAATAAGCTAGTTAATAATATTATTTAGAAATGGTCTCTACTAGAGGGCTGCCTTTGATTTGTTTCTCCTTTGCAGTACCACAATGAAGAGTAGTTTATTTGGATTTTATATTGTACATGAAAAGCTTATTGGATCCTTAATATCTTACTATGGACCCGAGTTCTTGACCACTGGAATTTATGAATGCACAGCATGGTTTATAGCTGTGGATACTTTTTCTAACCCAAAATTTTTCAATTTAGGTACATCGAATCCACATCAGGTGGCAACAGCAATAAGAGTTCAACATGGTAGTAGCGTTTTAACAACACATTTACAAGGTTCTGGTGGTGCGGCACCTTCTTTGTTGCAAGGTGAAATATTCAGACATTCGTTTCATTGTCACTACTTGTTGTTTACATCTGTATAACAGATATGACTAATGTATCAATTCGGATCATAACATTGCTTGTATAGGATGATAATAACAATCTTGACTCTTTTTGTAACAAAGATTACAAACAATGTTTTTTCCTTGTTATGGATTAGGATGCCTTATAGATATCTAGAGTCAGTCTCTCTTCCTCTTTCTAATGGGCTTTATATTTCAAATTTTTAAATTGGCAAGTTATTGATGCAGTTATTAAATATACTTGTCAACTACCAACAAGCAACCATTTTTTTCACTTGCTGATGTCTTGTGTTACTTTTGTTAGAATAATAATTGTCATTTCTATTTCGTGTTTCATTTGCACAGTCACTGATACTGCAAATCGAAGCAATACGTCTCATAATCCAGTCAACCCGCCAAGTGGTGGTGGCCCTTCTACGCCGACAATGTCTCCGAAGCCAGCTATATTGAGAAGACAGAGGCCTGACAGGTAACGATGATTAGCTAAATTATTGCTTGTGTCTTGCTCCTACAAGAATTCTAGGAAATTTCATTGAAAAGATTTTGAATATTTCAAATGTCATAAGACAATTAATTAGAATTTTTTATCTTAAACAGTGATAAATAAATTTGGTTGCTGTGTTATTTGCAGTCTTCTAATTTATTCCTATTTTTCGGGTATTTGTTTCACAAATGGTTTTTCAATTTTTTTTTTCAGTTCAAATGTTCTTAAAAAGTTGTCATTTACATCTGCATCAAATTTTCCAAATCAACGTCGAGATTTCCACACTTTACCAAATGACAGAAGGTATATATTTATAATATATTAGTTAGCAGTAATCAATTAGGACTAGAAATGGACCTCCTATAGAAAATGACTTTTGTCTTGAAAAGAAACTCATTGTTCTATCTTGAATTTTGTTAGTTTTTAAAAAGCCTGTCATCGTGCATGTTTTTCGCCACATGATTCTACATAGCTATTCAGCTTAATGGGCGACGTATAAGGTTTTGATATGATGAATTTCATAATTAGGTTGCTCCATTTTTCTCAAAATAATTTTTGCACAAACGTTAACTTTATGTCATATTCAACTTGATACATTATTAAAATAATTTTTTTTGGCTTTGTAGGATTCCTATCAAATTTGTCTTTATTTACCGATAATCAAATTGTTTTAACCAAATTTGTACTTGAAACTGACTATCTGATTCTGCCTTATTACAGGTCAGCTCCTTATCATATAAATCGACAAAAGTTAACAAATAACGCTGGAGAAATGAAAGATGTTCCCATAATCATACCGACTGCTGGAAATCAAAATGAAAAAGGGGAAACCAAACCTGTGTTGCCAAACCAAGGTTAGTCTTCTCAAATTTGACATGGTGTTGTTTTATAAGTATTGCAATTTTAATGGGAAGAATTGTATTTATTCTTATTTTAATTTGTGAATCTTAACTAGGGGTTATTGACTTTAATTATTCGTGGCTTCTTTCAAAGACTTTCAACACTTTGGCCCTTGTCCTTATATAAAAACACACAGTTTTGCTTTATATGGGTTTCCATTTATTACCCATGTTCCGAAAACGTAAAACCACCAAGCGAAAGAAAAAGAATGAACGCATTAAAGTCTAAGAATTACACAATCAATTTACTTTTAATTTAATGTAGTCATCGCAAAGGGTATCTGGTAAATGCCTTTTCTAGTGGCTCTCAGAGTACAGCTCTGTGGCCCACTTGGGGGACGAGGGCCCAGTTCAAGAAATCTTCTCTGAACTCTGCTTTAATAAGAATTTATTCGTTTATTAAATTCGGACGATTCACTTTGAATTAATGTAGTCATAGCAAAAGGATCTGGTAAGGGTCTTTCTCATGGCCCCCTAGAGTACAGCTCCATGGCCCACTTGGGACCGAGTGCCCAGTTTGAGAAACCTGCTTTAACAAGCATTTATTAGTTCATTTAAAAAATTTGACATCCTTTTTTCAATCCATAGCTTTCAATACAGAATGATTGACTGTTTATAATAGTTTAAAATTTAATCTTTGTTTCTAGTATATGGGAATAAAATCATTCCAAGTAATGGCATCACACCGTTGAAGGTGAACAGCATAAAAACTCATTCTTCACAATTCTCCAATAATCCTGGTAAGTTATGTCATCTTTTATAGTCGAAGTGATTTTATTTTTTTTTTTTTTCATATTTTAAAATTCATTTTTCGTTCTAGCAAAAGAAGGCGCAAATCAATCGTTTTCAATACACCCTCTAAACATTGATTTACAAGTAAAAATGGAACCTCCTGGTCATTCAGCTTTTCATACAACTTCACAGCAACAACAACATACTCCTGTAAAATCTGAATCAAGTAAGTATAGACACAATGATCGGAAAACTGCGGCCCGCAGGCCAAATACAGCCCACAACCAAAATTTTTGGGGCCCTCGAAAGACTTCACTTTCAATTTGAAAAAAAAAAAAAATGCTCCAAAATATATAATTATCTATTAACAGATATATGTTGTAACAATGGCAGTGCTAGGTTTTTGTTTTGTAGTAGGCTGACTTGTCAGTGGTAATTAACACAGGAATAGAAAGCAGGTGTGTCATGATTTGAAGTTTAATGTGGTGATTGTGTTGAGGCCAACGTTTGTTAGTGCGTCTCACACGCTTTGTTTAAAAATTTCATTCATGAAATTAATTGGTACCCACCGGAATATTTCGGCCCTCACAGAAATAGTACTTTCTTGCATATCGCTAGATATCAGTAGCCGTTTGGACATGTACATGGCTTTGAAGACATCAATAAGTACCATATAAATAAAATCAGCAAGCCAACTTTAGGCTCCTTAGTTTTCAAAATGGCATGCTAGTAAATTAGTGTAATCATCTCAGTTTGAACTGAAAATATAGACTCATTTTTTCGTACTTCTAAACACAGATTTTAATTCCTCTTTTAACTACTTCTTCAGATTCTGCAAGCCAGAAATTGCATTTTCAGAATCAATCGATGCATACTTACGCTGCCGAGGTAAGATTTTGAAATATTGAACCACGTCTTTACAAACATTTTATAATAGTTGAATTGTAATGTAATTGTAGAATACTATTCTAGAATACCTAAATCAAATCCAGAATGACGAATCCTATGTTATTTTTATTTTGCCTCGTTTGTGTGCATAACTAGCAGAAGCAAGCGATAAAACAAGAGAAATTGGGGCACATGTTTGCTTGCTAGAGATAATGTCGTCCGTCAACTAATAAATAGTTTACTTAAAATATTGAAGTTATTGTGCAATGGTTGAAATCGAATCCATTCAATATTCTGAATTTCCCATCCTTGTGTAATTGTAACAATTTTTACTGTTTTTAGAGCCCACAAATTTCTTCGAACGTGCCACACCGTATTGTGACGCAAGCATCGGGGCAACATATCAAGACGAACACAATATTTACAAAGCCAGCGTTATATCCTGGTCAACCAAGATCAAAGGCTGCCCAGGTCATCAAGTCTACACCATCTGCCGTGGCATCATCTACTGGCACTGCACCACAACCCTATTTACCCACTGGTCCTGTAAATCACAACGTTAATTCTTTCATTCATCAAAGAATGCGGCCCGATTCAAATCATCCTGGTGAAAGGTTTGTATTGTTTGTTTGTTTTTTATATTGGTGAGCGTTACGGAGAGGATACTGCCAAAACCTGAAGGATATCAATTTTGCATAAACTTGTGAGGAATATTTTCATACTTTGATAACAATTGAAAAAATTGTATGTGATACCTATTTTTAATCTTCTATGGTTTATAATGTGCGGATAAATATGTATTACAATAATACTAAATAAGTAAAGAATATTAGTAATACTACATGCAAATAAAAATTTTACTTTAAAACAATGAACCTACTACTTGTGAGGAATATTTTCATACTTTGATAACAATTGAAAAAATTGTATGTGATACCTATTTTTAATCTTCTATGGTTTATAATGTGCGGATAAATATGTATTACAATAATACTAAATAAGTAAAGAATATTAGTAATACTACATGCAAATAAAAATTTTACTTCAAAACAATGAACCTACTACCAGAAGATGAATTCTTCACAGAAAGCGGAACCCTGCTCTAGGCAGAAAGAAGCAACGGTAAAAGAGTTGCAAATAACCACTGATACTTTATGTGCTCTAAAAATATATCAGTTTGTTTTATTAGTACAACAGCAGCCTTCTGAATTGGAATTGAATTCTTGTGTTATCCTTCTATATTTTTCTTAATCACATATTGCTACATTTCTCTAATCAACAATATTTATGATTATAGAATATCTGCATTCGATCATGTTAAAAAGGAGCACCAGTCCATTACAGAACATCCTAAAACTTCTGTCGACAACATCATAACACAACTTCAAAATCATACTCCACCTAATCACCTGATATCAGCAATATCACCTGCTAAATTATGGACAAACGTGAACAATGTAGATCAGCTTACTGGATTATCTCCCAGAAAACGACCGAGAAAACAAACTCACATTGTTTCAGAAGGTTGGTTTAAAAAATGAGATTACTTATTGGACACGAAGTTTTGTTGATATGTTGTTCTTGTTGTTACCTCATGAAAAAATCGCTGTTCTCGTTTACTATTGGACTTTTATTTATTTCAAAATTTTTTATGAATCCTATGTGATCTGATATTTCATCCAAAATTCGAAATTTTTTTATGGGAACAAGGCTTTATTCAGCCAAGCGTGACAGCCGTTTCTGATTTGACGTGAGTCACGTGACGCTATGCGAAACTTTATTTTGGACTTAGACAAAAATGATTAACAATAATCATGATTTCAGATCCACCCGAGGTTGTTATGGAAGACGAAGAATCAACAGATGATGCTGATGAATGTGAAGACGAACCAATGGCTGATCTTACTTCAGCTCATGATGTTTCAACAACTCCATCTGTCAAACTACCAGGTAGAAATTTTAATGCCATTTTGTAATGTATCAGAGAAATTTTCTAAAGCCAATATTGCGGAAAGTGGCCAATGTTTTTTAACACTCAATACTTAAATTGGCAAGAGATAGTTTCAATTCAAACTACCAAAGGAAATTATATTGAGTCTTCTTGTTTGCACTCTTCGGAGACGTATGTGTCAGAAATACTCTATTTGTATTTTATCTTAAATTTCAGGCCACAAACCATCAGCTCTCTTGCATCGGCAAACAAAAACTGAAGTACAAGCTAGCAAAAAAGTTATAAAAGAAGAAAGTCACAACAAATCCTCATCATATGTAAAAACAGAGGCTTCAAAGTCACCAACTTTAAGTGAATCGAAACCCCTTTCCGAATATACTGATCGAAATGGCGTCAGGTAATTTTCATTTCTATGTATTACTTTGTTTGTAATTAGTCGTGGGTAAATTATATGTTTGTACATTTTTTTTTTATTTCTTTGCCTTTCATTTTGCATCAACCTCTTTTGATATATTAGCTACCAAGGAAATTTAAATACCCATTCTTATATTTTTGCATGATGTAAATACAAGTAAAATTATTTTTTTTTACGCAGGTACGTAGCTTCACGTAAGCGGCCGTCTGTTGCAATTTTAAATAAAGCAAAACCTCACACAAGACCAATCAGCAATCATTACCTGCATTATTCTGATGTCAGAGTTAAAGGTATGTTATTTATGCGTAACATAAATCAGATATGATACATACTTGAATCGCATTGAATAAACTGTTATTTTTTTCTCCGTTTTATAGAAAAAAAGACGACAGTAAGTGATCTTGGAAGCGATAAGAAAAGGTTGAAAGGTTTTAAAATAGCAAGATTCGCATTCCAACTTGACGATATGGTAAGTCTCAACTAGATGTTTTTTTTTATTTATTACAAATGTGAAGTTTAACTGTGGTGATCAAAATTATCATCAAATATTGAAACCATAATCTGATAGTAGATATAAATATGATACTGGCACATTTTTAATTAACATTTTTTGAAATAATAATACAACAATCTCTTTCCACAAAATAGCAAGTAATATTCATGTTCGCTTATTTTCTATCTCGTTTGTCTGAAGAAGCTACACTTTAATCGAACAAAAGCTCTAAAATATAATGTTATTTTTTAAAAGGAATACAGGCTAACGTTGTTTTTTATATTATTTTAGTTTATAGTATTTCGTTCAGGTATTCTTGTGGCTGTGAACACATAGGTATTCGAAACAGGAAGTAGGCAAGCAGAAGAGGCCTTCAGTTAAATATACAATATCCTAGCAACCTTTTTACAATTATTAGTTTAACCCCCTTTATCTCTTTCTCAGGTTGGTTGTGAGAAGGATGTATACGAAAAAATGCAAGCTGTTTATAATGGACTTTTAGAATATAAATCCTCACTCGTAACGGATGCAACTTTTGAGAACAATTTAGCATCACCTTCCCCTGGCACTCCTACATCATTATCAAATTCCTTTCGTAAAGCCACATCTACAAGATCGTCGAGGTCTGGTTCCATATCAGGAACCACTGAAAACAGACCGGTGAATTCACCATCAACACCACTCGACAGACGGTCTAACAAAGTTAAAGACGAAATTTCAAATATTGAAGAATTGGCACAGGTCAGTGTTTCTGCTCTTAGTTTCGTGCCAAATATATTTCAAATACCATATTGCAGTGGTTTTGTCAACAGTTCTCCTCGTTGATTAAACTGACCGGAATTTCAGCTGCAAGCAAACACTGAAGTGCCTGAAACTATGGAATATCTAACAAAAGCTGGCCAATGCAATCTCTTTTACTTCAATCCAAAATAGTTTTTCTTGTAATGTCGAAAATCTATCAAGCGTGATGCAAAGTGTCACATTAATTGTCATTTGTAATTATTTTTCCTTTTAGTAAGACGTCTAAGTTGAGTTCACAAGTTGTCGCGGTGTTCTTGATTTCAACTTTGATCTGTGTGAAAAAAATGTGATTCATCGGCCATCTGTCATATTTTTAACTTTTCAAAAATATGCGTGGCCCGTTAGCGACAAAAGGTTGCCGACTCCTGATATAGAATGTAAAATACAACAGCTTAATGCAATCCTATAATACATATCCAATTGTGGCATATGATATGGAAAATGTCATGGTTTGTCCGATGTGTACAGACAGTGACTTGATATAATATAAATAAATATAGCTGGTATAAGGCAAGTAAACATGATTTAATAAACAAGGCCCTTTTTTGATACAAAATTATATTTCCATCTGATATCTGAATTATCAAGCAATTCATTTATTTTTCAATTTCTTTTCAGGCAAATTTACAAAGATGTCGCGTTGTGTCGGATCAAATATCAGAAGCAAAAACAATGCTGCTCAAATGTATAGATCATCGACAACTTGTATCTGATATTTTACAATCACCAACTAATCAAAAAACTCAATCTCATACACCAAATAGTCCTCAATCAATGAAACGAATGCCTAAAAAGAAGAACAATAGTTAGCCGCCAAGTTGCAGAGTTATTTTTTTAGCTTTCAATATTTATTGCACTTTGTTTTGTCAAAATGAATCAATATTAATTAGTAGTACTTTATTGTGGTTCTGTAATTGAAAATCGCGATTAATTTATTGCCGAGTTGCGTGATGATTAAACTTACAATTTAAGGCCGCTAATATATTTCTTCAGAGTACGTTGGACATATCAAATGAGTTATTGAAAACCATTGCACTAATGACTAGTCTAGGCGTGTGCAGTTATTGTACGCATGGGTTATATGAAGTAGTTGTTATTAATTTTAACGTTTTAAAAGGATTTATTGTCATGCAATTACTGGTATGTCAAAAAGGTTGAACGTGTGTGTGGTTGACCAAATCAGGATGTCTAATGATAGTCCCTGGATTTGATACATTTTTCCCTTTTACAAACTACTTTATCAACCATAAATGAATCCAATATGAACTTTATTAGGTGCACTTACTCTGAAGGCATCCACTCTTATCAATTGTTTTATACATTTTTTGTCAAGCCCAATTTCGAAATGTTCCATTTTTGTCTTTTTGCCAAATTTGTGCTTTTACGTAACCTGTTTCTCGAGTCCTTATTGGATAATGCGATAACAAATTATCATTGAGACTCAAATTGAGTCGTGCATATCGTTTCAGTCAATTTCAACTGAGTGGGTTTGAGTCTCATTCATTTTGATAAGGGTAGTATTTAATTTCTGCCCCACTCTCATTTGGAGTGACTTACTATTGTCTTCTGTTACTTCTTTTTCCATTGTGTTACCGGTGCAAATATTTCTTGAACAGATATATTTTTTGAACCAATTAAAGAATAATGTTGTTGATGGTTCATTTCCGGACACACTCGATATAAAGTTTATTGCTTTTTATACATTTGTCACTAAATATATGTTTTTTTTTGAAAAGAATGATGGCGAGTAAGGTATCAGACATAGATAGATGAGTGTTGGTTAGCAAAGAGTTGACTGGTTGTTGTATTAAGCTGTTTTACTTCTATGATCATGTCACACGCTTGTTACATGGGAGCTGGGCCCATTGAGGTTTTATAAAGTGTGGCTACTACCATGAAATATCAGCTGTTGAATGTTGTTCTGTTGAGGCCGGACTCAAAACTATATAAGGATTTCAGTTGGTATTTAATTCAAATCAAAGACGAAACACTAACACAGACAGGTTGTCCAGGGTACCATTTCAAGCACAAAAGAATGAAATGGAAGACTATATTACTGATGCAACAATAAACAGCTTTGGCCTTTGGGACTCTCTGCTAGGTCAGAAACCAAGCGTGTTATGATGCTACTTTGATGGAAGTATATGACTTGGTAATGAGAGGGTGGTTGTTGTCACAGAAACCCAGCATCAAGCCTTACTATTTTCATAAACGTGAAATGACGTGGGGTTCTAGACTAAAGCTTTAAATATGAATTCAACTTGAAACTTTCAAATTAATATTATAAATTGAAATTTACGAGCTGGAAAGTGTAAATGGTCAAAGCTGGAGCCTCTCAAATTTGTGAATTTGAGCTGATTGAATGAACTCTTCTTGTTTAGTGAAGTCATTAGTCAACTCTTGCTAGCGGGGGGGAAACATGCATCTTTTTCAACATCTGCTATTTTACAATTGAAGGCAATCAGCCTTACTCTATGGGCCTGGTAATCATTCCAGTGCAAATTTACACTGCCGATCGTTGTGAGGGCACGGTTATTATCACATTTTCAATTAAATTTGCTAGCTTTTCCACTAGCGACCTGGATTTATAGGCTGTGACAGCCAACTATCATAAACAGCTTCCCTGTCACGATGGGATCAATCTTTAAAGTGAACAATTTATAATCAAAAAAGTTTCTCAATATTATTGAACAACCAATATTTTAAATAATACAAAGTTTGCGTAATATTTGGAGTCTAAATTGATAGCTGGCAATGAGGCATCGATATTCTGATGTATTTATATCACAGCGTGAGAATATGAATAATAACCACGAAGATCGTTGTCAACACTCTGAAAAGTTACCATGTCCAGTTTGTTTTGCATGTTCTTGTGCTTCCTTTTGACCGGTCAATTTTTTCTGGCAAGTAACACATATCAGAGTAAAATTACCAGTATCAGTGAATTGTCTTGCTTTGTGTGCAATTTCAGCGAGCTCCATCACTTTTGTCAACATTGCATGGTCCTCACATGAAAATATAGTTTGCAGTGGCAGTTGTTTATTACACGAATCAAAATATAATGGATCATAATGAATTCCGTCATATATCAAATACGCTCGACTGCTGTAACTTTTATCTTGGCCATATATGTCCAACCTAAGTGATTTTATATCGACTGCTGCAATTTCGACCTTAAATATTTCCGAAAGTATTGCAAGCTCAATTGCACCTCCCCATGATGTATCACTTTGGATCCAAGCACTATATTCAATTTGGGTGTTCCCAAGAACTGCTTCTGAATATTTCTCTGGATCACCGGTGACTTGCTCGGCTATTTTTGCTCTTAGTTTTTTTGCCGTTTCGTATTCTAGAAAACCTTCGAGTACATAAAAAACACTATAAAATAGACACGAGTTATCCGCAGGTACTTCTTTTCTCCTTACACCAGGCTGTGGTTTATCGGACCTGTCTGCTTCCGGATTATTGGACGATGTGTCTTTTGCTTTATTCCCATTTACCACCGTGAATGTATCTCCAGATTTGATAGATAAAGATCCCAAAGTCAATGTTTTGTCTTCCAATTTCATTGATTTTGGAGGGAAACCAGAGAGAATCTTCTGTGCGTTAATCTCTATATCACATATCTTCTTGATAGCTTCCATCAGATCAAGAAGAGTTGAAGATGATGTAAGATTGTTAAGAACTTGTGTCCCATGTTCAGACTTGCATCTTAGGCGCAAAGCACTCATTTTTTACTATTTCTAAAGCTAATTTTGACTGATTTTATATAAGTAGAATCATTAAAAAAAAACGACAGCCAACAGATGAAAAATCAATCGGTGATGACAGAAAATAAGATAAAATAATGACCAAACAATCTTGATTAACAAATGTTCTTAAAAACCAAACACTTGAAAAAAAAACACATAGCCTACTATCAAGGAGTAGATTCTTATGCATTAACAAAGGCCATAGGATGATTTTCAAAATTTATTTCATGAACTCCCCTCCGCACATACATATAAAACAATGATTTCACATAGTCTATGGACCAATATATTGCAAGCTAAAGTTTTCAAAACTAATTAGTGTCAATATTGTTATATCTGATTAAGTAACTATACAAATTCCACAAGAATAAAGCCACCTACTCATTTTTTGACAAAATCATGCTAAAAATTCCTGAAAACTGTGTGGACAAAAGAGAGAGTTACATTAGCCTGAACATATATCATACGGTGTCCATATACAACAGAAATTCGAGTATTTATGGTTAGAAATTACAATTTCAAGACATATTTATAAATATATATTGCACAAGTAATGAAGTCAAATGGTACATAATATAACAGAAATAAAACGGATCAATGGAATTGAAGCGCTGTAGTACAATTTAAATCGTAGCCTTGTAATGTTATCATTGCAATTTCTTTTTTTGATTATATTTTTTTGTTTCCACGAATTTCAAATGATTTGACCATAAACTTTTAACAGAATCATTTGGCACAATTAGAAGATTTTCTTGGTAATAATCAAATACTTTAACATTTGCAGTATAAAGAATATTGCTTTAAATACAAAATAACAAAAACCAAATATTATTGTCCATTTTTTCTTCTTGCATAAGCTCCAATGCAAGCCAAGAAACCACAGATTCCTACAACCAGTCCAAGTATGAGAGCAATTGCATCTCCGGCATCAAAAGCATGAACTTTGTCAACCCCAAAGAACACCAGGAAGATGGTCACCATGTAAATTGATTCTTTGAGAGTCATACTGCAGTACTGTTATTCCAGAGTAAATTTACAATTTGTTAGAATAGCGTATACGGAAGTGATATAAAATCTATGTGTTTACAAACAATTCTGCAATTTGGATGTATAAGAAGATAATGTTTATTCAAATATGCTAAGTCATTTTTATGTATGTTCAGTAAAGCACTGTCATACCTTGTTTTAAACTGTTGTATAGCAATCTATATTTGTCATACTACAGTACTTTTTGGTTACAATATTGAAGAAATGGCAAAATAGATCCCTCGCTGAGTGCCCTACCGGCTACCGCACGTACAGTACATAAACCAAGTTGCAAGTCATAAATAAATACGTAAAACGGTAAAAGACGAACTTACATGTAACTTACTGTTAAGCGGGGCGCGGGCGCATGATCAAAGAACTCTCTCTGTGTCACTCCCCATTTCTGTTTCGCATTACTTACTGTTTTGGTAGAAATGTTACACCACATATTAACATTGAACTATATGACATAGAATAGCCCCATGCAACCAGGAGTTAATTCGGAGAATCAGAGTAGGATAACGAATTTAAAGTAAATATAAATCCCGTGGACGTTCCCCCGACCTTTGACCCTTTTATTAAACGCAGATCGATCTCCTCGTGCAGACAATGGACCTTTCCCCGACCTTTAACCCCCGGAAAATTTTTCCTATACTTTACCATTGCAAAATTTTCGGGGCTATTTTAAGAGTGGTTTTACGAGTTGGCGCTTGTAAAATGGAGTATGTGTTTCAAACCATCATTATGATTCATCGCATACAACAATCTGTTTTTTAAAAGTACCGGTAAAGAATTTCAGGCTAGTCTATCACAGCTATTTCTAAACTAATTTTTATTACTGCAATTTAATTAAAACTCCTAGGAAGACAGAGTGATCTTTGAATTATCTGATTTATATTTAGGTTTCTGAAACACAACTGAAAACTAACGAATAGAGATCAAAAACGCGAAAACGAGGTAATGTTTACAACCACGCTTGAAAATCTGTCTGAGTGAGAAAAGTGTCTGAGCGAATGCGAAAAGGAGGCATTGTTACGTCACTTTTTGCATCTTGCTGATTGGCCAATGTCACAAAGTAAACAAGGAAGTCGATGCTCGGGGAAAGGTCCATGGTGCAGATCACAGAGATATTTCCAGCTTCCGAGGACTATTTTTTCTATTATCGCGTCGAATTATTCTAAATGGTTTGAGGTCTCTCATTGACTCATTACTTACTTTATTCAATGAATAGGACGCGGCAGTGTGGCTCATCGTGCTAAGCGTTAGGAATACGCTCGCTACCGCACCTCTGGGGTGGTTCACGTACCCGCTGGTCGGTTACGGGTTCCTCTACCATGTCCAAGGGAAGGTAACCGGACAAGAGGCCGTGGTTCGCCATATGGTTAAGCCGTCCGATCGACTTTCTTCTCATCTGGGATAAATATGTAAATCCTATCCTATATGCTCATTGCTTCATCCTACCTCGTCTCCAACCTCCTGTCTAATTGTACCCCGATATTGCATTAAGCAAATTAGCAATTAGTGCGTAAAAGGCCAAATTGTGTCATTTGAACAAATCACAGTTGTAAATGGTGACGTCAGTATATTTTCTATGACACAATCTATTTCTATAGCACAAGTGTTTCCAAAGGTATTTCGTGTTTAATTTCATGTTGCGCCTGCATTTTCATAGTTCTATTCCGCCCCAGACAAAATCTATATTTGGCACATCGCACAAGCCGTGTTACACTGTTATTTCTGTTAGGTTCACTGAACACTGTTAAGTTTGACGCCGAAGGCGAAAACTGGTCTACCGACGTGTGTAGGCGAGATTTCCATGTCATTAAGTTACCAAACAGTGCCACTCCCAGAAGAATCTTCATGACCGCCAAGACAACCAGAGAATCTCTGGAAATTTATGAATTACATAATATAAGAACCCAATTATTAGAGATTATATATGAAGAATATTGCCCCAGTATAAACTTCAGGATCTGGACTAAAAATATAAGTTGAATTTCGGAATTAAGATTATTCGGGATCCCAGACCTAATTGCAGCGTTCAGGGTTAGCTAGAATGACATAGTTGATTTTTACGCCCCAATGCTAGGAAAATAAAGGAAGAGGATTATATATTGATTTAGGCCTATTGTCCCCGACATCATGAGAGTATGGAAGCTATGATGCAGCGAATGTATTAATAATTATAATTGATCAAACCAATGACATTGATCAAACAAAGCGGAGCAAGTCACGCGCCAATTGAATGTTTGAACTGAGTGAACCTATGTTGCTGGAAGGAATTTCATCATTTTTTATGAAATGACCTGTAAAATTAATACTTGGATATGCATGTATGTATATTGATTCCCCACTTTTAATATCAAAATGTATCGGAGTGCTTTGATTGATGCATTTCAACCCAACCCAAAACTTTTTCTTTGTCAAATTCTAAGACACAAGATGAAGGCCGACATTAAAGTTGATTATCGCCAAAAACGTTGCACTAACGCATGAAATCAAGTTAAACAAACAAGGTTTGTTGAGAGACTCATCTGACCCTGCCACCAGCGTTTCTTGGAATTAACTACCCAGGGCCATTACTTTCAAAACCATTTGTATTTATTCTTTAACCGTTCAATTTCTCTCCATACTCGCACGATAATTTTCCAGGTGTTCGTGGTGGAATAATCGCTTTCAAGTTTGCGATGTGTGGTGTGAGTGGAGGAGAAAATTGAGGAGTTGGCCCCCAGCACGCATGTGGAGAGGTTTGGTTACAAACAGGGAAAATCCGAGCCTTTCTCAGATAATATTATTGGATATCGTATCGATGTGACGCAATATTACGTCAAAACCAAGCAATCGGAGCTTCGAGTTTTATTATTGAAAAGACATTTCCAGATAAGGTGCAATGAAATTACTAAAAAGAGTGCCGGTGAGCTAAAAGCGAAGTTATTGTCACTGAAAAGCGGCTTGAAGAAACAGCATGATGCTTTTCTAGGTCAATTTCAATGTATTTGTTGAAATTTTTCTTCTCAAAAATGACAGACCAATTACGTGATAGATCGATATTAAAAAGAAGAGAAATGACATTCAAAAAGGTCTCGCACTAGCTGTAGAATCGGTAAAATTAAACTTCTATGTTGTCTGTATCCTATCACACCTAAAACCATGCATTATTGTGCAACTTGCATCATATTTGAAATATAATTTGCGGCCCTAAATGAAATTTGGGTCGGAACGTAAATAAACACTAATGTGGTTGGACACGGCTGTAACTTACAAAATGGTGCAGCGCCATAAATATATTTTTACTTTCGCTACCCCCTTGTGGCCATATTCGTCGAAAAAGCGTTTCGATCGTTATTTGGAAGCTAGACTAATACCGTTTTGTCTTTTCTGCTGTTGGTTGTTCGTCGAAAGATTGCTTCTGTTAAACCGTTACTTGTTCGGCTGTTGTAGGATTGTTCGAAGTATTTTCTATCGCAAAATGATCAGGTTCATATTGATACAGAATAGAGCAGGGAAAACAAGGCTGGCGAAATGGTACATGCATTTTGATGATGATGAAAAACAAAAACTGATTGAAGAAGTTCATGCTGTGGTGACAGTTCGCGATGCTAAGCACACAAACTTTGTCGAGTTTCGGAATTTCAAAATTGTGTACAGGCGATATGCAGGGCTCTACTTCTGCATTTGTGTGGACGTGCATGACAACAACCTTGCTTATCTTGAAGCTATACACAATTTTGTTGAAGTTCTGAATGAATACTTCCACAACGTTTGTGAGCTTGATTTGGTGTTCAACTTCTACAAAGTTTACACTGTGGTCGATGAAATGTTTCTTGCTGGGGAGATACGGGAAACGAGCCAAACAAAAGTCTTGAAGCAGTTATTGATGTTGCAAAGCTTGGAATAAATTCATTTATGAATCAGAACTTGTTGGAATTCTATAATCACCTGGCATTTTGTGTAATCATTGCCATTCGTATTATATCATGACATGTCCTTGGGGCATGTCTCTTCTACTGCTTATAATTATGTTAACTTATTTACATGCATTTTGTTCGAATCCTGATAAAAATTTTCACTTTTATCAGTTTATCTTAGGTGATTAAATTAAAAAATATTGGTTGAAGTTAAGAAAATTAAGATCTTTAATTGACTTCCAAATTTTTCTGTTTTTTTATGCTCATACTGTTGATTTATTATAGCAGTTGGAAGTTTTGATTTCTTACAGATTGCTATATTTTCTATTCAATCATATTTGGTGTGCTGCTCTGGTACATCTCAACAGGACTATCAATTAAAAATCTGCAGAATATGAAAACATAAAATCAATCTGTAAAGATAATGTGAGCCAGTAATAACGAGCAGCTATATCACATATCTGCATGACATAAACATTGGTGCTTTTCATCCTTAAAATAAATTGGCTTGCTTATACTTTGGCTGTCTCACCAACTGAGGTTCGGCTGTCTCATAATGTTGATTATCTCACTTTAAAATGCCCATTTTTTGTATTTCATTCCTGCTATTATTTGAGGATGATTCTCTGCATTTTTCTGGCCAAAGTATAGTCTATATTGTACCTTGTATCATTGTACCTGAAGTGTAAAGTCATATTGTATTGGTATTTAATAGTGCAATAAAATGTATATACCCTCAACAAAAATATGTATATATGATATATGCTCAAGAGCCTTAAGTGACTAGGACTCTCCTTCTGTTTCCACTGGGAGGTATTAGTTTACACCAAATAACGGGACGAGCATCTTTATTGGATATACAAATGGATTTATCGCGATTGACTTAAACCAAGCTTCTGTCATTTATTTGGATGTTTCATCATCCTGCAACTGCTCCTTTATCACTCGAATTAGGTAATTTCCCCCAAATTACCTATGCTAATTTAGTAGATAAAGTTTGTAGTTAGACAATAGATTTGAGCTTATTGATAAAAAGGATGCAATCTGCTATATATTTATTGATTTTTTCGCTTAATTATTGCAGTCTTTTTCGATTCGGTAAACACAAACTCAGTAAGCAATCCACCATCAATAAAATTAGTTGTCAATTGGCAGTTTGTTTATCAGCATAGCGCAGCTACATGTCTTGCACTAACAATATTTCTCGATCATAACAATAAATCTATATATATGATAGTTGTTTTCATCTCATTTGTTCATCTGTTATGTTTCCATGTTTAGTTTAGTAGAATTTGTATAAATTCATTTGTCATTATGAATTTGAATGAGCCTCTTGTTGATCAAGAACCAGCACCCAGTGATGAGGAACTGGCAGACATGTACCAACAGTTTTTGCAACAAGCGACACCCGAACACAAGCAGCAGCTAGAAGAACTTCAAAGCCTTCAAGAAAAAGTAACACCCACTCCTGGTTGTTGTATTAAAACCAAAGATATGAAAACATCTACAAAAGTATTTATCAATGTTTGTACATCTAGTAATGTTCCAGCTCCTCAAGATATAACAGAGTCGAGATTAAAAGAGCTTATTTATCTGCTTGATGATGAAAATGCAGTAGTTGACTACAGGGTACCAATGAGTATTGGTGAACCACATGCAGAACTGGATAAGAAAAATACTGGATGCACAGCTTATGATATTATAATTAATCCTGCCTATTTGCAAAAGATCCGGGATAATGAAATATTCCTTGGTTTCTTCATGAGCGTTGTAATCGAGGGCATTTTCAATAAATACGAGGTAGAACTCGATCGAAAATGGATTTTACTGAAACGAAAAAAAGTTGTCGGAAGCTTGCAAGAACAATATATGCGTAAAAAACGCCTCATCCAAGAAGTACATGGCTCTTCATCTGCAGTTCCAACTCCAGTTGCAGAGAAGCCTAAATTGAGAATCCTACGAGAACCAGAGGAAGGTCATCCACAGTATCTTATAGCTGAGATCGAACTACCAAAAGCGAGTCGAGCGAAAGCAATTTCTGTTGATGTTGGGGAAGACAGACTAGTGATGTCAGTAAAACCACATTTGTATGAATTGGACGTGTATCTTCCATATAAACTAATACAAGAGGAATGTGGTTCACAATTCAATGTTAATACAAAGATATTGACTTTGACCATGCCTGTTCAACCTGCTTGATTAACCTCGAATTAACAAACTTTTTTTGATTATATATAATTTAATAAAAGATACTTATATTTTTATGTGATTTGTTCAATTTGTATAAAATATTGTATGAGTGATTGATAGTTTTATCCGATTTATCACTGGCAATTGATTGCAGCTCAGGGATTGTTAATGATGCCCATAATCTTGCTTTTTCACCCGTGGACATTTGTACTGGTAAGCATTTTCACCCAGGTGCATCTGCAACCACGAACATTTTACATTGCACTCGTGGATATTTGTACCTGCATCCATTGGCACCTATGGACATTTGCACTACACGTCATTCTAAGAATGGGTTTCGCACGAACCCCCTGAATCTCACCGCTGATTTTCACGCACATTCAGCTTTACTCGCGAGTATTTGTGTTAAGTTATTGGAAATCCAGATAAACTGAAAACTAAGTATAATCTTGGCGGCGGTCGCTACGTTTTTACAGTAATTACAAGATATAATCATGTCGCACATTCGGCTTTGTCGGTGATCTTCATTCATTGGAATAAATCAAACGTAGTGCAATTATAAATCGTACACCGACTTTCTGGCGAAGCAAGAAACCTGATTGGAAATAAAGAACGACAAAAAACTACCTCGCTTGGCAAGCGACGTTTATGTCGAATCAGTTGTGCGTTTATTGCTTTACATTTATTCGTGCACGGTGAAATTAAATACCTGAATCTGCATCAGTTGTTTGGGACACTTGTTCTACTTGTTACGTTTTGTTTTTCACCCAGTTCGAGGTTTTGTTTGAACTAAGATGTTGGACGGAAATCCAATTGAATCGGGTGCGGGGTTGCAATTGATATTACTAATTGCAAATGTCTGTATGTGAATGTAATTATCCGTGGATTCGAAATTAAGCTTCAAAAACAATGTCGGTGCAGATTGGAGGAATCAATACGACCATTAAATTCGCACTCATAGTTTTCATCAGCAGAAGATTGCTACATTGAAGGAGAGGATTTATTGCTTTTCTCAAACCTCAAAAAAATTGTGTGTATATATATATAGGCAAAATAAGCGTTCAATGTTTTCGGTAAATGATTGCGTGGTAACGATAAGCGTCGGTCACCCACCAGTCACCACCCAGTACAATTTACATGAATAAATATTAGGAGATGAAAAATACTGTACCTCATCGTGGAGGCAATAAACTTTCATTGATCGGGAAACAAGTCCAGGTCAATCACTGATATTTTTCCTTCCTTCCTGTCAAGCTTTATACAGTTCCTTTAATGGAAAGTCGCTTATATAAACTATAGATCAGGGCTACTCAACTATTTTTACCGAATATTCGCATACAAAACTTCAAAAATATTTGGGTCCGGTCTTTTCAGAAATTATATTTGGGCATCCTTAATAAACCCGCACTTCCTCGACCGACTTATGAATATTAGCTAATCAAAATTGTTTATTATTGCGTTATAGTTCATTTCATATATATTTAAATCTATAAAAGTGATTTTATAAAAGAAAAACTTCAAAAGTGGGGCTCATGATCCAAAATAAAGAATTAGTCGCGGTCCGAATCGAGTACGCGAATGGTCCAGATTCGGACCGCGGTCCGCCAGTTGAGTAGCCCTGCTATAGATCATTCAATATAAATTCCATTCAATGGTGTCTAATTAATTGAACTCTATCTTATGCTAGACTCACCATTCTTCTTATTCGATGTACGATTAACGACGGAATTTAACAAAGTATTTCTATACCCTATAGCAGTGGTCGGCAACCTTTTTTAAGTGACGGACCGATAATGCTTGACAAATATTTTGGCGGACCACTTCTATACAAACAAACTTAGATACAGTTATAAGCATATTACGAGTTAAAAAATTTGTTTACCATATTCGAAAACAAAAGTGATGCTATATTTAATCGAGATCTGCATTTGTTTGCTGCCCATTGACTGTTCCCCATTGGAAGTCATGGTCGATAGTGATACACATAATATGTTGCTTACGTCCAGCCTATTTCGGTGTTGACAAGACCATCCCATTGTTCAAAGAAGTTTCTAAGAATTCATTGCCTCATTGAGAGCTTAGTATGACAAAGGTCGCAAACTGGACAAATTTCGTTGCCGTCACGTACGGTTACAAGTCCAACAGTCACGTTGTTAGCGAGAATCATTTTGTTTAGGACATCTTATTTAGAGTCTAGACCAGGGGTCCCCAACCTTTTTTCTATCAAGAACTGTTCGAGTCACTAAGCAAGCAACGCGAACCCCTGTAATCAGGCATGGAACAAAGTTGTGATATATTCAGGGTTACCATCTACCCAGAGCCAAAAATAAGCACGGGTGTCAAAAGGTTATTTGGGGGGAGATGGTACTTGAGAAGTTGAGAGTTTTTTTTATTTTATTAGAAGTCGTTTCGAACAAGGTTGCATGCAGCAAAAGGCCACAAAAAGGCGGAGGTTTTCCTGAAAGCTTTGTACGCAAAACATGAACCATTCATTCATGTTTCTGAGACCAAATTAGAACAGAACTGAAAACACTTTTCTCAGAAATAAGCACATCGTTATAAGACGTGGGCTAGAAAATAAGCTCCAATCCTAAGAATAAGCACCATACAGCCATATGGTAACCCTGGATGTATTGAATAACAATTTGTTGCAACAACAATTTATTGACCATATGTAACTAAATTAAATCCTCGCGTTGATAATATTGCCTTTGTCGTCTGCCTAACTCATGAATTCTTAAAATCTTTCCAAGTTTTAATAAGCAAAACCACTTTCTCCAATGCTAGTTGCACGCTGTCTTAGAGATTTCAGTTTGCCTGCAAAGCCGTGAATTCCACATTGGTGCGTCACAATCACAATAACGCAAGAATCAAGATCCGTGAAAAACTACGTTTCAATTGACACGCTTTTTCCTCTGGTAGTAATAAAAGATATTAAAAAACAACAACACACAAAAACTCGACTGCCTTCCAAGTACCCCTGGAAATCTTTTCGTGAACCCCTGCGGGACCCCCTTGGAAAAATGCACCTACGGATATTTGAACCCATACTAACCCTAACCCGTAGTAGTATATATTCACGCCCCAACCCATGGATTTTGGCACCAACATATGGATTGAACCCGTGGATATCCGGGTGCAAATGTATGGGTTCAAATGTGATGTCATCGAAAATTATTTATGAAGTCAGACATACTGCTCAGATGCGTTGTATTTGTCTGCTTTGCTATTGGGTGATGTTTTTTAGTTGTGGTTGTTCGATCGTTGAGGTGTTATTTGAGCCTTGTCCGTCTTTGTGTCACCTTTCTGCGGACCGGTAGTAACCTTTCCGCGGACCGGCAATGGGCCGCGGCCCGGTGGTTGCCGACCACTGCCCTATAGGCTATGTCAATTACAAATTTTGACCTTATTGGTACCTAATAATTTCGTTTCGTCGTGGTTTCACCGAACGTTGTATTTTGGTAAGTTTATGTCCCGCATATGTTCATTGCCCGAGCTAATCTTTTTTACGTGTAATAAATATTATAAACACATAACAATTGACGATTTATACCCTACTTTCACGTCGCACCTGGAACATGGACGTGCCATAAACTGACTATTGTACATATTCATGGCTGTGCCGTATTTCTCTGTCTTGTGTATTGTACTAAAGTTTCACCGTAATTTCAGACGCACGTTACATCCGGTTTGGGACGAACGCTCTGTGAGGGAGGCGGCAGGTCTAAAGCGTCTGCTAGAAGATGGTGAGTTTTCATTTTTTCTCCACAATATTCTATCACGTGGATGTATTATACGGCGCATTGCAGTCAAGGCTAATGGATGGAGCGTCTGTGCAGTCGTGTATTTCAGACTTCTGCGATGCTGTATCTCGTATCCGGGAAACAATAAAATACGACGACACATGGAGTGCTTCTTTACGCCGCGGGCAAACAACGCAGCGTTTGATTTTGTCTGCAAAGGAATGCTGTGACATTCTGGTGAATCAAATAGGATACCCATGATAAACGTGGGTAAATTGGAAAATGAATTGCGATGTATATACACCAATCAAACTTTTTTGAACATCACATCAACTTGCGCGCTCTATGGGTTCCTCATAGATAACACTCTAGAAACTACCTTTGCGGCGTCTGCAAAAATTTCTGGACATCATTTTGACGACGCCTATTCTTCCGCCGACGCAAGAGCGAACATTCAGCACGCTGAAGCGTATCAAAACGTATCTCAGAAAAACAATGAAGCAAGATAGATTAAATTCCTCGGCTGTTTTATCCATTCACAGAGATGTTATTTCTGGGATGCATGACTTTAATCAGCGTGTTATTGAGCATTTTGCTTCCAAGAAACCGCGGCGTGTTGCATATATGTTCAAGCAGTAGAAGTCTAGCAGCATATATATCTATATATATCTTATTTTAGGTTTTGTCTGCTTTCCCGAAGTTTCTGTTAATATGTCATTGTATTTATTTGGGTAAATATTGCCTTTCCTTTTGAAAGAGGTTTCAAAATAAACTATGTCTATATTTATTAATCCCTTGACTTGGACCGGTTTTAAAGACACTTTCTTATCGTTAAAAATTGTCGCTTTTGCCGATTGGTTGTTACCGATGGAATGGTTTTTATACTCATAAAATGATGGGAGAACTTACAGCGCTCATCCTGTCCCCGTAGATGGGGGTGACTTGGTCCCGCAGTAGCTTGCCCCGGTTGTCAAAATAACCACGCGCCGCCACTGATCAGGTAGTAGGCCTACTATATATATATATATATATATATATATATACGATATTGCCTACACTCAAAACTATCGATAGTGCGCCTTATGTTTCATATGGACCACAGCGGTCTGGAGTAATAAACGAATTGAATAACATACGATATTTGTATATTTTCTTTTTTGTTTGTCCTGTTATAACGCAGCGGTCTTGAGGCAGTTACACATGTGAAGGGCGCATGTCGCAGAAATGCGTAACTGCCAACAAGGGCTTGAACAGGTATGCCTACTCTCTCATAGTGTTTAGTTATTATGCAGATACTGTCACATTTTTGAGGCAAATAGACATATATACGTGCAATAGATTATTGTTTGAATTAATTGGATGGACAAGCATGTCAATTTACATCATAGTATACAGGATAGGTCTACATCTATCACGCGTGGGCTGGCTCACCATACGTTCCATTTTGGGCGGGGCAGTCCCACTTTTTAACATCTTGTCCCGGCGTCCCGACTGGTCAGCAAAAAGTCCCGCTTTGGCGTTCAGCCAGCATAATGAACGAAAATTACCAATTAGCATGTTCCCGTTACTGCTGTTGCTGTTGTTGTTACCATATCTAGAAAGACAAAATTTTAATGAGTCACATTGACCAATTTTGCAACCAAAACACCTATACTGTACAGCAGCGTTTCCCAAACTTTTTCGGCCATGGAACACTTACACTTTTGATCTCGCCTCGCGGAACACCAAAAAGTGGAACAATAAATTGATAAAGAAAACCAATGTAATGTAGCGGTTCCCAATGTAGCGGAGTTGCTGAATGCGCCGCGAAAACTTACAGAATTGTGTTAAACATACCTAAAATATGATTGAATATTTTACATATTGCATTTATTATACCTGTTTTATTGTTTCTTAATTTAAATGCTGTGTATATGAATCAATTCATTCATTTTACCATTCTATGGCGTTTACTTCCCATTACGTAGTGTTTGCCTCTAATGTTACGTCTAATGGAAATAAAAGTTCTTGCCGCAATTTCGCGAGCTCCAGACCTGCCGTTTATTTATTGGACACGTTTAGTGGCCATAACGATCGTTTCAAAATTTTGTTGTTATTGTTATTGGACACGTAGTGGACATAACGATCGTTTCAATATTATGTTGTTGTTGTTGTTGTTGTTGTTGTTGTTCTTGTTCTTGTTCTTTGACACGTTTTTAAAAAGTCGCTTTTCTCTTCGAATACTGGACCAATTGCTTTGAAATTCTCAGTGGTTAAAGATTAATTTTTTCGCTAGAAGGCTATTACTTTTGTTTATTCTTAAATTTTATATGAATCCTATGAGATATGATATTTCATACAAAATTTCGCGGTATTTATTTTTACTCATGGGAACACTGTTTTACACTTATTTCAAGCGGTTTCGCGATCGATTGTCTTGCTCAGTACTTCAGCTACTGTAGGTCGGTACTGGTAAGTTGCCATACCGGTGGCGTAACGCAGTGAAATTGACTTATTCCTTCCGCGGTATTACTAATGCCTGCAATGCAAGTTTTATAGCCGTATCGTATGCGGAACGGAATATCAGAACCTACAGGTTCGGTACCGGTACTGGTAGCTCAGTACGTAAGTACGATACTGGTACTGGTGCCGGTACCCGGTGTCTTACCACAAGGAAATTACCGTAACTTATTCTTTCACGGTCCTACAGTGCAGTAATGCAAGCGTTGTAGCACTTGTAGCCTACTATATTTGTTTATTTTGATGAAGGTCTACTGGAAACAACATAAAATTTGGAAAGGGAAGAATGTTCTGTGATCAAATTATCTGTCCTAAGTTAAACAACATAAAATTTGACAAGGGAAACAACTGTTCTGTGATCAATTATCCGTATATGGCCTACAGTGTACAGGTAAGATGCTGGCTGACTGCTAACCGGTACTGGTTAGCTCAGTACGTAAGTACGATACTGGTGCCGGTACCGGTGTCTTACCACAATGAAATTACCGTAACTTAATCTTTCACGGTCCTACCAGTGCAGTAATGCAAGCGTTTGTAGCCACTTGTAGCCTACTATATTTGGTTTATTTTGATGAGAGTCTACTGGAACAACATAAATTTGAAAGGGAAGAATTGTTCTGTGATCAATTATCTGTCTAAAGTGTAAACAACATAAAATTTGCGAGGGAACAACTGTTCTGTGATCAATTACCGTATATGGCCTACAGTGTACAGGTAAGATGCTGCCTGACTGCTAACTCAGTACCGCTTGACACGTTTTTTAAAAAGTCGCTTTTCTCTTCGAATACTGGACCAATTGCTTTGAAATTTTTAGTGGTTAAAGATAAAAATTTTCTCCAGAGGGCTATTACTTTTTTTTTCGCTATGACGTCATCAAATTTATGTGACTCTACGTGTCCATATATTTGAGCATAGCTCTCTTGTTTTCTTTCGTCGTTATCATTAAAAAATCGCTTTTCTCTTCGAATACTGGACCAATTGCTTTGAAATTTTCAGTGGTTAAAGATAAAATTTTTCTCCAGAAGGCTATTACTTTTTTTTTCGCTATGACGTCACCAAAATCATTGCCATTGGGTGGCGCTACGTGTCCATATATTTGAGCATAGCTCTCTTGTTTTCTGAATAGAGTTTACCGAAAATAAATAATTTTTTCAGCATTTCAAAGTAAAACCAGGCAGAGATGGAGGAAGAACAGTTGGCCCTTTGCCTTTATTCTTTAAACCTACTTGTTTGCCTATAGAAAAATCAAAAACATTTGATTTTGCTGTTACATCAACTCATACTATTATAATTATTTACATTTTTGTTTATCTTTCACTTGTCTTTTTATATACTACTTTGACATCCCTCTGCAAGCAAAAAATTGTTGATCATTATGCTGAAATAATGCTTGTTAGGTCCTATTAACTATTTTTCCCCCTCCTAATCTAGACAAATCAAAGCAGATCATGTTTGTTACATCTTCAATGCGTACCTATGCCATGAAATGAAGCATTTCTGCTAATTCATCACATATGCGTATAAATTATTTAAATTCTTTCAGTAACCTTTGGAATCTCTTCAGATTTTGAAATCCCGCTCCACATAAATAAATAAAAATGATTTACTCTAGCATTCCCCTCCCCAATTTTTTTCTTCTATTTTGAGAATATAATTTAAAATTCTAGAATGTTCCTCCCCAATATTTTAGTCATCTGAAACTGTGGATCTTAAACATAATAGCTTGAAGGGGGGGAGTTGACTTTGATGACCATCCGGTCGTATCACTCCGTCCTGTCTATACCAAACTAATTTATTTCTTATTGTTATTTTAATTATTATTACGATGACTGTTATTTTTGGTTGACGAAAAAATAAATCTCTCTCTCTCTCTAATGAACTTAACAGTCAACAACCCAGGCCGACGGTTAACGAAAATGCCACTACTTCGCCCTAGTTAGTCCGTATTAGTATTTGTCTACAGTTAGTCTACTTTAGGCCGACAATGACGCGATATAGAACGGTCAGTTGGGCGACAATTTCACGATTCTTAGATCGTCATCGTAATTAAGATTCCTTTTCCACGGAACACTTCGAAGACGCTCGCGGAACACAGGTTGGGAAACGCTGCTGTACAGTATTACGCAACGACTAACATACCATACCACATAACATGGTATTACGGTACAAATTCACGCTGTATCCAAAGGCACAACCTATCGTCGCTTTCTCGCGAGAAAAGAATAAATACAGAACAAAATTGTTGCTTAATCTTTAGCACTAGTGACTAAACCCTAACACGGAATAAAGTGCTGTATAGATAATGGTAGTACAATCATTGAGGTACGCAATCTGTGTTGCACAAAAATGCTAGCATGTGACATATCTCTGAAAAATAGGATTTCGTGGATGCGCAATATCTGAATGCTCGAGTATTTGTAGCAGGATTCACTGTATTCGAAAATCCCTGATATTTGAGCACTTTTTAACATTTCTCCCTGACGCAAATTTGACCACTAAAATCCCGGACATGCCAGGGAAAAATAGGGCAATTGGCAACCCTAGTACTGTATAGTGTAGCGCAGGGCTACTCAACTATTTCATCGAAGATCTGCATACAATACTTGAAAATTATTTGGGTCCGGTCTTTCCAAAAATTATATTTCGGCATCCTTATTCGCACACTTCCTCGACCGGCTAATGATTATTATCTCATCAAGATTGTTTATTATGGTGTTATAGTTCTTTACATATAATATATTGAAAAAGTCAATTTATAAAAAGAAACTTGAAAAGTGGGGCTAATGATCCAGAATAAATAATTAGGGGCGGTCCGAATCAAATACTCGAAAGGTCCGGATTCGGTCCAGTGAACGCGTGGTTTTGTTTGATTCGTTGTTTTCCGCTAACATTGTTACCGAATATTTGGCATATGCAAAATCAATACCAATTTTTACTTCCATTCATGATTGTTTTTAGTTGACGAATCAATAAATTTATCACTCGAGGATCCGGGAGACCTTGATTTAAGTCCCACTCAATTTCGAAAACTGGTCTAAACTCAACCTATTTATTATTGCTTAATTAATTGTAATTAATGCTATACATTCATTTGACAAGTCACAACAAGAATATTTTTATTGCCTACCATGACTAATATTGCTGAGCTGCGCCTTTTTCGATAACGACCATGAACACGTATATTTAATTTAGTAATATACGGTCTCTTTTTCTGCAATTTAGTGTCTCCGCAGCACTGCCTGCGGGTCTCATGCTGCAAGTCAAGCACGTGGGAGCGCCGTGGCTTTCGGAATTTTTTCGATCGGCTGTTTCGTAACTGCATGCGTGTTTGTCAGAACGCACTTGAAGGAATTTGGGACGACTGCGGATAATGGTATAATAATGTTTTTTACTTAGGCTATGATTGATATAGAAGTAGCAACGGTTATGCGACGTTAACAAAATTGATGAGGAATGCTACCGTAACCTACCTCAGAAAATAAATAAATAATTACGGTAAGCTCGATGTCGGCCATTGCGCGGTCGTTTCTCTGTCAGTCTGTTGTATTTATATGACAACTACAGTGCCCTAGTTTTCATTGTATATTGTGATAATTAGGCGTATCTGTTGTTTTCTACTTCTGTCATTTGTAGTTTCTTGAATAATCGCATGAATGTTTGAGAAAGCGTTTTTTTGATTGTTTTATGTATTAAGAAAATTAAAAGACATGTAACATGTCAGAAAAAAATAAAAGGTTAAATATGGATTAAAAATCATGATTTGCCTCCGGCTGACAGGCATTGAGTGGTTGTAGACTGTAGTACAGTTGGCATGAATCTCAGAATCTAATATAGGCTATCACATAATTCCACAGCATTTGCTTATTTTGTCCGTTGACGTAGATTACTTGAATTTTCGTTTTTATTTTTTCCAATTATTTGATGTTGGTCCCATCAACGTAAGTTACGCCCTGGGGTAATTTTTGGGCATCTTCAGTAAAGTCCCATCAACGTAAGTTACGCTCTGGAGTAATTTTTGGGCATCTTCAGTAAATCTGCCTTCATCGGCCATTGATAACGAATTGTTGTTTGTTTTAAATTTTGGCAATTCATCCAAACAATTTCAGGATTGAATGGATGTTTTCCACAATTTTGAGCCAGATATCAATTTTTTTCCACATATTTATCTGCATTTATATACAGGAATTTCGGAAGCGGAGAAAAGTGCTTTTTGTCAATCCTTTTATTTGAGTTTCTATTCTTCACTGCGAAATGATTTTCAGCAATTAGTTTTCAAAAGTGAAAACGAAAAGTTCAATGATTGTAAAATGTCGTAAAATTTTGACTTTTAATAACGATATATACATATGAATTTCATATTTCTGTCCTTATTATCTGTTCTTAAAAACGAATGATCATTTATAATAAACACGTTTTTCATCTAATTCAATATCCTATGCTTTTGTTTAACTGTTGTATTAGAGACATTGCCTAGGACTTGCAATCTAGGAATTTATTAATAATAATAAATTTATCTGATTGTATTAGATGTATTAATCTGTTGTGTATTATGGCCAGATGCGCCAATATTTATTGAGTTTATGATGTCTTTCCCTTCAACAGATGATGTACTGATGTTTTTCCGTTCAACCCCACTTAAGAGTTTAAATATGTTATAATTTTTAAGTTGGATGACTCACTCCAATCAATTAAACTTGTCCTTCCGAGAATAAAGGCCTTGAGAAATTTATTTACCTGATCTTATGATTCTGAATTTTAGAAAACTTAACTAACAGTCCAATAACTAAAAGGTACAAAAGCACCTATATTATTTAACATCAGAATTTGTAAATCACAATGGTCCAGATGAAATCCAAAGTGAGTATTCTTCATTGTCTAAGTATTGTATTCTATTTTTCTTAGGATTTTGGAATTATAATTCTATCAATTTTATATAAATTTTGTTCAGTTTGTTTAAAAAGTATTTGTTGGGTAAAACTGATGATTCAGATTCATGGCTTGCTATTCCTAAAGATCTAATCACAAACAAGTTTTGAAAGCTCATTAAAAATACTTGTCGTATTTATTTGTCTTAGTATAACATTGTTATTATTTGTCATATATATGTATCATATAGAATCCTCAATTTTTGTTTAACTTTATTATCAAAATCATTTAATAGGGAAAAGACAAGAAAACAAAAAATGCAAAAGCAAAGAAACAGGTAAAACCTGATCCACCACCGAAAGAAGAAAGTAGTGAAGAGGAGGAAAGTGAGGAGGAAGAGGAAGAAGTCAAGGTATAGATTTTCAGAAATATGACAGATTCAGTTTTGTCCAGTATTACTCGTATTTTGATTACTTGCCTCAGGGCTGGAGTCGAGAATGGAAGCATGGAGCTGTGGCATTTTGGTGGAGTTTGAGCCAAGCTCATCATATCAGATGGTGCCGTAGCTACCAGAAATTTTAGTGACTCCACTTCCTCACCATCTGAGTAGTTTTCCAATACTTCATACATATAAACTAAATTTTATGTTCAATTTTATATATTTAAAAGTTTAATTTTGAAATCCTTATGTAATATTTTTAAGTCCCACTGCATTTGGGCTGATGTTTAATGGTAGTGGTAACACCTAAAAGCGTCAATGGGCATTGGGCCGAAGCTGAAGCCCCTGTGATTTCGAACCACCTCCAAAGCCTCTGTGATTTCGAATCACCTCCCAATCCCTGACTTGCCTATTGAGCATTTTTAATAGCGACTCCTTGTTTTTTACTGAGATTATTAAGCCCACTGGCTATACCTTGCTTATAAGCCTTGTTTTGCGTACCACTGCTTTGCTACTAAAAGTATTCAACATCTGGATGTAATATTATACTTGGGAAAATTCCTGTTTTTTCAACACATGATATTCTGGTTCTCCCGTAGTAAGTGTACCAGGTTAGGGTTAGGCCATAATTTAATTCCGATTTTTCTTATTTTTGTTATATTACGTGTTCGGGGACTGTCCGTGTTAGCCAAGTGAATATAACCCCTGCCCATAGGTTTCAGTCCCTTTACACAACTTGATTTAAAGTAGGCGAACAAAATTATTTACCTCCACATTGGTACACACACTTCTGGAGTGCCAATATTCCAAATGCTTATTGACTGCTGGTGAGTCTTATTCAGGATGCAGGTGTGAAACAGATATGAAAAACCTATCTTCCATTTTTTATTTTCATTAGTGTTATTGTCCAAGCCTTACTAAATCTGTGATGTAAGGGTGTTTCATTTCAGCTGGCATAACAATTCAACCATATCAAATTTCAGGTGCAAAAAACACAAAAGAAGAAAACAACAAAAGCGGCAAAGAAACAAGAGGAAGAAGACAGTGATGACGACGACGATGATGATGATGACGATAGTGATGAGGAGGAGGAAGTCAAGGTAATAAATTCGCCAGTAAAAATAAGATTGTTATTTTGTATGACAGGACGAAAATGTGTGATAAATAATACAGTATACATATAAATACTATAGCTATGGTAATGTAGATAATGTTTTGACACATATAATGCCCTTGCCTACACAACAATATTGGTGCTTCTGTAGTATGCGAACCAAGATGGCGGACACGGGAATGTAGTATGTGTACCAGGTTCGGGTTAGGCCATAATTTTATTTCAATTTTCCTTATTTTAGTTTTATTACGAGTTCGGGGACAGCCAAGTGACTCCCGTAGTATTTGTACCTGAAATTATGGCATAACCCTAATCTGGTATACATACTACGTTCCCGTGTCCGCCATCTTTGTACGCATACTATAGGAGTACCAAAATATTTTGCAAATATTGGAATCTAGTTTGGCAGGTTCAAATACTTATGCTCTGTAAAGTGATATCTTGTGAATGTTCATTGTTTTAGAAAACCAATTATCAAATGAGAATAAAAACAGTCAAAGTAACTGCTCAAGTACCTTTTAAATACTTATTTAGGTGCCATGATAACCAAAATTTTTTTCAATGCAGAAAGGAACAAACGGCAAAGTAAAAAATGCAGCAAAAGCTGATGACGAAGAGGAAGACAGTGATGATGATGACGGCGATGATGATGATGACAGTGAGGAAGAGGTAATGAATGAAAAACTTACATAAAACATATATTTTTCGGATTTCCTCGTGAATTCATGTAACTAGGGCTTGGTCTAGTGCCATTGCAATCTATCGTTATATTAATTGAATCCAAACTGGTTCCATATACTTCAACCTCATTATTCTTTATATGATGAAACATATATATGCCTATATATATATATATATATTTAAAACTTGAGTTGTCAACTTGAAATCAATTTTTGGACCACAAAATTTCCATCATAAGATGGTTTCCGAAAAATTTCAAGGCTAGAAATTCGAAGTTTTTTTTCGAGTTCGTCATGACGCTTTGATTTTCATCAACAGACGAAGAAAGATAAGAAAGCTGCTGGAGATGCGAAGAAAGAGGAAGAAGAAGACAGCGATGACGATGATGATGATGACGACGACGATGATGAGGAAGACTCTAAGGTTGGAAACTCAATTCTCTTACTCAAATTTGTATCTTAGTATGGATTTAAAATGCTGCGAGGAGATTTAGGTTACCATACCATCACAATGTTTTACAGATGTAAAATTTTTGTGTACTCAGAACATTGGGGATATTCCACAATAAACTCTAAACTTGAATTCGAAAAAAATATTTGACATCGACTCCAGGTTGATGGGAATGGCTCTAGCTCTGAATTATTGAAGAAATCTAGTTTTGATAATAAATACTTTGACTCATGCAAGCCTACTTTAATGTTAACGCTTAATCAATTCAATTTCAAAGTTTCCATTCAAATTTGACTTCAATTAATTACCACGAAAAGTATGAAATTCTGACTCCTGAAAATTCCAAATTTCGACTACTCCAACGAGACCAGCACCAGCAGCTGCGAATAATAGTGGTATAGGGTTTGAAAGTTATTTCATCGTTGGTGTAACATTACATTTGAGTCATTACCATGAGGCAACCATTTTATGCTTTCATGATTTTAGACCAAGAAAGCTCAGAAAATGGAAGTAGATGATGACGACGATGATGATGATGACGAGGATGAGAGTGATTCTGGGGAGGAAGAAGAGCAGGTACTGAATCATTTTACTAAACATTGAATGTCGTTTTTTATTATTTGCACAGTCATATATTTTATTTATTTCCCATCTTTGCGTTATTGTAAATTATGTCAGAGCAAACACGCAGCATGATTTTATTATTAATTTGGCTGTAGGAAGATGAAAAAAATAATAACAGAAAACGAAAACAAGCTTCTGAAGAACATACGAAGGCGAAGAAGATGAAAGATGATGCGCCACAAGGTTTGAGAAATTTTATCGATATCTAGTTTTCGGCAAACGATCATGAGTGAAATGACCACTATTGAAAAAAAGTTGTGGCAACAAGTTATGAGTCTTAATGCCAGATTAAATCTGAAAAATTGGGTGGGTGATGAAGATATTTGAAGTAAAGCTAATGTTGCTTAATATAGTCTGATACTGTTTATAAAATGCATGTAATAACGATTCACTAAATTTCCTTATTATTGTTTCCAATGATATACAATGCAATAAACTGTAACTTCATTAGAAAAACTATTTAACAGAATTTTTTTCATATTGCAATTTCAGGCGAATTGGTAACGATTATGTTCTCTGGACTTCCAGAAGGAACTGATGACAACACTTTTAATAAATTTTTAAAAAGTAAAGGAATACAGTGTCGGGCCTGCAGAGCTAACTATGGGCGATGGTGAGCATTTTATGCGTTTTGTATTATGACGCAAATTAGGGTGATATTTTTGGTCGATTCACTTATTTTCAAGTCATTATTATTTTATTTCACAGCAAAGCTTTTGTAGACATAAATGTGGACGATAAAGGAAAAGCACTCGTGTTGAATCAAGTTGAATGGAAAGGTAGTGAATTAGCGGTCGAAGAAGCAAAACCAAGAAATGATCAAGCTCGTAAGTCCGTTGTTAAATGTGGAACAGATATACCTTTTGTGTTTTGCTACTGCTCATAATGAAATTCTATGTTTTTTCTAAGTTTTAAAACATTTGGGTAATTTATACTGAACTACAATTAAAAATCTGAAATATTTGTTTGATAGGAGATGGAGGAAACACTTCAGATAGAGATTCAAGAACAATGTTTGTCCGTAACTTGCCGTATTCTGCATCAGAAGATGACTTGTATGGCGTTTTCAACAATGTCGAAGAAGTACGATTATTAAAAGATCGTGCGACTGGCCATTTCAAAGGGTACATATTGACGATAATGCTTTTTACGACATAGTTTTCGTGAACAACTTTCAAACAACCAAATTGTTTGTATTTCGCAGAATTGCGTTCGTTCAATTCAATGATCCAGAATCTTTGGAAAAAGCTATGAAAAATAAAGATGAATATGAACTGGAAGGAAGACAACTCCATGTTGATTACACAGATAGCAGAAGCTCAAAACCGGCGAGAGGAGGAGGTGGAGGTAGAGGAGGTCGTGGCGGAGGAGGTTATGGTGGCGGAGGAAGAGGCGGAGGATATGGAGATCGTAAGTTTTTTTATCCGACTCTATTCAAATAAACAATTGTATGAGGTATGACATATAATAACTTCTTGTTTCAGAACAAACGTCGTCAACTCTCTTTGTTAAAGGCGTAACTGAAGATATGTCTCAAGCGGATCTTTCAAAACATTTTGAAGGGGCTTCCGAAGTCAGAATGATAACTGACAGAGAAACCGGAAAAAATAAACAGTTAGTATTTTTCAACTTCTTTTGAGCTTTCACTTATAGGCACACTCGCTCAAATTCTTGACTAATTCGCTACTTTTTTGTCCAGTTTTGCCTATATCGAATTCGAATCAGAAAGTGATGCGACAAAATGCTACACATCAGCTAAAGGTGGAATAGAAGCAGAAGACGGTTCAACTACTTTTTATGTTGACTATGCTACTAAGAGACGAGAAAGCGGCGGCGGTGGTGGTAAGATATTTTGCTCCTTCAACTAATTAAGGAGTCTGATATGGCAACAATGATTTATTTTACCTTTTACTGCGAGTCATCCCTCATGCTGAATGATATCTCTTTAAGAATAAACTGAAAATAAGAACCATTTGTTGCTGAATTCACAACTCGTGATTGGTATATTGTTAATTTTCAATTATAATTCTATTTCTGAACACCAGTAAATTCCCTTTTGTGATTGCGATTGCATTAACCTTTCAATTTTACTTTCCAGGTCGAGGAGGCGGTTTCAGAGGTGGACGAGGTGGAGGCGGCTTCAGAGGTGGACGAGGTGGTGGGGGTTTCAGAGGACGAGGTGGCGGGGGTTACGGAGGACGAGGTGGTGGGGGTTTCGGAGGAAGAGGTGGTGGACGTGGAAGAGGGGGTGGTCGTGGCAGTTATGGAGGAGGTGGAGGTGGAAAGAAGACTACTTTTAATGACTCTGACTAGGCATTATGTTTCATCAAGTCTCTGGTCGAAAATATACATTGAGTCATTCTTAGCTGAACATGCGAGATTCTCCAGTCTTCAGATACGTGTGCACTGCCTGGTATTAATGATACACTGTAGCAGAGTCTGGTTTATCTGTAACAAAAACCCACTAATTTTTCTCCCTTGTAAATTGCTTTTTGTCTGTTTTATTACTAGTGAGAAGTCGTGACACCAACTCTGATGTGTGCCAACGTAAATGCTATAATATGTGTTTTGGGGTGTTCCTGAGTATCTTAGTTGTGATCGTTTAAGCGGTTTTCTTTTAAACTGATTTTCTTGGTTATCTACCTTACATTTAAATTGTATTGCGACTGCGCTGACTGTTTTGTGCATTCCTTCTGGCTTTTGTAAAATAAATTTGAATCACTTGGTATTAAGTTTATCTTATTCAGTGTCTTTTGTGGTTAGCGTTGATCGGGTGATAATCAATCCCAGCACCTGTGCATATACTTGAAATGTTCCCCTTGGTAAGTTACGCTCTGGGCTGAGTGTCCACAATGATTGTCGGCCTTAAAAGTTGAGAAGCCTCATAGTGCAGTTTTATTATATGAATCTGATGTAGTTGCGATTTAATCTGCAAGTGGTCTGTATACTCATAGCGGTCCTGACATTTGTAGGATATATGTTTTAGTTGGAATATAAAATTTTGGTTACACTGTTGTGGAAGATCGTTCTAAAATGCTCTGAGATATATAGCTTGAAAAAGATTATCATTATGCGAGGCGTTTTACAGTGAAGTTGTGTGTGATAGTGTGAAGGAATCGCGACCATGACCACTGCTTTCCGCTGGTGGTAGGCGACGATGGATCATTTCATCGATAAATAAATAAATAATACCTCTTTGGGTATCACACCTAGTACAACTTCATAAGGTTCGGTTTAGTACCCAACCGAGGATAATATTTGTTGTAAAAGGGTTCTTCCTACGCAGCTGTTTTTTAACCAATCATATTGACAAAAAAATTGACTCGGAACTTGAATGATTGCCACAGCAAAGGGCGAATATCTAATCAGCATAAACTCATACTTGAGTTCTTTATTTACGGTTAGTGGGTTAGTTACTCTTCGATCAAATATAGGCAATTGGTAAGTCATTTTCATGTTATTAATATTACGCTCAACGCAAACAGTTTACCGTCACATTCCCTGTCAAATGATCGAGCATTACTCAATTTAACTATCGATGTTAGAGACAAGGCCGTATTGAATTCGTTTACCTCAGTCAGTCAGGGGCATCAATAAATTTAAAAATTATACAAGCACGAGAAAAATCAGAGTTAAAGTTGGCAGACATGAGGCGGCGACTGTCAGACTGTGCGATGTGTGGGGTTCCTGCCGATTTAATATAAAACTTGGATGGAAGTATATGAAATGACATTTGCGAGGCATCTAAAGGTCCGTTCCGGTAGGTTTATGTATGCTTTCCACCCTGTTCCGGTAATTTAGGGTCCGTTCCGGTAATTAAAGGAACCGCGATGTGTGTGGTAGAACAGTCAGATGGCCGAATTTTGAAGGTGAATTTTTCAGATTTCATTTTCATTAAAAACGGGGTACTGATCCAAACAATACGGTACTGAAGTATCCAGTGATTTGCATGTCTCGTTGTAATAAAGTACAGCAATATTAGGCCCATTGATATAAATTTGTTATCCAGCTGAGTGGGAGTGGTGACTCCTCTGCGGCCCATAGGCCGGGGGCACGGCCCATCGAATTGGGCCTCGGCCCATCAGGCTATGGGCCGCGGCCAATCAAGTTGTGTAAAGAAACTATTCACTTGGCTAACATAGACAGTCCCCGAACTCATAATACAGTAATAGAACTATAATGTAAAAAATCTGAATTTTTTTGTCCTAACCCTAACCTGGTACACATACTACAGGAGTATATTTTTTTGGTTTGAATATTGACAATTTGGTAAAAATTGAAAATTTTGTTAAGATAATTGAATTTTTCCTGATGGGGCCGTGGCCCATAGCTTGATGGGCCACGTGGCCCAATTAGATGGGTCGTGGCCCCGGCCCATGGGTCGTGGAGGAGTCACCACTCCTGTAGATCCAGCTTCACTTCACAAGAGACATTTGTTTGTCTGTTTGTGGTTCTGGACATAGGCCTACCTGCTACCTGCATACCATACGGTTGTAGTAACATTCAAAAATATTGCATGCTGGTCGGTTAACGCTACCCATCCTTACAATATCATCATTGGAATGGATACAGTTATTTTAAAATGAACTGATCGAAAATGACAAAAGAACGCGGTACCCCACTCCGTGATTTGTCCATAGACTGTTATGAAACATTCAATCTATTTAACGACTATAACGAGCTTGTTTTTTAGTAATGATTTTTTGTCACCGTGTTGTTTTTGCAATGTAATTGAACTACAGAATCACCATTTTACGTCAATGAGTGTTTTTTATTCCATATTCTTGTAGGAAAAGCACTGTTGTTATACACGTACACATTTCACGTAACATTGATTTAAAAGGTATTGCCCGATTTCACATTGCCCGATTTTACATTGTGCTTTTGTTTTATTGTGTTCTTTTGACTGTTCTTGGTGAACGGGCCCATGGGCTACTTGTTCCTTTTTAACTTTCTTATTAAGTTATGCTCGTCCTCCAGGTCCTCTGCATTTTGTTTATCCGTTTGTTGTTGTTTTGTTTCTTTCAGAGTGACCGAAATAAAATTGATTGAGGTTCATGCATCTGAAATAAATAACTGGCCAATTAATTTCATACCCGATATGGACTGGTAACCAAACGAGAGTTCGTGGTTCACTATATGATGAAACTGTCTTATCAAATTTCCGTTTCCATAGGATGAATATGTAAATCCTATCCTAATACAGTAATACTGTAATAGGAGGCGCTTATGATGGGTTATAATAGTTTAGCTTTCTCGACATACTGACATAACTCAATTTATACAATTATCAGATACTGAAAATCTTTATATATGCTAGGTAATTCAGTAATTATAATCATGAACAGTGATCAAAGAAAACTTGTGAAATATATTCAGAGCGGTTCATTGCTAAAAATCAAATCCCTGTTGGAGAAATTGAATGGAAAAAGAGAACATAAATTCAATCTAGGTTTCAAAATTGGCGATTTGAACCGTACGCCACTTCATATTGCTTGTCTTCTGGGTGATGACGCTGTTGTCAGATGTCTTCTTAAATATGGCGCTTCAAGTGATAGAAAAGACAAAAATAATGATACTCCTGTGCATATTGCAGCTCAGTTCATTTGTGACGATGGGAATTATCAGGATTACAAACTACTTATTGAGCCTCTGATTCAAAAGCAACCTGAGCTTTTGTCACAAAAGAATAAAAAAGGCAAAACACCATCTGAAATTCTTCTACAAGCAAGAGAAAAATATAAAATGTTCTGCAAATTCGATCAAGAAGAGGAAGATCTCGTACAAGAAAAAGCTGAACAGGAGGAATCATGGAATTCTAAACTTCTCCAAGAAACAGAGTCTGAATATAATGAACAAACGAAAGGTTTTTCATTTTCTTCAAACATATCTTCATTCTCAGATGACGACTATCAAAATTACGATCAATGGGCTGGAAGAATATTCAGGGATTATCAAAGAAAAAATATTGGAATGGAAAACAAGAAAAGGCGAAAAGAATTTCAGAGCAGAAAACGTAGAGAAGAATTTGATGATGTTTCTGCACATCTACGTAAAAACAATAGTGAATATGTATCTCAGGTCAAACGAATGAAAACGGAAGTTTTGGCACAAAAACGAGAACGTTATGAAAAGAAGATGACTTCTCTGAAATCTCCGAGTGATGATAAACTCAGATTCCGAGATATACCTTGGCCTTGTCAAGGCAATGCCACGGAAATGGTCGAAGTTTTATTGAGTGGACAATCTGTTGATAGTTCCAGCAATGATAGAAAACGTGCAATAATAAGACAATTGGTATTATGGCATCCTGATAAATTTGAACAAAAATGCGGAGAGAGATTGAGTGAAAAAGATCGCGATAGAATACTTGACACTGTTAAGGCAATTGCGCAAGAGTTGAATAAAAATTTAGAATCTTTAAAAGCACAAGAAAGTTAATGAAAGTGAATTTGTTAGTTTTGTTTTTGAAAACATAAAAACAGCAATGCCGTGTGCATTTTCGATATATCTGGAAATAATTCCTAAACATCGATCACATACCAGTATTTATTACTGTATAGCTATACTGAACAGAATATTTGTTATTGCATATATTGGGTGAAATATTTAACAATAACAATAACACTTTGTTTCTTGGTATATTTTTCACAATGATTGACTCCATTTTTACAATTATGGTTTTGTTCACATTTCAATTCAACTACTTATAATTGAACATCAAAGCAAACAAATATTAATTGTGCTTTCTGGACCAGATATTAGATTAGAAATAACTAATTTGCAATTGCATCATGGGCTCAGTAAGAATGGTAATTTTAAATGCTGATGCATATTATTCCTGTCTCACACATGCTTTTTCTAATGAGCAAGAAGAAATTATGGGTTTGTGTATCGGAGAAACCAAAGATACGGTGAATGGTGTTTGTTTTTATATCTTTATTCCAAGTAATAAAACACTGCAAGCAAAAATGAATTGCATGATAACCTTCGATAAAATACACATGTTTATGTTGTCAAAAAAGCCATTGACGTGAATTTCAAGACAGCTGTGAACCAAATTGTTATGTTAACAACTTCATCATATGTTACATCAAAGCAATCTTCTTGTTCATGATCATCTTCCAACAGGTGGAACTCAACTATGGCCTGTGCTCGGGGTAGTGAGCCATTGTCCCACCCAGCGGAACCTATTAACAGGGCCTGTAAGAGGCTTACCGGCTACCGTACTATCCATTCTTTTTGAACGCCTTTTAATTTTTACCGGCACCATTGTGTTTCCGACGTTGTTTTATGTGACTGATTTTTACGAGATCTATATGTATGGAAATCACACGGATCTAGAAAATCATGAATAAAATGATCTCACGTTTGGCATCAAGTAACCAGCTTACAATTAAGCACTGCAAGCTCAACTTCGAGTTGCCATGAATCAATGATTTTTTTGGTTGCCTTCTCAGTGGCACCATAATTTGCATTTTGGCACATTGCGATAAACAGTTGCACGCCCCCTGATCTGGTGTCCTAACTTTATTTTTCTCTTGATTGTAGTATAGTTGTGATTTTTTACAAAATATCTTACTTTTACAGATACTTGGATGTGAAGTGCATATAACATCAACTTTATCATTACGAAGATTGGATAAAAGAAAAGACAGAGTTGAAATATCAGTTGAACAACTTTCCAATGCATCTTCGAAAGCAGAAATATCCTTTTGCATTTTTATATGTAAATTCAATGTTAGATGTTTTTGAAATGTCAGACCACTATTTCAATATTATTATAGTTTTGTGTTAATAATGCCTTTTCAGCATACTATTATATCCTTAACTGTTACGAATTTATACGAACTAGCCAGAAAAACTGGACGACCTTTACGAATTATTGGTTGGTATCATTCACATCCACACATTACTGTTTGGCCTTCACATGTTGGTGAGTATATTAGCTTTACGTATGTCATTTCTTTTGTAAAGTTTTTGTGAATAGCTTTTCTTATATTTGATCTGTTGTTTAGATATTGCGACACAAGCAGATTATCAAACAATGGATGGTACTTTTGTTGGATTGATATTTTCATGTTTTAATGAAGGAAAATCGAATGAAGTGAGTTACAGAAAGACATTATACTTACTTATGTAGGAGGTATAATTATAATGCCTTTTTTCCATCAACTTCTGCCTTATCAAAATTTATCTTAGCATATTAAAAAGGACAAGTAAGTTCAAGAAACTGTATTTACAATGCTTTAAAACTATTTTAGCATTCTATACATCTGACATGTTTTCAATCTGTAACAACATCAGGCTGGGATTCTGCACCGTAAGTTATTTTTATGTGAAAATTTTACTTCTCTTTTTTTCCGAATTCATAGACGAATTAAGCATTTATCATTGAGTGATTTTAACATCAACTTGATGAAGTAATTTTTTTTTGTTTCTATATGGAAAAACTGCTTTTGTGGAAAGCATAATGTAAAATTATTGTCCTCCCAGACATGAAAGAGTTGAGATCCCAATATCAATTGCACCATGTAGAACTATCAGTGATGCTTGTATGGATGCATTGAAAGAATTACCGAAAATATTGATGCATGAAGAAACAGATACATATGAGGCTGCAAAGTGAGGAAAATTTGTTTCAACTCTAATCAAAAAATGGTTTGAGAAAGCTGTTGGCAGAATTGGTTATCATAGCATCATTGCATCATAGTAATATATTTCATGAATATACTACATACAGTTTCCAAATGAACTTAAGAATACTCACTCTGTTTTGAATAATCATATTTTAAGTTTGACTATCCATCTCGATATTGGACCCTTGACACTTCAGTGATTCCTTCAGAAAATTGTTTCGTTCCTCAACACAAGCAGTGAATTTATGTTGTTCGCTACTCTATTTGTAACAAGGAACTTAATCTTACTGATTTAGTATGTTGTACCAAATTTATTACACATTAACTATAAGATGTTTTGTGTGGCCTGTAAGATAGGTATCGCTACGAAGTTTCACTAAAGTAGCTTGGCCCGGCGCATTGACAGCCAAATTATTCTGTTGGTGATAAATTTAGTTTTCTATAAACAAGCTGAATTCAGTAGACTCAACTTCTCAAGTCCATGCATCTAAAACAGATAAATAGTTAAATATTTGTATATCTGATTTATACTGGTAACTAGTGAGAAGCCGTGGTATGCCATATGATTATGCCATTTTATTGACTTTCCTTTCTCCGAGATATGAGAATCCTATCCTAGTAGTTAATTGTTGACTGATACTTTAATTACATATATCGCGTTTTATTTTTTAGTAAATAATTTTTTTTTATGTAGCTCTTCAGATGGAGATTTTATGACAAGATTATATAATGGAAGTGTTCATGTCCAAGCACTCTGTAAATTGAACAGCAATCTGTTGTTGCCAATGTTGAAAGTCACAGAGAGATCTACAGCACGAGCTCAACTCAAGTTGGAAGAAACTGAAAAGGATATCGAGGAACTAAAAAAGCGAATTACAGAATTGAAGCTTGAACTTGGAGAAACTTGAATGGCAAGCCTGATTAGTATATCGACCTTGATGATCACTATATAAAAAGACTTTTTGTGAGACTAGTACCACTGTGAAATAGATTTTAGTTAAATTGACTAATGTCTTATGCAACAAATTGAAAAAGCCATTGATTTTTGGATACCAGTGGAAAATGGTCATGTGATGAAATGAAAAAAAGCAGAGGCATATGTCAAAGCAACGTATCTGAATCTTCTTAAAGACATTTGGAAGAAACGTAATAACTATTGCTGTCACTTTCCTGAGCATTGGTTTCCAAACCTCAGCCCAATGATTTAATATGACCCGCCAAACTTGATGACATACTTTAACATGTTATGTTTTTTTCTTGTGTTTTAGATCCCGCCAATTGTTACATCATTATCACAGTTTAATCATGTGTATTTCTGTAACAGTTCTGTTCAATATTGCCAACTGTGGTATAGCAATCTAAGCCCAATCAGCAGAATGTAATATGAAAGAGATAATCTGCACGAGCAGAAAAGTGTAACAGCATGTAGTCTTTAATTTTTCCCAGTGGAAACTTCACATTGCCATATAATGAATAAAGTTTATTTCGTTAACAATCTTTGTACTGATCTTAACAATGTTTTAGATGAGCGTTTCAGCACCACATGTCTCTCAATAATAGTTTTGAGAATGGTAGAGGAGGCTGTTGTTATCATACCCTTCATCTATGCACATCTTGCAAGGGTTTGAGATGTTTTACTATGACTCTATTTTATGGATTGACGCTGTTGTTATCATACCCTTCATCTATGCACATCTTGCTAGTTTGGAGCCTTCTTTGGACAGAAGGGTTTGAGATGTTTTACTATGACTCTATTTTATGGATTGACATAAGTTTTGACTATTACTTGGGATAACTTTTGCGAAATCTGGATCGACTCTTAAGAAATGCTAATGAAGCATTATGACGAGTTAAGTCCCAATCAACTACAATTTGAGGGTGTGGTATGAGAGGCCTAATTTCTAGTGGAGACCAATTAGATTAATGATTATAAAGAGCAGAGATAATTGTTCGCAATGTTACTTATGAAGGCTGTCTGTCTTCTGAGAGTAACCCTAACCTACACCCCCCCTGAATACTCATTAAAAGGGTGAATCTGGTACCTCAATTAGGAACAACACTCCCCTTATCCGCTTTGATGATTGTGCTCTTCCGAACAATATTTTTTCCATTGGAGCGGTTTTCGGTTTTGGGAATTCTCATATCCCTGTTTTAAAAAATTGGTTTACACATTTGCTCATTGTTGTGTTAGTAATTTAGTCTTGTCCGTGTCATTTCTCACAATTCTACAATGAGAATAGTGTAACAGGTCTTGTTTTCGCTACCCAATCGAAAAAGATTCCTGTTAGACAAGTAATTTCATTTATTATTGCTTGCAAGATGATTATTCTCAAGTTAAAACCTCAAAATCAAACAATACATTTATAATAAATATGAATAAAAGTATTGCAACTTCCATAAAATAAAAACGAGGAATTAGTTATTTTTCCTTGCTACCAAATGTGTGATGATAAATGGTAATATTTCGAGGCGTCTCTTTATGCTGATTCTAAGAATTAATAATTGATGAAAAAGAATGTTAGTAAGAATATATACTTCTGATCTCCTAGTTAGAATAAAGTTATCGGTGCAAGACATAGTTCAATAATGGAATGGGACGATAAAAATAAAGTTATACAGTCGATTCAGAGGCAAGAATTTTATCAGCATCATCAATAATGGTATGACTGTTTGAATTTGGTGTTGAAGTTTGTGTGTCGGAGGAATCTTTCGATTCATCAAGAACATTCTTCGATGTAGTCTGCTCCTCCTGCGGCTGAGCTTCAAATAAAGGCGATTTCATTCCATCTGGTGATGATAAATCATGGCTTGCCGCACGATGAGAAAAATCTCGAAATACATCAGTGACGAGACTGTCAGCTGAAAAAAAAGACATATTTAATTTACCACCATTCTTTCTATTCACCGGTAATTATCAGAAAATGGATTTTTATAGAATTTCTCAAGACATTTGGGGGAACGATCTTAAACAATTACCGTATTTAGTCTTCTGCATGATATCATATAGATTTATGAATAAATGAAAATACTTTTGAAAGAATGTAATATCCTACTTTGCACAGATCCTGGATCAGTATCAAGCATTTCATCATTCATTTGCTTCAGTCGAATCCTGAAAAAATAAACAAATCAATGAACATATAACAGTGAAACGCATAAAAATGTGTTGATATATTTAATCTAGTTATTTGTGTTAGTGTGCAGCAGGACTCTTGCATAAACAAGTAAATAGCATACTTTCAATTGTATTTGCTTTCTAAACAAAATTAAAATGATTCAAACGTTTTAGAAATAAGGGACAATGTATAATGATTTTTCATTTTGTATAGTAAATTGAAATTGGTAATGAAATGTGACTTACAATGTAACAATATCTGCATTAGCAGCATCGATAGCAATTTGTAGTGGAGTCAAGTTGTCTTTATCCATGATATCATGACGTGCTTTTCTTTTCAAAAACTGACAAGCAACACCTGGAATAGAATTGCATATGAGAACGCTCACGGCTAAATAGTTTGTAAAAATCTAAATATATGATCATACGCCATGATTGCGACACCACAAACATCTTCGTATCCCAAATATCAAATTTTCAAAAATTATTCAATCGCTTTCCATACACACACTACTATGCTAAAATTCCGTCATAAAGCTTACAAACAAACTGTCTTCGTATTCCTAATATCAAAGTTATCGAATTCCTTGTGAAGAGCGAAGGTTAAATTTGTTCCAAAGAATTTAAAAAAGTGTGAAAAAGTCTTGAACTGTACCAAATTATGAAGAATTTATCGTAAGTATATTGACAACAGTGCTCTGCAAATGACATGATTTTATTAGTTAAACTTACTGTTGTAAATAAAAAGGTGCATTTACACCAAATTTTGCATACCTGTATTATTATTAATTGAAGCATAATGGAGTGCTGTTCTTCCATCTGAATCTACAGTGTTTATTTTTGCTCCATTTATCAGCAGAAACTCGCAAGCACGAATTGAAGCCTGGAATAAAAACATTCATATTGTACAAATTATGGACACAACTAAACAAATGAAGTCAGGTAGTGTTTCTGCAAAAAGAATTTATCTGAACCTTATGTACAATTCCCAAAACTCCCATACACTAATTCTAATTAAACTGAATGGAATTTTCTTCCTCAAAGTTATAACGAGGAGCTAAAGGAAAATTGAGTGGCTTTCACATCTATAATTTTCAACACTTACCGTAATACAAATGATTGATACTTTTAAACTTAATTTGTATTTTTAAAATTTTATATTCAAATCTGAAACCCTTGTAACACAGTTTTGAGTCCCACTTCTGTAAAACCGCATTTGGGCTGATATTTCATGGCAGTAAACACCTTAACGCTAAGAAGCGACTGTCACACTATGTTTTCATAGTTGAGGTCATTGTGATTTTAATTCAATATATCACCAACATGGTGAAAAAATAAGTGCTTACTCCCATAGCTGCTTGCATCAATGGTGTTTGTTGGTTTTCATCTGGATTTGCCCAATTGATATTTGCAGCATTTGCTTTTGCAAGAAGCATCACTGGTAGATTCCCCAGTTTTGCAGCTCTGAATACAATATCAATATCACTCGATGGTGAATTTACATTTCAAGGAATAGGATTTTCGAAGTATATAGTGAAAAGACAGCTTAATCATATTATGACGAATCTTGGGCTTTGTTACGATATCATAGCATGCTCAATAGGCAATCGTCCTCAATAGGATTTTTTAGTAAATTGACACCTGGTGACTACACTTCGAGGAATTCAAAACACCACTCTATCTCCCGTCTACCAGAAAACCAGATTTAAGGTACTCCCGTACTAAATATGTGTACCAGGTTAGGGTTAGGCCATAATTTTATTCCAATTTTCTTTATTTCAGTTCTATTACGAGTTCGGGTACTGTCTGTGTTAGCCAAGTGAATATCCCCCTGCCCATAGGCTTCAGTCATATTACACAACTTGACGTAAAGGGGCGAACAAAATTAATTACCTCCATATTGGTACACATACTTTTGGAGCGTCAGATTTAAACCACAAATACTCTGCATATACAAGCCTACTGCCTATTCAGAATGCTTAGTTTCTGATGGGACAAATTCAAATTTCTATTCGACTTATTTAAAAACATGACTACAAAATCAGTAAGAACTTGACAAACTAGCGATTTTTAGCCGAATGGTAAAAACATAACATTCAATAAATTATGATAGATAGCTATTAACTTATCTTACTTATAAAATAGAAGGTTAGCATTGAGGTTTGCAATGTCTTCAACATCTGAATTTTCTACTTCTGTGTCTCCATCAGGATCTACAAGAAGATTTAACAAAATAAAGATTATAATTTGTGTTTGAAAAATAGGAAAAGCAAAATGATTTCCCATTGGTAAAATCATTCAGAATTTTAAAAAAATTTAGTTTAGAATTTGGCTTATTTGTTGAAAGCGCCCATTTCTGGACTGGGGCGGTGTGAGCGCATCGTTCTAAACGTAGCACTTCGTTTTCCACCGTACCTCTGATTACCGAGGTACGGCAGGTCCTGATTCCATGTGGGGTTAAATATGTGCAAGATTGCTGGACTTCGCGCCTCCGTGGGGTGGTTAACGTAAACGCAGGTCGGTTCGGCTTCCTCTACCATCACTCCATTGACCGAATATTTGGTAATGGTGTCGCTGTGATGAACTATAATTAACAGCAATAGATAGCAAGTAACAATTAAGGATTACACTGTTCTATTGTGTTACCCCCCTTACATTTAGTTATTCATCAAACTTAAAATGACAGAAGTACTTCATACCTGGAATTTTGCTGATACCAAAGACAAAAACATCAGGTTCATTCTTTTTATCTCCACTCCCATCTGAAAACATTGGTTACAATGTAAATTATGCATATGAAGCAATAAGGTATCTGATTTAAATTACATACATAAAATCTATCATAAATTGAAATTGGGATTTCAAAGAAAATAGCAATAGAATAGTTACAATAACTGGTGATTATGAATTTATGTCTGATCTGAAAACTTCAGGATTTCTCAGTGTTTGATAAATCTGAACAAATCAGAAAATTTGAAATTCCTTCCATTATTCAATTTCTTGTCCATAAGTGGTTTTCTGAGGAATAGCTATCCTCGACTGCAGATGAGTCACCTCCACTCCTTTATTTTGTTTCTATTTTTTATGTTTAGATTCCAAATTTTTACTAAATTTGTAATAAAATGAACTAAATAAAAATGAGTACTTCATATATTCTGTGATACAAAACATAAGTGGACACTTCGAATATCTTTAGGTCAGAACATACCAATGGCTACTTCATTATCTAATGCAGGTGTAGATAATTCATTGTCATCATCTTGTAAGATCGATTCTGCTTTCTGTAAATATTAATAATAACAATACATAACGATTGCTATCATAGGAACTGGCCTGTAATCGACTACCTTGCACTGGTTCACACATTTGAATCTTGTGAAGAATAATTATGTGTGAGAGTATTGCTGGACTCTTCATTGTTGTGGGGTGGTTGTCGTAACCGCTGGTTGATTACAGGTTTTACACCATATACTGGTTGCCGTACAAGAGACAGGTGTTCATCATTAGATTAAGCTGTCTTTTCACCTTTTTTCTCCCTAGTATAAATATGAAAATTTAAAAAATCTTAAGATCAGAATATAGAACATTATCTGGATTTGGATTCATTACCTGATTTCATTATTCTTTATTCCGAAAACGAAATATAAATGTAACTGAGGCAAAAAATTTTTACAAAAATTTTTACATTTTACAAAAATTTTATTGCAAAATTTTTATAAAAAAAAAACGCTATTCCTGTTGTTTTTCATTCTTGTTTCCAAAAACAAAGATGAATGCAACAGCGGCATAAATTTATAAATAAAAAATGTTTGTGAAAGTTTTATATAAAATACACTAGCCTGTCGTTTTTCTCTTTTTCGTCTCGGTTTACTTTTCCGTACTTTCCAACGTTTTAACTTCTTCCCTGGACTGATGGCTTCATTATTTTGATCAGGTAGTAACGAGCAAAATTCTCTTCTGACATATTTGGCTTGAATAAAACTTAATCTATCCCGACTGTTGAGAAATAAATAAGAAATAGGTATTGCACATAAATTAGTAATATTCAATTATTTTCATATTTACATATTAATAGAGAAAAAGATATAATTATTTAATAGTAATTTAAAATAAATGAATAGTAAAAACTATAACAACATAAACAGCAGAATTTTTAGTTTAGTTTCATTCATTCTTGCAACGGCCTTCTGTTAGTTTTTTTGGTTGTGTCATTCATGAATTAAGTAAAACTTATACATAATATATTGAAAAAAGTCAAAACTAATGAGTTGCAAATATTCTAAAATTTAGAAAAAAAAATAAGAGCAGAGTTTTATTTTAAAACAGAAGGTAGATATAGGGCTCCAAAAACCAAAATATATCGAATGAAAAACTTGACTCAGCAAGAGAGAGAACGATTTATTTTTTCATCAATCAGAAAAACGAGAATTAACACAATAATAAAAATATACAACAACATAAGCATGGAGGGAGCGATACGACTATACCGTCGGTTATCAGAGTCAGTTCCCCCCCAAAATCTGTGAAATGGATAAACTGTGAATAGACAATATGAATATTGCTCACTTGGAACATCCTGGTTTAATTAGTTTATGACCAATATTTGCTTCGTATATTTCATTGACTCTGTCATTACCAAGTGATTGCATTATCTGAAATTAGAAAAGATAAATTTAATATTTCATCTTACTTTATCGATAAATCTTGAAATTGTCAAAGACTGGCATATTAGGAAAATATTATTACGGTTAACTGTTGATATATAGCACTTTATGCTTATAATTAACATATACTGTCTATTTCAGCGATCTCAGAAATTTAATTTCCCATGGTAGTTTGTGAGATAATGCACAAATTGTAAAAAAACTACAAATTTCTCAATGATTGGCATGTTTTTTGCTGATGCAAAGAAAACGGAACATCATCCCAGACTTTCGATGAAACACACATAACTCGGGTGACAGTATAACCCACCGTACCCACACGCCAAAAAATTTATCCAGATCGGTCTGGTCGTTTATACACTGGACTGTACAGTAAAAAATAAATCAGAGATATATAAATTGAACCTACTAACTATGCTGCAAAGTAGTGCTGGTATAAGTAATAGTTTTAATTTTAAACTTACAGCGATAACTTCTGGCTCCCAGCTATCAAGAGTCAGTGAACGAACTTTCGAAACATGAACTCCTAAACTTCTATGAGCACCACTACATTCAATACATAGAACAATACCAAGATTCACACTTGCCCAACGTGCTTCTAAAAACAGAAGAAAAAAATGTAAACAATTTTTCAACATTGAACAATGATAGTTTATGATTGCAATTTGCAATGGCCGTTTAAATCGAGCTACGGGAACAACCGAATTGATGACACAGGTTATAGAAGATCTCTAGTACAAATCCATATCCAGCATCTCACACCGCCAAACGAGAAATATTTTTGCCCTTCCCAAATTACTAGTTATTTACATGTCAGTGCTGCTTCATGCTTTTTATCATTTTTGGACTTAACTAATTTAAATATACAGAGTTTTATAATTTGTCCATCACTTGTGATTTAATTAAAAACCTGAAAGATAAAAACATGCAAAAAAGGATAAAGCAATTTTCTATAACAATACATAAAAAAAATTGCAAATATTACCTTGTTTTTTACAATCTGCACAATATGTATTTCCAGGAATGTCCATTATTTTTTGCAACAATGATTGTTTGTTGTTTGTTTGTAGGAGCGAAGAATCACTTTGAGAATTCCGAACTGGAATATGTGAAAAAAATTATTCTTAAAGGCAAGAGATGTTCAAAGCACACGAATATTATAATTTTCTTGCAATAAACAAAAAAGCAAACACTTCTGTAAGTAGCAGTCCTAAAACCAAAATCAATAAATCCATTTGCGGTAGACTAAGAGCCATGCATTAGTTATGAATTATATATGACTGTTAATATACTTTATAGAGAATTTGAAGATTATGAACACATTGTACAACTACAACAAAAGTATGTGTTAAAAACAAGCACTTAGGACTTAATTCTTAGGAATTAAGGTACTCTTGTAGTATGTGTATCAGGTTAGGGTTAGGCCATAATTTTATTCCGATTTTCCTTATTTTAGTTCTATTACGAGTTCGGGAACTGTCCGTGTTGATCAAGTGAATATAACCCCTGCCTATAGACTCCTGTCCCTTTACACAACTTGATTTAAAATAGGCGAACAAAATTAGTTATCTTCATATTGGTACACACACTTCTGGAGCGCTGAAATTAACACTTGAAAATGTTACAATATACAATAAATACTTCAGAACAATTTTAAATCCAGGCATGCAATGAAAGGCGCTGAATACACAATATCACGATTAAGCTTAAAACCAATTGTTACCCACAGTACTCGAGTGCTCAGAAAAATAGTGAAGTGAAAAAGACAAATGTGCTAATCTATTTAACTTCTAGTTGAAGTATTTCGTGAAGAACATTATTACAAATATGAAGAAGAAAAAGAATTAATTCAGCATTGTAGATTTCATTTTCTTTCTAGTATACTACATACTTGTGCTTTGGGTTTCTCTCACACCGGAAGAATTTGAAGCAGTCGGAGAATTTTTAAACCCATTATTTGATTGAGATGGTGACTGCAATGGAATGAGATAAATTAGAAACAGGTAGTATTATAATTTATATATACTTGAGGTGGCCAACCTGCTTTCGACCATGATCAACTAATCGGTAATAAGTTCACACAAAAACGAATGGGTACTGAATATGCAGATAACTGCCTACACGCATATAAAAATTCCACCGCTGTTATGTGTATATTGTATTCTGCTCATGTACAGCACTGTATTCTTCCTGTTTTAAAACACACAACAGATGCTATATAAAACTGGTTCCAAGCAAATTTTTGTGATATGTTGTTACTAAATTAACTGAATATCAGACATGATCGACTACTCGAGACAGGGCGATTGACCGGCCAATCGCGATCTACGTATTGGCCACCCCTGAGCCTCGATATATACAATGTGCTGAAGTAATCATTGTATAGGCCTAACTATGCAGGATGAAGATCAGAGTAACCTCAATTACTAAAAAACTCCCAAAATAATTTGGTCATAACACTGCAAATCTCTCCTACCAACATATTTCAAAATTTTCAATCACCTCATTTTGTTGTTTGAAAATTTCATCACCATCTCCTGCTGATGACTTGTAAGCTTCCTGAATACTGGACTGTAATGGTATTTCTTGTTATAAATGGTCATTATAGGCTTGTATATAATTCAAATGTATGAATAAAATTTACTATATAGTATACATATATAATCTAAGCATTTATTAGATTATAGATACAAACAATCACCAATGTCTTGAAGAATTATGAAAATTGATAATTAGGAAGAAGTTGCGCTTGTATCAATTTCACACGAACCTAAATTGAAGTTGGAAAATTCATTGAAAAAAGATTTGCTAACAATTGTACAACACAAAATGCGAGAGCACAATGTGACATAAAATAATATTGGGTAATCAACAATTACTGATAATGCAGTAGAGATTATTTTCATTTCATATTCACAGATATTAAGGATTTTATATTGTTTTAAAAAAGAAAATGATTTCAATTTATAAACTCAAATCTATATAGAACAACACCTGAATAGCGTGAACCCAAGCCATCCTGACATCTTCAGATTCAGCTTGTAAAAGAAAACTTTTATTCGGAGAAATAACTTCAAAACAAAATCTTCTTTCCACATCGTCAGCTACTCTTATATTACATAATCGAAGGTCATCAACAACAACTATTGGATCTTCTTGATGGTGGGTCTTAAAAGAGAAAGGAGAAATACCAGCAGGAGATATTTAAATTTGAAAAAATGTAGCAGCGAGTGTATACACCATCTTTAAGAGATGGAAATCTGAAATCGATTTGGTTATTATTTCAAAAAAAAATATTATTTTGAAAAAAAAAATTGTTTGTTAACAACCACCAAAACTAGAACAAAAATTTCAGCAGAACGATCGAAACGATAAATAATTCAAATCTAATTACCTTCAATTTGCTTTGATATAGTAATTTGTTGTTGTGAATAGAAAACCATCTCCTGGAAACAAAGTATGGAAACATAGTCTTAATGAATCAGTGGAAATTAGTTAATATCTGATACAAATTTAATAATATGATTGCAAAAAGTAAACCGAAATACTCATGAAGTAGAACTGACAATTGGTATGGCATGTCGATTGACGGAAGAAACAAATTGCTTGAAAATCAAAATTTTGAATCAGTGTCTCATGATCTTGATTTCTAAGTCATTTAATTTTGAATTTTTCAACAATGATGATAAAAATCTGTTTGGTAACAGACAAAAATTTTTTTTTGTTTTTTTTACCGCACTGAAATGCACTTTGATATACAGTATAATGATTTGCATGTGAACTGTTATTCATTTTTAATTTGACAAAATATTTTTCAATGTTCAATATTTTCAACAATAGAATTTTAAAATCCAAACTCATCATGAATTCAAAAATTGTAATAATCTTGAATGACAGACAGATTTCAAATGAGAATTATATTATGAGAAAATCAGATAGAAATTGGAATTAAAAGACAAACTGGACGAGTTCATATTACGTTAGAATAATAATTTAAAAAATCATTCAGACATGAGTATTCAATTTAATTTTGTAAAAGGTGATTTTCAACTATATCTATCTAGGCTATAGCAGCACATACATAACAGCCAGCCAGTAGCATTGCTTACCAACACCACCTCCTGAAATACAATTAAAACAAACACAAAGCAATAATAATTGTATGAACAAGGTAGTGTATGTATGTATAGTGGGCGGTAAACGGTTTTACATATGTGTATTCAGGGATGGCCAAAACTGAATAATTTGGTATTTAGAATGCATTCTAAAATAATCTTTTTGATTATGAAATATTGAACATATTCTGAAATGGGTCAGTTCCACAAGAGAAACTCTTTAAGACAATTAGAAATTCTTTGAAATTAAATGTTGGTTATGCAGAATATGCAGTGAGATTAACATTGTTCCAAATAGTATTCGGTGTTTCACTAATTTTATGTCTATCACAGCGGTTCCATACGGGGGCAGTTGGAGGGGGTCGCAATGATAGAAGAAAAACTGATTTCACTTTTACTTAACAAGAAACTCCTTGTTCTTCCTAGTTTCATAGCTCGATAAGGTCATTTCACAGTGTGTTTTCACTTTGTTGAGCTTGAATTGTTTGAACATAATGGGATTTGGAATCTACCAATCAAAATAACACTCTAAATACCATTAGAATGATAAACAGTGTGGGATGGGCATAGATGCAAAAAGAATCCGAGCCATCAAGGGTTGGGAACCACTGGTCTATCATGAATTAATAAATGCTAAAAAATACATTTTCAAATAAAAATATTCTAAGATATTCTTAAAATCAAGAATTCACTAAATCGAATAAAACCATTTTCGAACGTATTCAAATATTCGATCGGTTTTGGACATCCCCGAGTGTATTTAAAGCAGAAACAATATGCTGAAGCAAGGTTTAAAAGCAGGTATGACAATGCCACAACGCAACCTCATTACTATACTAATATAATTGCATAAATTTTTCGCCCACTCTATAAATATATCACAACAATGCACGAAGAAAATGCCAACCTACCTACTCCAAGTTTTGAAAGCATTACTTGCTCTTTTAAACAAATATCCTTCAATAATTCTTGCAGAACTCGAGTCTAATTGTTTTATATACATGCTGTTGTCACCTGCCTAGAAATTAGAAGATGAAAATAGGTAAATTAGAAATTGGAATAAAATATCATATTGTATTATTATCTTAAAGCTGGGTACACAATAACTACACATACAGAAGTGAATGAAGTACACTTCCCATGGTTCATGTATTATTTATATATACATAACTAAAATATGTCAACTGAACGTGACCGATTTAGATTTACTTTTACAGAATAATAAAATGGAATAGAATTTAAGAGTTATTCATCCAAAATAATGACATGAGTAACATTTACGAGGTAAAAAGGAATAACTATAAACAGGGATGGTGAAAAAACAATTTTTTGATCCTCTTGTCTGATGGCTTAAAATTCTCAATTTTTAAATAAAAATGTTCTAAATGATTCCTAAATTCAAAATCTACTGTATTGAATGCCATGATTTTAAATGCATTCGAATCTTCAATTCATTTCGGACATCCCTGACAATTATTTATATGAAGTAAAGATGGGAACAAAACATGGAAATTTATTCTCAACCTGTACCATTTATTACAAATATACTATGATCACATATTACTAGAACTAATTATATTGCTCATCGTGTACTCCTTTTTTATAAACACTTTTAGATACTCCAGCAGTATGTGTACCCAGTGGCGCAACCAGGCCGTTTTCAACGGGGGGGGGGGTCCGACCGGAATTTACACAGTGCAACCACGACGTAAGTCGCAACGCCACTAGGTGTCGCCCCGCTGACCACGATAAATTGCTCATGGTTAAAAGGGAAACGCCATCGATTAAATCCCAGCCTTTCGCTTACCTTGCACTCGTTCATTAACGGCGCTTCGCTATGTCTTGCACCTCGTGGGTAGCAAAACGCCGTTCATTACATTCCAGCGAATTGCTAACGAAAAGCTGTTAATTATTTTCAACGTTTTCCTCGCTTTGCGCCTCGTGGATAGTGAAACACGGCTTGAATAAATTCCAGTGTTTCCCTCGTGCCGCGCCTTGCTCGTTGGGTGAATTCGTCAAGACTAAAAACAAAATGCACTTCTTGCGAATGGACCTTTTCCCGACCCTAACCCCGGAAAAATTCTAAACTAAACTGAAGCTCACCGGAAGACATAATGACAATTAAAATAATTGATTTACAACTAATTTTTGGAAACACAACTAAAAACTGACTAATTTAATGCAGGGATGTCCAAATCGAATTTAAATTCAAATATCGCAAACTTCAAATACTGTTTTTTCGTGTTTATAATAATCCCAAATATGGCGCACATATCCTAGGCGTCGTCGTCCATGTGTGGTTCGGCAATATATTACAGCTGACATGAAAGAATTTCGATAAACGCCGACTTGAAGAACTTATAAGACTTCGAGGACGTTTTTGATTGAAAATATTTTCTTATCGGGTATTTTAACTTAGTCGAGATGGTTTAGGCGTCCTCGGCAAATTGTGTCTTAATTAGTTGTTTTCATCCTCAGTTTCGATAGTGACCGAACATAACAGGAAATTTTTTCATTTCTTCTAATTTAGCGCGTATAAAATAGCTCTTAAATAGTATTTAATATCTATCGCGGATTTCGTCGGCATCCGGCATTGATAACAACATCAGTTCAGTTAAAGTTAGCGGTATTCATTTACAAACAAAAATACATAACAGCCGACATGAAATATTCAAATCAGCGCAGAGTTCAAAAATAAAACACGTTTTATGGTCTTAATATGCACATAGAAAGAAGAAAGGACAGAGAAATAACGACTAAAAACTAAGAACGGTATGGTATGTTTGTGTACTTTTGTTTACCATCGTCATCATAACAAATTAGTTAAACCCGATTCCCAAATTTCCGTCCGCCAATAATGGAGAATGAAGATGGAAAAACGTGTTTTACTTTTTGAGTCAGCGTTGATTTAAATTTTTCATGTTATGTGTTATAATTTTTTGATTATAAACCAATACCTCCAACTTAAAATGAACGATATTGTTATCAACGACGTCAGGACTCGGGATAACGATAAAATCTCCGATAGAAACCAAATAATATTTAGAAGCTATTTTATAGATTGCAAGAAATTAAAAAATTTCCCGTTAAGTTCGATAACTATCGAATATGAGGATGAAAACAATTAATTAGGACAGGATTTGCTTTTAAGTTTATTGCCGAGACGCACAACATATCTTGACTAAATTGAAATATACGATGACAAATGTAAAAAATTTTCAACCCAAAACGTCCTCGACGTCTTATAAGCACTTCAAGTTTATTGAAAACCTTCCACGACGACTGTTAGTTATTGCCGTGCCACACATGGCTGCTTTCGATTGCGATAAAAAATGAAATAATTGTGAAATGTTTTTAAATCAGAACGTGGACGGGGGCGGTAGGATGTTTACGGCGTTTTCGGTTTTCGGCCTTTCATATGTAGAAAATCTTAGGTTATTCGAAGCAATATTTTTCCGAAAATAATTTTCGTATCCAGATTTTCAGAGTTTCTACTGCATTATTATAACATGAAGACGGGCGGCGTTACATTGCGTCAAGATGATGAAGCACGAGAGTATTCGTCACAAGAGAGAGAGAGATAGCATTATGCTATTGTCGCTTTCAATTCGCATCGACAGCGCGCGATTTCTACTTTTTTGAGATAACATATCTCATTTTCGAATACAAACATATACGCGGGATTAGCGATTATTACGTAACTATCAGCAAAAAGATATGATTGAAGTCGGGCGGTGTTAAATTACGTCGAGGTGATAAAGCACTGGAAAAAAGTAGTTTTCACCGGATTGTTATGACCGTGGAACGACGTTGTTTTAACGTAGAACAATAATAAGAAAAAACGAAATTCAAACGGGGGGACACGACCCCCGTAACCCCCCCGCTGGTTGCGCCACTGTGTGTACCAGGTGAGGGTTAGGCTATAATTTTGTTACGATTTCCCTTATCCTAGTTCTATTACGAGCTCGGGGACTGTCTGTGTTAACCAAGTGAATATCGATCTGCCCATAGATTTCAGTCCCTTTACACAACTTGATGTAAAGTAGGTGGACAAAATTAGTTACCGGTACCTTCATATTGGTACACATACTTCTGGAGTGCCCACTTTTCATTCTTAGCAACCTAAACAAGGCCTTGTAAAAGCAGCCACTGCTGAGTGAGAATCTACTATTACTCTACTTTATCAATCTTCATACCATTGCTTGATATCTTTCTCTTTGTGTCATCATTTCTGTTTTTTGGGTTTCAATTTGTGTTGATAACTCATCGACCTGACAAGGAAATAAAAATGAAATAAAATTAACAAAAAACTAATATTCTTTCAATACACAACAAATCAATGACCCTTAGATGCCCTTGTTTACCCTTAGATTATTGAAACCGAATTGCTGCTAGTATGACAGATTGTTTATTGCAATACAATACATACAAAAATGGGACTGATATTATTTTTACTCATTTTTAATAATTTTGTGTTTTATCCAATATAATAACATTCGCACTGTTTTATCTATTTACTAGTTGGTGCAATCAAGTTTCATCTTTATAAAATAGAGAGAAGAATCAGTTAATAATACTGATATGTATACGCAAGTACCATAGTACATTGCGATAAACGTGATAAAGTTATGAAATAAGAAAACTGCTCATGGGGTTTTTGTTAAATTTCGACCAATATTTTTAAGAAGAAATACCCTAAAATAAAATAATTTTTTTTAATACCTGATCGGCAGTTTTTTTCAAAAATGGTTCAACATCTTTAAAAAGTTCATATCCTTGATGAAAGTATGTTTGAAATGCATGCATACAAGATGTTATCTGTAAGAATGGAAGTTACTTGATAAAAATAAATTTGACATCCCAAATGGCCTTCCACTTTTAAAATATCTTTAAAGCAATGTATATATATATATATATATATATTTCTCTTGAAAATGATAACCATACATAATACTACTCAATACTTTATAAAATTCTCTATATATTTTGATTTCAAGTTCTGTTAATGATACTTCAACACTTCATTCAATGGAATATGACCAACAAGGATGGAATAAGCGAATATGGAATAAATTAAAGTTGAGTTAAATAAATTATTCTTATTTGAATATCCAAAGCCGAACACCCATAAAAGCAATTTTTAAACCAAAAACTCTCATTGAATATGATTCATTTCGATAATTACCGGATATCCAAATAATTTTGCACATCCCTAATGTCTACGCCAAACAGCTGTGCTAATCATTAATGAAATTTCCACAGTTAATGTAAAAATTATAGTGCTAGAATATACATACCTGGTATATAGTGTGTAATCTTTTATTCTTGTGTAACATATTCATCTGCAACCAAAATTACATTTTATTAAAACATATTATAAAAATACATCCTTCAAACAGCAATCAGTTGTTCAAAAACTCTAAATTTGACTATTTTCTTATAATAAATAGAAATAGGCAATTCAATAAATACTATTTTGGGATTCGAAATTTTCAATGGCCACAAAAAGTCATAACCAGTCTTTTAATTCTTGCAACTATAATTCTTAGAATGCCTGAAACTTGCATTCTGAACAACTTAGATTAGCAGTCACTTAATTAAAGACACTCTGGAAAAAACATGTTCTTTTAAAATTGCTAACAAAATTGATAATTCGTGGAAAAAAACATTGGTGAAATGATCTCACTGGTCTGCGATGTGTCAAACCAAAGATATCTTATCTGTAATCCTAACATCAACAACTGATAAATATAACAAAAAAATCATCTTAAATACAGATATTTGTTAGATAACATTGAATTTGACACCTTCAAATGTAAAAATATAAGCAGTCTGTGTCTTAATGCTGGTAAAAATTAGGTTTCGTAATGACAGAGTTATTATTACAGACGGTTCAGAGTTATTTCTATATGCAGATAGGCATAAAATTTGATAGAATGTGAGTGAGTACTGCCATGCTTGAAATTATGAAAAACACTAACATGTTTTGCATAAATTTCAAAAATTTACATTCATAGTTCTTTCTTCCGGTTAATGGGAAATGTATTATACTGAAACTCAAATGTTCAAAAGAAAACAAGTATGAACCATTAAAAAGATTAAAGAACAACATTAAATTATATCAAATTTCATGTCATGATAAAAGCACATATTCTATCAATTACCTGATAAACATATTCCATTGTAACATTTCTGAAAGTAGTTTTATGATTAGCGAGAGATGTTTCTGATTCTTCTATTTCATGGGGTTTATATCGACTGACTGATGCATGTTTACTCAATGCATTATCAAAGTCATTTGAAACTTTATCAAAAGTTTTCTTCAGATCTTGATTTCCTTTGACATCTCTGAATAAGGAATTAAACAAAAATAAATGACAAAATACAATTAAATTCGACAATTTAACATAGAAGGACTTTAATGTCTTGCAACATACCAGTTACTGCTTGAATCTTACATATTACTAATATTTTATGCCATGGCTTGGAAATTAATTTTCCCTTCCTCCTAGTGAGTCTTCACTCAGACTTTCAATATTAGCTATTTAACACATAAATTACCAATATATATATTCACTTTTCTGAAACAGAAATAACCTATTTAAGTTGTTACACCTGAGTGAGATTGAGGGTATGGATTACGCACCGACTGCAATCAATAGCCTACTTTAGCTTATATATTTCAGATTAGATTAGATAGAATATTACAACATATGAATGTCTGAAGTACTAGAAGCCAACTTTATCCATATATGGGCTATTCCAAGTGACACTACAGGACAATTCCAGAAATTTTGCATGTTGTTAAATTCAATATATTTTCACATTTTCAGCTACCGGTACATGTTTTGTTTCATTGTCCAATCAGTTGCTTTATTGAATATGTTAAAAAATTGCACAAAAGTTACACCCAACCTTACTAAGTAGATACAAAAAATATAGTAAAATATAGCGTGACACTACAGGACGGCAAATCCACGATGCACTAACAGTACGTTGTGTTGTGCTGTAAATTTTTGCGATGGTACAGTAGGAGCCCATAATATTTTCTGGTGCAGTAGCTGAACTACCCCTCTATGTGTTGCTCAAGTTACTTAATGTAACACTGTAAATCCATACCAATAATGTGCATATTGTATGTGACACTACAGGATGTGACACTACAGGACATTTTTCCACTTCGGAATAGCGGCATCTATCATCTCTTAAAATTCTGGTAATAAATCGTTAAATGGGTGAAGAAATGTTCTACAGCACTGCAAACATTCAAACTTTATTAACTTAAATCCAGTGCGTCAATTCCATATGAAATAACTGTATCACACAATCAAACACTTTGTGTCAGGAATCATCACAGAATATGTCAATTATACCAAAATTTCTACATTTCAGGCCATTTTTTTATAAACCATCAAAAACCTGGGTGAAATTTTAAATTGTTCAATGAAATGAATGCAGTCCAATAAAAGTCCAATGTCTTTTGGTATCAAAAATAAAAAAAATTACTTTCACTACACTTTTTAAAAAATTGATGGAGTTCAACTTTTGCTTGGAATGGCCCATATAGAGAGACAATTTGAACCGCTTCTTACAAAACAGAAATTTTCCTATATATTTTTGTATAACATAAATTGTGATTAAATTAGAACTGCCTTGTTATGACGCTGTGTCATGCAAATTCCAATAATCATCACCATGGCAATGCAAACAGAATTATTCATACTGCTTTTAAAATGTCTATTCAAGTGTGTCTTCATCAGCAGACAAACGGGTTAATGTACAAAGTCAAATTTACAGATTAACCTAATTAATTTCATCTATATTTATATTATCTATATTCAAATGAATATGTTTTATTCAATTGTCATGTAGTAACTTATGTGGTAAATTACTATGAATAGACATTTAAATTGTGGACAAAACATATATTGTTTGCATGCTAAGATTTGTGTATACCCACTTCAAGGAATATAATTTTCATTTGTGTTACTACCATAATATAGGTCAAGGCATGAATGCTATAGGTATAAAAGCAATTCCTTAAATAAAGTAGTATTGAGATGGAACATTTCAAGTTACAATACAAACCTTTTCCTGTGAACTATTACTCACGTTTTCAGGAAGTGTGTCATACGTGTGTTTATCGATTTCTGTGCTTGATCCAGGATCTATTGAATGAGAAAATATAGATTTGAACGATTTATTCTTTTGTGTTTAGTTACAGAAGTTTGGTCCAAGCTTGGACAATCATATCATAGTAAAAGTAGATTGAAAGCATTTTTGTAATGTAGAATTCAAATTTGCATGATCATGAATGAATTCATGACATCTTGCAACTTTCGAAAGCATTGAATCTGAATGAATATGATACACTACTATTACTAGTAATATCAATTGTTGAAATGTTTGTGAATTCATTTTGTTCATCAAGATAAAGTTTATTAAGGAAAGATAAAGAAATTATCACTCATTGTTTATCAGCACTTATCTATTATGGTAAGTTATCAATGTATAAAACTCAAAGTAATTTCTTTTTGCAGGAATACTTTTGGCTTGCAAATGCGAAACAATTGCAAAAACGCATTTTCTAGTATATTATCAGTCCTTGTAGTGTAAAACCGAACAAAAAACCTCAGTATTAATAGTATTTATCTCATCACCATGTAAGAAGTGAATAGATAATGAACATTCATTTACACAAAAGAAAAAGAAAAAAAACAGTTTGACAGAACAAGGGAGTCACATAGACTGTGAAGGTTATCAGAGTCGTGACGTTTGCATTGCTTTAAATTGCATTCAAACTATTGTAAAATAGAACACTTGTTTCAACTTACCGAGTGGAAAGAATTTATTTCTTCCAAAACATGTAAAAACTGGTTGATAATATTCTGCAAAAATAAAATTATAATTACTGTTACTGAGAGCACATAATTTAATATCACTCAAAATACATCATAATATTCCACTATCTATGTGGAACACAAGTTCGGCAAGAACATTCGTTCTGAGTTTATTTAACTTCAAAATATCAGTGTGAGTGGATCTCAATGAGTACCAAGAATTATAAAGCAAAATTGATATATCATATGGCTTTGATTTTTAATGACATAAAATTACATCTAAAAACTTGAAGCATCAATGTCATTGATATTACTAACTCATAAACGCTATTCTTTATATTAATGAATTAGAAAACAGGAATTCATTTCAAAACGTACCTTTAAAAACTCATCATCTTTATAATATCCTCTCAATTCTAAAATAACTTCTTTCAACATTCTGTAAAATCAATAATACACAGTGCACTTTACTTCAAAATTACAAGTTTAGTCTTATTATTGAATTCTAATAACAATAAAGAAGCAATGGTTTAAGGATTTAATTCATATATATAAAAATAAATAGAAATTGTTCTTTAAATACAGGCTTATGATAATGAATCAAATCATTTTCTTCTAGTTCAGTTGTTAATTATGCTTATGTCTTATGGGGTGTGATTAGGCCAACAATGACTCTGTGAGTTTACTCAAATATTATGACTCAAAACTCTGACTCCTTATTTTGGGTTCTCTTCATCTCTCAAGAAAATTAATTTTGAATACAACGATGTTAACAGATGCAAGCCAACTTCCATAGTCTATTGTGAATTCTTGATAAACATAACGCCTTTTTGTACCAGTCAGACAATTTTACTCTGAATCACACCCTTACATATCTGAGATTACGACTCCGACTCTAGAAGTTTTAAAACACAATTCCGACCCGGATCCCAGGGACTTATAAAGACACTCTTGAAGGTTACGTAATTGAGCAAAGATCATCTTAACAATTTGTAACAAACTTACAAATTTGCAGAACTGTAATGTTTTTCAGCTTCATTTGCATAGTTGTATTGCTTTAAAACCTGTATAGATTCAATAACACAACAATTACTTATAGTCATACCTCAATAGATAACACTCTCCATTAACATTGATCTCCATTACAAAATATAGGTTCAACCACTTCTATAATAGTTTTCTGGCTTTTGTTTATATAAACAAGAAAATATAATCCAAATTTTATGAGCCACTTGAGTAATAGTAAATGCTATCACTGTATTATGTGAATAAAAATACCGAAATTATGTCAAACATTAAACACAAGTATGTGGAGAATCATCATATGATTCTAACAATGTCATCTCATATTTTAAAACCAATTACCTTTTCCAAAAGACCCTCGAGAGCACATGTGTCATTTTCTGAGCTGTGTAGCAATTCTCTGAAACATAAAATAATAGGTCATTCATTGAATTTTTTACTTTGGCAACTTGACCAGAATAATTGAAACATATTCAAATAACCATACACATGCAAACACAGAAACATGTACCCTAAACATATTCAGCCAATACATTCAATATTAAAATATGGTGATACCACTTTACCTGAACATCGGAGAATCCTTGACACATTCATCAAATTCAAGTGCGGGTGCCATTGAAATTCAATTTATATAAAATCTATTTTACTAATAAATACAAATTGGAAAATAAGGAGAATAACGAGTTACCTACATATATATCCCGGGGGAGAGATAAGGTTGTTAATTTTAAAACATTAACTGAATACAGGTATATTAAAGTGAAGCCAATATTTTCCGAATAATCACATATTCATGTTATGCAGTATTACTATTAGTACGGTACTAGCGAGCATCAGACACTGGTAGCATCAACTTTCTGCCGTTTTTGTCAGATTGTAGTCCAATTGCTTAGAGTCCGGTAGTTAAGAAAGTCAAAAGTCAGTCACTTTGGTAAAAAAAAACTGGACTGGCAGACTGGGTATCTTTTTTTTTTTTTTTTTAGCATGAAAAAACATAATTTTATAATTATTCACAAGTTATTACAAATCATGGCAAGTTCTTTTATATAACAAAATTCCTTTCTCACACACACACACACACAGAGACTGGGTATCTTTGACAAACAGGAGACTCGCCCAGCTGGCCGACTTCACTTTTCCGCTTCTGTAACAAAATTGATAACTTGGCGATTCTTTATTCCTCGAAAATTTACGCCCCGTCGATGCTACCTAGCGGAGAAACTAAGTAGAAAGCAGAATATATTTTTAAGTACATTAATTTATGTTTTCCCGATCATCAATTTCCGTATTTATTTCCGTAACGATGGCCCAATCGGCAATAAGTTAATAATGACGTAACAACTGGAATATATGTCGCCGCTAAGACACTTCTTTCGCTCAGACAGATATTCAAGCGTGGTTGTAAACTTTGCCTCTTTTTTGTAGTTTTGCGTGGTATTCGTCAGTTTTTAGTTGTGTTTCCAAAAAAATAGTTTTAAATCAATCAGTTTTATTAAAATACCCAACCACCTGCCGCTTACAGGTACTGATAGCTTATTTATATCTAGTCTATCGCACCTTTTTCGATCATTGCAGCTAAACTAAAGTTTCTCAGAAGAATATGCAATTAAAGCGTTCAACGACTGACGCTTTTAGCAGTATTGAAGTTGCGGTGAAATGCAATTTGAACGTTAAACGACTGGCGCTTTTCAACAGTATCGAAGTTACGGTGAAATGCAACTTGAACGTTTAACGATTGGCGCTTTTCGACAGTGTTGAAGTTACTACTAATGCAATGAGTTTATTCATTGTGCTATTAAAATGAGGAACTTTCAACAAAGACCGACGTGAAGCAGTAGTTTCCATTACCAGTAACGTCAAAAACCTCCGACTTTCGCTTACCAAGGGAGTAGCACGAGAGTATAAGTATAAGTTTATTTCGACTCCATAATCAGCAATAGACGATAAAATAATAGATAAAAACAAAAAATAAAAGTAACGGATTATAGAATTGGGAAAGCAAACAAAACCTCAATTAAGGTTTGAAGCGTACAGATTTTAGATGGAAAGGTATTGATAAAGAAGTAGTACGTGTTCGCTCACCCAAAATGGTCGAAGAGCCTCTGCAAATAATTTTTATTAATTTTCAAGAGGTCATCACACAAATTTTTAAAATGAAAAACGAATCACATAGAGCTCAAAAGAAAATTGAATATATAAAAATAATAGCCTTCTATCGAAAAATAGAATCTCTATCCACTGGATATTTTCAAAACAATTGATACAGTAGTTAATGTGAAAAGCGATTTTTTCATACAACAAAAATAAAAATACCAACAAGAACAACAACAAAATAACAAAAGGTCTATTTCGTGTCCAATAAAAATAGGCTAATGCCACTAACAGAAATAAATCGCGCTCTTGTTGTCGAAATTCCGTTTTAGGTGATTTCTTCAAACCTTCTTATTTTTTCATTGCACGAGAATTTTGAACAACGTCTGAGATTACATATTGCAAAAGTTTATTCATTACGGAATAGACCAGAGAATACAATTCCGGTACCGGTACCATACAGAATTTCCAAGTTCTCCCGTGCTGAATCTGCGACGTCCCACGAGATTTCAATTTCCGCTTTTGCACAAGATATGTTTCTATTCAAGATTTCACTTATGCGCAAGCAAAACTCAAATATATGACATAGCCTACTTGGCCGAATCAAATTGCAATTAGCGATATGGGTTAATTCTCGTTATTTCTGAATTTATCGATGTCTTCCATACATATTTGGAATAATGATATATATTTAATTTTTGAAAATGAGGAAACAATTTTAATGCTCTCGGATTCTTGATTTTAGTTGACACATTAAACTAATGCCAAAAATAGCTCAACCTATGGGGGATATGATCGGGGCGTGTACAACATTCATGTAATTATATTTACATTAATCAGATCATGTGCAAACTTGTTCCGTGCTGTTGCCATGTGCTGTCTTACAGACATATAACGTCATAGCAAGAGTCGTAACATCCCGTCCCGTCTTTCTTATCTGTCTCATTAGTATGAACAATTTAAAACAAATTCGTTATGGTAAATCGCGTAAAAACTCATAATACGATGCAAATTCAGTCTTTGCACTTGAACGTCAAATTAGTACCTTGCCACGTATTTATCGAATCAATGCTAACCGTCATCTACTAGTGTAATGGGAGAATGTCGTTATTTTTCAGACTACGAAAGCTGACTAACAGTGCAGATTTTTTTAACAGTGTAAACTTTTATTTATTGAAAACGCTTCTGCTCTGAACGGTAAATATATTGTAAATATTTGTATTAAATCAAGGCAAGGACTTATGTTACGTCTTTGGTTTAATATGTGATAAGGCCCTGTCAATGTTAGGCATGACTAAAGATTTATTTAAATATAAGATTTAGTATATCTGGTGTACTGTAAGGAGCATTTTCACTTACGTTTTGTTTCGTTTGAGTAACTGTTAGGTGATTTGAATATTCCACTTGTATTGGAGAATTTGAGGGTTGTGACGGATATAATATTATCTCAATTCCAAATAGTTGCGACGTGATTCAAAAATGCCGACATGTTTGCTTAGAATGAGTTTTTTACGGCTAGTTTCTCATAATTTGCTTGTGGGTGACGATGAGTCTGAATAAACTGTTTTGTAATCTGTTGGGGACCGTTGAATTTCGAATACAAACATTTTCCGCTTAGTTTAAGTATACCAAAGTAGTAGTCGAAGCCCAGTATATTATAATAATTGTTGTATCGTAGGGTTGACCATTTTACTTTGAGCTGCATAACAGATATGTATATTACAAGGCCGTACATTGGCTTTATTTGTACAAAATTGAATTCCGACGGAACCAATGGCATGCCCCAACCCGCCTACTATAGATATAGCATTTATTATTTAGCGGGTAGCGGTCGCAAAACTTTGGCGACAAGCGTAAACATTCTGCTTTCAGCTCTCCTGATTGTGACTTCTTGTCGCCAGCAGATAACACGACTCTGCTGTTAACAGCGTGATTATGTGCACATTTTGGTATAGTTTCAGATCGTTCTGCTATCCAAAAATAAATTGATAATAGCAGCATCTAGAGATAGCTTGATTCCCTTAGATCAGGGGGCGGCAACCTACGGCCCGCGGAGTAATATAATCCGGCCCGCGACGCTTCACTGAATTATAGTAGCAAAGCAGCTGTTTTAACATTATATTCTTTACGTAACAGGATTTATTGTGAGACACGTGTAGACTAAATTATATTATAATCTAACAAGTATAAAATTCACAATTACTCGTTTAATAAGCCTATAATTTAATTATAATTAGACCAATGGCAACGAAAAGCTAAGTGCAAAGGGTTCAATGGCGCCGGAATATTCAAACGGAATTTTTTGAGGTGCAATGCAATAAGGAAACAAGAGAGCTACGCACAAATATATGGACACGTTAGACCAGAGCGAATCAGTCTTTACCGGTACCTTTGACGCTACCGGTACCCTCAAAAAAGTTCTGAATTTCCAGTAGCAAGAATTTTGCAGAATCAAAACGTACAGCCAGTCATGACACTGACTAAAATCCGTGTTCCCATGGATAAAAAATAATACAGCAAAATTTTAGACGAAATATCAAATTTCATAGAATTCACGCAAAATTTCGAAATAAATAAAAGTAATAGCCTTCTAGCGAAGAAATTAATCTTTAACCACTGAAAATTTCAAAGCAATTGGTCCAGTATTCGAAGAGAAAAGCGATTTTTTAAAAACGTGTCAAAGAACAAGAACAACAACAACATAATATTGAAACGATCGTTATGGCCACTAAACGTGTCCAATAAATCTATATGCTATTCGAGAGATGTATCACTGCTTGTTTTTTTATTATAAAAAGTATCATCCGTTCGGTTTTTAACTTCCTAGAAATATGTGTGGCCAATGACTTGCAACCCTTAATTTTGGCCCGCGAGTGACAAAAGGTTGCCGACCCCTGCCTTAGATGTAATACACTATATATATATCACTATACATTTGGTATCGATTAACATTTTACCGTAAATAGAATAGATATATATATATTAGTTAAAGTTTTGGTATTTGTTTATACAGTATATACTAGTTTACTCTCGTGGTTGGTTAGTGAAAGTGCCATGTTCATTACACCCATCACTACAGACATGTAGTCTCGCTTACGTCCTTTTATATCACAGATAAATTATATTTCTTTAGAAATCATGAAATTGATTTATCTAAGTCTTCTCGTTTCATGGTGGGAATCCAGTTCATCCAATGCTTTAGAAGTTATTGAATTGCACAATATTGGAAGCAGTAGGAATGTACCGTACAGTGAAGATGGTGAACGTTGTCTTGGTGCTTGTACTTGCTACGGCAGTGACAATACAATCGATTGTAAAGATACAAAATATGACGTGGTACCATCCTCTATTCCTTATGAAACAAGGGAGTTAGATCTGAGCTACAATGAAATAACTACAATCCGAACCAGCGACTTTAAAGGATTAGAAAATATGGAAAATCTAGACATGAACCATAACTCAATATCGAATATACAGCGAGAGTCCTTTTCAGATATGACCTCACTTACAACGTTGAAAATGAACTATAACTCCCTTCGTGTCATGCGGATGAATATGTTTTATGGATTAACGAACCTGAAAACCCTCGAGTTCCAATATAACACAGTAAACTTGATTTCAGCAAGTGCGTTTTCCCCTTTGTCATCCTTGGATAGTCTGAGGCTGGACTTCAACATATTGTTTTCACCAGTGGCAAACGAATCCTTTGCCGGCCTGACGAATCTTACATCTCTTAGTTTGGCTGGCAATATGTTATATCAGATACCCATGGATGCTTTACAGATAGTGAAAAACAGCCTTCAAAATTTGAACGTGAGCTACAATACCCGAATTACAATTATTGGAGGTCCGAATTCACCAGCAATTGATCTTCCCAATCTACAGACTTTGGATATGTCTTTTTGTAGGATACAGAGCATCGTTGGCGGAAGCCTGGCAGGACTCCCTAATCTGAAATCGATGGATCTTTCGGCAAACTCGCTTTTGACGTTATTTCCTCGTAGCTTTGTTGGAAATCCAAAATTATCAAGTCTTTATTTACTGTATAATCCCATCCAAACTTTCCCACATGCAGCATTTTCACCAATTAGCAAGTCACTCGAACATCTCCATATGAGTTACTACGCACTTGAAATAGGAAATTTAACTTCACTGTATGATGAAACATATCTCGCAAATTTGACCACTCTGTCTCTGAAAAATGGAAATTTAGTTTCCATCAGTGGTGATTCGTTTTTCAAAAATTTGAAAAAGTTGGAACATTTATCAATTTCTTATAATCAACTGACAGATTTGCCCACAGAGGCTTTGAGCCACCTCACCAGCTTAAAAACGATGACCATCGTTGGAAACAAAATTTCAAGGTTTGAAATACTTTATTGTATTTTTAGTTGGATAACATGCGATAGCGCAAATAGCGTGACAATATACCTTTTATCGTCGTCCGAAAGGGGAATGATTATTTATTTCCACCTTGCATAGTTGCCCATCATATAGAATTTCTAGCGATACATGACGATCTCCCGACGGTATTTATATTTGTTTACAGAGTGATTCATCCAAGACTCTTTTAAGCATGGTGAAAAGAAATAATTCGTTTTTAAAAAAATGTCAAGTGTCAAATGTTTTAAATATTTATAGCCATGCCATGGCATGATAGCTTTAGGTACTGCATACGCTTGGATGTCCAATAAATACCTGATAGATGTGAGCATTTAAATGTATTGCATATATGTTACTTGTTATATATATGTTCTTTCCGCGGCACCGATGATGTATGATTTTTCGCAATATTTACCACATGCTATATTTTCTGCAGAATCGGCAAGGGTGCAATTCCAAGCCTATTGAACTTGCAGGAAGTTGAATTGTCGTATTCTGACGTAATTGATATTGACGAAAACTCCTTTCACGATCTCAATCTGATAATATTACGTCTAAACGATAACAAGATCACTAACATATCTGAGAATGCATTCAACAAACAAACGAATTTGGCCGTACTGGATATTTCTAACAATCTATTGACGACTCCGAACAGCCAGTGGTTTCAAGGTAAAACAAAACTCGGAATAACAAGTTCAATAAATCGAAAATTGCTATTTATAGGCTTAAATTATTTCCAAATTAGTTGACAAAAAGCGAATCCAAGAATTATTTGATTATGAATATTGAAATCAGATAAAAAATGCTGAGATTAATAAAATAAAGTGGAAAAAGGGGTTTAAGTATAAATTTGTAGCAAAAACAAACAAAAGAAAGTTAATATTAAACAACGGCATGGTCGCGAATATGGTATGATTATATTAAAAAAACTCTCATAAATCATCCCTCCCAAATTTCTTGTAATATTATTATCATTGAAAATTTAATTTTTTTCTGACACGATAAGAAAGTAAACGATGTTTAGTAGTCGATAGGATTTCAATTGTTTGATTAGTTAGCTTCAATTACTTTGATACTTTCGCTAATGACAATTACATTATCAACAGGTAAACCATTAACAGAAGTTAAATTGGATAATAATCCGTGGAATTGCGACTGTGAATCGGAACAGTATTGGGAATGGACTGAATCCCAAGACTATAGTAATATTGAGTCAATCGATGACGTAGAATGTAACCAACCTAGAAAACAAAAAGGTGATACTATCACAAATCTTCAAGAAGGCGAGATCACGTGCGACTTCGGTGAATGTCCCTCGACTTGCATATGTATTGATTTCACTACTACAAAATATACAGCATTGACTCCTACACCAAGATTGACTATGCTATATGATCTAACACAGAAAGAATACTCGAAGATAAAAGTAACTGACTCCACGGAAAACTCTGCACATCCACTTGATATCATAGACGACATGGCAAAATCTGAATGGAAACTTTCCGCCTCTCGAGCCGCGTCCACCATGACAGACTGCACATTGTCAGACATGACAGAATTTCCAGTCGTGCCCAATTCAACAGAACATCTCAACTTAGCCTATAATAAACTGACTAACCTTAAACAGCAGGATTTTATCAATCTTCCGAAATTGCGTATATTTATCGCTAGTGATAATGAAATTTCTTCTATTGAAAACAACAACTTTGCAAATTTGGATTTACTCGAACAGATACATCTAAATAGAAATAGCCTTGGAGGAACTATTGGTTCTACGTGGTTTTCATTCTTAAAACGACTAACAGAATTAAGGCTTGATGACAACCATATTGTGGACATCTCTAATGAATCTTTCGTAGATTTGGAATCTCTTCAAATATTGGAAATGTCAAAAAACGCGATGACGTCATTACAACAACCCATGTTCGACGGTCTAGCACAGTTGGTTTACCTGAATTTGGGAGCCAATCGCATCAACGCAGTTAATGAAGACAGTTTTGTAAATCTGACAAATCTGGCATACCTCTATCTCAATGACAACTATCTTACTACAATCCCTCCTAATTTACTCGAAACCAATACAAAATTGATATATCTCGATCTTGGAGGTAACAGCTTCTCTGTTATTCATAAGCAGTTCTTGTTCTCTAACAGTATTGAAATTCTCAAAATGGAAAAGGGTTATAATACAGACCTAGAAAACGGCAGTTTTGTCGGGCTTCCGAATTTGAGAGTTTTACGATTAGCAGGCAGTTACATATCAAACATTGCAAATCTTGCTTTTTCGCCGGATATGATTGACGAGTTTCAATCTTACAATAAAAGTAAACTGCTTACTTTGGATCTTGGCTACAATCTCTTGAAAGATATCCCTGTTGATTCCTTTGCGGAACTAGAAAGTCTTCAAACTTTAGGCCTGAATGATAACCTATTTTCTGAAATTCCAGTTCGGAATGACAATATCGAGCCGTTTCTGCCTAATATGGAAACATTGTATTTATCCCATACGCCAGTATCGCAAATTCCGGAAAATTCATTTATATCTCATTTGAGTAATTTGATGGGCTTGATTATGAATGACTGCAATTTTGAAAACATTCCCATCGAAGCTCTCAAAAGCAACTCAAAGCTCGGTTATTTAGTTTTGGACCGGAATCCTATCATTCAAATTAGCGAAAAATTTTCGCAGCTGAAGAATCTTGTACAGCTTCAGCTGAGTGATACCCAAAGTCTAAGTACAGTGTCCGAAATCGCATTTAAGAATTTAACAAAGCTAGAAACTCTGAAGCTATCTGGTGGGAAAATAACAAACTTAGGTTCACTGACGTTTGCAGACCTGGTGAATCTTGAAGTTATTGATCTGTCCAACAACAATTTGACACAACCTGATTCACAGTGGTTTTCGTCCATAAATCCGAATGAGGTAAAATCCATTAACTTGCAAGATAATCCGTGGGTATGTGACTGTGGCGCACTAGAATACAAACAATGGATGGAAGATGGATCACAGAATCTTGACGATTACTTTGTTTCTATTACATGCACGGAGCCACAGATGTATAAAAGCTGGGAAATTTCAGAAATACATTCCTCTGATCTTGTGTGTGTTTCGTCATCTACCGCCCCATTAACAACAACGGAATTGCCAGAATATTGTGACCAAGAATGCACTTTCGACGAAAATGCTCATATTACCAATTGCTCAAGTCAAAATTTGAGATCGCTGCCCAGGTGGATATAACGTTGCTTTTTCATTCAGTGCATAAACTGCATATCAATATTTTCACATACGTTGATTATCTAAATTTTCAAAATTGTGACCCAACTTTATGAACAAATTGAATATATACAATTGCCCATCTTAACGTTGTTTTTCTTTCATATCGTGAGCACTTGTTGATAAACAGCAATGATTGGAAATTATAAGCAGCAGTAGTGAGCAAGTTCTCATAATACTGTACAGTCAATTTTTCAGCTGTTACTCCCCCATGATATTATGTTTGTCATAGAATTAGTGTCTCGATGAAAGATCCAAAGATATTATTAAAAATTCCTTTTTTCGTTTGTAGGTCTTGCATTCCTGACTCAACGGAAATCTTGATATTGTCAAACAACCGTCTTTCCACAATATTGTCGGACGATTTTGTCGGCTTGTTGAGCCTTAAACAAATAATGCTGGATCACAATTTGCTATCTGAAATAGAAGATGGCGCCTTTTTCAATCTTCCAGTTGTCACGCATCTTGATTTGAGTTTTAATCGGCTCACGAAGGTATGTCAGTCATAATTACAATTTTCTGCCACAGTATTCTGTTTGATGAGGAGGGCAGAGTAGGGTAATATGCTGCTGAATGTTAATAATATAACAGCCAGTACTCAAACTGGATGTTTTATGCCTGTCTGACTATTCATAAACATCTCTTTCACGGGTACATGCACGACTCATACAATTTGAGTATAATTTTATAAAATGTACCGGTATGTCAAAAGTTGAAACTAACAAGCAATGAATTTGTGATCTATATATTCATATTATTCTATTCCATTTGACATGGACGACGTGAATTCTGGAAATCACGTTAGATGTTGAAATCTCGCAGCACATTGGGATGGAATAATAGGCACCAACGCCAGTGCTCGAATATGTATCGTAACAAATCCTACATGTATCTTTTTAGGTTCCAACCACGGCCCTTGCTGATTTGAGTAATTCTTTACTTCATTTATGGTTGGATGATCAACGTATTCCTCAAGTAATAGAAAATGCTTTTCCGTTGTCGTATTTAAAACAACTTTCTTTGCGAAATCTTCAGGGATTGAGTGCACTTCCGCTAATTATAGATGATTTTTCTTTTGCTAAAACTGCAAATCTCAGAACTTTGGATCTCTCCCAAAATATGGTAAGAATGCAAGTTTATTTAAAAAGCATGAAGAAAATATGTTTACTATTAAACTATAATTTTTTATCAGCATGAGTAACTCAATATTTTGTTTACGTCTAATCTTTAGGCAGACTACTGCCATTTTATTAGCCTTGAAATAAATCCAACATTGGTTAACGGTGTTGATTGCGTGTTGGTGATCTACTTTCTAGAACATTTCATAAATGTTGAGGAACTTTTTCATGGTGCTTTGTATTATTGATGCAAGCAGTAAACGTTTTGAAATTGTGATATCAAATTCGTTAGCCACAATTAACTAGAGTTCACATAGCAAATTTCTAAAACCTTCATCTAATTTTTTAGATAGTGACGCTATCGATAAATTCACTGACCGGGCTTGTAAATCTGGATTTGCTCGACATGACTGCAACACGATTACAAGAATTTCCCGAAGAAGCTTTAAGAAGATCACCACAATTGACAACTTTGATACTGAACGAAAATCCAATTGAATCGTTTATAAAACCGGTGACACCCATTTTGCCGAAACTGAAGCATTTTCACATGAGGAATTCCGAGCTAGCAAATATTGATGATAACTCGTTTCTTAGCGATTTGTATAATCTTGTGGAACTCGATTTAGGATTTTCACTCTTGTCAGTCGTTCCAAGGCATTCGTTGCAGAACAAACCTTCGCTAACAACGTTAAACCTCGAACATTCCTATATACGGAAACTTACTCAAAGCGATTTTGCAGATTCATCCCTGAATAATATATCCATAATTGATTTCAGTGGGTCAAAAATGTCTGAAATAGGAAGCAGGGCCTTTTCAGTACTGACAAGCCTTTCTTGGTTAGATCTAAGCAAGAATGAAATTACAGCAGTCGCCGATGATGCCTTCGCAGATACCAATCTGCAATATTTGGATCTAAGCTACAATAATCTTACATACGTGTCTTGTTCGTGGGTATATCTGATGCCGCAAGGACAATCCGTAACATTGAACCTTGGTGGAAATCCGTAAGTACCGAATACAATACGCTTGCCTAGGTCAAGTTCAACAATGGTTTCCAGTTGAATCATAATCAAATTTTATACACATTTTGAAGTCACGTATACAGCAAATTGGATTCACGCACTTACAAGTCGAAAATAAAATACATTACGCATGTAGGCTTTCAGAATAATGTTCATTTCAAACCATAATTCCCTATCTTTTCCTTGTCGCACTTGCGATGTTTTATATTTCCAAATAAATAAAAGAACCTATGAACTAAAAACTTTTAAGTGACATGAAATTATACATTCAGATATGACTGCAGTTGTGGAATGGTTGGATATCGCGATTACATGACTTCTCCTCAATATGATTTCATATCAGAAGTCGACCAGCCCGTTTGTGCAACTCCACAAGAATTTTCGGGCATGTCCGTTCGAGAGATTCAATTGGAGGATTTGGAAAATTACTGCAAAAATGATCTAAATGCAGAAGATCCCCAATATTGTTCGCCGCCCACGACAACCGCATCGCTGTCATCAACAAACTCGAATCCGGTATCTACCACGTCAAGTGCTAGATCAAATATTAATTCTCCCAAAGCATTGTCATTTGTACTGGTATCCATTTTACTCTCTCTTTATGAATAATTAGCAATTACTGTATACAAATTGATTACCCAAATTTCAAAATATATCAGGGGTTCCTAGTGTTTTGATACATTCCGCCTTTTGGTTATTTTGAAACTCTTCATTCTCTCCTCACTATCTATGCATGATAAATTTTTTATATTTGTTTAATCTTCATTGATCATTTACTAGTGATGCAAATCACACTCTGGCTTTTGTACAATTTGGATACAATGTGTGCATACATATGTATTACAATAACTTTTACTACGCACAAGTACAAAGTTAAATCCCTCCACTGAAACATAAACATTCTACCCTGAGGAGGAATGCTTTCTCGTATGGGAAACACTGTTTTACAAAGATATTAACTGTTTTATCGGGCCTTGTTATCTCACTACTGTTATTTCTATATATTTATATACTACATTGATATAATGTCGGATGAATGATATATAAATATATGATTTGTAGAGTAAAATGTGCGAAACGTGGCTACTATATCTGAGTACAGAATAGATTGTAGCTGATGATACAAGCTCAGCAGCTGTAAATAACCGCTTTGCGTCTGGTTCTTTATCTGGACTAATCCACTCGTATCCTTATGTCTCATGAACTAAAATAAGCGATTAATGAGTGTTCATATGCTATAGAACTCATCGCAGCAGTAGTGGCAATATTCAACCAACATTATTATCGATCTCGATCGGTAAGAATGTTGATAGGTATTTGTCTGTTTGCTTGTTGCTTATCGATCTTGATCGGTAAGTATGTTGATAGGTATTTGTCTGTTTGTCTGTGAGATGCACGCGATATCTCACGAAAGCGGAGTTGAATCTGCTCCAAATTTTGCCTGTGCATCTCAGACCAGAAGCCTATTGATTTTGGATGAAATATATCGTATAATTAGTGAGTTATTAGTTAATTAGTGATGGGGCACGCGGTGTCACTGTCGAGTCAGAATAACGGAATCAAAACCGCAGTTTATCCCTAACTTTCGTCAATGCGAACGATGGTGTGCGTAACAATGCCCTAATTGTTGATTAAAACATTGAACATGCGGAAGATCGATAAGTCGGCGGTCTCCGATCACTATCTCGTTTCTAGGTTATAAGCAGCGTCGGATCATGCTCCTAAGCACTTCAGATTTTGGTGCCCTATATCTGAAAAATATTAATAAAGAAACTTTTCGGTGTTCATTACTAATAATTCAGGGCCAAATTACGATTAGTTTTCCTTGGCTGCTTTTGCATTTGAATATTTTTCCTCGGTACTCCTGCCAGCCTTGATACATTTTCCTTGTCTCGCTGCAGATTTCACTTCACAACTTTGCTTGCCTGAATGTCTTTTATTTTTTGATCGCTTTTGGCCTCGCTGGTTTCAATCTAATTTCCAGTTTGTTTTATTTCCTTCCTTTGCGCTGATTTCTATTTAATTTCCAGTTTGCTTTATTTCCCATTTTTTTGGGCTGTTTGCGGTTTGAACTCTCGCTGCTTCACTTCACAACTTGCTTGATTGAATATGTGTTTTTTCCTGATTGCTCTTGATGATTTCATTTAATATTTTAATCTCGTTGCTTTAAAAGCTCTCTCTCTCTTTAGCTTAGTCTATTTTTATTTTGCAATTTTGCTTTTTTATTATTTAATCTATTACTTTTTTATTTTTTTTATTTCGCTGGCTGGTTTATTTTTTTTGATGCCTGATTTCAGCCAGCTTCACTGATTTTTTTAATAATTCTGTATTTTTCACTGAACACGGAAACATTGCTGATTGCGCAGGCTGATGATGCTTCGGCTCCAGGGAGCTAATTTTTCTATTAGTGCGGGCTGTTTGTTTGTTTGGTTTTCCCGAAGTATGTGTACAAGATTGCGCACAACCTAGGTTGTGCGTCATCTTGGTACGAAGAATACTCCTGTCGCGGAGGGTTTCTAGGGGGGTCGCAAATGTCTTGCAAAACAGTAGAAAATAATACAAAGCTGAATAATAAAGCTAGTTAAATAAAGTTAAATATTGCCAATAGAACGCGAAGAAGTCTGGAATTAATCTCGTTTGCCTCCGAGGGATTTCCACTAGCTGTCGAGAGATCCGAGAGGTGTTTATGGCATGTTAACCATTGTGACGTCACACGAACTCGTCTGCATTTCCGCGTACCGCGATGCGGTAAACACGCGGGCTTCGAAGCAATGCTGTGGAGCGCCGGGATTTCAATACCAAGTGGTTTACTGCAGGGTTGGATTGTAGTATTTATATTTATGTTGTTTTATCGTGAAGATTATCATACATCCTGCAGTAACGTTGTAATTCCGTTATTTTATTTACCATGGCGAAGAAGCGACAATATGAAAATGAAGTTATGAAATATGAAAGCGGTTTTTCATCTCTTCTTCATATAAAAACAAAGGCACGAAATCGAATAAAAGTCGAGGATGATTAGCTTTGTCAAAAACTCAAGCACGAATTACGCAGTTGGCTACGCTGTTTCAATGCCAGACATCACATTGAGTAGAAATTAAATTACACAATATTCACTTTGCCGCTTATTTTATTTAAAGTATAGAAAGTGATGCAGGGGGTCGCGAGCCTTGGTAACCACTGATTTAAAACGTGTTTCCGCTTCGTTCAAAAGTTTTTGCCGCCACCTGGATTTATCCACAAGATCCAATGGGTAGCTGGCGCCACTGACTCGCCCTTCCGTTGATCTCCACCGCCATAGACGAGGATCGCGTGTATCAGAATCTCACTTAATTAACGACTTCACGCTTGGCAGCCCACGACGAGACTGCCCTGAAAAAATTACATTGAACATACTGAGTTGATTCGAAGCAGGTGTATTCATGGTCGTGCGTTATTATGCCATCATAGCGACAAGACGCATGAGATAATTCAAAGAAGTGAATCTGCAAACCAAATTTCTGACTGTCAATTGAGGAATACTAAGACTGGAAGACGATTCATCAATTTGATCCTTTCTGTTTAATGTTCCAACTGACCTTCTGATCTCTGGTTTACTGTTTCTTAATTTATAAAACATCTCGGTTTAAAATTTTTGCGGCGTTTTGCTTCTTACAAACTGAAACGGTATCAAATGCATTAAAAATAAAACGAAAACTCCGTAAATTTTGTCCTATAATCCCCGCGATTGAGAAAGGTTGCTACCGCAGGCAGTAAAGGTGTGAAACGCAGTAAATTCCGCGTTGCTTTCTATTATTTCCCCAGATTCTGAAGAAATATACGCTAATCAATGTAAAGTAAGCTATTATTCTATTTTATTAATGCATTCTTTGGGATTCTATTGCAGGACGTGTTTGGGAATTTCTCTGATGCCCCTTTTCTATGGTGCCCTTAGCACGTTTTTATTTTGCTTAATAGTTAATCCACCACGTGTAATAAATGTTATAATTATATAATGTGTGTTATAGCATATAATTATATGTTATAATCACCATTGCAGTGTCTCAGTCGTTATCCCGTAAACGTAAATGATCAGAGAACCTTGTTAATTTATTCCACTTTACAAAACACATATTACCGGACTAGCTGATTTGTTCAATTCATACCTAAATTAGATAGAAAGATAAGGGATTTTCTCCAGAATCGGTAAGGCTGACCTGACACGGCTTGTAGACACTTTTGAGCAATGGTCATCGAGGAAGCGGCGATGGAATCCCGCCGTGTCGCCGCTCAGACACTTTTTTTTCGCTCGGACAGATATTCAAGCGCGGTTGTAAACATTGCATTTTGATAGTTTTGTGTGTTTTTCGTCAGTTTTTAGTTATGTTCTCAAAAAAAAATGTAAATCAAAGAGCTTTATTGCCATTATGTCTTCCGGGGACCTTTAGTTCAGTTGCCGGTACAATAATCAAAAATTGATACCGCAGACTCTGCGACAGACTATCCTAAAATTAGCTATCAGTATTTATAATGAAAATGATAGTTTCGAACACGTGAGCAAGTTTGTAAGCGCCAACTCCCCACAACACTCTCAAAATCAGCGTTGAAAAATTTTCAATTCAGGGGTCAATGGGAGCGTCCATAGTGGTTACTTTTTTATGAGTTCGCCACGCAGTGGGGCTATAGGGCAAATTCATCACCAAAGTGTCAGAACGTAAATAAATACGGTACCGTACTAATGCGGTCGGTTTTTTCGGAATATCAGTAAGTTATATCGTGTAAGCTTGTTTATTTCGACCCATTGGGTTACAAATGGCTAGTAAGAGTAGTGATTATGATGTAAGTGCTATTTCAAAAAAACCTTTAAAGCTGAAAAGCGATTCCGGTAAAGTTCATAAGAAGAAAAAGAAGAAGAAAGACAAAAAGAAGAAACTGGAGAAAGTTGACGTGAAGGCCATTCAGTACCAAGATCCAACTTCAGGACCAGCTGCTCCGAAGTACAAAACATTGACACCGGCAGAAGAAAAATTTAAGCGAGTGCAGGAGAAAAGACAAATGGACCGTATATTGAAGAAAGCCTCAAAAGGACACAAAGAAAGAGTAGAAGAGTTTAATAGACACCTTGATTCATTATCTGAGCATTATGATATACCTAAAGTCAGTTGGACTAAATAAATTAAGCCACACCAGTGTACCAACTCTCTCATAAAAACACTTGATAGATCCATGCATCTGTTTACTTACTTTGCTGCCAATACCTTGGCCTTATTACTGTATCAAGAAATAATTTTTTTCATGTACAGACAGATATGGCTGACTTCTAACATAAAAGTTGATACAATGTTGAATCAAGTTTGGTGGAGTCTTTGTCACTGGCTAGAAACTAAAAAATTGCGCATGATTTTTGAAAAACAAATTTTCGTGATCTATCTATCTTATTTGAAGCATGTTTGGCTGGTAATTAGTGATGAGCAAAATGACTATTGTTGACTGACAACTTGAATATCTGAGAAAATATTCAGCCAGCCATCTGATTCTGACATAATTTGTTTTTATTGAGGGCAAAATTAACATTTTATAGGAAATTTTTGTTGCAAGAATTGATAACATCGTCATATGTAGAATTACTACAAAAGTGATTTATTTTCTGTTTTGAGAGTTTTTATTTAAAAGCTCTAAATTTCCATGATAATACCCTAAGTATACCCATTCAAATGGGTTGATTACTTTCCTTACACAGCCAATTTGTTGCTATACCAACATATATTGTTTGCTTTGTTATTACTATATCATGTTTTTAACTTAATTTTTATTGATATTAAAGTGAAATCATTTATTAAATAAACATGGTAAATGTAATAAAAGGAATATTAGTGGAATGTGATCCAGCAATGAAGCAATTTCTTCTACATCTCGATGATACAAATACATTCGGAAAAAAGTTTATTCTCCAAGATCTTGACGAAACACATCTTTTTATTGCTGCTGATATGATGGATAGAATACAGAAGAAAATAGATGAACTGATGGATTATAACTCTTATGCCGTTGTACAACAGTCATAGAAAGTTTTGAAGCCTGTGGAAGCGCACATTGCCCAAGGTTTTGATGACCACGTTGTCACAAACAAATGCATATAAAAGAAGTCCTTGCATTATGATGGACAATTGCTGTATGACTGAAATAATTTTCGGTCTTATTTTCATGAAAACTCATATTCATATATTTCTTATGGAGTTGGGAGGGGAAAAAGTTGAATATTTCTTTATGCAGAATATTCATTTTGTCAATTTTATGCTAACTTCAAAATTATTCATGGCTAATGGTAGTATGTTGTCAACAGTGTGAAAATACTGCCAAGGTGAAATACATAATCCTTGTGATTTTCATTAAGCATGCTTTGCCAATGGAATGAATTTGAAAATTCCTGAACTGGACATTAGTTGGACAAAATGCAATGCTCAACTTTTGTTAGCGACTTTTACATGCTTATGAATAATATATATCACCTAACATTGGCTATATAAGAGGCTGTCAATGATACTACTGTTCTAGGTGTGATGATGTAAATATCATTCACATGTCACTTTTGACCGATTTGCATTTATTTCCTATTCAAATAATTCCCTTTAAGTTTACCTCTCCACAATAAACGCTATTCAATGCAGACAACTGTTCAAATCCCTGACTGTTAGTATTCAGCATGCTAGAAGCGGATCAGCCCACATCACGGCGCATATCCAAGTCCCTTTAGTGATAAGCGACATATAACATCAGGTCACGTCACACAGAGGAATGGGTTGGCTTCGTCCATCAGAGTCCATGCATGAACTGAGATAGGTCAAAAACCTAAACTGGCATTTTATCCGCTTTTCGCCCCCTTACAGAATAAAATCAGGCTTCACTATTTTTTAATGTGATATTATATTAAAGCATATAATCATCAATTACAAATTAACTATATCATGTAGCCTAAGGATGTTGAAAAGGCATAAAGTGATGATAATATGATTGGAACCTCATATCATGTAAAAATCAAGAATATCTGGATAAAATATAAGTAGCTACATAATGCATGAAAGTTTCAAAATTCTGACAGCTCAAATGAGAAGTTGAACTTAGATCAGATGGATTCTGGCAAAGTCATTTTATAAAGATAGTTTGCAGTCATTACAAGACATTAAAAAGGGTAGTTAAGTTATAGAGATCAATAGCATTACAAATTTGCAAATGATTCTACCTGACAATGGGTTGATAGTCATGGACATGGTAGTTGCATGAATGGCAGATTTAGGTATGTGGCCAGGATAGATAGATAGTTAGATAGGCCAGGGGTGTGCATCCTTTAAACACATGAGGGCCAGATCAAATAACTGGATAACGTAGGCTATCTAGTATATGCAGTCTTGCAGACACAAAATTTTTGTTATTGATCTTGTGACATACGTTGATCGCTTTATAGTATTGCAAAGGAATTGGAATTACTAGAAACTCATTTCGCGGGCCGCACACCATTCAAAAGTGGCTCTTCTCCACGGGGCACACAAGTTGTCTTTGTGGGCCACATTTGGCCCACCAATATATGCGATACAATTGAAAAATAAATTCGAATAAGTAAATAATTTTCTCGATTATTTAATATAGCAAATAAGTAATGATATCCTTAGAAATGTTTGCCACCATAACCCTAACCATTATCCATAAAATCTTGTTCATCCTAAAAATTACATGCATCGCTGCCAAGCCTTAGTCGATTAATAGTAATGATAGTATATAACTTCAGAAACTTACAATTCGCATATAAACCGAAGAATCACACAGATAAAAAAAAGATTCGGGTAGGCATCGATTATAAGACATTGGAATTTTGACTGCCATCATAAGTAAATTGAATGAAAAAACATTTCTCTGATTACAGTAATCGAACAGGAAAAAAAACTGCTAAATTTCAAACTAAGTTACGAATATGAGCATAATGATATGCCTTGGATAATGTTGAATATTTATTTATTAATATTAGAGTTTGGGAGCTGTCAACACATGTTCATAACTGACGAAGCAGCAGAATTAATTCCATTTTCATTTAGACAGTTCTTTGCCAATTTTGTATCCAAGGATCTTGTTCCAATCAACCTTGGCACGGGTGATAGGGAGTTGTCGACGCAATGCCTTGAATGTCGTCTCCGACATGGTATGATAGTTTGCTGAAATTGCTTCCTGTATTGATATGAAAAATGTTTACAATATTGCAAGTAAAGAGATAAAACAATCCGGCAGCAGTAGGCGAACAAGATCTCTGCTAATACTCAAGACCCACAATAGGGGGTGGTTTTTCTGTGGAGGTTAGCGTTATCGGAATTTAAATTTTTAACTAAGTTGGTAAAAAAAATGGCGAAAATTGGCGCATTTTTTTCGCTGCTGCTTTGAAAACGAAACGTCAATCTGGAATTCGGGTGAAACACACATTATTAGAAAGACAGGATAACCCATGTGATGACTTCCATCCAGATCAGCCCAGCTGTTTTGACGCTGTAGCGAGACAGAAAGACTGTGAATAAGGCTCTCTCTCTCCTACAGGGGAGATCCAATACATCTATCATAATTTTGTATTTTCTAAAATTAATTTAAGTCTCAAAAATAAGAAGCATCATTGGTGTTCATGTTGATAGCTCAAATTGCTTGTTTCAACAAATATAGGCATCAAAATATAGGTACTTTTATGAATATAAGTCTTTATAATCCACCAAAGTGATCTTCTGTAATATTTATGAAATACCGGTTCTTAATATGCAATTATCTATATCAGGGTGGTCCAAACTGCGGCCCGCAGAACAATTCTAGCTTACACTACTAAACCGATGTCGGGATTGATGTTTGTTAAAAAATCACGGAATTTCAATGTTGTTTCTATAAATGTAAAAACAGTGGCTATATGGGAATGACGTTCTGTGATCGGTAAAAGGAGAATGAATTTTCTTGTGCAGACAGGACCGAGCCGATGAGATGAGCTCGTGTCAAGAAAAGTAACACCTCATTTGAAGAGAAGTTTTGTGCCTTTATTTTAGTCAAATCACCCCTCTATTTTCAAACATTGACCATGTGACAGCAGTGACGAACCGCAGAGCTGGCTTGGCGCCGCGCGATCCAATTTTTTTTATCTGGGTCCAAGGTCCCAACTTTTTGACGGTAGCACTAGGCCTGCTCATGCTACAAATAATAAATTTATCAAACAATGAGTGTAGAAAAAGGGTGACCGATGTAAACTGGAAGAAATGTATTTCCTTACCCACAACAACGTTAAACCACAGTGTCTGGTGTGTTTTTATTTAATATCTGCCAAGAAAGAATATAATTTTAAGCGACATTACAAAACCAAACACGAGAAAAGATACCGAAAATACCACAAAAAATGGCTTTATATAGTTTCTTTTAAAAACTGATTGGAACGATAAACTCTCATTTTTAAATGTATTTAAAGTGAGTAAACTCGCGATGTTTGATAACTTTTGAGTTTTCTCCGACTGTGGCCCGAGAGATCTCCTCAAAAGTTTTTGCGACCCTTCAATCTCGCAACCCTGGACCACCCTGAACTGTATGAAAGCTTATACTGTGTTACAAGAATACACACAAACCTGATAGTCACTTTCTGCTTTTGACACAAGTTTCAAGAGGTCCTTGGCCAGCTGACGCTCATTCTGAAAAAAAAAAGAGAAAATAATATTCATAATTTTAGTTTATGATACTTGTTTGAAATAATAATTTTTTTTTGCATAAACCATGAATTGCAAGGCATAAAAATACAACAAAGTTCACAATAAAATCAAATTTATTGGTGCATATAAACATAAGATACATACAGATGCAGAAGTGTTGTCTTTACATTCCTTTTGACTGACGAGTTGAACATTTCCATCCTCATAATAATGAACCTGTTGAATGATAAAATATTACAAAAGTAGGTACCGGTACTCCAGTAGTGTGTGTACCAGATTAGGGTTAGATCATAATTGTATTCCGATTTACCTTATTTTAGTTCTACTATGAGTTTGGGGACTATCTGTGTTAGCGAAGTGATTATATCATAGGTTTCAGTCCCTTCACACAACTTGATGTAAAGTAGGTGAACAAGTTCAGTTACCTCCACAATGGTACACATACGTCTGGAGTGTCCAAATGTTAAGGGCAAGGGAGAGCCCAATTACAAATTTTACAAAGGAATGTAACAGTATAAGCCATTTTTTTTTCAAAAACACGTATATTTCCAACCACAATTAACAACAAGCACACAAAAATATGATTTACTCTGTGGGATTTTCCATAAGCCATGCCTCAAGGCATGCATCATGAAAATATGATAGACATGACATGACCCGGACAGCTATTGTTCGAAGTAAAAGTTGCAAAGTCAAATAAATTTTGTTTCTGATTCACCATGTCAGCAACATTGATTCATTTATAATTCAATTGCTTGGTGGAATAACCAGCTAACAGGTTCTTCATCAATGCATGGCCCGTGCTTGGAAACATGGAAATTAGGAAAAATCATTGCAACTGACTGACTGATACATGTTAGTTAACTCATAATTGTAATGAAAACAGCATATGTTATTACATTACATGTAAAGTAATTACCATATGTAAATTGAATTATGTAATACAGGTGTCCAAAAAATGTTACCCAATTTCATACAATACCAATTTTAAATAAATTTTATTGTATGATAAATGAGAACTATAATGAACAAAGACAAAGCAATCTTTAATTGTTATTTTATAGAATCGATCGAAATTTTTTGGTCACCTTGTATATATTGTAAAAGCAAAGATTGCTGTGCTGTGCTATATTACAAAAGAAAAGTGGTTTCAGGTAAAAAATCATAAATAAAAATTTATTTTCAAAGTTAGCAGTCTTCAGTAAGACCATCAAATGTCATTTGCGAGAGAACAAATGCTACATTGCCATTAACGTGCCACTAACCTGGTTCTTTAAGATTCCAACAATCTGAGCATTTCCACCATTTTCATCAATAGTGACACACCATTCAGACCTCCAACGTCCATTCCAAAAATTGAGTGGCTCATATTTGTGATCTTCTATGCACACCGTCAAAACGACAGATCCATTATCTAATTTGCTGTAAACCTGACAAAATATGGCACATACAAGTTTGGCAAATGTAATCGCAGTATTAATAACGTTTTCAACAGTGACAGAACAGTCTGGCACAACCCGAAACAAGCACTTATCAGATTTTCTCAACATTCCTTCGAAAAATGCAAAATAGGGAAAATCGATATATTTTTATACAACATATCTATATTACTTTTCCTCTGAACAAGGCTCTGCATGAGCAGTGGTTCTCAAACTTTTTAAGCCACGCCCCCGTTTCAGAATTTGTCAAGTCTCTCTCCCCCACCTAAAATTACTAGCTAACAATAAGCTACAAATAACAGATAATAAGGCGAAAGTATGTTTCATTCAAAAAACACATTGGAAGTACTTGGATAGAACGTAAATATCTAAAATAAAGAAATGTTAATATCTAAAATAAGAGAGCAAGACCAAACAAATATGTTATTTTTAATCAGTTTCACAACCCCTCAAAAAATTGTTTACTCTCCCTTCGTGGTGCGCGTTCCACCATTTAAGAACCACTGGTTTTAGGTGGCGCAGAATATTTCTAGTTTATTACATCCTGGGTGAAGTGATGGACATCAACATAGAACCAGGGATGTCGTCATAGTTAGGTCGAAAATCAAACTCCATAAAACTATGTAACAGCAATCATATCGGAACGAAAACATCATTCAACATTTAGGAAATTCTAAGAGAATAGCTAGTTGATTATACTCGATTTACTCACCGCATAAGCTCCATGTGGATAATGCTCCTCAATATAAGGTCGGAATGCTTCATCAACAGCCAATCTCCATTTCTCACCATCAAGTTCATCATGATCACATATCTCTGATACTGCGTTCCTTAAATGATCATATCTAAACAGGAAGATTTTATTTTTCATCAGAGCGGAAAAAGCCACGAAACGACATTTTATAAGCATAGCCTTATATTTGTGCCCAACAATACCAATGCCTCAAACTCATACTTTTGGATCAAAATGATAATTGATATTTTTCTACACTAATGCATAATAACACATCCCAATTTTTGAAGATTACATTTATATAAGGAGAAACACGGCAACTTGCATTTGTCAGTCATAAAATCAATTCTGTTAGTATCCATTCGAACAGTTAACATTACATACCTGAATGATTTTTTTGAACGTGGATCAACGTATTTCCCATTTTCGACTTCACCATGGGATGTTATCAGAACAGGATCCTTCACACCTTCCACAACTGCTGGTATAAACTGATCAGTGTTGTATTTGACAAACGCTCTAAACAAAAGTCGGTTTGTGACAACAGTTGGTTCATGATAAAATAGTTAGTATATGATTGATATCAGAATTCGGCTCGGCAGTGCGCGCACAGTGCTAAGTTTTAGAAATACGCTTGCCACCACACCTCTCAGGTTTGAATCTTATGGGATTAAATATGTGCAAGAAGATTGCTGGACTCCTTGTCGCTGCAGGGTGGTTCATGTAACCGCTGTTCGATTACAGCTTCCTCCACCATCAAGTCCATGCATCTGAAAGCAAATAACTGGGTAACTAATCCCATACCCAACATGACGACAGAACGAGAGGCCATGGTTCGTCATATGATCGTCCAGTCAGCTTTCCTCTACCGCAGGTTAAAATGTAAAAATCCTATCCTAAATATTCGACACTCGCAAAGCCCAATACAAGTTTAGTAATTTGAGAATATACAACTATAAGTAGATGGAACAATGGCATATTATTTGATAAGAATGCTTGGCACAGGAACGAGCAGCTGAATATGTACCATATTTACCTAATCCATGTTACAAATGTAATGCAAAAAATAGATCGAATAATTTATTATTACAGACGTTTGACCCAACTTACGATGCAGCCTTTTCCTTCAGTAATGTATCATTGCTGAGAAGAATTCTCACATCTGGAATACACAAAAAAGATTGTTCATGCTATAAATCATTTAATGACATATTTTCCTGTCTTATGGTGAGAACAACATAATGCATATCTCCATGTAGGCAACATTCAGTATGAACAAAATGTACCATTGACTAATCATATCAATAATATTATTTAAATTTCAATAAGTAAAGCTTCTCAGCAGACATTCTTAACTTCCTACGTATGAAAAAATGATACAATCAGAACATATACTACAAAAAAATATTACAAAAAAAAACAAATGGTGAACACTTCGACGTTGTGTTGCGTATTATGATAAGCGTTATAAATATGCTCGGGGTCGCACATCCGATTACCCTGCGTGGGTTCGCAGGTTCAAATCATGTGGAGATAATTATGTGCGAGAGTTATGGCTTTCTTCGTCATCAAGTGCATGCATCTGAAACAAATACCTGGCAAACTATTATTATTGTTCCCATACCCAACATGGACTGGTGACCGGACAAGAGGCCATGGTTTGTCATATGATTAAGATAGAGTCTACGCAATGATAAATATGTAAAATCTTATCCTAATTTTAGATGTGATAGTGACTTACCATTGAAAACCTCAGCAAATTCTCCAGGTGGAGCATGAGTTAAAAAGCTCTTTACAATTCTAACCTAAGGAAAAATATAATGTATATTTGTAGGACAGGTATTAACTAAACAAGTTTGAAACGAAAAGAAGTTCAAACAATGATGAAATTATATATATATATATATACATAATACTTTGAATTTTCTTGACTGGTCCAAATTGTTTATTGCAATAAATTGATGTCACTAAAAACTAATAAAAGTTGTCGAGATTCTTTGATTTCAATATCATATTTTTAAAGATAAGTATGGCTACCATTAACTAAGAATATTATGCTTTAAAAAGTTAAAAAAAAATAATACCTTTTCGTCATCAGAGATTGGTTCATCATAATCTGCCATGATCAATAATTTGAAGATATATTTACACTATCTATGCTACTATAATATGGCTGGAGAAAGTAATAAAAAAGGGTATATTTAAAACATGCTATACAAGACATGTCACTGCAGAAAGCCTGTTATAATGCAGCGACGTGAAAGTGTTAATAATTCTTAAAAACATTGGCAGTGTCATTTATAGCTGTATTAAAAAGTAATCTACTAACAAAATGATTGATTTCAATCTATGGACGTGAAAACCATATATAAATATTTATTTTTTTATCACAATATTATGATCGGCTGTCCTGAAGGTTATATCTATTTCAACGATTCTCTCATAAAAAACTAGTAGGCCTATCCGGTATGTTACCTAACCAACTCTTACAACAGAAATTGTGTTTTTGTGAAATGAGATATTTTGTAGTGAATGATTTTGTAAAAAATTGGGTGCTCCCGAAGTATGCGAACCAAAATGGTGGACATCGGAACGTAACATGGGTAACAGGTTAGGGTTAGGCAATAATTTTTTTCCAATTTTCCTTATTTTAGTCCTATTATCAGTTCGATGACTAGACAAGAGCCTCCCGTAGTATTTATACCTAACATTATGGCCTAACCCTAACCTAGTACACATATTACATTCCGATGTCCGCCATCTTGGTTCGCATACTTCGGGAGCCCCAAAAATTGACTATTCGAGTGCCTTTAACAAATACAGTCAAAAAGTCATTTCATCACTTTCACATTCCCAACTATATATTTGCCGCATATCCTCATTCTGGAACACCGTGAATTTTTATGAATATACCGTCTAGGGCTGTTTCAGGAGGTCAGCTTATATGCCAGGATATATCTATATCTTTATTAAAATTATTCGGCTTCAAATTGTGCAACTAAATTTCTATGGAAATTTGGCATTCTAAATTAATTTGAAAAAAATAAGACCTAATATTAACAATGCGACTTCTCTTTATATTTCAAAAGTCGAGCAATATTTTTCCACCCTGATGCGATATATGCAACTTTTCCACAGTTTAAAGAAATCCATTCAAATCTTCAATACACAAAAATTTGATGCAGTAAATCAACCGCCAACAATGCAATATCTTGGAGGCTTTCCTTTTCGTATTTCCTTCATTTTTCCCAGATGTCGCAACACAAGGAATACCGTTTCTTTAGATTTGGGTCGTGATTTCAGAACAGTTCCATAACTTTGAACATCAGAATCCATGAAAAATATCTCAAAGATTGTTCCCTTCAAGTCTTTTCCCATCTCGAGATAAATACTCCGTTTCTTCTCATCAGCACGGCTCAATGTTTTACGAGGCCTCTTCAAGAATTCATATTTTTTTTCCAATATATGATTTACTTCTCCTATTCCTGAATTTATTTGTTCCATAGAAAGATGGCCTTTCACATGTTTCGGAATATGTTCAAAATCATTTTCTTGTAAAGAACGAATAATTTTCACTCCTTTTGATTTTTTGTCTGGTTTTAGATTTTCTTTGTCTGGTTTTAGATTTTCTTTGTCTTCCACTTTTGAGCTCTCTATGTCAACTGTACGAGTACTCTGAATAGCAGTAAAATTGATTGGAGCATTTTGATAGACTGGTGTAGTGGTCTCGGGAAGATGATAACACATATGGTTCAGTCTTTGACGAACTTCATTTAAACGTTCTCGCTTTTTCTGAATCTCTGCCAATTTATCTTTCTCTTGATCTATTTTCGAACGAATAGCTTCACACATGGCACCTAAATCGACCAAATCGTTTGAAATTTCTGTCAATGTGTATTTTCCATCAACTGAGTAGTATAAAACATCCATCATCTTTAATCCTTCTTCCGCTCGATTCACTTTATTTTTAAATCCATTTAATAGATTCTCAAGATCCCCATGACATTCTGTCTCCATATTGCCGAATTTGTATTTAATCAATTACTATAAAAACAGCAAAAAAATACGATAAGTGAAATTACACAATATTTACCCTAATATTTAGTAATTTTTTGTTTCTATAAAAAGTCTCATCTGTTGCAACAAACCTCTATAGTAATTTTTTCAACAGTTTTAAACAATCATAATTAGATTGAATAAAAAGATTCACATCTTACAATACAATTTTGTAATCACTCTAATCTAAAAAAACATCTATTGATGTCAATTTCAATTTCCGCATGGTCAGAAAGACTACGGCTTGAGAAGCCAAGCATATATTATCAGGTATTCAATTCTGGACAGGCTATTTTCAAAGTTTGACACTACCTACTGACCTACCAAATGTATTACACCAAGGGTAAAGTGGTGGGCATTGGGTATGAATACAAAAAAATTAGCAATAACATATATGGCGAGCATATAAATCGATAGAATTAGGATTCAAAAATTTATCATGGGGAGAGGAAAGTCGATAAGACCACCTAACCATGTCGGTTATAGGATTAGTTAGTGAGGTACGTAATTGTTTCAGATGCATGGATTTGATAGATCTTATTACAGTATTAGTCGTATAAAATTTATTTTTCTGTTTTTTTTTTTAGGAAGATAATATAATAAAATATAACATAAAGGACGTAAACATGTGAACAATCATTACTGCATTAAGTAAATCCGTTATTCATTTATCATATGTTCATTCCATCAGTGTTTGAGTTGTTGATCACGTCTTTCCATTTAATCAAATTGTAGTATATGGACCTTTCCCCGAGCATCGACTTCCTTGTTTACTTTGTGACATTGGCCAATCAGGAGATGCAAAAAGTGACGTAACAATGCCACCTTTTCGCATTCGCTCAGACACTTTTCTCACTCAGACAGATTTTCAAGCGTGGTTGTAAACATTACCTCGTTTTCGCGTTTTTGAACTCTATTCGTTAGTTTTCAGTTGTGTTTCGGAAACTTAAATATAAATCAGATAATTCAATGATTACTCTGTCTTCCTAGGAGTTTTAATTAAATTGCAGTAATGAAAATTAGTTTAGAAAAAGCTGTGATAGACTAGCCTGAAATTCTTTACCGGTACTTTCAAAAAACAAATCGTTGTATGCGATGAATCATAATGATGGTTTGAAACAAATACTCCATTTTACAAGCGCCAACTCGCAAAAGCACTCCTAAAATAGCCTCGGAAATTTTGCAATGGTAAAGAATAGGAAGAATTTTCCGGGGGTTAAAGGTCGGGGAAAGGTCCATTGAGTTACCGTACCGGTACGGTATATTTATGTAGAATAAAATTAAAAAAACTAAGTATACGAGACATTTCATTATTTTATTTATTATTATTTAAAATTATTAAGCATATATATATTTTTCTGCTTTTTCTCTGAATTTCAACCCATCCTACGAATTATACAGCGAACCACAGTCCATCAGTCTCTTGTTTTGTCTCAGGCTGTCGGGGCGGGCATATCTCAGTAAATATCAACATGCTGAGATGGGTCATCGGTAAGCTCAAATTCTGAAATTATATAGACTAACTCAACCATTGAAATTAGAACATCTGTTTAGAAGATGAGATGATGAACTCGGCAATATATATGATATTTTTCAAATGCTGAAATGTTATGCTAGTTTTGCACGAAGCAGCTAAACACTGAGAAATACTGTGCCCGCCGTTTATTAACGAAGGGCACAGCCTCTAGCCCTCGACGCCCATTCTATTTATTCAAGCAATGAATTTCCTTCTGCGGTGCACGGAGTTGGAAATGTAAAAGATTTGAATTATGCCTTCGACTGTACGAACTCGGCAAAGTGCTGGTATGTTTGGGCAGAAGTGAATATTTTGTAATAGGATATTCATTTTCACAACGGATGACTGAAAGACGTTTGAACAAGATGGTGACAACCCGGATAAAAGATAGGCGATCAAATAAACTGGTAAACCACTGCCTACCGCCCGGTTACCAGCCTAGGTCGCAAATAAGGTCAACCGGGTAATGTTTTCACCGGTATGTTAGTCGTTGGTTTTCACAGAAGGAAACTTGGATTTCGAAGGAAGAAACCATAGTTTACTAAATATAGTTCGCTCACGGCCGGTTCGCTACGCATGAGTGATGCGTTACCACGTCATCAGTTTGCTATATTTTGAAACCCACGGAAAAGGATTTCCGTTTGAGTTTATTTGCGTATTTGGAATGGTTTTGTTGGTTGAAAGAACGGAAAAGATATACTTAGGCATTAGGATCTCCCAACTCTCTCGAGTTCATTCATAATTTTAAATTTAAACATTTCTCTTTATACTTACTCTCTCGTTTCGATTTACGTTTCCTAATTTTCCTCTGTACGTATTTAAGTCTAGCTAAATTATTTGACGTTTTTTGACGTCATCTGCTGCTGAACTCAGCATTTATGGTGTCGCTGACACGATGACTTTACAGTCTTTCGCGACTCCTCGTTAATTGCAGTTGAAACATCGTGTATCTGTTTTTTTTCTTTTGCCTTGATTTAGTATTGTTTGTGTTACAATGTTTCATGCACGACGAAAATAAATTATATGAATTTGAATCTGATAAATTAAGGGGTCGTGGCATCCGCCAATCATCTCTGCGTCGGTACCATAAATTATCAAAGTGGAGTAGGGGCAGAGTATTTCTGCTGTTCTGTGATTGCATTAATTGGATGGTAATCAAAGATATATACCAGGATTATAGCACAAAAGTAAGAATTCAGATATTCCCAAATAGGGATGGGCGATATGGAATACCGAATCCGGCGGATTTGAATCCCTAGGGCTCCGTGCGTCAATTTTTGTATTTCGAGGAAAATTAAAAAAGTTGTGATGATAACTAAAAATCAAAATTTGGTAACAGAAATGATTTTTTCTCAAGATGTTATTATATATATGAATTTTGCTTGCACAATACATTCAAGGCACAAGACATTCAAACAATATATAACGATATCATATTAGTCCGATAACCTACGTCCTACATCCTCCTTAGACATAGGCTACAGCCAGATAGCCGAGGAATCGCGTTGAGAGAATACCATGACGTATCACCCAAGCTTAACGAGAGAACTGTGTAACATAAATAATCAAGGACGAAAAAACGTGGGCGAACTATATTAAGTTAACTACGAAGAAACAACTGGCCGATTACGTGATCCAACGTTTAAGATCGAGAAGGGGGGTCATATTTTGTAAGTCGGTATTCGTACGAACCAATGGGAGTTGCTAATTTTAAAATTTACAATTAAAAGTCCCAATATGATTTTGAATTTTGCAGCTGAACACTCGGAAGCTGGGCATCGCTTCAAAAATCCATATCTTTCAATGATTACGTCTCATTTATGACAAGACCATCACAAAATGTCCGCGCTCGAAATCCTGATGGTTAACTCTTTAGTGGCTACCTGTTATACTGTTTAATTATGCAGATACTGTTACATTTTGAAGGCAAATAAACATACATACATACATATATATTTATTTGATTATGGAATATAGTATTTTTATATTGTAATTTATATCTGTATATAATTTCAGAATACCGTACATATTTAAACAACAAGAAGAAAGCACAAGTCATTGTGGTGTAACTTGGAAAGGGTCAGTCTAGAGGGGAACAGAAGATTCACATCAGAAGATTATTCAGAAGTTCATTGAGCGTTATTTTTAAGATGTTTATTCAATTACCTGTATTGCAGCACATTCTAATAATTGAATATTTAACAGATATATAACATAGATAGATATATATTTCAAAAAAGCTGATCCATATCAAAGTTTGCCATTTCAGGTTCTAATCTTATGGAGCATTCTCATGTGTGTTATTATTTCTCGCGGTTTCTCACCAGTTGCTCACAAATCACACAGACAAAAAACGCAATAAAATTACCCAGAACGAAATTCAATACCAAAATCCTTAGCAACCCCGACAAGAATACAGGAACATTAAGAACGTATTTTGTTAATTCATATGCATGTGAGTCCGTGATTTCGCCCCAATCACGACATCCGAAAAAGTGGCGATTCTGCTAGGTCTGACTTTTGGTTGGTCAGCAATATGGAACAATTAACACTTATCAAGTTTACAATGTTTGTTATCATCTATGACGAAAAAGGTGCTTTCAAACAGCGACGCGGCCTGTCGCACCCTCGCGTCTTTTGTTCGCCCTTTCTGACGGGCGGAAACAACCTTTGCACGATGCGTTTTTCACGCATCGAAGGTGTGAAGAGTGTCGATATAAAAACAACTAGAGAACGATTGGATTCATACAGTTATCAGTGACTTCCAATCGATTTTAGCTCGTCAACAATATTGAAATAAAATGCCTAACACAAACACTACGAAATACACAGCAAAAGAAGAGCTTCCTGATTTATCAAAGCACAATAATCACATGGCAAAATGCTTGACTGAAGATATTTACAAGAAAATGAGATCTCGCCAAACTCAGAATGGATTCAGTATCGATAACGTTATCCAAACTGGAGTCGATAATCCAGGTAAACACTCAATACTCATTTATTTTTTTTTTTAATTTTTCACAAAATCTGTCCATTATATTCATTTGGATACACTTTAATGCTTTTCTCAGGCCACCCATTCATCATGACTGTCGGATGTGTAGCGGGAGATGAAGAGTCGTATGAAACGTTCGCTGAATTATTTGATCCAGTGATTCAGGCTAGACACAACGGATATAAGAAAACAGATAAACATAAGACAGATCTCAATCCGGAACATTTAAAGGTATAGTTAAGTCTGTTTAGTTGTGTCTGTCAGTAGAATAATCGGTATTCATTTCAAACTGCTGTTGCCTCATAATGCAGTATGATTTCAACATGCTATTTTAGGGAGGAGATTGCTTGGATGAAAAATACGTTCTTTCATCTCGTGTACGAACTGGAAGAAGTATCAGAGGTTTGTGTCTTCCACCACATTGTAGCCGTGCAGAGAGACGAAAAGTGGAAGAAATATCTTGTAAAGGTAAAATCCATGTCCTACTGTGAATTAAATTTGCAAATTTACAGTAATTAAAAGCGGTGTTATTCAATTTTAGCTCTCGGAAAACTCGGTGGTGAACTAAACGGAAAATATTATCCGCTTTCAAAAATGACAGATAAGGAACAAGAGCAATTAATAGATGATCATTTTCTTTTTGATAAACCTGTTTCACCGTTGTTACTCTCCGCTGGAATGGCGCGCGATTGGCCCGATGCAAGAGGAATATGGTAAATAGTGCACTTTCCTAAAAACTTAAAATTGAAATAAATTTCTCTTTAAATAAAAATTATTCATAAAACTCAGGCACAACGACAAGAAGAACTTCCTTGTTTGGATAAATGAGGAGGATCATCTAAGAGTGATTTCAATGCAGAAAGGTGGAAACATGAAAGAAGTCTTCACCCGATGGTGTCAAGGATTAGGAGATGTAAGTTGGCTTACGAAAGCGTTCACCATTATATACTTCGAATGAATTGGTCATTCATATATTTTCTCATTTCAAGATTGAAAAGCATATGAAAGATCTCGGGCGTGAATACATGTGGAATGAACATCTTGGTTACATTCTTACATGTCCAAGTAATCTGGGCACAGGAGTTCGTGCTGGTGTTCACTTGAAGATTCCACTGTTTTCTCAACAACCAAAATTCGATGAAGTGCTTAAGAAACTTCGTTTGCAAAAACGTGGTACAGGCGGCGTTGACACTGCCGCTGAAGGAGGTACCTTTGATATTTCGAATGCTGATCGTCTCGGATTCTCTGAAGTCGAACTTGTACAAATGGTTGTGGATGGAGTCGAATTTATGATCGAATGTGAAAAGAAGTTGGAACAAGGTCAAAGTATTGAAGAAGATATCCAGCAACTTAAACAGAAATAACCTCGATTGATATATATATATATATATATATTTGTATTCTGTAATCGTAACAATTGATTCTATCTTGTTATGTATATGTTGTGGTCAAATTCAGTAGTTATAACATTCTTAAAGTTAGTTCACATTTACTACATTTTATTATACGACATTATGACACATAATTTTCAGCAATAGTGTACTATTTCTTTATATTGTCGTATAAACAGTAATAATAAATTGCAAAATACACTCAATTTGAATATTTTCAGTTCATATTTAAACTGTATCTGCTTATATATAAGTTTATAGCCCCGTGGAAAATGAGTCACCATGCAGTTGCTCAAATATGATAATCCCATATCCAATGTAAAAATTAAATTGTATTTACGCAATTACATAAACAAATAACCGAATAAAGTTGTTATCTTGTTACATAACGCTTAGCATTCCACCAATGACCACGGTAAATCCTTTGTCGGAAAACTCTGACAAACTATGAAAAATTAATGTTTGTCAAGATAGTGCGGTTCTCACAAAAAAAGCAGCGCAAAATTACGTTCCTGCGACCAGAACTGCGGAGTCGGAGGGTGGCGTATTTTCATTGATGTCGAAGTAATATTTTCAAACTCTCCGGAGTCGGAAACAAAATTTCATACTTTTCATGGTGATAATCAAATTTTCTACATAAACTAGTGAAAAATATAAAGTTTTCTAAACCTTTCCGAATAGTTTATAAAGAAGGCTTGCATATACGCCAAAGTTTTTATTATGAAAAGAGTTTTTTGAAGAGTTCGGAACTGAAGTCTGAAGAGACGAAATTGTCATCAAACTGGAATCTAGAGCTATCAACCCGAATTTGAGTATCGGAGTCGATTAGAGATTTCCCCCCCTTGCCAGCAACGCTATATTCTTCCGAAAGTCTATTCGCTCGCTCAACAGTTCGTACAGGCTCATGGTTCTTAAAGGATTTCTCGCAAAACTGAGTCGCACAAATGTTCGTTCCTTTCAATAACAATAAACACTCTCGCAAACAAAACGATCGCGCAAAATTTTGTTTCTGCTAATGTACGTTTATGCGAAACTGATTTATCGTAGTAATTCGTTCTCGCTAAACTACATTCGGTCAAAAATGGTATTTTTTGCTCAATTTTTGTGACCGTCGTTTGTTCGATCTTTTTCATTTCATTTTTCATTTCATCTTATTTGCTTGGTAGTGGGGCAATTCGGAGCTATTCCTTACTAGAAAATTAAAATTATTTGCTGATTGATTGCATTTTATCAAAAAAAATTTGTTCGTTGCGTTACATAGGTCTCACATGCACCCAAAAGGAGTCAATATTCGGAAGTTTCATTTTTTGATTTGCCAAAAACTGTCGATATTCGTTCGAGGGAAGGATTCGACGAATGCATTATTTTCGGTAATGGATGGAGCCACATTGGAATGACTTGTAAGACTGTGGCGACTCCAAAACCGGCTTTCTTAGTTATATCGTTTGATCCGATTATTCACAGTAGCCTAGTCCCGGCATGTATTTTATATCTCGTTATTATTCGTCGTTGTAAAATCTTTGAATTTCTCTTCAAATCAGGACAATAGGAGAAAATATAGACCAGCGTTAGAAATAGTATATAATTGCAAAGATGATTCAATTCATGGAAACTCTTCTTAGGGCTTGACCTTTTGTTGTTGTAAATACATCCAAAATTGAATACCTCCTTCTCTTTTGTACGTCGTGTTGTTTCACTCGAGTAAAATACGAGCGGCGTATTTCGGTATCGCCTTCTTATCTCATTTAGAAAGAAGGTCGAATTATTCCACTTATTCGTATTTCTTATTGAGTTTTCCTACTTCTTTTTAACGACGTACGAACATCAAAGAGACTTTGCCGACGCCGTCAATTGATTGTTGTGCTTTCATACTGACACAGATGGACCCGCTACCGATATTGTCGCCAAGTCGTAGACCGTAAAAATCAAAACAGTGAGTGTGATCTGATGTGCCGTCACAATAGCCGAAAATATTAAGGCGATTTGTACGGGTGAACTTTTATTATGATTGAGGTATGCTTGAAATAATATCTGACTTTACTTGATCAAGGTTGCTTTCTGAGCCGAGTTTCTCTGACTTCTGATTAAATGAAAGATGATTTGTTGCGCATTTTAACCTATTTCTGTATTCCGTGTTAATCTTATTTGAAGCTTTCTTTTAGCCATAGAAACGAATGTTGTATGTCATCTTCCCATGGCCCTGAGGAAGCGTTACTTATCTTGACACATATAAATAATCCAGTACAATCTGAGTAAGCACTGTTTATTCCGGAAGGGCGGGTCGGAGAACAAGGGTCGGTACCGCAAGGAACCGAAGTCGCACTTGTCAGCGCCTCTTGGTTTGGGATTTAGTGTGTATTACAAGACATTATGTGGCGCCACCCGTCAAGAGGGATTGGCTTTCCTTCTGTTTTGTATTGTTGCTGTGTTTGTTTATAGTGTATTGGGTGTATTTCCCATGGAAGGATCAACTCTCAGATGGTTTTTGGTCTTGTATGCCAACACCAATAGATCAGATGCATAATAATACCTATGACGTCTGACTTGATCAACAACCCCTGCTCTCCACTAACCCAGACGAGTATGTTACAAAACGCAGTACTGTAATGTGAGTTTCGTCGATAATCAGTTTGCGTCCAAGGATAAATATAGGTTGGATGTCTGGTGGTCGTTTGGCGTAATATCGTAGATTTAATTACACGGAAAAATTGTTTAACGGCACTGAATTTTTGTATAAGTGGTAGCTGATATCTAGTGTAAGCAATATCTAATGCTGACAATACCAGGCGGGGTTAAGTGTGACCGGAACGACCCGACGTCAGAGGTCTTCGTTCTTCGCGCGTGGGGTCTTGAAAACACATGCTATTGGTAGAGGTTACACTTGTGTATTTAAAAGCGTGAGTCGCTTTGGCGCACGACACCGCCACTTTAAAAACATTTTTCTAACAACGTGTAAGCTTTTCAAATCAACGTTTAAAAGGCGACCTACCTATTCAGAGTTTTATCTTCACAATGAGGTACATTAAAGTCGACCACATAGAGTAAAACAAAATTTCCGTGCGTTTCTTGTGTTTTTATTGTAATTTAAAATAATAATAATAGTTAAATAAATCGTTGTGAATTTTTATATCAGGCATGAATCGTGTGTTGACATGTATGGCCCATTCTTGGTCTACGCTTCGACAAAATCCACTTATTGAATTGCAGAAGGTATGACCTCATACTCACATTGACCTTCAGATATGTGATTGCGTGAAAATATCAAAATGATGACACAAAGACACCCGCCTCTATGTTTAAACATGCATTGAATTACCGATGTAGCGATTCGATGCCAATACAAAAGCAAGCTTTAATTCCAGTATATAGTGAAAAGTGACAACATCTGACGTAAGCATAGTTATTATTAAACGCAATTTTCGACAATTTTCACGTCATTACCTATTGCAGTCATTATTACCCTTTGTCATGGAATCGTCGCTATTGTATTACGTTTATAATCAAATTGGGCCATGGTTATGTAACATATAAAATACGATAGGTATAAATGATAATAAAGCAAGAAAAATAGAAGGTTTTCGATTAAATCAAAGATTAGAATATTTAAACGTTTTTTGAGGATAAAGTTTGCGAAAGATGTGGGAATGCTTTTTTAGTCCAGTGTAAACCAAAAATAGACCGAGAAATTGATAGCAAATCACTATTGTAAGGACTAAGAAATTTTTGATCAGCCATTAGCCTATCATATTTCTTATATAGGTAGGAATGAAATTTCCTCCATTCTAATTCTCCTGTATATACATCGTCATCATTTTAAGCCTAGTGGCTTTCTTTTATATTCCTATCTTTCTATCCTTGGTAAAAGTTTGGTAAAATATACATTTGAAATTGTAACAGAGAGAATGAGCATGTGTTTTTGTGAAAATATCGCGATTAAAACTTAGTATTGCGATAAGTAACAGAACTAAACTGAGCTATAATAGATGAGATCACATAACTTAAAATAAAACCAATTAGGTTCCTATAATTATACATAATACGTAGCAATTATTGATAATTACAATGTTCGAAGCATTCGTATGGAAAACCTAAAGGTGTAAAGTACGAAAGGGGATTTTTATTACTAGGATATGGAAAAATCTGTTAGTAATAAAAGCCAAAAATTTTACTCATAAATTTCCACGGATACAAATTATAAATAGTGTCACATCTGTAAATCAATTGCGTTAGCAGTAACAAACAATGCAATGATTATTGTAGCTTGAAGATCAAAATTTTGACAATTTAACTCGACCTAAAATTGGCGTTTGCAGCGATCCGCAGACTATGCATTAGGGGCTTGGACTTAATCAATTGAGTATTTTTCATATTTAACTTTTGATGACATGATTGTTTTGTTTTCGTGAATAAAAATGTATTTATTTTGAACAAATCATGAGGGGTTCATACCTCCAAAAATTATTTTTGCGTATGGGACATTCATTGGTTCGGATCGAACAGAAAAATCAGAATCGTCGAGTCGTGTTTAGTGTCTTTTACGCAGGACAAGTATTTTGATGACAATTTCAAGCAAGCAAACAATTTTGAAACGAGTTTATCATCATCGAAAAATTGTTGATTTGAAAAATGGAGTGGATGACAAATTAGCACGCTTCCGTATTTAGTAATTGGATTAACGATCTATCTTCGTGACTGACGATCACGTAAGAATGCGCCTAATTTGAAATGAATAGAAACAACAGCTTGAAACTATGTTTTAGGAAACTACAGGTTACTTGAAATAGAAAAATTTAAAAGTAACATTCATTTATGTATTTTCAAGCGTGAAAATGAATTTACAAAATGCATTGATTGGAAAAACGAAAAAACAACAATCAATCAATCATTTGTTCCCTGTGGTGAAGCAGGGTTGTAATCTAATTTACGAGGTAACGAGAAAAGATGAATCCACGTACACAAACGTGTTTGACTACAGTGTTATATGTTGAACCCTAGCTTGAGTTCCATTTTCTTAATCTCAAATCTTGAATTATGCAAATTATCACATTCCGTTGATTGATAAAAATCATAAAATTTTCATATAAAACCAGAGCATGCGTCAATGTTTTAATACGTATGTTTGATAATATATAAAAAAAATACATACATCATACAATATGCCGTTATATCAACAATGTAATAGATAATACTTAAAATTATTTTTTCATGTCAGCACCGGTAAAGGAAAAAGTGTGGCAATGTCTCATGTATACATTTAATAATAAATATACTTCTAATGTGGTCTTTTTATACAATTACCCGGAATAAGCATATATGAAAGCGGGAACTTTTAGCATGCTACAACTAAGGTTCATCGAATTTGTTACAAACTAGAAAACTCAGAAATATGACGGCATTTTTG